CCCCCACAGTTCCTGGACAATGTGGAGATCAAGTGCTTCAGGATTCCTGCTGTAGCACAAGTCGATCTTGTTCTGGAAAACTCAAGGCCACAGTAGACAAACAGCTCACACGCAGCCCCCAGCAAGTCGTCTTCCGGCATCGACAAGGAACGGCAATAACGACTGAAGAATCCATGTACCGCCTGATCAGAACTTCCAAAATTGGCGGCATGCGCGAACAGGTCACCAGATACTCATTCCGACACTTTGCGACTCAGCGTATGAAGGCGAGCGGGGGTGGGTACTTTCCAGGTCGGTTCTCCTGACGTTGCCAGTTTCATTCGACGCCGTTCAAGAAGTGCTCGTTCATGTTCCGGGAAGTGAGGCGGCCCTGCACTGTGAAGGCAAGAGACTGTGGGTCAAGGATGATGGGCTGAAACTGATGTTGAAGGCCGTTCAACACGAGCAGGGCGCTCGCTGTTCCAGACACTGGTCAGGCTACCGACGTGAACGCTATGAGGCTTCAGCACAACACCCTCAGTGCGGGAACGCGGGCAAGTAGGCTGGCTCCAGTCGGCCTAACAGCAGCGGAACGCAAAGAGGTGGAAGATGAGCGTCAGTTCCTTCCCACGGGTTGCGTGAGCTGACCAACAGTCGCGCCCGAATTCAAGCTGTACCAGACGATCGAGAAGAAGCGATCGTCCACGCCTGAGCAGATCCAGAAGGCGCACAAGGAGTATGAGAGCAAGCGGAAGGCAGCTCTGAGCGCCAAGCTGAAGGCGATCACGGCTGCTTTCTGGAAAGCCGGCCCACTGACTGCGGCACGGCGTGATGGCTCGGGCACTGCGTGAGTGACTGCTTAGCTGTTCAAATGACGATTAGGGGTGAGGTGCAGCTTGGGAAGTACGAGAAGTGGCTCGAGGCACTCCAAGAGCCCATTGACCAGCCCCCAAAGCTCCTTGTCTTCCTCAAGAACCGCGTCGAGCAGAACAAGAACCGATCGGATGGAGGAAGGCGGCACCGCAAGCGGCAGGAAGCTAGCGAAGATGAAGCAGAGGACAGTGAGAGGATTCGGACGGGACCGATGGCGATGGCATGTCCGAGGGGAGTGAGGGGGAGGAGGACGATCACAGTGGCGAAGACGACTCGAGCGACTCTGACAGTGAAGGTGATAGTGACGACAGTGCCAAACTGCAAGCTTGGGACACTGACAAGGGATCGGACGACGAGGGAAACTCTGACTTTTGGATGTAATTGATAATCGCAATGTCTTCTAGCAGACGTGTATCACGGCCACTGAGAGGGCCCGTCTTTTCTCTGTATCGAGACGGGAAAATGCAGGGAAAATACCCCAAAGTCTCAGGTTTTCCCAGGGAGAATATCAACCTTGGCCACGAGGTGGAGACTACTGAGTTACTGCACGCCGGGAGCAAGGACAGAGGAGAGCGTGTGCGCGCTTCTAAGCAAGCAGGCCAACAGCTCTGTGGATGTCATTAACGAGGGCGAGCTACCTCCACAGAAGCACCACGTGCGCCTCGATCATCGACGACCGCCTCCACACAATGCCTTGGCCTGCGACGTTGACGCAGGACCTCCACCTCGTTGATCGGCAGATAGGTATGCTTCGCGAGTGCACCCCGAGTCTGAACAGTTTCCAGTGTCTTCCCTCTGAACACTTCCTTTCTTTGCCACTCTTCTTCCCCAAGTCGACCTCCGACCACACAAAGCGCCCACGTCGAGCCGACATCCGAACTTGGGTCGACATCCGACGAGCAGCGCTCCCGTTGATACCAACGCCAGAGAACCGTCTGCACTCCCGTCAGATCATCGCCAGCAAGCGTCTTCACTCTCGGCGCGCCTGAAACCCAGTGCACCTAGCTGCACCTCGCTGGACCCTCGGCAAGTCGCCTTCGTCCTCGACTACAAGCCTGCTTCGGGCATCGACAGTTGACACGGAGGTATCAGAGTCGTCTGCAACTCATTCATTCCATTCCATCCATCTCGTCCCATCCACACCTTCGCACCCCCGCCTTACCACGAACGACCTGCACTCGCCGCAAGCTGCGGAATCGGAACATTCATCTGCGCCACGCGCGAAGCGACAAGCCATTCGTCCCATCTGAAACACCTGATTCGTTCCCGTTCACGATCGGCACTGTTCAGCACCTCGCGCGCTCCTGTAACTCACAGGCGGGATGCCACCCTTGGTGGTGCTTCCTCCACGGAGGACCTGGCGGCACAAGAAGATGCAACGGAGCGCACCGATCCTCCCCTCGACTCGCTGCGGGCCACATCGAAGAAGCAGGCTCGAGTAGCCTGGCGCTACTTTCTCTCCTTCTTCGACGAGTTCCAGCACGCGAAGCTGCCCGATGGATCGACCCTGTTTCCAGGTGACCCTCCAAGTGCAGAGCGAGTGCAGAGCGAGTTCTCGAACCCGGAGCTCAGCCCCAGCCTGCACCCACGTTGAAGGCATTTGCATCCCTCATCGCGAACAACATTGCGTCGAGGGGCAAGGAGAATATTGCCAAGGCTGCAAACGTTCAGACGGTTCTGCGGTTACATTGTGTACTTTTGCATTCTGTTCAAAATACACACCGGTACCTCGAACAACGCGGCCGAGATCCTCGACTTCGTGCGCACCACCCTCAAAGACGAAGGGGACCTGTTCGAGGGCTACGAGGCACGCCCCTTGGTTAGTCTCGAACTCATCCAGCAAATGACAAAAGCGGCACTGAGCGATCCGCGGTTCGGCTGCCGCTACTTCTCCTTCAGACTCGGCCTCACAATCCACATCAGCATCTACACAGACACGGTCCTTCGCGTGGGGGCGAATCACCCCCATAACCCAAGAATTCGGGCCGAGGAGCAGCGTTCGTGGCCTGGGGCGACCTTACACTCGTACTCTCGCTCCGCGACTCGCGAGTCATTCCTAAACTGAAGTGGGTTGTGCCTAACGGAAAGACGGTACGCAGCAAGGAGGGGCCGGTCGAGCTCGAGTTCAGCGACACTTTCGGACTGAACGCAGTATACTGGGTCCTTGTTCAGGCCCGGCGTCAAAGTGCCTGGCCCGACAACCTCGAGTTGAATCATCTTAACACTGAGGGCTTTACGGAGAAGATGGGTGCCGACACGATCGAGTTGCCGTTCCAGAAGCCCACTGAGCCGGTGTTCGTTCGCCACTTCTGTGGCGAGGAGCTTCCCTGGTCATGCATGACCAATATTTCACTACATGGCAAAGCTGAGCGACCACCTCGGCCTCCCCAGAAAGGTGCAGACGCATACTCTGCGTAGCTCAGGAGCATGCTGGCTGCTGGCGGCAGGTGCATCCGTGAAGGACATCCAGGACCAGCTTGCCCCCAAGAGGTCGGGTACGACATACATGCGTTACGTGGCCAACATGGCCAGTGCCAACGTGACTGCCGCAGTCTTCGACCGGGAGGATACCTCCCTCGTGCCAATGATGGACATCCACCCCAACCGCCTCCTCAAAGAAATCGTCCGGGACAGGCGCTCTCCGCGGAGCAAATGCAGGATCTCGCGGACGACGAGGAGCTTGAGTTTGGAACGTTCGGGCAAAGCTGACTCAAGTCGTCGACCTGGATATTCGATTGGCGCGAGGACGACTTCTCGCACGGGGCCTTGGACGTAGAAATGGTGCTCCATGACTGGGAGATAATGCAGGTGTTCAAATGGGATGAGCAGGGGACCGACAGCCAGAGCGCTCTTCAGGTGGACAGAGCCCCACTTCGGGTATGTCACGTCCTGTGCCATCTTGTCAACTCTCATGTTCGCACCCAACGGTACGCTGCAAGACAACCTGCCCTGGCGCCCACAGCCAGGTAGTTTTCGCTATCCGGATGGGCATTCAGCGCCGTAACGTTCAATGCCGCGAAGCCTTTCAGGTCACCATTCGCTTGCACACGAGGGCTATGGTTCATGTGCAGAAGTGTGTGCACGCGACGTTCTGCAAGGCCCTCCATCTGCCCCCGAGCGGGTTACGGTCGCGTTACCGCCTGTCGACGAAACGCATAAATCGCCGCCGGCAATGGGATTGGCATCTGGCATCTGGTCTGGGGTGCCTTGGACAGGAGACCGACTGTACGGCGAGAAGTAGATCGTCGCTCACCTCGCCGCTGTACACGATGACAACAGGCTTCCGCAGCGGCTGAAACACATGTTACGGTGAATCGGGCTACAGCACAACCGCGCAATCGGCTGGAGAAGGGTTTCCCGTAAGAGCCTGCGACTGGGATAAGGGCCCCCTGGCAGGCTATCCCGAGCTTTGCAAACCTCAGCCGTACACCACTCGATTGCAGTTGATCGGGAGAGCATTGAAATGGTGTCGTACGCGATAGCTGTGTATACAGGACTGAATAAGCAGGTACATGTGATAGTAGATGAGATGAATCACAATCGAACATCGCTATCGGGCATTGACATTCCACCACGGAACGTCAGGGGATCGCGTCCGTTTGCACACCAAAGCCCTGATTGCAGTAGCACGTCATATCTTTGGAGACCGCATTCCCCGCGGGCGTTCCCTTTATAGACAGAGGGAAGACTACGGGATCTACGGTTTCCAGTCGAGATCGGCTGGCTGTACCAGAACGCAGCGACTTCACCTCCGCGTTGTGGAGTCCCTTCAGACTGTACCTGATGTGCAATCGTTAAGTGCAGCATTTGCAGATGCAGGCGACTGCTGTTGGTCGCGTGAGTGCAATGACCAGGCCCCTGAAAGGGTAACCACCAAGTCTCTCAGCTGCTTGGTTCAAGGCCGAGCAAGCTGACACGTTAGCGCTGACCGCAATACGTGAACAAGAGTCTTGATTCAACCGTTCCCATAGAAGACATCGCAGGGAGGCGGGTTCAGAAGACTGGGCAGTCCGGGATACGTTTCTGCACACATTCAGTCAACTGATGGAAGAGGGTCAGTAGATCTCGAGGTTGCAAGTCATAGCTAGCGCATGCATGCACAGCGACAGCTCAGTGAGAGCCTGTTGAACGTTCAAGTGCGCGCACATGGCGTGGTATGCAAAGGTTGGAATCAGATAAAAAATTATCGCCAGGCACGTGTTCAGGCACGGCTCAGTCCATTGCTCTGATTGACGGCAAGCTCCGAGGTCCCGACGTTTCGCCGCGAAATATCCCCAATCGCTAGGGCTCGGATGGCCAATTCTGCGGGGTGCGCTGGTCGTGTGTGTCTTTGCGTCTGACTGTGTCCAATTTTTCCGCGAAATGTGTCCTTGGCTTGCAGCTGTGCGGGCTCGTTGTCGACCCAAACTTCCCCTGGTGCCCGGCGAATCACCGGTTGGCCAGCGTCAGGGTCTGGTTTATCTCAGGGAGTTCGCCGGCCAGCCGTGCACCCAGCGTCCAATCGTGGTCGTGTCACTCACAAGCAAGGCGAGCGAGGTCGAGCAGACATCAAGCACAAGCCCGAGGAATCGGTGCCCCAAGCGCCTTCCAACGCCTCGGCGCATCGGCCCATTTCAGCGACCTGTAGTGGGGCCTCACGTGGCCCATATGCCCGGCGCCATCTAACGGTGACATGACAGGTGACTTAATCTCCTTCTAGTCGTGCTCTCACACTCTGCTTATGCTTGAATTACCATGCCATGAAACGCCCAGCAAGGATTGTCAGGCACGGGGCATCGCCGTGCCGAAGGTCGCCGGCCGTGGAACGCGGAGCCCATTTAGGCCGAAGTACTCGATTGGAGCAGTTTCGATCACGCAACTCTGACACCATCTTTCTGCAAGTTGTACGAACAATTCACGATCCACCCGCCTAGCCGCTGATCTGATCGCGCGATCAACTGATCGTGGGACGCCAAGCGCGTCGCGCAGTCTACTAGGCTGCAATGCCTTTTCCTTTATCTAGCGCTGTGATGAGCATGTAACAGTTTCTCCCACCAACTCCCCGTCTCATTTCCCCCGCCCTACCCTCTCGCTACACCATGGGCAAGGACATCGAAGCTATAGCGGTCGGCTCGGACGATGCCGTCGTGTACGGCGCTGTGCACTCCAGCAACGAGGACCTCAAGATTCCATCCAGCGGCTCATCGCAGTTCTCCAAGTACTCCACAGACAATGTCCCGGGTCGCTCCCAAATCGGCATCGTCTCTGCCGTCTTCATCATCTTCAACCGCATGATTGGAACGGGTATCTTTGCCACGCCGTCTACCATTCTGTCGCTCAGCGGCAGTGTAGGCATGTCTCTGTGAGTGGCACCGGAAGTGGCGGCGGAGCCGGTGGCATCAGCGTGGACGGCCGCCACGGCTTGACCGAGTGCAGAGATGGCGCTTGCTGACACCCTAAGCATTATGTGGGTCATTGGATCGATTATTGCTGGCGCCGGAATGTGGGTGTACATCGTGTGGGGTCTTGCCATCCCGAAGAACGGAGGCGAGAAGAACTACCTCGAGTACCTCCTTCGCCGGCCCAAGTTCCTCGTCACTTGTGCGTACGCCTCCAACGCGATCCTTCTCGGCTGGGCGTCGGGCAACTCGATCGTGTTTGGCGAGTACATTCTGCGTGCGGCGAACCAGGAGAACCCCGGGCAGTGGACCCGCCGTCTGATCGGATTCGCCTGCATTACCTTTGCGTTCCTCCTGCACGGCACGCGTGTCAAGTGGGGCCTCTGGCTGCAGAACGTGCTCGGCACCATCAAAATCTTCATCGTTCTCATCATCATCGTCGCCGGGTTCGTCGCCCTCGGCGGCCATCTCAAGGTCCCCAAGCCCAACAACTTCGACCACGCCTTCGCCGGCACCACGGCCAGCGCATCGTCCTTCTGTCTCTCGCTTTATAACGTGATCTGGTCGTACGTGGGCTTCTCCAACGTAAACTACGTGAGTTCTCCACGGAACACTGGAGGTGTAAAAGATGTCCACCGAACACTGAGGTGTAGAAGATGGTTTTTTGGACAGTGTGGCGCGCTTTCGAATTTTCAGCATTTGGCTGCCCTCGCGCACTCAGGCCCCCACTTTACTCCCAAACCTCAATCCAGACCGTGAACGACGCTAACAATCCAGGCACTCTCCGAGGTCAAGAACCCGAAGCGTACTCTTAAGATCGCCGGCCCCCTCGCTATCGGTCTTATCACTGTCCTTTACATTCTTTCCAACATCGCCTACTTCGCCGCTGCGACCAAGGAGGAGATCACCGGCAGCGGTACGCTCGTTGCGGCTCTCCTCTTCCGCAACGTCATGGGCGCCCACGCCGAGCGCGCCCTGTCGGTTTTCGTCGCTCTTTCCGCCCTCGGCAACGTGCTCTCCGTCATCTTCTCGCAGGGCCGTGTCAACCAGGAGCTCGGCCGCGAGGGTATTCTCCCCTTCTCCAAGTTCTGGGCCAGCAACCGTCCCTTCAACGCTCCTCTTGCCGGCCTCGGTCTCCACTGGGCCATCTGTCTGATCACAATCTTCGCACTGCCCCCTGGCGACGCTTACAACTTTGTCATCAACACGATCTCGTATCCGCTCTCCGTCATTAACGCGATCATCTCCTTCGGCATCGTCTTCCTCCAGTTCAAGCCTTACTCGGACTGGCGCAAGCCTGGATGGCCCGCCGTCGCCGCTGCTGCCTTCTTCGGCGCCGCCAACGTCTTCCTCTTCATCGTTCCCCTCACCCCTCCCCCTCCTGGAGGCGAGCCGTACAAGTCGATGCCGTACTGGACGCACGCTGTTGCGGGCTGGGCCATCTTCGGCGTGGGTTTCATCTACTGGATCTTCTGGGCCAAGATCTTCCCGAGGGTCGGAGGATACGAGCTCGAGCGTGTCAAGGAGATCGGCTCGGACGGTCTGGAGCGTCACGTCTTCAAGCGCGTCAAGCGGGACCGCCTGTAAAGGTCACAAACGCTCTTTTATCAACATTCCAACATGTTTCTGTAATTCTAGGGGTTCCTTCTCACGAAAATAGAAAGAGGGGCAGATCCAACTCTCCCCGTGTAATTCATAGCGACGACACCATCTAATCAAACTGTACATATCATGCATCATGGTCATATCGGGCTGTCTATCAGCAAGTCGGCATTCAGCCGTTATTTCGTCGGATATGACGTTGGGTAGGTGTGTCCGAGATAAGTGCCGGTTCAAGGGCCAGAAACCGCGCTCGGTACAGCTCAGATAGCCTCAACCGTCACCCGCTCCGGGTCCAGCTCTATCAACCCAGCCAACAACGCTCTCACATCAAACTCAGGCATTTGGCCCCTGAAGCGTACCTCGATCTCGAAATCCTCACGTCTCCACCCCGGGTTCAATTTCTGCTGCAGCGGCGCCAGCACCATGCCAAGGTGGAAGATCTCGGACACGGTGATGGTGAGCCGGCGCACGTCACGGTTCAGAGCACACTTGGCCAGGGCGCAGCGGAAGTGGTGCGAGGAGTCCGAAGTGGGGCGGAGTGATAGGTCGATGTGCACTTGGCGCGCGGCGTGTGCGAATGTGTGCCGTGGGTCGGGGTCGCGGAGATCACCGGGTAATGTTGGCGGCTGCGGGACATCCATCGGTGTGAAAGGGTCATCGAATCCCCCGTCGACGTCGTTACAGCGACACTGGTGACTGCCTAAGATAGTGAGCTCTGCCAGCTCGGGCAGCCGGTACGTCGCAACAGCGTCCTGCTCATGGTTCAGGACGACTCTGCTATCGGGGTGAATGTTCGAGAGAGCTTCACTATCGTCCGGAGTCGCCACAGCGCTGTCAAGGAGGATCAGCCGGGCTGTGTTGATTGCGCGATGTTGTTTCGCTCGTCCGCTGCGGCTGTTCCCGCTGTGGGGGTGGAAGAAGGGGAGCCGGCGACATCCTACTTCACCTTCGGGATAGGACAGCGTCGGCCCGCACAGGAGATTGTCTGTGCAATCCCGCAGAGCGCGGCATGTCAGCCGAAAGGCTAGCTTCGTCTCGTAGTCGGCATGGAAGAGGATATCCTCCACGACGTGTGGGTAGCTGGCGTAGACTATCGTGGGCATGCTGCTCGCTGATGTGGAGACTGAACTCGAATTACGGGCCGCGTCTCAGTCGTGCCGATGCTGTCGGCCCCGCTTGCCGCGATGGATGGACTGTAGATATGGAGTGGACAACGCCGAGATCAACAAATGCGGAGGTCGGTGACTTGGATGACGTGACGGATTTGACCGAAGACGTCATTGCGGATCCAAACTTATCTTTCATCAGCACCTGATGGCTGACTTCACAGCGTCGCTAGTCTGCCGTTTTGTCGGCTGCTCGTTCCGTCAACTCTTCCAATGTGTCTCTACGTAGCAGGTGTAGCCTTGACAACTGCGGCGGGGTCTTCAGTGATGAAAGGCAGCCTCTGTGCGCATCCAGCTGCGCATCATGACATATGGCATCTGATTGCAAAGTCCGTCTACAGAATCTCCCACCGCTGAGGACCGAGTGCGATGAGACGGTTGAACAGCTGCTCGCGCCGCTCAAGCGACTGGAAGTGATACTCGTCAGCATCGCCCGCGAAGCGAATCGTGAGGCCGAGGGAGTCGACCTCTGCGCCTCCGAGAAGACCAAGCGCAAGTCGCGGGACGGCGACGTTATCCTGACGTCAGCTGGCTATCACGACAAGTAGCTCACCTTGCGAAGCTCGACGATGCTCGCAATGTCCCATACACCCTCGGCGGTCTGGTCGCGCACGCGCACCCAGCCGAGACGGCCCGAGTCCTCGTCGATGATGAGGTGGCCACCCTTGCCGTCAAGCTTGCAGCCATAGGCGTCCGGCGACTCCTTGCCGAACTTCTTGTCGATAAGCTTACCCTCGAACTTGTTGTTGATCTGGTGTCAGCTATCATCGCGGAGAGTGAGCGTACAGGCTTCGTGTTACCATCGACGGCGACATCGCCGTGCACACCGGCAAGCTTCTTGCTGATCTTCTTGAACGCATTGCTGAGGTGATGCTTGGTCTTCGCTTTCGTCTTCTCGGCGGGGTTGTTGGACTCTTCAATCTCGCGCTTCTCGGCAGCCACAGCGGCACCAGAGGGGTTCGCGGGCGAGGTGTCCTTCAACGTCTTCTTGGCGCTCTTGATGTCCTTGTTCTCAGGAGGAGGAGGGAGGGGCGTCTTCAGATCCTCAGATACGCGAAGGAGGTGCAGGGTGAGCTGAGCATTCGTAGGGCAACCAGACAGGATCGAGCTGCTTGTTAGTTTCGCCACAGAAAAGAAAACCTACTTTCGAAGATCGAGAAGCTCGCGCCAGTTGGGCACCATGCGCATGAAGAAACGGATGACTCGGACGTTGATGGGCCAGCCCCAGAACATCTCACCGATCAGGAAGGTGAGGACTCGGCCGAACAGCGCGGCGGGAATGAAGGTCAGGATGAGGCCGGGCAGAAGAACGAAGACGGCAGCGAGCTTGAAACGAGAGTGGCTGTCGGGGTAGGGGATGGGGGGTGAAACCGAGCTGAGAGTTAGCTATGGCAACTTTTCGGCAGCTCACTTATAGAGGATCTCGACCGTGTCGGCAATGGCACCGAGGGACGTCTCAGTAGCCTTTGCCATCTTCTCAATGGTCTGGTCGCGCTTCTTCTTGACGGCCTGGTTCGTCGCTTCCTTCTCCTTGCCGGGCTTGGCTACGACGTTCTCGCCGCCGACCTTGACGGCTGTGCCTTGCGCCTCGGCGACCGGATCGTCGCCATCCACATGCTTGCCGATGACGTTACCCTTCTCATCGTGAACCAAGTTGTCCTCCTCAGGAGGCTGCTTCTTCGGGTCGCCCTTCTTGTGCGTGCCGCCAACAATGATGGCCTGAGCATACGCCTCGATCATGGCTCGGGTCTCGAAGCCCTGCTCTTCGGCTTGTTCACCCTTCGTGCGCTGCTGGTTCGGGTTCTTGGGAGCGATGAGGCTTTCGTCGCCCTTCTGATTCGTCGGATCGGTCGCGGACTTGGGCTTGCCAGGGGGAGGTTTAATCTGTCGATGTCAGCGACTCGATAAAGGCACGACTTACTTCGTCCCCACTCACCTCCGGGAACAAGAGGCGCCTCGTGTCCGGGAAACACATCAGGACGGTGAAGAAGACGCACACAGCGAGCAGTGTGTATCCGAAGAACCAGGAGACAAAGTACGCCACACAGTACTTTGCCGTGCGGCTGGTTTCGTTGTGCCAATCACGCAGACGCTGCAGCTCGCGGAGACCGCGCTTCGTGCTCGGACCGACGGTCGCGGCGACGCGCTCAAAGTTGGACTTGAGCGTGTCGGAGCGGTACGGGATGTTCGGGAGGTTGGACATGCGCAGGTCAGGCTCCTTCGGAGGAAGGTGCTCGGCGGGCGACAGGACGCGATTGATTTGCTATTCATCAGCTAGCTGAAATCCGGGCGGACGACGAGCACATACCGTGTTGAACCTTCTCACGAGGGCATACAGGTCACGGTTGTCGATGCCCTCGACCAGCTGTACCCCGTCATCACCCGGAGGGTTGGTCGTGTTCACAACCCCTGCGTCGATGGGTGAATGCGGCGGCCCAGGTGCACGGTACATCGCAGATGTTGTCGTGTCGCGAGGGTCGTTCTCCTCATAGGAGACGACGGGGACGTCCTCCTGCTTTCCTTTGGGCGGCTGAGCCGCAAGAGCAGCAGCCGCAGGGTTCTGGTGGATCGGCGCATCCTCCGCTGCCTGCGCGGGGATGGGTGCAGGCTCATGGTGGTCCTCGTGGATGACGATGGGATCCTTGTCTGTGGTCTGGTTAATGACGGGGTCCGTCGCGGGGACGGCTGTCGCGGGGACGGCACCCGGGGACGAGAAGGCTCCCGGAGGTGGGTGGGCAGCCATGTCGGAAGTGGATGGAGTGATGTGAAGATGAGTTATCCTCGTCTCTGAGGCGATGACGGCTGTGGACGCATGATCTGAAGTCGCACGCGAGCCGGGACGATGCTCTGATCCCTGGAGGAATGCTGGTGCTGGTGCATGCTGCCTTGATGGTGGAGACGTGAGCATGAAAACACGGTGCTGAAACGAGACATCGGGTGACGTCAGTGACCCAGGACGCGTTTGACCAACGGGAGGCGCGACACCCTTACGTCATCAGCCCTCGACCGTAGGTCTGGCCAAGCCTTTGCCTCCACCCATTTCTCGCCTGCTCCTCATAGAGAGAGAGCATCCATTGCATAAGACTACGAACGACCATTACTACCTACAAGACTAGAAACGCAGCGTCCTCGCCGCTACTACTTTTCTGGCGCACCTTCACTTCTCGTGGCCTTCGGCGCTGGGCGCTTCCGGGACGGGGCTGGGCGGCTTTCCCGACGCATCGAGCGGATCGATCTGCGGCGGCTCCTCGGGGAGGTTGAGGCCCTCCTCGCTCACCTTGAACATGGACTGGAGCATGAGCGGGGGCTTGTACGTGCTCCCCTTGCGCTGGGCAGGTGCGTGCTGTTCCTCGTCCTCTGTGTTGTCGCTCAGTTTTCGGTCGGGGTAGAAGCCGGGGGTGCCGTCCTTGTCCCCGCTCATTGCACGCTGCATCTCGGCGAGCACGAGGGGCGGCTTGGCCGTGCTCCGGCTGCGGCGGACAGTGCTCGGCGTGTCGCTCGTGCGCCGGTCGCTCATGTCCGAGGCGCGGCTGCTGTGCCGCCGCTTCTCGCTCGGCATCGACGATGTCGTGAGCGTGCTGCTCTGACGACGCTGGGACGCCGCCGTCGGCGTGCTCGACTTGCGCCGCTTCTCGTCGCTGAGGGCCTGGCTATGGCTGCCGTCGCTGGATAGCCGACCGCTGCTCGGCGGTGCTCCCGCGGCAGCAGCCTGGAGGTAGTCGTCGCCGTCGTACTCCTCCGGGGAGCCCTGAAGATCATGCTCAGGTTCGTCGAAGACGGGCACCTGCTCGGACCATCTTGGGTCGTAGCTAGGCGGCACACGCTGCACGCGCTCGCGCTCGTACCCGGGTGCAGGACCCGCGTCCTCTTCAGCGATGTAGGCAACCGACTCGTCCGATGCGTTCAGTGCGCCGGGTGCCTGACGCTGCTGGGCGTTCGCCGCCGTTGTTCCCTCCTTCGGCTCGGCGTTGACGCCCGGCATGATGAAGGGTGAGATTTCGGCCTTGTCCGCTGCTCCGCGTGCGTCGTGGATGTCGTCAATGTCGTCGAGAACGGCGCGGTCGCGCCCACTCCGGTGCCGGAACAGGAACCAGGCGAGCAGAATCAGGAGCGCACCGCCGACAACCGAGCCGACGACGATGCCTGCGATCGCGCCGCCGCTGAGCCCGCCGTCGCCCTTGCCACCCGAGTTTGAGTTGTCGGATGCTCCGCCACCTGAACCTCCCGGGTTCGGGTCGGTCGTGTTCGTGACGTAGAACGCGGCGTGCGAGAAATCAAACTTCTTGCCCGCGTCCATGTTAACCATGCGGACGGTGTACTGGCGCTTCGGGTCCAGGATCGTGCTGAAGAGCACTGCGTCCTTGGTCGCCCACGGCGAGTAGCCGTCGTACCGGAGCGCACCGCGGACCTGGCCGGGCGGCGTCGGCGTGACCTCGATCGTGTACGGCCCGTGGTCGTAGTCCATCGAGCCATAGAGCGTGACCATGCTGGCTCCCGTCGGGGTCGAGAAATAGGCGTACCCGTTGATGGAGTCCGTCCAGATGCGCGGGTACGGCGTGCTCGTCACGTTCTCGAGGCCGAGGGTCTGCTTCGTCTCCCACACGCGGCCGCCCGCCTCGCTGCTCTGGATGTCGTTGTTGTTCGCCTCGACGCCGTTCGCATTCGTGACCGTGCCAACAACCTCGGCCGTCTCCGTCTCGTTCGCGACGTCGTTGTATGTCGGCAACTCTGTCGTGTAGATGATGTTGGAGAGCTCCATTGTGCCGTTCACGATTGCGAGCGATGCCGTGTGCAGCCCGAAGGGCATCGCTGGAGAACTGGCGACGATGCCGCCCTCTTCGCCGAGATCATTTGTAAGGCCGAAGTGGGAGTCCTTGTCGATGAACAGCGTCAGATTGCAGCCGGGGCACTTGCCGTTGTAGTGGATCTGCGTTCCGACAAAGGAGAAGTAAACGTACGCCGTCTTGTTGTATGTCACATGCGCGGAGCGACCGGTGCCCAGGGCTCCCTCCTGCCACTTGGGCCATGGGCTTTCCGACCATGTGATGTTCCACGCGAGGTCCGGAGTTCCGGAGGTGACATTGGGGCGGTAGGTGAGGAGAGGCGAGTTGTTGGGGATGGAGACATTGAGCGGCTGCGTCGGTGTGGAGAGCGTCACATCCTGTTGCTCGGGAACGTTGATTGTCTGCGCGGCCACGGTGGTCATCCAGCCCTGGCCGACCAAGAGGAGGAGGCGTGCGGCCAAGCCGCTACTGAGCATCGTCGTCGGTGATCCAGACGTCGTCGGCGCTGGTGTCGTGTGGGCAATAATGAGATGCAAAGAAGAAGCAGAACGAGTTCCACAGAAGAGCGTTCATTGCTCAATGGCCGGGACAGAATGAATTCGACGGCGAGCTGTCAGCTGCCTTGTCCAGTACCCCCGTTGCGGTCAACGAACGATGGCCACAGACTGACAGTTAAGGGGCTGAAGGCTAATGCAGGCGTGGTCCCCCAGGCTTTGCTTCCAGCTGAATCTTCCATCTAGAAATAGAGCCTGGGAGACCATCAGCAACTGTCATGCGTGAGGAGGAACATTGCTCTGGACGAGATGTGACTGCCTCCAGCTGGGCAGACGTCCAATGCCTCGGTCGATCTGCGTCCCCCATAGCGGGCACAGCGCTATCACCGCCCGGCCCGGGCGGGCCTGTGCGCATTCTCTCTCATGCGCCAGGAACCGGGAGCACATTAGAGACGCGCGCAGTGAGCGTTCAGTGGTGGATAAGCGTGCAAAGCGGCGGAGAAGGTTTGTTTCACGACCTGCCTCGAATGGTGCCTGTTGACCTGCCTGGGTGTGCCTGGCACGTATCCGCGACATCAGCCAAGGCATGCGGGCTAAAGATCTTGGGAGCTGAACTCAGGGCAGCGATCCAGTTGTCCAACTATCGCTAGAGCCTAATTCCGAGTAACGGCTCCGGACGCTTTACGCTCTCTCGCTCGTCGTGCCCTGCCTGCTGCATCAGATGACTTGACGACGGCAACGACGCCTGTTCAGCGCTACTCTCATCGCTCCCATCATGCCCACCCCACCGCCCTTGCCCAGCACGTGCATACTTTCCGCCAAGCAAGGGCCATCAGATCCATGTCTTGGAAGCATTTAACGTATAAGCGCCTGCGCTTGCACTTCAGCTCTGTTTCTTCGGACCCGTTTCCGAGCGAGGCTGGCCCCCATCTCTTCGTTGGTGCCCCCGCGCAATCGGGCGTCGGCAGGAAAACCTTAACTGTGGGGCAACAGGGTGTGCTGCTGTCCACTCTCTGCGGCTCGATGGCCGTCATGGCGGTCACCCACCGACCATACGGCAGGACGGAGTGACAGTGCTGTAATCTGGCACTAGTGCAGCCTCGGGAGCGCAGAGAGGGGCCGGATAAGCGAGGATCCGCCGCGTTCTGCAATTGGGACAACGAAACACGCCAGGGAGCTGATAACGGCAAGCCTTGCCAGGTTCAGGGTCGTGACCTGAGGATTGAGGGGCAAGACGCTGGGCACCACGCTGTGTGCGAGCCTGTCGGCGTCTGCTATCTATCACATAGCGCGAGGGGCACGAGGAGCAGCATCGAGCCGTCCATGCCTGCTCCTGACAGCGTGGCTTCGCTGCCAGTACGCGGAACAGCGGACAATTGTTGGACACTGAGCCCCGCACCCCGATACCTGAACCGGCACACCTGCCGTGAAAGCCGGCCCTGGCGCCGATGTGGTCTCTCTCCTCAGTCATCTGACAAGTTCTCACATTTGGGCCGCTCAAATGTCTGCAGGTCAACCTGTTAGTGGGTGATTGGCGGCAGCCTGGCGTTGGTCTCACCGCGCGTCGGTGCCGCAAGGTCACTCCGCCTCGGTCATGCCGATATTGGAGAGCGAGACGGCGATCCCTAGTATGGAACGCGAGAATGTCGAGGAGGTATGAGGCAGCACTACGCCGTGCATGGCATGAGTGGTGGCTTTCAGCATGTACGTAACGAGTGCCTGGACAGGGATCGCTACCTGTGTCAGTTCTCAGCCTCCGCAAACACTCTATCTTAGAGCTCCTGCGCACACGTTCTTCTCCGGTACGGACGACGGGATGGCAGATCATGGCAGATGCGTAGTCCAGCACGCCAGGCGTTGTCCTGGAGCTACTGGGCGTGCTTTGCTTATCCTACGCTGACTACGCAGTTCGATCGTTGGCATGGTCAGTCACCAAGATCCAGCCCCACTTGACGATCACTCAGGTCTCGGGTCTCGGGCCGCAGCTCCGAAGCGGCATTCATTTCATGACCGTTTAACCCGAGCGTCTGCAACAACGACAACAGCAGCGTCCACGCTGTTCATGCATAACACTCTATCACCACACGTGCTGGAACGAACAGTCTTGCGGGAGGACAGGTGCGGTGGACACCCAGAAGAGGCAGGTCAGCACTAGTGGTCAGTGGAGCCAGAAATGAGGGCAACGTGCCGAATCGGCGGAGCGGTCCGGTTGCCGCAATTCGAGGGCCGCGACCCTCCCGCCCTCCAGCTTCGCGGTCTGAATCTGAATCTGCGGTGCATCAGACGCAACTCCGCATGCAGGCATCGCGACGATTCAGAGCGCCGAGCTGCTTCACACTGCTTATGCTTGGTTTGCTTTGGTTAATTTGGACCGAATCGACCGCTGCCGCCGCGGTGCCGAAGTTGCGCAGCCGAGCGGCGATCAAACGGTGCCTTCCGGCTCCGATTGAACTCGCGGTACTGCGCATCTGTCCACGGCGTTTGGCTTCAAGCACCCAGCTTCCCAGGTCCACGAGGTCCAGGTGATCCACTTAAGCTCTGCTTCACCAATTGCCAAGCAGGTAGGCCAAAGGTTGCGGAGCGATTACGGTGAACCGGATGCAAAGAGTCAGCCGTCGACCACCGTGCACTGCCCTCTCCTGTCTGTTAGGAACGTCTCATTCTTCACTTCGAAGGCGATCGTTGCATCAGTACTCTCCCACGCTCTCTGACTCCAATGGTGACCTCTTCCGCACACGCCTGCGGAGCGGAACCGTCAACCAGATGACCAACGTTTCGCTCCCAGCCCAACCCGAAGCTTCCTCCCGCTCAAGCCTTGGTACATTCTCATGAAGTGACAATGCATAACAATTGGAGAGATAAGTGGCGATGTCGCAGACTATATAAGCGCATGAGGAACCAGAACCTCGCTCGCCTGCTTGGTCTGCATTTGCTATTGGAGTCGGCGCTCGAGAGCCTGCCTTGTAAAACGGCAGGCTCCGTGAGCGCACAACTCGCTAACTCATCTACTCAATCTACCAATGAACCCGATCAGATTCCAAGAAGGAAAATGGGGCCCAACCAACAATGGTGCGACGTGTTGAGCGACCACAGCGTGTGTGCAGGCTTACGACCAAAATGAGCCAAAGGAGAACCAACGTTCACCAGCCAGAAAACCCGTCTTCCGTGCAGGAAAGCCAGAACCAGTATGCCAAAGAGCCAACATGTGCCAGAAGTGCCCATAGTGCCAACAGTGTCCAAAGCCAACAAAAACAGCCCCAAAAACAGCCAACAAAACGACATGTGTCGTGAAGAGCCCCCAGATTGCACCACCGAACGACAAGAGCCGAATGGAAACCCGAAGCCAAACCAAGTCAGAAACTCCGAAATCCTTTTTTATTAAGACAGTCAGTCTAGGTTTGGGTCTGCAAGGACAGCCACAGGCTCCACAGCGACGCTGTCGACGGCTGGACGGTGCTAGTCGGTCTTAAAACAGGTGAACTCGGGTATCGGGTTAGAGACTGGCAGGTGGTGTGGACGAGTATGTTGCCGGAACGTGGCCGAGTTGGCGCGTGTCGACAGTGGAGCGAAGGTGAGTAAAGGTCGGGAACCGGGTGCGTCGCGAGTCTGGGAGGGTAAGCGAACAGAACACTGGATCTTGCGAGCAACGGGATGCCTGCCGATGAGTGCATCAGCGAGAGTGTCTTAAGTAGTTGGGGGAATCAGGTAGCGAAAGAGCAAACAAGCGAGGGGTTGGCACGTTACCAAGACATTAGAAGCGGGTCACCCAAGGAACGGAGGCTCGCAAGCAAGGTAGGAGGTGTATCCGAGTCGGCTGTGGGATTTCTACGCGGCCGGTACGCCACGATCGGTCTCGATCGAGATGTAAGGCACGGACACGAGGCTGATAAGGCTGACAGCAGGACTCGAAGACATAGGCTTCTTGTGGGCGTTCTGGGGCAACGGCGAGGGGGTGCGGTGATATCGGCCGACGACGAACGGCAGGATAGGCGTCAGGATTGAGAGTTGAGCCGTTGAGTCAGCCGTGTCCAGGTCCTCCGTCGGCCCAGAATGTTTGGCAAGACGCACAGGGGTACACACTCACGCAACACGAGGACACGCACCCAACACGAGGATCCTCCACTCTTCAGCCACAGCGTTCTTTCCCCCCTGCGCACGGGCCGAATGCATTGACCGTTGAGCGGTTAACCCAGGTGACACCGGGAGACAGACCACAGAGATAGCCGGGTAACTGCAGGGACAGAAAGGGGCGAGAAAGAACAAAGAAATACTGGTTAAGGGTGTTGAGCACTGACGCAGGGGTGGAGCTTTGACATGTGTGTGGGCCCCTGCGGCTTTGACCTGACTCAGCACGGGCGCCAACGGCGGTTCGCTGGTCGGCAGTGGGAGGAATAAGCAGAGCGGTAGCTTTGGCTGGTCTCTGCACAGGTGTTGTCTAACTCATTGGCCTGAGTAGGCGAGCAGTCTCAGCAAGCGCACGACCCAGGCAGCAACTGCTTGCACACGCTCTCTGATAGCGATAGTTGGTAACCCCACGTGGTTATCTGGCCTTTGGTCCCGCTGGCAGCCGTGGGAGAGCTTGATCGGGGTGTCGCCTTGACCTGTTAAGCAGCATCATCACACACTCTCCATCGTCCACATCAATCGACCGGCGCCGGTCGCGAGGGAAGTCTTTCCGCCTGGGTGACGAAACTGGGTGCGGAGTGGCTTCTTCTGATTCATACGCACTCCCAGCATCTCCCTGATAGCCGCCATGGACCGGCCTTTCGATTATGAGGGCTACAAGCGCGACACCGCCCACGTTGTGCGTTGGGTGCTCACCACTTTCAACAAGATTCTCCGCGCCAACCCACTTCATGAAGGCATTGATGTCCCCGAGATCGCTCCTGACGAGGAGGCTCCGACATTCAACCGTACTGGCAAGGCGCAGTGCCGCGAGCTGCTCTCGAAGGTCCGTTATATCAGCCGCTACGTCAGCTGCGCCCCAAGTGAGGTCCTGCGCAGGCTGCGTTCCGCCATCCGACTCCGCGAGGAAGCTTATGCGCACTTTTAGAAGCTCAGCAAAACCAACCCCCGGTATGCTAACGGCAACAAGGGGCACAAGGACTTCATCAACGTCCTTCAACAGATGTTTGAGCAGCTCGGAGGCTCAGGTTGGCTGATACGGGATAAGGCTGGCGAGCCCGACTTGACCGAGCAAGAGGCTACCGTGCGACTGATCAACTACTTCGAGAAGCTGCACGTCGAGCATGGCGAGGATGTGAAGGAGCCTTCCGCCGACGAGGAGGAGCCGTCGACGCGCCATAGGGCGCAACCACAACGGAAGAAGAAGGGCAAGGCGGGCAAAAAGCGGCCGAAGACGAAGAAGGTTCCGCCACCCGAGCAGGAGGAGGATCCCGTCGAGATGCTGGAGAACCTGCCGCTCGAGCGCTTCGAGATCCTTCCCGACGAGGACAGCGCGGTCACCGACCACCTCATCGCCGTTCACGGCCTCATCCAGGAGTGCGTGGATGTGCTCCGCTACATTCAGGATGTCTGGCACGACGTTGCATACGACGAGCTGAACAGCGCTGTTGCCGGCGCGCTCACGAACACCGCAATCGCCGCAGTCACTAGGCGCGGCCAGAAGCTGCAGGAGGAGTTTGGTGGGACGGCATCATACGACGCGGTCAATGAGATTGTCGTTGGAGGCGACATTGCCAAGATCCAGGGCCAGTTCGGCATGCCATACACCTCTGGTGGAGAGCGGAAGTGGGCCGAGATCGATGTCACGGAGCAGTTCATGGTCCCCGCCTACCGTGATCTTGTTGAGTTCGTCACCGACTACCGTCTGAACCGGAACGGTAAGCCGACGAAGCGTATGCAGAAGGAGCTCGCTCGCTGGGACCCGGACCTCGACCTCGTCAAGGCAAGTACGGAGGAGCGTCTGTCATGGCGTCGGCTCTACACTCTCAACTGGCTCTACGAGCTCGTTCGCGTGTACACCTATCCCGTTGCTCAAGGCATATCCGCAGGCAAAGAGTACAAGTGGGAGGACGTTGACTGGTCACCCTCCGGACCTTGGGCGAGTCACCGTCGATTGTTCGGACTCGACAACTTTGCGTCATTCCTCACAACTCTCGCGACACAGAAGCCGGGTGCTCCGATCGCAGACAAGATCCGACACCACCACGTCTTGCAGCTGCAATTGCTTGTCGACTCGTTTGCGGTGACGCGCGGGTGGGCGATTCATGTCATTCGCGGGCACGTCCTTGAGACACCGACTGCTGGGTTCGAGTGCCAGCGCGACATCGACATGTTCCTCGACCGCGACGAGCAGCGCGGTCAGCAGGGCTTCCTCCCCGCCATGGAGCAGTCTATGGAGGGCCTCAAGATGGCATTAGGGAGCCTGCGGTCGGAGGACAACGCGTTTCTGGAGGTCTTGGAGGCAGTGGACGATCAGCTCACCGAATGGCTCGGCGCTGCAGATCCCCTCATCGATATTCCAGGGCTGGCCCCGCCGCGCTTCCCCGAGTTCGACGGACTGTGGCGTTATTCGCCTCTGTTGTGCGGGGTGGGACTCGAAGAGGCGCTCGAGATGGTGGCTCTCCTCGGCCGCTTGCTCTGTGACGCCTTGTCAGAGCTCATCCCACTCATGCACGTGTACAACATGCTCACCCAGAGGGGATACCTGGAGCCGATCGATTTGTTCGAGATTGTGCTCGAGATGTACCCCGATGCCTTCTTTGAGGGCGGCGAGGTGCCCGAGTCCGATTTCATGGCGGCACTGTTCAGGCGTCTCGGCGCCCAATCGATTCACGATGTCCCTCGCAAGCTAGGCAGGCGAGACTACGGGCTCCCCGAAGATCCCTTGGAGGGCAGGACGGTCTGGGAGCTACTGCAATCTCACAAGTATGAGTTCTTCACAACTGAACCGCTGCTTATCGCTGCTCGCCGTGCCGGCTGGGATCCTGCTAAGGTCTCGCCGGAGACGTTCGATTTCCCAAGCTTGATGGGATGGGACGTGCTCCGCCGAACCCCGCGCGTGCGTGGTGCGACTGGGGAGCGCTTCGCCGACACGCCGTTTGTGAAAAGGGTGCGAGCGCGAAGCGCACGCGCAAGTGGGCTGAACGAAGCGGACCTTGTAGCCAGGGTGAGGCGCTACAACACGCCCTACCGCGCGCGCGACGCGGGTCACATCGGCCTGCGCGCCATCACCGACGGCAGTGCTGCCCCTCCCCCTCCACGCAGCGAGTCACCAACCGAAGTCCCGCCCAGCCAACTACCCGCCTGGTCGCTGCGGGAGTATCTCGACCAACTGCGTGTCGACTTCAACAACGACGTGTGTGGCAAACCCTATCCCCGCAGTGGGATTAATTACTTCAGCGTCGCCAGCCTCGTGCTCCAAGCCACAGAGAGGATTGTGTCCGCGCTCACGCACATGCACCACAACATCTGCATCGCTGCTACTCGCTCTGGCCGCTGTGAACCCGATCCTATAACGGTGCTCGCCCTCCTGCTCGAGGCGGACGAGGCGGCGCTGGAGGCGGTCGCGATGCAGTTCGAGGACGTTGACTTTGGATACTGGGAGTTCAACTATTGGGACGTCGTCGAGGCGCCAGAGCGCAGGAGTCAGAAGAAGACGAAGAAGAAGTGGGAGGACGGGCTGCCTGCAGAGCCAGAGACATGCGTGCTGATGTGAGATCGAGGGTCTGGGCCGCTGCGGCGTATAGCCGAAAGCGGGGCCAGTCACTCCATCTGTTATTGTTTAAACCCTTCCTACTTGTGACAGCTTTGCATTCGTACGTATCTCGAGTCAGATAGAAGATAGGGGCACTCTCCGATAGCAGCAATGTACAGTATGCAGTGTTAACTTCAAGGCTTATACTATATACGCCGTTCTCCACTCCCATGGACGGATGAGCTCTGCAACATCAGGAATGACCCTGACATCGTCACAGAAAGAATCAATGCGGTATATCAGCTCCAAACAGCCTACGACGACACCTTGTTTCCATTCCTTGAGCTCCGCTGGCGGCTTGGCGTCAATGCCATATCTCAGTCGCTTCGGGATGTTGCGCAGAACGCCCTGACCGGGGTCTGAAAAGACGGAGGAGAGCAGCAAACCCATCTTGCACTCTACCTGAGCTGCGTGGTCGGTGAGTGCCCCGGCTGCTCCACGTTGGGTTGCAGCGATTCAGGAACATGCGTGCTGTTCACATGGCTCGGCGGGTTCTGGATAGCCGTACTCAAAGCTATGCTTTTCAGGCATTTCAGGTATGTCCTTCTCTTTCCATTGCTTGAAGAGTTCTGCAATGTGCAACACGTTTACGTCCGATGCTGAGAGATGGCCTTTGCCTCCCTGTGCCATAGCTCCCTGGACCTCCCAGCATTCGATCACAGACTTGCAACGTTCTTTGAGGTTGAGAAGCCTAGTGGCGGAGTCGTTGGCTTCTTCGCGGCGCACAATCGGCATACCATGCGGGGTGTCACCCCAGAGATCAGAAAATTTAGTCGTTGATGGAACATGAGCTGAAATGACATTGATCAGGGCGTCGACAGCCAACTCCAGATGAGATAGTTGAGAGTAGAAGAGGTGAAAGACGACTAAATGTGTCCCCTGCCTCTTCCGCCACATCTTCCAAACGCTTTCCAACCCGGTGTACGCTCTGGGGTTTGCGGCGGAACAAGCCCACCCGAAAAGTTGGGATCAAAAGAGCCCGTGTCGTGAGGGATGAAGTTTAGAAGCTGCAGGTTTTCCTGGAGCCACATACGCATAGTCCCCCAGACAGAGGTGGCCACGAGGCCCTCTGAGCCAGAACTATGCTTGAACGTGGACCATTTCGTGCGCGTGGTTGTGAGGGTACACCAGTATTCCGCGAAGGGGATTCGTATCCCATAAGTTGTGCCCGTATCTATGATTCTATCGGAGGTGATCTTGATGAATTCGTACTTGATTTCAAACACTTCTCGCGGGAACTGGGTACCAACCCTTTGTTCGAGCCAGAAGGGGTTGACGTCAAGCAGGTCATGTGACCTCAAGAGCCTAGCTTGATTGATTGTCTCGGCGAGAGTGTATGCAGAGCAGCGCAGGCTGTTGGGGGCAGTTGTCATGAGTTGATGCTGTGGAATTTTGCACCATTCTTCGCTGCCAGCTTCAACGGGTTCCGCGATAAGGACAGGGGGGCAAGCTAAGACACAGAGATCAATGAAAAAGCCATCTCCCAATATTAGAATCCTCAGTTCTGGCTCTCCCAAAAGCAGCTTCCAGTAGCTAGTCCCTCGAATTTCGTTTCCACTGGCATCAGTACGTGGCCCTGGGTCGTACATGTACTTGCCGAAATTGAGAGCCTACGCGATCACCGACGACTGATAAATAGGTCCTTTTTGATCCATCTTCTCGCATCAGTGTTGCCTGCGGGATGAGCCTCGTTTTATGAGTCTGGAGCACTGACTTACGCGAGCGGCATCAAGGGAGAGGCACTGCGGCTCGTTCATCAAGCGATAGGTTACTAGCTTTTCCCACAGAGATAACTTGAAATCGGGGAGATCGTCCAGCCAATCGCAGCGCACAGGACGATGCCACCGTTTGTCTTGGATTAGCCGTGACTGCCGTTAGATGACAGAGATGACAGGAAGGGTCTCACTTACCTTGGTAGTTGGAGACAGCATGTTCCAGCACCGGTTGGATACGATGTGGCTCAGAATCGTCACGATGACGGCAGCTCCACTGACAGCGAAGGCAATGATGGTCAGGATCCACTTCTGCTCCTGGTAGGGCTCTTTCTTGTCGGCTACCTGCGCCAGAGTAGATGTTAGCTGCAAGAGCAGAGTGGTTGTGGTGTTGTTGTCCATGATAATGAAAGGAGCTGGTGAATGGTGAGAGTCAAGGTCTGGAAGCCTCGGCGGAATCGTGTGCAGTACCTGTCGGCGAGTGGGAATATGGATGGGCAGGAAGAGAAGTTCTTTGGTGAAATGCGCGGACGTGAAGGCTCGTCGGCGTGGGCTAGACAACCCTCTACAGCGCAATTTACCTCCTTCGAGCATGCTCGCACAGTGTGACTCAAGAGGCGCAGTGTGGTCTCAACTTCTCAGAGATATTCAAACAGAAGGGGGAAGGGACGACGGTTAGGTTGATCGGCGTTGAGTGCTGTTTCCGCCTTCGCAGCCCCTATCCTACCCCTTCGTCCGCTGCAACATTCATGTGGGCCCATGCCTTATGGCGATGCACTGCCATCCATTGATCAAATGATCCTCCTCGAAAGCCAGTGTGAATCGTCAGGTACTTTGGCCGCTGCATGCCTTTCCGAGGAACGTTCGGTATTGGGGTGGTAGAGTATCTGATTGCCCGTCATGCAGGTAATGCGTAGAGCTTTGTGAGATCTGGGCTATAGTCACCTGTGCAGTGCACAGCTGATAGTTCTGACCATCTTAAGGAAACTCGCTGTGTACCTAGAACGCCAGAGATGTGGTCATGCGTCAACGCTGCAGTATCAAGCAACCGTGGTCACCCCGCTTTCGTGTCATCACGGTTGGTGCAGCGAGCAGGAAGATGATCAGGCCTACGAGGAAGTTGTCTCACCATCACTCGACTGGCTCTCTAGTGAGGCCATGTCGCGATTGCATACGGTACCTGTCGAAAACTACCCCCTTATAGACGTGACTGGCTACACGAGCCAGGCCGTTTGCCAATCCCATGGACGGATGGACTCTGCAATCTCAGGGATGATGCGCCCGAATTCGCAGCAGCGGCCGATTCGGTGAAGCATCTCGAAACAGCTGAGAAGGACATGTTCTTTCCATTCTTTCTGCTGCCTGGCAGGTATCTGGGCATCGCAGAGGATAAGTCTCGTCAGGTCGGAGTGTTCGCGGAGTTTTCCACAGAAGATGGGTTCTAAAACGTCGCAGATATCGCATCGGTGTGCAGGACTCGGAAGGTAGTGGTTGATGTCGGCCGAAGTGGCTGCTTCGGCTGCTGGCGCTGTGGAGCCGGGTTCCGATAGCATCGCCAGACAAGCGTGGAGCTGTTTGGAGCCGGGGGAGGACAGTACATCTTTCCAGATCGAGAAAGCTTCCATAACGATTCGGTGATCGGGGGAACCCCTAGAGCGGGAATCGCCAGCATCGTCCACAAGTAGAGTTCCAGACTCCAAGCCCAAAATCCACGCCTGACAGCGTAGCTCTAGTTGCTTGACTCTCCAAGCTGCCTTATCGTCCTTGTTGAAGAGCTCAGGTGTAGATCGCCGACGGATGTAATCGTCATTGAAGCTGCACTTTGGAGTGTGCGCACGAATTGCTGCAACCACCTGGACAACTGCTGATTCAAGGACCGCGAGCTGTGACTGCATGAGATGGAACGCAACACGCTGGGCCCTGGGCGACTGCAGCTCCTCAATCCAAATCATCCTTATCACCCCGACTCTTCCCAGCCCCCGACCCCATAGCGCTGGGTCCGGGGCGCGATACACCGGTAAGAAGCTGAGTAAGAGCAAGCCGTTCTCTGCCCAGATTCGCATTGTTCCCCAGGCAGAGTGAGCTGCGAGACACTGTGCTCCTGAACCAAGATTGACGGTAGACCACTTCGTAGCGGTACTCTCCAAGGCGTACCAATACTGGGCGAAATTGATACGGATGCCGTACGTATTGCCAGTGTCGATGACGCGATCAGAAGTTATGGCTGCGAACTTGTACTGGACTGCTTCAATTTTTCTCCCTGTTGAAATACCGGCGCCTGGTGCAGTGATCTGATCTACCAACGGCTGAGCCTCGGGTGTGCGGGACCAAGCCATGAAGTTGATAACTTCAGCTAGTGAGTACGCAGAGCATCGCAAGTGTCCGGGAGCGCATTTCAATAGTGTTGGCAATAACAGGTCCCCGCGGGCAATTTGCTGTAGGGTCTTGCCGACGTCGTCTTCGAAGATAGGGATAAGCAACTCAGGCTCGCCGAAAAGCAGTCGCCAATAGCTAATGCCCCGGATCACGTTTCCCCTGTAGTCAGAAGGCAACTTTATCATCAAAGCTCACCGGAATTCGTGAGGCACTGTGCTCTTGATGTGGCCAAGATTAACTGAGTCATTTCCGCCGTTGACGGACAGATTCTGCGCGGTCAGCAGGATGCTTGAGCTAAGGTAGAGTTGGCAGTGACACGTACCGCTTCGGTCGATGAGCGCAGCGGTTTTGGCAGCCATTGCTTCACCAGGGTGTAGAAGTCCTTAAGAGGGCGTCGAGCTTGAGCCAGCGTTTGTTCTGTAATTCGCTCCAAGTTCTCAAATCGATTCGAGTGTCTCGGAACGTTTTTCACGGTTGTCCCCAACAACGCCTGATCGAGGTGTGGTTTACCAGACCAAGTCCTGTCTTGGATAAGTCGTGACTGCTGTTAGCGCGGTCGCTGCCCGGAAGATAACCTACCTTGGTGGTGGGTGACAGCATATTCCAGCATCTATTGTTGACAATATGACTTAAAATGGTGATAAGCACGGCCGCCCCACTGACTGCGAAGGCAATGATGGTGAGGATCCATTTCTGTTCCTGGTACGGCTCCTTCTTGCCGGCAACGTCCACTAGAGCGGATGTGAGCTGCCGAAGAAGCGCTTCCGTGAGGTTGCGCTCCATGTTGTTTGATCGACCTTCCCTGGGGGGTATGGAACGGCGGTCCAAGGTTCTCGGGGGTTGCTGAGGAATGCGACACTGCTGAAAGTTGCTGGGCGCGTTTGAGAAGAACAGAACGATAGATTACTATGAAGGAAGGAGGCCAACCTTCGCAGGGAAGTCACCGACTAGCACAACGCGGTAACTGCTCAGGAGCATGTCACACCGAGTGGCTTTCTCCTCGCAGCTAGCTCGTTGAGACGGGGCACGCCCAGGTGACCCGACGGAAAGCGACGACGCGGGGTCTCGAACGCGTGCTCTGCGCACGGGCACCCGGCCAAACCAATCGTTCACGATGAAAGCAGCAGGGAGGCGCTCATCAGTCGTGCGGCGCATAACCCTCTCTATTGTCTCGCAAACGGTCAACGGAGCCTGTTAGACTCCAGTCCGCTCGTCAAAGAGAATTCGAGGTGAGTGGCTCGACGCAAGTGGTCCGAGCGTGTCAGCCCCAGGCACGATGGTGACTGTGCGACCGTGGCCAGAACCTGTCGCAATGACACCTGGTCTTTGCGGTGGCGCCGGCCAGCACGGGCAGAGGCTAAAGCGCAACGCCGTGTCGGACATCGAGATCACGCACCGCGCAATCTGCTACCGCCCCGTCACTTGAACATCATCAGCATTACCGGCATGATGAGAGAACGAGACTGGCGCTGCTGTGTGAAGGGTACTGCGATGCACTGCATGATCCGACCCTGACGGTAACTGCACCTCACAACAGAGTGACAAAGGAAGCGCCAGATCCCTGTTGCATGATACTCCGATACACAATGGCCAACGCCTACCCGCATTCCCAGCTACACTAAATACGCAGAGCGCCAATCCCAAGGGCGGATGGCGGCAGTGATCGCTGGCATAGCTCTCACTCTCTCCGCGTACATGCCTGTGCGGTGGATCATCTCCAAAGCACCCACGATGGCCAGCTCTTTATCCTCAGAGGGTAACTTGGCAATGAGTGCAGTGCTGATGATCTGGGCGATTTTGGGCAAACTGGAGGAGTCGACGCCGAAGATGTCGTTTCCGAAGAGGGCCAAGTAAGCCGCCGCTTTAGCCTCGTGCGGTGGCGTTTCTTGGGTGGCACTGCGGCTCACGTTCCTTGAGGCAACCACTGCGTTGTTTGCCAAGTTCCAATGCAGGGCTCTGGCAGCTGCCTCCCTCTCTTCTTGCTTCTGCTTCTCCAGGCGAGCACGGTGGTGGCAAATGCCTTCTTCCAGATGGTCAAACACGTGACAAAGGGGCAACTCTGCGGGGCTTGAAAGTCCATCACTACTGCTTGGGCTTGATGTCCAGCACTGATACCATCTCCTCAAGGCTGAGGTGATTAGGCCACTGCTCAGGTAGCTGGCACCGCTTGGAGGGGCGCTGAGTGCTTGATCCTTCCATTCACTCACGACGTAGGCGCACGATACGACCAATGCCGCCATGTCAGACTCCTCGGCAACTGCAGGGGTTGGGATCTTGAATTGAGGACTGTTAAGGGCAAGCTGCCGAAGTACACCGCCAAGGATCTCCAACAACAGTCGAAGGGCGCTGACATCGGCAGATCTCATGTGGTAGCAGTGGGCAGGAAAGATGGAGCCGGCCCAGATGTGGGACAACAGAGGACGTGATGGAATCGTCCAGGAGGACTTGCTGCCTTTGTCGTGTGGAGGCATGTTCGGGCAAGGAGTCTGCGGTTCGAAAGTCTGGAACGTCTCTGTGCCAAAACGAGATGCGTCAAACTCCTCAAGTCTGCATGGGGAGACGCTGTCCAGTCGATGTGCCGATGGGAGATGCTTTGCAAGGTTGGTCCTCCACTGGTCGAGTTTGAGTAGCTGATCCCCCTTCCTCACGCCCGCCCAGGTTATCGGAAGTTGATACGGCCATTGGAAGTAATCATAATTCTTCCCGGGAAGGGTGATTAGCGTATCTTCTTGGAGCCGCAGCGGAGCTCGACCACGAAACCGGCGGCGGATGTCCCGTGCTTCATCGTCAACGCGGTTGTTCCAACCGACCTTGTTCCCGTGATAGTTGTATTGCTGAAAATGACCCTCAAGCTCCGCCGGCGACGCTTTGACTGGTTCCAGCAAACGAGGTGAGGTTGGTTCGGTTTTCCGCGGTTCTCCAAAATTGTCCCGATCTTGGATGAGTTTGGCCTACTACTGTCAGCAACGAACACGATTTACACATTACCTTGGTCGCTGCTGAGAACATGTTCCAACATCGATTGGAGACGATGTAGCCAATGAGAGTAACGCAGAGAGAAGTTAGAAGCGCCGCTCCACTGACTGCAAAGGCGGCAATGGTCAGGATCCACTTCTTCTCTGCGTGTAGATCGGGAATAGCGGCTACTTCCGCGAGGGCGTTGGTGAGGGTTCGAAATAGCTCATTGGTTTGGTAGGAGGTCATCTGAGTGAAAGGCAACAGTTCGTAGTGCGGTCGTCGGTCAAGTTGGCTCGCTTGGTGACGGCAGCCTATGTGGTAAAACTTTGTGACTGCGAAAGTGCGCTGAGGGTGCAGGCCGTTGCTACGTCTGCAAGTTGCTGGACAGCAGTGAGCAGACGGCACCAAACGTTCACGCCGATCGCGCTACCGTGTCAGACTGCGACACCCGGCTTGGCCGCGTCCAGCCATGCTCCAAGGCAGTGTTTCGAGTTCAGCAGCCAGCCCTACGTAAACAGACCTGCTACATCTCTGCACCAAGTGTCCACTTTAAAGATGAGAACCTGCATTACCGTCGTAAAGTACTATACTATCCACATCACACGACTCCACGACGCAGCACAGTAATCGTCCCTTAGTGTCCGGTCACTCAAAGAGCATACTGCTCCGCGACGGCGAGCAGGGTCTTAACGCCGGCTCCGGTACCCATCGAGGGCTGGTCTGCGTAAGGGCGGCCTGGATTCCATCCCATGGCGCCAAGGTTGATGTGTACAAGTTTCGGCGGGTTGTAGTTGTCACGTTTGGCGTACCTTCCCCAGGAGGACGACATGCCAGGGAATCTGTACAGGAAAGCCAACGGCGTGCCACTGTTCGTCGTATCGGCGGCGGAGTTTCCATCCGCGTCGGCGGCATCTCGCTTGCCAACTGGCGAGTAGGCGCAGTCCATGTCGGGCTCGCAGCGGAAATTATCGCCGTTGTACTCAGCATGAGTGTTCTGGTCGCCGCTACTGGAGTAGGTCGAGATGTCGACAAGAATGTCGTGCTCTTCCTGCATGGCGAACGCAATTGCATCGACCATGAGCAGACGCGACTCGTTGTCGGTGTCGACGATCTCGACGGTCTTGTTCGCGTAAGTGCGGACGATATCGCCGATACGCATACCTCCTCCTCCCGGCATGTTCTCAGCGAGGGGGAGCCAGGCGGTGATGCGAGTGTTGACCTTGAGCTCGTGCGCAGCAAGGATGGTCTTGAAGACGGCAGCGGCGCCAGCCATGTCACCCCGCTGGTTGCTCATATCGGCGGTGGACTTGGCCGACAGACCGCCCGAGTCAAAGGTGATTCCGCCTCCGACAAGGACGACATGCCTCCAGTTGTTGCGCTTGCCACCGCCGGGGGTGTAGCTAAGCTTGACGAGGCGGGGCTTGTTCTCGCTTCCGGCGCCGACGGCGAGGATGGCATCGAGGCGCTCAGCGGCGAGACGCTTCTCGTCCCAGATCTCGACCGCGATACCGGCGGGAGTGGCAATGTCGCTGGCAAGCTGCGCAAAGGTCTCGGGGTTCAGCACGTTGGCGGGCTCGTTGACGAGGTCGCGGGCATAGTTGACATAGAGGGAGGCGGTGACGTCGTGCACAATCTTGGCGGGGTCGCAGTCAGAGACGATGATGATGCAGTCGACGCGCGGCGGCGCGTTCGACTTGTACTTGTTCCAGACATAGGTGCCTGACACAGCACCGTCGGCTGCGGAGGCAATCACATCGTCGTGAGTCTTGGGGACCATGATGGCGACCTTAGTCGTGACACCGTAGGCCGCACGGACGCCAAAGGCGGCAGCACCGCGCGTCGTGTTCTTGTCCATCTCGTTTCCGACGCCAGTGAAGATGAGGAGGGAAGCGGGGTCACCCTCCTCGCCGGGAATCTTCACCGTCGAGTCCTCGGCACCAGTGAAACCGAACACAGGGAAGAACTTCTTGATCTGGGCCGTGCGCTGGGCGCTGAGCGCATCGCCAAGGATGTCGACACTTCCATCGCTTTTAGCCTGGGCAAAGAAGACGGCGGCACCGGCACCCGTGTTCTTGTCGGGGCTAACGGTGACCTCGGGGCGGTTGCTGTCGCCGCCCGTGCGGCGGAACAGGCGGAAGGGCTCGAGGTCGTGAGGCTGTCGGATGTATGTTCCGGCAGCGAGGGGAAGGGCGGCAAGGGTGCCGACGGCCGAAAGGACGAGGGAGGCGAGACGCATGTTGCCGTCTTGTGCGTCCTTTTTGTACAAGTTGTCGGGAAGGAAGACGGTTGACGGGATGGAGCAGTTGACGGTGCTTAAGTATGCGGCCTCTGCTGCGAGGAAGCACCCGCGGCAAGCTTTGATCGAGCGACGAACATAGCTTCAATCACCGGTTTGATTCGCACGGAGGAGGGTATCCGGGCGCAGCGCTGGCCGGCATCGCTTTGGCCTTTGCATGCAGGAAAGCGTCGGCCCTGGAAAGGATCGATGTTGAGCACACATGCATGGATAGTCGCAACCCGTCTGCGTGTTACTCTAAGCTGTCTTATATAAGAGTACGTGCTTTTCATGCTCCGGGAAGCAAAGCATGCGGTCTTGTGTATGTCATGCATGCGGCTAGGTGTATCACATGAAGGACGGCTGCGCCAGCCAACACGCAGACTTGTCGGATTCGTGAAGTGGAGGAGTTGTCTGAGATCGGCGAATTCTTGTCGTCGGATCCGTGCGGGCGGCAGCCTGTCAGGTGCGTGATCCATGAGAAGCCTGGCGGAACCCTCGAGGTGGAAGGTCACCAACAGGATGACAGCGATGATGCACAGCCCAGGACTGGACCAGTGAGATCGACACATACTGCAGGGCTTCCAAGCCTCTGCAAGGCTCAACCCCAGGGGGAGGGGGGGAGGGGAGGCATCTACGAATGCACGATGCGTCACGCACGCACGAGTAGCTTTGAACACTGCCATTGAGAGGTCGTGTCCCGATCGGGCCCCGGGGGTTAGGCTAGACCCACTCACCCGCGATGGTGCGAAAGGTTACAGCTTTGTGACACAGGGAGCACGTTGAACGGCTACTGCGCCTTGTCAGGTCAGACCGTGTCTCAGGCTGGGCACACAAGGCCCACGCGGCCCACAGACAACTCTCGCTTCCCTCCCTCGCGAGCCCTACATAGCAAAGTTTGCCAATCACAGAGCAAAGAGCGTCAGGCTGTAGCCTTTCCGGGCATCACCGACCCAAGTATTCTGAGCTTGTTCGTGGGCTGGTTGAGTTGAAGCAAGTTATTTCGGGTCAGGGGTCCGGGTCTGCGTCGGCCCTGAGGAGCTGAACACTTCATAGGAGCGGTCCTAGCTTACTCCGGCTGCCGTGTCCACATACGTACATATGCACGGTGTCATCGCCGAGTGTGTAGCTGTTGATGTAGCTTCGATATAGTAGCGGCGGGGAGGGTGCAGGCTGGCGAACTGGACCGCGCTCACCCCATCACGTTCACCGGCACTGAACTTCGGGTTGACGGTGAATTGGACTCGGCAATCGAGATCGGCGAATTAGGACCGATAACAAACCTCTAGCCCGTTTACCAATGACGCTTTCACCGCAGAAGGGCGTTATCTGTCATACGGATTCGAACGCCGGTCGACAGTCCATGCATGAGCTGCCATGCCTCAACGAGTTCGTTTCTGAGCTTCACTGCGCAGTGTGGAGACATGACAGCGACGAGGGCGCAACCCCCTACCCCCGGTCGCGGCCATCAGTGTTCCATCACTGTGTGTCGTGCCGCGCGTCGTGTAGCATTCTGGTCCCGCACCGCCGATCCTTAACAGTCAACGGCATACGAACTTTGCATCAAGTCATCTCATAGTCCGTCGCCCTCCAACTCGCCCATGCCCGCCGCCATCAGCTACGGCAGGTACGCCGCTGCCTGGCACCACATCCTGTGGGACGCCGAGTACGCTACGCAGCTCGCCTTCAGGCTTGTCAGCCGAGGATTCTGCGCCGCCATCGACGACATCCTGTGCAGCGAGCGGCTCGTATTCGACTCCCTCAACCCCAACCAGGGCGTACGTGCTTGGGGTCATTCAGGACCACTTCCGTGCTTCCACCCCGACGGACCGACGCAAGCCCAAGTCAAGGCCGTGCAGAAGGCGCGCGTGCTTGTATTCCGCGCCGATGCGTACCCTCCCATTGGCGCCCTCTGCGCTCACGCTGCTGCTGGCACGAAGCTTGCCCTGACCCACACCGGGTGGTGGCCCATCAATGTCGACATCCCGGCAGAAGTGTCTGACATAGCCTTCCTAGCTCAGATTTCGTGCGCGTGCGACCTGGAGACAGTCCCTCAGGCAACGCTGGCGCATTCGGCCACAAGTGTCACGGTCGATCTCGACCTGACGGCCTTGAACGGCGCTCGTCTTCCACATTGTCACCTGTTCACCCGGTGGTGGTCACCTAGTGTCGAGCGTCTCTGCATTAGTCTGACCGGATCACTGGCGGCCATGAAGGCTGCGCCTCGGCAGCTGCTCTCCCGCCTCACGCTCCCCGATCGCAAGCGTCTCAAGGTGACGGTGCTCATTCACGACGTTGAGCTCTCAAAGCTGGATCACCGGTGGATGGATAAGGAGTTTGAGATGCTCGGTGTCCAGCAATACGAAGTGTTCAGCGTGGACTGCAGGACCGGTGCCGTGGCTGACGAGAAGCACCACTGCTACGAGTTTGAGTGGGCGTGGCTCGACTGGCACGCGGAACGCATGCGCGAGACGGAGGAGCAGGTCAAGGAGCAGACATACGTCCCGCCCAGCAAGCGCAACGCGAGCAAGCAGTCGACGACCATCAAAAAGGAAGGACCTTACCAACCGCCAGGGAAGAGGAAGCAAGCGGAGCATACCGAGCAGCTGGCTGAACTCCTTGCGCGTGCGACGGAGTGCTCTTCCAACCCTAAGCCTACCGAACTCCCCAACCCAATGCCCTGCCCCGAGCCCGACCACGTCCCGACCTGGCGTCGGGCTGACTACTGCAGAGCCCAGTCCTACCAATCCGTCACTGAGCCTGAAGACGAGTACGTCGACATGCCAGACCACTTTGCGCAGGTTCCCATCGCACTTGGCGGAGCACACTATGCTCTCGGGAATTACCGCTTCGTTCTGAGTGCAGAGATGGTGCACCAGGGTCAGCGCATGGACGAGCGCTTCCAGCCTCTTGAGGAGACGATAGACGTTGCGCTTTGGGAGGAGACCTACGGATTCAAGTCTAACACGGCGGAGGGCGACGGGCTCGGTGACGCATCACTCGACAGGGATGCGGTTTGGGAGGATGAGGTGAGCGGAGAAGTCATATCAGGAGTCTGTGTATCGCCTCGGCAGAAGCCAGCCAACAAGCACGGCCGCACTGCACCTAAGGACGGAGACCCCGAACCCCCATCCCACAGACGAAAGCTGCAGCGCCTGAAGAGCTGGGCCAGTATCTCCTCTGACTCCGACGCCTCCGTCATCCCCATTGAGATCTGACTGAAGCATCGTACTCTCAAATGCATCTGACATTGCACCGCCCGGTAAGGCCGTGCTGAGACAATCAGCCAGAACCCAGCATTGCATAGTTCCTACTCAGACCTCATCTGTTGACCAGTAGTTCCATCTACCAGAGCTCTCGTCGGTGACGTTGACGCCGGAGACATGCAGCTGATCGACGCCCAACTCGGACACCGCTTGGAGGCGTGTCACAGCGGCGTGCGTCTCGGGTACACTGTATTGCACAAGTTCGACCTCGAGGTCATCATGTGTGCCATGTCGACCACGGAGGTGTCCAAACCTGAAAATCTCGCATGGGGCTGCCGAACCGTCCGGGTATGGTCTGGGATACTCGACGCACAGCCGCTTCACGTTGGGGTGGAGGATGCCGTTCGAGAGCGCACAGTTGCTTTGGCACGAGTGCAACATGGCGTCAATGACGGGGCCCGCCCGGAAAGGTAGTCGGCGGAGGGTGAGCGCGACCTGGTCTGCCTGGTGGGAGATCCTGAGCCCTCCGCGGGAATTGCTGAGCCCTTCGCGTCCACACGAGCAGTACTCGTTACGTATGATCTGGAGGCGGCGGGGGCGCACAAACGTCCACTGACCGCCCTGGGAACTGACGCCGTCATGCGCTATGCGCACGACGCACTCCTCCCCCAAGAATAGCAGCCAGTACTCGAGCCGTGGGGCGCGCCTGAACCGCCCAGCGATCGCGATCTCGCGAGCCTCCTCCATCGTTGCAAGTTGGGCGGTGCGGCTCCCCAAGGGATGGAACCAGGGCAGGACTCCGGCTCGAGACCGGATGGAGAAGTCTCGCCCGCCGTTCCGGGGCTTGATCAGGAGTGAGGTGCTGAGGAGAGAACGGTCGATGGCGACTTTAAGGTCCCAGCACATGAGGCGCCCCTTCAGTTTCGTGCTGTAGTCGGCATATTCGAATATGGCCTCGACGATGTGCGGATAAGACGTGTAGGGGATGGTGACTTGCGGTGATGACGGGACGGGCAGGAGTCGGAGGAGCTTGACAATGCCGTGTAGTCCGAGACGTAGGATTGGACTCCGCTTCGATGACGGCGGCGGCCGTTCGACGTGCCTCGGAAGCTCAGGCTTGGAGAGTGGCGTTGCTCTCCGCTGGATGAGAGGCCGCAGCATCGTCAGAGGTGTTAGGGGATGGCAGTGAAATTCCAACCATCGGATAGCTAGCTATAAGCCACTCTCTCGACGTGGGCAGTGACGTGCCAAGCTACGGTCCATCGCCTTTCACACGTCGCCGTCAACACGAGGCGTAGCGTGCGTAGCCGCGACATCAGTGATACCCAGATGCACTGTCGTCAGACACATTCCGTCTGTGTGTTGCCCCTGACTCACTCGCCTGATCCAAATAACGAAAGAAGTGTGGCAGCAAGACCTCAGCCGGAAACTGAAGCAACTGTGGCTTCTCCATCACGTATGCAAGTGTATACATTGACAAAACCCTTACTATCACTGCTCACTTCCTCGACTTGCAGTTCCCTGCTTTCCTCTTCTACCAGTCACGACTAGAAGAGAGTGGCGCCAGCAACGACCGCAAGGACAGCTGCAGCAACAGAGGCTCCGATCTTGCCAGCCGCTGAGTCCTGCTTGGCCGCTGCCTCCGATGGCTTGGCCGCAGCCGAGGCAAGAGTTGGCACGACATTGGCAGAGGAATGAGCGGCGGCGCCAGCCATAGAGCCAGTCTCGGAGGGCATAGCAGCGACGGTCAGGTTCTTGACGAGGGCCTCCTGGCTCTCCGTAAAGTCGCCCTTCATGTTCTTCAAGCTTTACGTCAGCAAGTCTCCCTCGCATCGTCAACTCACAAGAAGCGGGTCGAGTAGCCCACAAAGTTGTTTCCAGTGTACTTGAAGAAGTAGTACTGTCCGTCCTCGCCTATGTTGGCATCGACTGTGAAGTTCAGGTCCTTCTGCGCTCCGACGTTGACGGTTCCCGCAACTTGGGGACACTCATGAGTCGCGCGAGAGCCGATGCAGAGCTCGATCTTGGTCTGTCCAATCTCTGCCAGCGAGGGCGCCTTGCCGTCGTCGAGCCAGGAGAGGCGGAAGGTCTCACCGCCGACGCCGACTGTTGCGTTGGCCGGTCGACCGGTGAAGATGGCTGCCGAGGCCGTGGAGGCAAGGACAAGGGCAGAGAGGAGCATAATGAATGGGACAGGGGGTCTTGTGCCTGGACTTCCCATTCTGGTCAGCTTATATGGCCTGCTTTCTCGGGGACGATGTGCAAGAGTCGCGGTAACAACTCAGTGAGACGCGGCTTACCTTGCAGCTACTTTACAAGACTGGAGACGCCAGCCAAGACAGATCACGGAGCCAAGACCTGGCTGAACCAGCTTTCGGCCGCAGCAATTGAGGTGGTTGGCTTATCTGATAACTGGTCAGCGTATTATCGGCCGCGAAACCCAACCGGCGCTGGCCGAGAACCCTGAAAAGCCCTGCTTTGCCCATCTGCAAGCGAGGATGGTATCTTGTTAGGCCGAAAGATGATGCTAAGCAGTCATGCATAGTACTGCAAGCTCTCCTTGTCCGTAGGTGTGTTATAGACCGGAGGCTCGCCTCCTCAATTTCGCAAGTGATGCGCTTAAAAGCCGTGATACGGTACAACTCGCCTGCGCTGGGCTGAATAACCTCCGCGTGCGGTTCTCCTAAGCTAGAGATCGGCCGAGATGCATTGTGAGTGACTAGGGCTATGCTGATGTCAATGGCGTAAGGAACACTCCCCGGCACGGAAGAGAAATTGATCGCTTCAAAGGCCGAGCCTAAGTCTTTGCGCTTTCGTCAAGCAGGCTCCACCGTCATGGGATCTCATCGCATCACTTACTGTCACTTTAAATAGCCGATATGGTCAACTGCGAGACGCTTCACTGACCTAGCAACCATCTCAGAATCGTTTGTCAGTACTGGCCTGAACCAATTGATCGCAAGCTTAAGGCAGCGGGCTGACTTGAGGCATAGCGCTGCAAGCTGATGGGAATTGGTCGCTCGACACCTTGTGGCAAGACGTTGAGGTGAGTCGTAGTGGTACAGTATCCATTGCAACAGTCTGAGGGGTCTGAGGCATGAACAATGTTGTGCACTCAAGCGTTGTCGATCATGAGTCAATCTGACGGTGCCGACGGATGCAAACGGAGGGCGCATTCTACCTTGCACTTCGATGCTGTGTCATCTAGTTACTTGGCCACTCATCCGACACTTCGTCTTCCTCACACTCACGATGGCAGGCCCTACCCTCACTACACCAGGAGCATCAGCACTCGATCCCAGCAACTTCCCGCACATCACCGACCTCATTGTTCGCTATGCCCCAGTGTCCGCACTTCCCAGCCTGCGCCTGACATGTCGCGCTCTGTCCGCCGCCGTCGAACGTCGCCTGCAAGTGCACCTCATCACGACTCCTCACGAATCTTCCTCCGCCCTGCTTCACCTCTGGCACCGCGGCTGGGGCTACTCTCCGCACACGCGCACCCTCGACCTCTACTTTGAAGCTCCAACCCCAGTTCGAGAGGACGGTGTATCACCGGAGCAAGCGGGGTCGTGCACGCTGCCGAACCTCAAGCACGTGCGCCTGATCAGCTGGCTGGAAGACGGGAGCGCCAGATGCGCGCCGCTGGTCACACGTAGCGTCATCGTGCCCCTCCTCCACAGATGTGAGGATGACATCAACCCCATTGCTCCCCAGACAGCACTGGACCTGGTCAAGTTTGAACGCTTCATCATTGTGTATCCGCCCGAGCCGCTCGACATCGAGTTATACCAGCTGCACCCTGGCCAGCGTGCGCCTGTTGAGGTCGTCGTTGTTGTGCCTCCCACTGCCCTCGCCTTCGACATCAACAGCCCTCTGCCCTTCCCTGTCCGCGTCCCCGTGACCTTCCCCAACCTGCCTCCCCGCTTTGGAGACCTGCCCTTGCTCGCGGCGAACAGCAACTTCATGACCCTGGCGTGTGCAGCGGGCGCCCTCTTCGACAGTGGACACCGCCTCACCGTCGTGGGCATCTTGGACTGGGTTTTTCCACTGCGTGACATGCTGCGCCTCAAGGATGATAACGTCTCTGGCACGGCTGCAGTTTCCGCTGGGAGTGAGGTGGCACTGAAGCAGCTCATGGCGCGGTACCTCGAGACGCTTGGGTGCGCATCGGAGAAGACGGAGGCGATCTTGACAGGCGTCAAGTTCCCCTCCGAGGAAGAATGGAGAGTCCAGGTCGGCGAGGAGGAGTATCGTCTGGCAGTGGGCGCGTATGCCGTGCGCAAGGCATATCTCGATAGTGAGCACTTCTCGCCCTGGACTGCGGCAGCGGAGTGACCGTTGTACATGTAAACTGTGATATTGTGAGTGATGAAAGCGGTCGGAGACTTCACCAAGGGTCACCGGGGCAAGCGCCAATTACGTCAGCCTTCATTCCAGTGGTGGTGCTTCGAATGCACTGTTATGAGCCCCGGCGGTGGATGCCTCTTTCGGACATCGGTTGGTTGGGCCAGTCGCCGAACATGCCGATGGTGGTTTGAGCAAACGGGGGTGGTAACGCAAAAGGTGGGGGAGAGCGTGAGCTATGCCACTTATATCCAGAACAAGCAGTGGTAGCCTACGCAAGAGGAGCCGGCTTACTGCTTCGCCAGCACGTTCGCGTACGTTTGCGTGATGTGAGGAATGCCCAGCAGGGGTCGGAGGACCAGACTACTGGATCGAGCGTAGGGCTCGTACGTACGCGCCTCGGCCGATGAGTGCACGCGATGCCCGATTCATGCTTGACAAGCGTGCTCCACTGCCGTTACGACATTGGCAGTATGCTGTGCTGCATGCGCTAGCCTGCTTGGAGGATTGCCTGTCCAGGCCTTCATGTCCGTTGCCCGCTGCACTACAGGAGTACAGGAGGCAGAGTGTAAGTCGGCCCGATTCGGCATACGTTTTCGGGCGAGACTTGCCAGATATGGACTGTGCGGACCGACTGACGCGAACTCACGAGATAGCTCACGAGAGCTCGCAAGAGCTAGCCCTACAGGGCTTGTTACGTATGTCGATCGCAGAAACGCCAGGACGAGGAGTGCGTACCCCCAAAACTGAGGGTGCATGGTCATTGCTTGCATCAGCATCAGCAACACCAGTGCGCATCCGAAAATCGGGTGACGACATTCGAGAAGACGAACTCACGGGGGTCGAGACTGTTCCGAGTTCTCGAACGTCTCAGTTTGAGACACAGATCTGCACAGAAGGCAGAGACGGTCTCACGTGAATGCTCAGCGGTCGCGGATCCGCAGCAACCGTTGGAAGGCATTGGTGGAGAGTGAGCTCAGCGCCCGAAACAGCGCACAGCGCATTCGTTGGTCAATTTTCTCGGTGGTCAGTTATTCCGTCGCAATTGTTGCAAGGGGAAGGACAGGGAGCAATGTGCGCAGCCATACGCAGTGATACCCGCACACCGGCCCATGAGAGAGGCTCTATACTCTAACTTACTCTCCCTCGATGAGAGCGATTGCTATACGTCGGTGAGGTCACATTACCACTTCGGACGCAGCTTGGCGTTCTCGCAAGCTGGCAGGTTCGCTGGATCGCTGGACTACTCGGAAGCTTCGTGTCTGATCACGCCCCCTAGCCCTACCACACCCAGGTTCGTCCGTCGTGACGAGGTCGAGACGCCTACCCCCCTTCCTAGGACGCGGAAGGGCACTCCGACGCTCTTCCCGCCCTCCAACCCTCGCTTCTACCAGTAGTACGATGTGCGTCGGCGTCTTGGAGCACCGTTGTATCCGTATACCCTCTTTTTTCTCTCTATATCAGTTCATTGGATCAGTCGGCGTTCATCTGTGTATCAGTTCAGTGGAAGAGGAGGGGTGGATGTTGTAGTTATTATGCATAAAACTTCTTCACGCCGGGTGCAAGTCACCCGTGGCTTCGATCGCTGTCTCGGACCGTTTAAGCCTTGCCCTTACGCTCGAGCTCGGCCTCCTCCTCGGCCTGGATCTGGGCGTCGATCTTGGCGCCGCGGCTCGGCTCGTTGCCGTGCATGCGCGCAGGGGCGGTCGGGTCCTTCTTGAGCGCGGCGACCTCGGGCGTGTCGGCGTCGGCGGCAGCCTCCTGGGCCTTGCCCTGCTCAAGGCGCGTGGTGAGGTTGGCAGAGTCGTCTGGGGTGTTAGCTTCAGTCATGTCTGCCTCGGACCTTCTCAGCGCCGAGGAGTTGGGAGGGCCAGGCGAGGAGGACGACTGCGGCCTGCGGCCGCAGCGAACTCAACGCCTCCAACGCCCCCCGACAAGGGTTGACTCACTGGCGTCAAAAGCGTCGTGGTTGCTGTCGTTGCCGACCTTGGCGTCGATCTTGTCCTGTTCCGAAGAGGTCATTGTGATTATTTCTGTAGTCGTTCTCGATGTGAGGGAACAAGTCAAGCAGCTGCAAGCTAATCTGGACTTTATATACGGCCCATGTGCTGCCTATGCTTTGCTGGAGGCTCGCAAGACTCGCTGGCACGCCCTGCTGGCCGTCATCAGCATGAAAAAGCATAGGGACAGCCAGGACGAGAAAGAGGAACGAAGCTTGACAGGCACTGACGTCATTGAGCCGGCGAGCTCCACTGTCAGGACAACTCGGGCAACCCCACTCAAAAGGGATCACAAGGGACGCTTGGCTCGACATGACGAGATGAGAGCTGGGCCCAATCACAACAAGGCTGATATAGAGTTTCAGCCTCATCATCGCCCGCCGAGATGATCTATGACGATGTTAGGTCCTTCCCGCACTGAGGACCGCTCAGGATGGTCCGGCGATCGGGAGCAGGTCCGCTCGAGTACTTGAAAAATGGACGTGGCACGGCCGGCTTGTTTTGAGAGTTTTTGCAATAATTCAGCCAGCGCGATGCATCGGTGCAGTAACGACAGGCAGTGCAATGTTCTTGAGAGTCCTCTGAAGCACAACGATACGGATAGAATGAGAGGGGACAGACACTCGACCCTGCTGTGACTGTGGCCTTGGTGGAGACGAGACTGTGTGTGTGTCTTACATTGAACCGTAGACGGCGGAGAACCACTGGTCCTCGCGCCACGACGACTTTGACGGGTTGATTGTGACTTGCGCTTTTGGGATGCGTAGAGCGTCTGCAAGTCCAGTCTGAGTCTTCTCCTTGATCAACTCGTTCTGTATATAGTATGGGGTGCAGACGACTTGAAGGTCGGGGTTTGTCTGGTGCCCGCCGAGCTTGAGAGCACTGCGGATCACACGCACCAGCTGTCGGCTTGCAACGGGGTACTCGACCAAGATTTCAAGGTGCGTCACCTGAGGCTGAAGCACCATCTCCCAGAATGGGCAACTTCCATCGTAGTCCTGGTTCCAACGACAGAGCTTCCAACGCATGTACTGCATCCGGATGGTGACACTCGTGAACTGGTGCGTGATGGTCGTTTCTTGAGGTTGGCGGCAGATGCAGCCGTTGAAGACGACCTCAAGGGTCTTCGCAGCCGGCAGGCGAACCTCGGTGTCCATCGTCAAGATCTGCGAGCCGTGTGTCAAAACTATGGAGCAGTCCGGGGAAAGGCTTGCTGCCAGAGGTCTGATGTCGCGGTGGCCCAAGATCTTATCTTCGATGGTCACCTTCTTAGCCTTGCTCAAGACGATCGTCTGGGACTTGGTCATGGGTGTCCCTGCAGCGGCGTCAGCCCAAAAGCGACGGCTGGGTAACTCACTGATATCGCTAAAGGCGGGAAGGGGCATGGATGGCCCCTCGTTGAGCGCATCTGCTGAGCACAGTACCTCGACAATGCCAAGGCCAGCTGATAATGTGCTGAGGCTGAGGTTGGGAAGAGGCAGTCGGTCGACGGCCTCACGCATGCTCCTTGACACCTCTCGAGCATTGTAGATTGTCTGCTTGTGGTCTTCGAGGCCGGTCAAGTATATCAGAATGGCCTCGAAGATGTGTGGAACGGTTGTGGGATCGAGAGTGACGGGCATGAGGGCTGCTTTCGAGAGTCGGTGTGGAAGAGAGAGGGTGAAGACATGGAGGTGCTGGACAACAACAGCTGGTGGGCAGCAGCAGGTGGGAGCTAGACGCACACGACCTGGGAGGCGGACTCTGGACAAACTTCGCAACATCCTCGCACTCGAGGCAGGCGGATCTGACAATGTAGGGTAGACAGACGGCCTCACACACCCGACTGTGATGGACGCGTCACCTCGTTTTCCCTCGCCGGCGGCCTATATACACAGCCATGACTCTGGTCACCATTGTCTATCAACCTCATCACCCAGCACTCCGCTTACCATCGACTCTCCCCTCTGCTGGACGATCAGTAATGGCCACGCGGACCTCATGTCCCGAGCCCACGCCGTCGCTGGATCCCCGGTACTATCCCCACATCGCGGAGTAAATCCTGTCTACGAATGACTACCATGGGCTGCTCTCAGCAAGACTGGTCTGCAGGGCCATGTGCGAGTTTGCCGACCAGATTCTTAGCGGGAACACTCTCACCATCAAGTGCGATGGGCGTGGAACTCTGTCCATCAAGGGAGTCAAGGGAACTCTCCCCTGCTTCCACCCGGACGGAGACGTCGACACTCAGTGCACTGTAATGCGAAAGGCCCAGCTAGTCATCCTCACTCGGTCTGTGAGGCGGTCTGAGCGTCTGCAACGGCTACTGGACACGCTCAGCCCAACCTGTCACGTTCGAATTCTGCACAATGGATTTGTCAACGAAACACTCGACCTGCCTGAGATCGCGAGTCTCACTATCAGGACGCTAAGAAGGTGTGCTTGCCATTGTGCCGTCCGTCCATGGAAACATGGGGCCAAACGGGTGATTATCGAGCGCTGTAACACGTGGTCCGATAACTGTCCGCTCATTCAATGGGCCTTCAACTCAGATGTCGAGCATCTGGAACTTCACGACTTTGAACGCTCCGAGTGGCGGCCTAACATTGGCTATCTGCTTTGGGCCAGGGGCAACTATGCCCCCCGGGTTCCGAACAAACATCCCTTCTACGATCACGACCGTCATCCCAATCTCGTAATGAACATCCGTCTCTTGAAATCAACAGATGGGCGCCAGAAAAGGGCTCTCTCACAGCACCTTGCCCTACTGTTCGACGTCAAAGTATCTCAAGTTAAGGTCCACGACCCACATGACGAACGTTGACAGTTTGACGGTAGAGAACGCAGATGCCAGTATGTAGGGGCTACAGAGAGCATGTACAAGCTCTGACTCGCTTTTCTTTCCATATGCACTCGAGATGTACTGTGCACTTAGCTTGTACACGGTGCAACCTGACTCGGTGACAGGGTGAGTCACACTTCATCAGCCTCCACTCTGGTCTGCGGTAGACTGCGCCCCTCGATGCCTCCGCTGCACTTAGCCAATACCACGTCCATTTCACCGCCCTCTCAACAACTTCAACTTCACACCTTCCTCCTATCAGTCCTCGTCATTACCCTTCAGTCACCATGCGCGGTCTCAGTTCGCAAGCAGCTCCTTCCCTCGACCCCAGATTCTTCCCGCACATCACCGAAAGCATCTTGTTCTTCGCCGACTACGCCTCCCTGCTCTCAGCAAGAGGAGTGTGCGTATCTATGTGCACATTGGCCGACAAAGCCCTTTCCGGCGACACAATCATCCTCAAAACTGGTCTGCGCGGACGACTGCTCTGCGAAGGACCTCTGGGAAACCTGCCGTTCTTCCACCCTAGAAGCAAACGGGCCTTGCAATTGAAGGCCATGGCCAGCACGCAGCGCGTTGTCATAACCAAGACCGTTTCCGTAACAGAAAGACTCAACAGTCTGCTCAAGGCACTTCCAGCAACTTGTCATGTCCGTATCGAGCATGGCGAAGTCCGTGACCAGGGCTTCTGTTTGCCTGAGATCGCTAGCCTCACCATCACCAGTCTTCCTGTTTCCTCGATCCCGTCCGATAACTGCAATTGCAGCCGACTTTGGAGCAGAGATTGGAGACACAAAGCAAAGCAGGTGCTCGTTGAGTGTTTGGCTCAGAAAGGAACTTACTATTGGGACACTCCGGCATTCGGACGTTGCCAGCTCATAGCTAGAGCCTTGAACGCCCATGTACAACTCCTTGAGCTTCACAGCTATGAAGCCCACGGATTTGTCGCTGATGCTCTCTCTTCTCGCTGGAGGGCTAGCTTCTCCCATTATGATCGTGTTCATCATCGTAATCCAGGCCTCGCAATTGTGGTCCGGCTGAAGGGACCCCACAATGGGGGTAACTCTATTGCGGATGACTTCGCCCGAAGCTTCGAGATCGACAGCTCGCAAGTCCGCGTCTACAGTACCCAGGAGCAGCAGTGAAGTCACTATACTTGGGATGCTCTAGACAGTTTCATATGCAGACGATGCCGGCTCTAAGTGCTCGAACTGTGACTCCTTGATACTTTGATTTCTGACTGCGTCGGCGGTGTGCATCGCTCCCCGAGCCCACCACATTCCCGCCTGCATCGCACCAAACTCGCCTCCACCCCAGGTGAGTCAACCTGTTGTGTACCGCAGTTCGTCACCAGTCGTTGTAAGCTTTCTCGCAATTCTTCGACACCCAACACATCTTCTTTCCCGACATTGTGCATAACTCATCAAGCCGACTGAACGCTACTCACCTCCAGATACCGCCTGACGCCTCCACCACCACGTCTCCCATTAATAGGGACCTGGCAAATATGGCACCGAGGTCGCTAGATCCATATTGCTTCCCACACATCGTCGAGGAGATCCTCGGACAGCTCGACTACAACACCCTGATTGCGGTCAGGCAGGTCAGCCAGGACATGTGTGGCTTGGCGAACAGGATTCTCTTGGGAGATGGAGCCAAACTTGCAATCATGAGCAAGCAGAACGGCGGCCTCTCCTTCAGAGGTCCCAGGGGCAAGCTGCCTTTCTTCCACCCTCGCAGCCGCATGCCTTGGCAGAAGGAGACGATGCAGCGCGCTCAACACGTCTCGATCGCCGAGGACGTTTCCCGCTCCCCACGCCTCGGCAAGCTCCTCATGCACCTTCCTCCCACTTGTCACGTCAAGCTCTACCACGCCCGGGGCGACCAGTCGTTCCGCTTGCCGGAGATCGCCCATCTCATGCTCCTCATCACCGACAGTGAATGCGACTGCAGCTCTCGCTGGGCGTCGCCCTTTCAGCACTCAGCTCGTCGAGTCACCCTTGTCATCAAACGTTGGTGCCCCGAGAAGTGCCAGCTCATTCGTACCTTCGTCAATCCTGCCATCGAGCGCCTGGAGCTCCGCTGCCATGACCACAGAGAATTGCCCAGAGCAGCATTTAACTTGGGGGCGACTTTCCCGAAGCTACCTCGGTATTCACATCTGAGGGTTGAGCTGCACTGGCGCCGTTGGTCGCACCTGAAGGATTGGTATGCAGAGCAGCCCCCAGTCCATGAGCCGGAGGTAATCAGGTTGGCTGCTTCGTACTTCGAGATAGAGCAATCGCAGGTTACCTTCAAAACAAGCGAAGTCGCCCGTGGGTCCTAGTCGAGAACCTCTGCGGAGGATCTTGTGTCGAGTCTAAGAGATGCATGTAATGGTGAAGGTCATGAGACATCAGCCAGTCTTTGTGACAAAGGAAGCGAACGTGACGCCACTCTAGCTGAAAACATGAAGGGACAGTGCTGACAAACGGCCGGCACCAATCCCAGTTGACCGTCGGCCATTACTCGTCCCAGCCATCTTATCTAATCAGCTTGACCCAGAGTTGACAGCCTTCCGGAGTAGGACTGACTCTCCTTCCAAATTCTCTGTCACGCAATTAACCCACAGCTTCGGTACGTGACCAGCACTGACACCGGGTGACAAGCCATCAGGGCCACTCGGCGTTCATGTTGACCCTTTCCACTCAGTTGCCCAGCGCCACTGCCTGTGCATTGCAACTCCTGAATGCCCTGGGAGTCCTGGAAGCCTCATGTTTCGCGACAAACTCGACGGCCATGTCTGACAATGAGACGCCGAAATCTGAGTCGCGTTGCAGCCGTAGAGCACTGACCTCTGCTGACAATTTACTGGTTTCGGCGGTTGTCACGACCCTCCTGTTTGTCGGGGCCAACACGACACCACACAACACGGCAGTCCCCGCGAATCAGCATGACTCTTGCAACGTTGAGGATCTATTTCACTCATTGGCCGTTTACTACTCACGGATCTTGCCGCGTATGAGCGTTGCCCAATTCCCCTCCCCTGCTCCAATCGCAGCCCCCTGCTCAGACCCCAGTCGTTCTGTCCCTCTCGGCGACAGCAACACTCCAGATTCCTTCCAGCAGTCTCCCTGCCCACTTCAACCAGACGCTATCCTCGGAAACTCAAGTAATGGTGCTGCGGTCGCCGGCTCGATAGCCCCTCCCCCCGTAGCAGTGTTACCGCCAGATGGACCGCTGCCCCATTCCTCAGCCCCAGGCTGGAGTCTAACCTCACTGACCATCCTCTACGTTCTGTGAGCTTCCAGTCCCGCACTCCAAATCTGACATTTAGAGCATGGTTGAACTGTCTCGCCATTGCCTTCCAGCACAGTCTTCTCTGGAACGGCCCCGTGACCCCCTCAGCAGCCCTGTTCGACTCACACGGTCTCCGCCCTATGCCCTTCATCGCGGCCGATTTGGTCACAGTCGCCGCATGTCTGGGCATGGCGCTCGCGCTCGAGTTCACAGGTCCCGCCCTGGGAATGGGCATAGCCGTCGTCTCCGCCACGCTTGGGCTGGTGCTCTTCGCCCTGTCCCGGAACGCAGAGACGCTGAGCGCGGGGCAGGTGTTCTACAGTGTTGGCTTCACTGGCATCCGACTCGTCATCGACGTGCTTATCGCCGACACGGCAGCGTTGCGGAACCGCGCCCTGGCTTATGGGTTGGCTGGCTCTCCGTGGGCCGTAACTGCGTTTGCTGTCCCGGCTCTACGCAAGAGGTTCAACATCTCGAACGAAGGGAGGAAGATGCGGCTCGCCATCGCAGCGTTCACGGGCATCATCCCCCTGTTTGGTGGGGTTCTCGTCCTGTACCTGTGGCACCACAAGCGCACCCACCCGGTTCCAGTCGCGAAAGAGAAGATCCGGCGCGACCTCCGCGTACTCAAGATCTTTGACGTGTGTCTGCTCGGCTTCTTCCTCATGATCCTCTTTGTCTTCCTCTGGCTAGTCCAGATGGGCTTAATGCCGTGGTGGGCCGCACTGATAGCCCTCATCTCTTTCTTCAGCACTGTTGTCTTTGTCGCATTCTCCCGCTCCCCCTGGGTCAGGAAACAGGCCATCAAGTTCTGGTTGCCCCGCCTTCGGCGCGGACTGCCTGACGCACCCATGCCGGAACCCATTAAGGCGCTTCTGGTCGAGTTCTACAACCGTCCCCAGTGGGAGAGGTCGGCGCAGAGACTGCACCAGTATAACCCTCTCAAGGGACGGACCATGTGGGCCGTATGCATTCTCGCCATGACCTGGAAGTGTGAGTGGACCAATCGGCCCTGCTGACAAACAGTTGCCCACTCGGTCTGGAGCGCCAACGTCCACCCTTACATGCAGGTGTCGTTCATGGTGTCTGCCGAAAGGGCACGGCGGTTCATCTCAATCACCGGGGTGGTGGAGGCGTTGTTGGTGTTTCCCATCGGCCTGCTGGTTCGGGAGAAGGGATATTTCAAGCCGATCATCGTCGTCGCAGTGCCATTCTACTGTCTCGGCGAGGTCCTCATGATGGCGGCCCCTTCGCTCGATCACTCCGTTTCGCGACTTGTCTTCAGCCAGATCCTCCTCGCCATGGCCCGCTCGTCCTTCGAAGCCGTGAAGGAGGTCGCCATCCTTTCCTCCTCTGAGCCGATCGACACTGCCGTCGTCCTCGCCATCCTCAGCGTGTGCGACAAGGTGGGTGGCATGATTGGTTCGACCTTTTCGGACATTGTTTGGGCCGAGGCGCTCCCAGACGCACCGCGCAGGTACCTCTCGGCAGAGGCTATTCTCAGTGCTGAGAGAGTGCATCCCGAGCTCCAGAGACAGCTGTCCCTCCCTCCTGGAAGCGCCGAGCGAATAGCTATCCAGCACACATACGACGAGGCCCAGAAGATCACGCTTATCATCGGCAGCGTGGCGATGGTTTTTGCTCTGGCTTGTGCTCTGGCTATGCGGAATGACAACATCCTGAAGATCAGACTCCCAGATGTAGCGCTGTAGTCTTTTTCAACATCCTGGGTTAGGATAGCTCATGGTATAGACATAAACTGCATACAGATGGTGCTTTCTCACAGATCTCTTAAAAGCTTCTTCGGGAAACGCGCAGATATCATGACGATGGCAGACGGCACAGATTCTCTTCTCCTCTTATCGACAGTCAACTCCATAATGGACGCCGGGTCGCTCTACTCGAAGTTGTAGACACGGACAACTGGCAAGTCAGCGTGAAAGGCGGAGCGCGCACTCACAGTGATCGACTGGTTTCTTCTCTCCCTTCGCGGGCTTCTTGTTATCAGTCTCTTCGTCCCACCAGCTGTGGTCGATCTTGAGGACCTCGTACATGGACTCGGTAGTAACAGTCACCTTGGCCGTGGCCCCCTTCTCCTTGTTGTTGACTCGGTGACCATATCCTTGGGAGGCAATGACACCGGAGCGGGTCACCTTGACTGCGGACACCTGTGCAGGAGGTTCGTCTCCATCAAACTGGGCACCGTCGACGACGTAGAAGGCGGTCGGGTGAATGATGACCAGGCGGCTGCCACAGGCGGCAAGGCTGACTGGGGCACCACCCAAGTCGATCAGAAGAGGCGCACGCTCAGAGTGATCCTCAAAGGGCCTAGCGAAGCTGGGGAAGAGAACAATACCGTTACCGACGACACAGCAGAGATGCTTTCCAATGGGTGTCACGCTGGGGGTCAGTGAAACTCACGCGAGGACGTACTGGCTGCAGAAGACGTATTTCTTCAGCTGCAGAAGGCCCTTGACGGTTTCGGCGACAGGCGTGGTCTTTTGTGCTTGCGTGATAGAAGAGGTCGGAACAAAGTGCTGGATCTCTTGGATGAGGTCATCAAGCTCACTATCGACAACCGGGCTCTCCGGGCGATCGAAGGTGTACTGGGCGGCATGGGTCCTAAGCGCACTAAGGAAAAGGAATTCTCCGTTGGTGCGGTGGCGCACAAGGATCGTGGCATTGTGGGATGTGATAATGACACATTCGTCGGTCAACGAGTGACTCTTTTTGAGTTAGCACAACCGACGTTCACCCTCGAAGAACTTACACAGAAGCTCTCATCCCCAGTGTTGATCATACGACGTTGACCTTTCCATGGCCCATAGCGAATCCAGTTCAAGTTGTCTGTGTCCTGTTCGTGGATGGAGAGCGCCGGAGTTTGCGTATGCGCACCATCGACGTACAGTTTGACACTGCCCTCAGACTTGATCTCCTGACGACCGATGAAAACAAAGCCTGGAAGCTTAGGCCAGGGAAGTTTCTTCTGGCCAGGAGCCTTCGGAGGGCTCCCGAGCCACTTGTAACCGTCCTCGGGGATGTAAAAGTAGGTGTGAGGGAATACGACGATGCTGAACACGTGTCCAAGGCCGTTCACGTTTTTAGCTTCAGGAAACTCGCCAGGGATCTGCGGCAGATCGTGAATGGTCGCAAAGGTGTTCTTGTCAACGGGCTTGAAGGTCTTGACGTCGCCTCCCCAGGCAGTAACCTCCCCAGGTTGGCCCGGGCGCCTCAGCATGATGAGGGCAGTTTCGTCATCGACGCTCTGCAACTCCGAGAAATGAAGGGGGAGCTTGATTGTGCGAGCGGTGAACTTGCCGCTGCGCCAGGCTGCCTCGCGGCGAACAGCCGCAGAAGCTAGAGTCGGTCAGTCGCTAACACCATGACCATAGTTAGCTACTTACTTTCCGCGAACCAGTCAATCTCGCTAGGTTCTTTCGCGAGAACACGGCGACGGTGGGTGTCGTCCTGCTTTGTGAATTGCCAATGACGGCGCCACAGCTTCTTCATGTTGACGCAAGTAGCGCGCCAGGAACGATTGACGAGCGCGGCGCATAAGAGGTCCTTGGTGAAGAAGAGGTGCTCGAAGATGACCGAGAACACCTCCGCCGGAAGCGAAGCCGCGGCAGACATGGTCGACTTGTTGATTGATGAATGATGTGAACACAACACGCACAACAAGTGCACCTTGTTTGGTGGAGGGTGGGTGAGTCAACCTCGCACAGAGGGCGCACAAGATGGGAGACATGCGCCCGTGCACACTCACGCACACAGGTGAATACTACCCCTGATTCCGATGCAGATCTGCGGGAAATGCATTCGTTTCCGCCTGGAAGCGCTGAGGGGATAGCTATCCAGCACACGTGTGACGAGGCCCAGAGAATCACACTTAGCATTAGCATCAGCAGTGTGGCTACGGTGTTCGCCCTGGGCTGTGCTCAGGCTATGCGGAACGACAACATCTTGAAGGTTAGATTGCCTGAGGTGACCTTTCAGTTCGGAGCACGTCGTGGCAGCGATCGACCAGAGGCTGCGTGCAGCCTTAAGTTTAGGTCGCGAGCGCAGCACTCAACCTACGGCTAAACTGCACAAGCTCTTAGTGCATGAGGGTTTTCTTAGCACCCTCCTGTGACTATACACACTACATGCTGAGCAGTGGGCTTGTGCTGCCCAGTCTTTCGTCACTCCGTCTAGACACAACCAATGATGCGGAGATACAGACAGCCTACTGCTTAGTCGAAGTCGTAGATGCGAACGACTGCCGTCAGTCCCAATGACCCTACATGAACTCACAGTGCTCAACAGGCAGCGGCTCGCCCTCACTGGGTTTCTTGCCCTCCTCTCCCTGGGCCCACCAGTGATGGTCAATCTTCAGAGTCTCATAGATGGCACCAGCGGTGACAGTGACACAAGCAGTAGCACCCTTGTCTGTGTCGTTGACACGGTGTCCGTAACGTCGAGACGCAATAACCCCGTAACGGCTGATCTTCACGGCCTTGAGTTGCGAAGGCGGCTTGGGGTCGTCAAACTGGCTGATATCGAGAACGTAGAAAGCCCCGAGGGTGAGGAACACCAGGTGGTGGTCGCAGATCTCAAAGCTGACACCAGTGTGCTCCAGCTCTATAATGAGAGGAGCAATCTTGGGGCGCCCAGCGAAGGGTGCGGCATAGTCTGGGAAGACCACAAGCCCGGCGCCCACTTCGCAGAACAGATGTTTGCCGGCAACCTCGACTCTAGCGGTCAGCTTAAGCGGACTCTGCCGCACTTACTTGTTGCACACCACAAACTCGGAGTCTGCGACGAGAAGCTGGCGAACCTTACCGGGGACTGGCCTCGACGGGGTAGCTGTCACAATTGTAGAAGAGGGAATAAACTGCTTGATGCCACGTACGAGGTCATCAGCACCGATGTGCAAGTCCGAGTGCGGGGGGCAGCGGAAACGATAATGGGCAGTGTGTCCGGACAGCGCACGGCAGTCGAGAGCCTTGCCGCCGTCGCGCTCGCGGATGAGGATAGTGGCATCGATTGAGCTGACGAGGACGTTCTCATCGGTGAGAAGATGATCCTGCCTGTTAGCCCCCGCTTCCGATGTCTCCTCCTCACCATGTAGTCCTCGTTTCCCCCACTCATCATGCGGCGTTTGCCCCTCCAGGCACCCCACCTGACCCAGCTCAAGTTGTCGGTGTCCTGCTCGTGAATGGAGAGCTGGGGTTGGGAAGACCCCGCGTTGTCAACATAGAGGTAGACGCTACCTTCAGACTTGATCTCCTGGCCGCCGATGAAAACGAAGCCAGGAAGTTGGGGCCAGTCGCGCTTGCCACGAGCGCCCGTCGGTGGACCTCCTAGCCATTTGTAGGCGTCTTCGGGGATATAGTAGAAGTTGAGGGGATAGTCAGTGATGTTGAAGACATGTCCGAGGCCATTCACGTTGGTGGGACTGCACCAGCTCCCTGGAATGCGGGGAAGCTCATGGATCGTCTCGAAAGTGTCCTTGTCCACGATGCGGTACGCCTTGACAATTCGAAGGTAGGTTTTGCCCTCAACAGGTTCGCGAGGGCAATCCAGGACAATTACAGCGGTCTGGTCATCCACACTGGCCAGCGACTTGAAGTTGGAAGGCAGCTGAATCACACGAGACGTGACTTTGCCGGTCTGCCAGGCAGTCTCTCTGCGAACGCCAGCAAAGGCTTGTGATGGTCAGCTACACCAGCTGCGGTAAGCAACCCACTCTCAGCATGCCAGTCAACCTCATCACCAGGCTTGGCGAGAATGCGACGGCGATGAGTATCGCTGTGTTTCAGGATGCGCCAGTGACGGTGCCAAAGGGATTTCGAACTGAGGCATGCGGCGCGCCAGGAACGGTTGACGAGAGCAGCGCACAAGAGGTCTTTAGTGGAGAAGAGGTGCTCGATGACGACCAAGAGCACCTCTGCCGGTGGAGAAGCTGCAACAGACATGGTTGAGACGGAGTGGGGAGAAGGGCAGTGTCGACTTCTGAGCTGATCGATGATGGCAATGCATTCCGACAACGCCATGGCGCAGGTGGAGGGTCAGGTGAGTCGACCCCCACAGCAGGCACACACAACGAGAGCACCCGTGCGCACTCGAGCGCACAGATGAATCTGGACCCGCGCATACGATGCAGATTTGCAGACTTCGCATAGAAGACAGGGCTGGAGTACCAGCATCCGCGTAACGTGTTGCGTTTTCGCCATGCTGGAAACCACACATTGTACGGTTCAGGCCCAAGGCCACACAGCCTCTGCGGTAGTTGCGGTAAGCAATCGGTTGGCATGGATCTCGTAATCACAATGCATGTTGAACTACAAACAGTGCCGCTTCGTGGTCGCACATTGTCGTCGACGTCGCCCAAGGGCGGGTTCTTCTTCTCATTTGTAGCACTCACAGCAGAGTAGGATGCCCACAACGCAGCTCCTATTCGAAGCTGTAAATGCGCATGACTGTGGTCAGCACAGACAGTTATGGCAACGAACAGTTCTTAATAGGCTTCTTCTCCTCAACTGCCCCCTCGTCCTTCTTGCTTTTGTCCTTCTCAACCCACCACTCCGGCTCAACCTTGAGAGTCTCGTAGATGGCTTCAGGAGTCACGGTGACCTGAGACGTGGCACCCTTCATCTTGCTGTTGGTGCGATGACCGTACCCCCATCCCATGATGATACCATAACGGGTGATTGTGACTGCCTCCAAAGTCGAAGGGGGCGCCCCGCCATCGAACTGAGTTGAATCGATGATGTAGAACGCCGCAGAAGTGCAAAGGATGATCCGATGACCGCAGGTTTTGAGGTTCATCGCCGCGCCGCCGAGATCCACGACAATGGGTGCACGCCTCTTGCGGCCTACAAAGGGAGCTTCAAAGTCTGGAAAAATAACGAGACCCTTGCCGACAGTGCAGCACAAGTGTTTGCCGACCGGCGTAACCCAGGGATTCAGCAGTGCTCATACGATGATACTCACTCCTTGCAGTCGACATACTCGTCGCAACAGAGGAGTTTCTCGACCTTTGCAGACGAGGGCTTGGTCTTTTCGACGATGACTGTTTCCGACGTTGGGTCGAACTCTTGAAGGCCCCGGAGGAGGTCTTCCAGCGCGATGTTTGCTCCTGACCGCTTCTGACGAGAGAAAGAGTAGTGCGCCGAGGGCTTGGTGAGGGCGTCGAAGATCCAGTCCTTGGAACTGTGGCGATGACGAACAATAATCTCGGCTTCATGCGGCATGATAACGACGTAGTTGTCGGTCAGAGTATGATCCTTTCAGAGTCAGCGATCAACCGTATCAGGGTAGGGGAGCGTACACAGAAATCTTCATCTCCGCTCTCGATCATGTGCTCTTGGCCATTCCATGGGCCCCAGCGAATCCAGCTCAGATTGTCCACGTCTTGCTCGTGAATAGTGAGCGTCGGGGAAGACGTATGAGCGTTGTCGACGCGAATGTCAACAGCACCCTCGGACTGAATACGCTGGCTACCGAGAAAGAAGAAACCCTCCAGGATCGGCCACGCTTCGCTGTCCTGCAGGTTCGGCTGAGGCTGCCCAAGCCAGTCATAAGCGTCGTCAGCAATGTAGTAGAACGTGCGAAGCGAGGTGTAGTCTGGAATGCGGAAGGTGTGGCCAATTCCATGGATGTGTAGTGCATTGGGGAACTCGCTTGGGATGCGGGGGAAGGTGCGGATCGTCTTCATTGTTTTGATGTCGACCAAGGAGAACACATCGACGTCGTATTCCTTCTCTCCCCAAATGTTTGTGGGCTCGTCAGGAAGAGCAGGACGGATGGTCTGAATGATAGCAGTGTTGCCATCAACACTGCTCAGCTCTCGAAAGTTGAAGGGAAGCTCAACGATTCGAGAAGTAAAGCTGCCAGTCTCCCACGCCGCCTCACGCAGAACGGCAGCTGAAGCTAGAGCGTCAGTCAGGCAGACTGGCATGTACTCACTCTCAGCAAACCAATCGACCTCGTTCTCGTTCTTGGCCAACACAAGACGGCGGTGGGTGGCGCTGTGCTTGAGGGACAGCCAGTGATTGCGCCAAGTGGTCTTCAGGCCCACACACGCATTGCGCCAGGACCGATCCACAAGCGCAGCCCGTAGCAGATCCTCGGGAGATGAGAGGCACTCAAAGATAACCAGGAGTACCTCCGCTGGAAGAGAGGTAGCGGTGAGCATGTCTGCGCTCTCCTGTGAAATACTATTGAGGAAGGATGGTAAAGGTGAAGGACGAGGAGGGTGCAACGTCGGTTGAGTCAACTAGCACGCGTGAGGGGCGCACAAAAGGATCTGCCCTTTGCCCAACGGCGGAGCCATCTCACGTCGAATCACGTCGACGAGATTGTTAATCATCCATGGCCAAAGCCTGCACAGCTCATCGCATGTTAGCTTACCTGGACGGTGAGCAATCCCAGTCTCCGGTGCAACTGAACTTCTCGCTTACGACGGTTCGGTACGCACTCGCAATTTCGCTGCTGGCGCAGTCTGCCTGCGATGAGCGACGAGGAGGGTCGGGGCCCCGCAGTTCAACCTCCACCTCCACCTTGGCGCCAAATAACCTCCACCTCGCAACGTCCGTGATCTCTCCGTTCTTACTCTTGATAACGGCCCAGAAACGCCGCCCACATGTCGCCGTTTGGTCCGCATCCATCCTTCTACCCTCACATTGTGGAGAACATCCTGTTCTATGCAGAGCATTCGGTCCTGCTCAATGCCCGCCTTGCGAATTCCATCATGCGGGGACTTGCGGACAAGGTTCTCGGCGGCCGCCAAATCATGTTCAAGATCAGGCGGGGTAGCCTCCTCGTCCTTTCCTACCACGGGCCGATACCATACTTCCATCCGTCCTCTCCTATTGCACACCAGCATGCCGTGATGAAGCGATCTCGGACAGTCCACATCGGTCAAGGCGTCGAGGCAACAGAGCGTGTCAACGATCTTCTCAGTTGTCTGATGCCGCATGCCGAAGTATACCTCAAACACATCGCCAACGCCGGCTGCTGCTTCACCATCCCTAATATCCGTCGCCTCGCCATCGACATAGATGCCCAGTGCAGCTGCTCTGACTCTGTTGCATCGGAAGCGTTCGAGCACGGTGCCCGCAAGCTCAGCCTACATATCCGTCGCGATCCCGAACACGAGGACACCAACACGTCATGCTTAATCAAGTACGATGTCTTTCGAAAACGACTCCGTTGTCTCATTGTCAACGACAGTAGCGTCTTAGTCCGCGATGCGTTCGAAAGGCAAGCGGTAGCTTCCACTGTGGGGCTGAAGATCTACAAGAACGACCTAGGCGAGAGCCGCTTCCACTGGAGGAGGTATCGTCCGGACGCTTTCACCATAGCCGGAGATCTAGTGTTTGGTGTAGAGTCAGGGAACGAGGGGTTCTCCGACTGATACAGTCTCATGAGAGTTAGCAGCAGCCATAGACCTCTTCTAGATGCACTGAGAACGGCAAGCAAACACTATCGGGCTATCTCAGGCGATACAGACTGCTCTGCAGGTCCGTGACAGCGCTCTCACCCGGCCAGAATTTGACTCTACGTAAGTACAGCGTATCAGCATTCTCGAACTTCTCTGGCTGTTCAGTGCTGGCCTGTAGAAACCGACAAAAGAGGAACATTGCTGTCCTGTTCTCCGCCAGGGAGTCGAACCCTGCTCTATCGCGCACCCTTTGGAGCTAGAGACGCTCCAGGATCTCCCTTTTGAGAGGCGATTATACTAACCGATATACTAGCGAAGAGACGTTGCTGGTTGGCGAGCACGCACCCGGGGGCGCAGAGGCCGCCGTGAGTCTCTGGTCAGCAAAGGCTCTGTGACAAGCTCGGTGCAGCAGGCTGCCAACGCCAAGCCAGATGCATGCGGGGGAGAGCTTCATAGTCAACGGGAGCCAAACGTTGAGCTGGGAGTTGAGGTAGGGAACCCCTTCTGGCTGTCTAGGGGGCACGCGGAGTTGAGGTCAATCGCGAGCAGAATTCTTGCATGAGACATGTGAGATCCTCTTCTGAGCTTCTCTACTTCCACGCCTCCTCTATAGAGTAGCCCCCTACTTGCGGGAGGACCGAGCAGCTACCAAGGTGACGAAGAAGAACGCGAAGGTAAGAATGGCCGTCGAGCGTGTGTAGTGCCTGAACTGGGGATTCGAGACGTCGGGAGGATGGTCGCTTGAGACTGCCTGGCCCAGCGTGTATCGGACACTTGGCCGACCAGTGGGGGCAGCCAAAGCTGAGGGCGACTTCGCCGGCTCGGCCGCCGCGATAGTACGTGTGGAGACCGTAGCTCGGGGACTCCGCCGCTCCACTCGATACGTGACCCAGGACACTTGCTGCACTCCAAAGCGGAAGAGCTCCCTGGTGGTGTTTATGCTCCGAAAGTTGGCGTCCGCACAGAGGACTTGGCGGAGGAACAGGTCTTCGCTGGTGATGTCGTGGTTCCAGTGGTGGATTTCCAGGCGCTCGACTCCCTCATGGACCAAGCCGCGGACGAGCCCGCACATGCAGGTCGGCCTCTGTTGATAGTCCTGGAACAGGATATTGATCCTGACGTTACGCGCCTGATGCTGTAGAGGCACATAGTTGCCGGGACTGCATTCGCAACCGGCCGGAACATCCAGCTCGAGATAGCGTAGCCTCGGAAGAACGTGGTGCGAGCTGCCGTTCTTCGCATGCTCGAGGCGCACCCTTGCGCGGGGGTTCAACCGCGCCAGGAGATCGTTCAGGCGTGCACCGGGAGGTACGCCACGGCCGATGATGACAGTGCGAGCTCTGCGCATCGCAGCGTACTGGTGGTCGAGAGGAGCTGAAGGGTGAAAGAACGGCAGGACACCGCCATTGGACACGAAGACCAACTCCTGTCCACGGTGCCGGATCTCGATACGTGCACACCTCGCGATAAGGGTTCTGTTTGCGAAGCGGCACACTTCTGTGTTCACCAAACGCGCAGAGAGCATCGTCTGGCCGTCCAGGTGGGCGACAATCTCCTCCACAATGTGGGGGAACCCTGTCCAAGACAGCAACGTCATCTTCAGTCGAGCTGTGGTTATAGGTTAGTGTTGGGCTTGCGAGGGAGTGGATGGGCGAAGTGAGCTCATATATCCGCGTTTCGACGTCCCCAGCTTCTAGTGCAGAGTATTCCTTGCGACTTCCAGGTGTAGCACTGTTCATCAGTGAAAGGGATGCTCGAGAACAGCATTCTCAATGCTTCCCAGGGAACGACAATGTTACCTTCGGCGGTGCGATGTGTGGCAACATTTTCCTTCGCCGCGGTATTGTTCTCGTGAAGTTCATCAGTGCAGATCAGAAGAGCCACAGTGCCCAAGACAGTTGTAACATTGTGACAAAAGTTCATGCAGCTCTCAATAGCTCTCCTCTGAGCGAGTGAACATGATCAGACTCACAGCTCCATCGGTGGCTTTGTCAAGATCGACTTTTTGCGGAGCGGTATGTCATGGGCGACGGCAAGGGCTTTCCTCCATCTTGCCACATACCTGAAGTGTGCTCTCATCTGCTGTTGCTGGGACCTCCTAGCATGGGGTGACTCCAGTAGGATGAAGGCGTATCCATCTCACACGGCAGTCTTTGATTGCCACGATGCAAGCTGCAGTAATCGAAGATCCTTGAGTTCATCTGCAGTTAGCAACGAGCCTCGGCATTGGTCAGCTCACCTCGGCAGTCCAAGCTGCTAGCTGAGTCAGCTGTGCACGTTATCACCGTCCCATCGTCTTGGAGCATGTCTATGGTTGTTATTGAGAGTACGCTGGAACATTGGTGCCGTCGAGGACTATGAGATTAGACGAGCACCTTGGTGGATGATCGAGCCAGCGATCGGCGCTACGGGAGCTAAACATCTCCGCCAGTTCCGTGATGGTGGCAAATTGACCCTCTGGCCCATGGCTTACCGGTGCCAGAGAGTTCAGCTCTGAGTAGTTTCTGCAGTACGCAAGTGGCAGAACGGTGTCGCATCACTCCGAACCTGAGCAAGTCCGCTGTCTCTAAGTAGGGTCGTAAATCGGGCAACTTTGTTCTCGCCCTGGATTCCGCATATCGCATATCGCAACCAGGATGCTCCGCCTCGATTCTGAATCGCACTAACTCACACTGCGAGTTTAGCGAAACGCTGCTGTACTTTGTGGGTAGAATATGCATAAAGACGAAGTTTCAGTAGCGAGCACTCGTTCCGAGTCGGATCGCATCTCGGCGATCCAATGGCCGCTGGCGGCATGCCGGCCGTAAATCACGTCATGGTATTTGGCCGAAAAGTTCAACTTTTTCTTCTCTGGATCGGCGATCTCCCCTCCCACCTGGCCCCTCACGTCTTCCGAACCTGGTGATTGCGACTGGCTGCCGGGCACGTGCTGCACGGATTGCAGAAAGCTAAGCAGTGGCTTGGCGCTCGGGCTGTCCGAAGCCTTGGGAGCCCTTGGCTGGCAGGCGCTGCGGTGATTGCCGCCTCGAATGACCCTGTGGCCGGACGGCTCAGGAACGTTATCTTAGTTAAGGCCAATCACCAGGCCTTATCTTTCAGGTCCTGTTCAGGTAGACGGCTTGCCCGCTGGCTGGGCCTTCTTCTCTCCGCAGACCCACAAAGGACCAGAGGGCCTCCGGGCCAATTCCCCCGGGGCCTTGAAGATTTCTTTGACATTGCCTGAGGGGCCAGCTGCTGGCGAGGGGAGCGAGAGGGGCTCTCAACGCCGTGGCTTGGCCATTTTCCAACAGAGCTCGATGTCGACACCGATGGTGATTAACGCTCGGCGAGTCGCATCGCTTCTCTGGCCTGGGACTGGTCGGAGTGACCCGATACCGCTGATTTCTGACATGTCAACTGTCGACCCAGCAGCACGCCATTGTACGTTGGCCGCCTTGCTGGTTCAACCGCCGATCTACGGTGTTCCTGTTCCAGTGATTGGCTCCAGTGATCAGAGAGTTGGCCGACTCGGTGGAATGCTGGAACGCGAGTCAGATCTCTGCGATTCAGTTTTGCGATCACGCCTGCCGACATGCCGATTCCCGCGATCGCGGCCGCGCCTGATAAAAGCAGGCGCGGAGCGACAACGTTGAGGCTATCCCATCTCTCTCTAACACGCACACACGCTCCTTAGGCATACACAATGGCCGAATTTGACGACCGCAAGGTCGACCTGGGGCGCACCATCACTCCCGTTCCCGCCCTCACCGCCAACGATTGGGTCGAGAAGTCATCTCTCGACAGCTCGGAAAACCTGAAAGCAGAGGCAGAGCTCACTCCGGAAGAGAAGCGCGCCGAGCGCCGCTTCCTCTGGAAGCTCGACCTCATTTACTGCCTTGTGGCAATGATCGCCTTCATTTTCAAGATCGTCGACCAATACAACATCCAAAACGCTTACGTCTCGGGCATGAAGGAGGATCTGAACCTGAACGGCAACGAATATAACTGGTTCACGACCTATTTGTGAGTAGAACGCGGCTTTCTCGCGACTGGAAGGCCCTACAGTTCCAAACTTGGTGTTGTTCAACTAGATCCCCGTTTTCTCACGATTGGGAGATCTTGACGTTCTGTTCTTGGTTTCAGAAGACAGCCCTGCGCTTGGGCCACCCAGCCATATAAATGGATTGGCTTTTTGTGCAGAAATGAAAGAGGACCGGAATTTTGAGAAGGGGAGGTACTTTTGGCGCCCGAAGGTTGAGTGGAGGTTTCGTGAGGAGCTGTTGTGGTGTTTTCATTTTTGATTCCGTGCGCAGTCACTAACGATCAGCAACATCGGCTACGTCGTTGTCCTGTACCCCTCCTGCATCGCCGTCTCGTACTTTGGTCCTCACTGGCTTCTGCCGACCTGCGAACTTATCTGGGGCGTGCTTACGTGCTGCCTCTCGGTTGTCAACGATGCTAAGACCGTGTACGGCATCCGTTTCCTGATCGGCTTCGCCGAGGGCACCGCATGGCCCGGTAACACGACGATCCTGTCGCAGTGGTACCTGCCGAACGAGATCGGCACGCGCCTCGCCCTCTTCAACATCGCCCAGCCGATCGGTGCGATGATCTCGGGCGTCATGCAGGGTGCCCTGTCGGAGACTCTCGACGGTGCTCTTGGCCGTGCCGGCTGGCGCTGGGCCTTCATCATCAACGGCATCGTCACCATCTTCATCGCCCTGGTCACCTACTTTACCCAGCCTGGCATGCCTGAGAAGCCCAACCCGCTCGCGCGCTGGTACCTGACCGACGAGGACTATGCGATCGCTCGCCGCCGTGTCGCTCGTGTTGGCCGCAAGCCCCAGGTCCCCCTCACCATCAAGAGCTTCTTCAATGCCTTCCGCTACTGGCAGCTCTGGGCTATCGCTCTCTGCTGGGCCTACGGCTACAACACCGTCCCCAGCAACTACTTCAACCTCTGGCTCAAGAGCCTCAAGAATGCCGACGGCTCTCCTCGCTTCTCCGTTCCTCAGCTCTCCTACATCCCCATGGGAGGTCAGGCAGTGTGTCTTGTCATGCTCGTCGTCCTTATGGGTCTCAGCGACTATCTCGGTGTCCGCCTCCCGTCACTCACTCTTCACACGATTCTCAACGTCATCTCCCAGGTCATTCTTGTTGTCCGTCCCAAGAACGAGGCCACATACATGGCTGGCTTCTTCATCAACTACGCCGGTCTGCCCGCCTATCTTCTCGTCTGTGCCTGGGCGGCGACCTTCATGAACGATCTTCCAGAAGTTCGCGCTGTGCTGTACGCTACCGGCACACTCATCTCGTACCTCAACGTCGCCTTCATTCCTCTTTGGGCGTACCCGGCCAAGCAGGCGCCGAACTGGAACGTCGGAGCCAAGTTCTATCTTGGCTCTATGTGCGTAACCTTCGTCCTCTTCCTCGCCACTGCTTGGGGACTTCGTTGGGAGGAGCGCAAAAAGCTCCGCGCCCAGGGCCATGTCGTGCCCAAGGTTAACCCTCTTGCCTGGCTGTGGACGTAAGCGCCGCTGCATCAGTAGCAGCTAGGGATTATTTCGGATAATCACAGCAAATCACTCATTAGTAAACTGTTTAGAGCATTAGACTTGGGATAGCTTTGGGTCTTGGCAGATATAGATAGAACTGCTCGTTTCAGCATAGTGTACAATGTAATCATTCTTTTGGGGTTCCCTCCCCGGCCGCATAGCACTTACGCGTTGCATATGAAGGAAAACCGAGCTGATCTCAGCCCACGGTTGCAGCGAGAGCTCCGATCTGGTGTGGGCGAAAATGCAGACGATGCGGGGACTCCGCCCGCTGCTGCCCTCGGCGAATACCATTGCCCTCTAGCGAGTATACGCGAGTTTCCGCCACTCTCGAGACAGCTGTACACATGCATTCAGCTGCCCTACATCCGAATGGATCTGCTAGGAGCCGTGCCTCGCTGGGGACTCCAGTGCATTCCGAATTTGCGAGATGTTAGGATCGCAGGCCGCAGCGGACCGAGAAGAGGCACCACAATCCACCAGGAGCCGTGCGTGGAAAGGGTGACATGGCAGAGGGCGGCTATTCGCGTCGAATGTGTAAATCGTGACCCGGCTGTACCACAAGCAGGACGATCTAGCTCTGGCGCCACCGTGATATGCTGAAATGACAGCCAGAAAAAGAGAGATCAACGTCCGCGAACTTCATCCGAAAGCCGAGGCTGTTCGGACCGCTGGAGCACAAGGAGCTGGCAGGCGTCAGAGCTGCCGTTGGTACTCAGAATACAGATGACGGCGTCCTTGTGGATCAGGCAGAACGTTCGGCGATATGTGGCGGAACCGAGAGATTGGAGACCAAGTGCAACCTTGGCAGCCGGAGCATGGTCACAGGGGAATAGAGAGCGCGAGGACGAACGTCCAAGAGCAGTTAGTCGCATTCTTGCATGACTGGCTCTCCTGGGTAGCGGTTGAATCGTGCCAGGCGTCGGGTGGCGTCGGCGCCCGTGAATTTGGAGAGACGATAGCGCTGGCAGGCCGCATTCCAGTGGAGCACTCTGGAGCCTCGTTGTCCAGATGGTTGATTCCTGAGTGGGTCTGGCCACTATACTGGACAGGTCTCGAGCTCGAACTCGGCTGGTGTCACTGTCGCCTCGTACGCATCGAGGCTGAGGAAGCGGGCGGCAGCAACGTCGCTCCAATCGCGCCTCGGGCTGAGTTGGGGGCCGAAGTGACTCAGGACACGCTTGAGCTGCGATGCGGCTTGTCCTTGCTCTCCGGGCCAACCCGGTGCGGCCTGTTGCAGTCCAACAACCGTGACAGCGCCAAGGTTGTTGTTTGGGACGCTCGCAAACAGAGTAGCCAGGAGCTCACCCAGCCACCAGTGGCCCCGGTCGTAGTCGTCCTGTTCGTATCCCTCATCGAGTCTGGCCCCGGGTCGGAACAGAATGATCGTCTCGCGAACCGGCCGGTTGAAGTTGTGGAGGTGCAGGAGGTGTTCGACCCACGGACCAGGTATCTTTGTTTTCGTTGGTCTAAAAGAAACCACTATTCGCTTCAGTCCCGGTAGTGGGATGGAGGTTGGCCACTTATCCCGTGGTTCTCCGAGTGCCAACGGCGCAAAAACCACACCTGTTCCCTCGAGAACTCCCGGGAATAGAGTCGGCGGCTTCGTTGTCGACCCAAGCCGAGCGTAGTCGGTATATGTGTCTGTCCATGATAGCTCGGGCAGCTTCGTCCTACGCGGCCAAGTGATATAGCTCTGGCCAGCATGTCGGTGAGAGCGGGCGGCCTCACTATCAGTTCTCAGTGGGATGGATGTCTCATCGGTGCTCCTGGTTCTGGCGCTACCGACGTCGTCTGTACGGTCTATTCTGTCCAGCTTTGCTTCTCGAGGGCCGACCGGAGGACGATGCAGTGAGGAAGGCAATAGGAGAACCTGTACGTTCGGAGCGGGCGCAGAGGCGTGCGCTAGGTGATCCTCGCGAGGGATACAAAAGACGTCGACGATCCGTGACCGACGCTTCAGGCGATACTTTCTGATGTTGGGTCGATAGGAGAACTCGCATAAAAGCTCCGCATCGGCAGTGAGGACGGAGTCGAGCTCCGCCGGCAACGACGTCGGGGACGGGGTGATGGGTAAAGTCGCAGAGACGACTCGGCGCTTTCCAGCGTGGGGCCGAGCGGTGTTTGTAGACGGGTCACCGCCGATATCGCTACCGGTACTGTGCACAGCTGCCTCGGAATGCTTGGCCGGCGCAGCCTGGGGCGGTGGTGCTCGTCTTCGAGATGGTGGCATTGGTTGTTCGTCTTGAGCCAGGAGGTCGCATGCGCATCGCCAGAGGGATATATAGCTGGTGTCACGTATGGCTTGCGGTCTTCGCTGTACACGGCCTGAGCAGTTCCTAGGTACTAGTTGCTGCACAAGTACAATGTCGCGGATATCCGGCCCAGGATGAGCAAATGTCGATTTGCCGAGTCTCTTTCGATAGCTCCAACACTTCGACAGGCAGCCGGCTGAGATCGCTGGCGTGACCACTACTCTGGTACCGGAACCGCCGCTCAGGGGATAGTTATCGAGATGAGGAGGGTAGAGTTGGCCAATGCGTCGACCGGAAGCTGTGCGTCGGCGGCCGGCACCGTCGAACGCGTAGAGGAGTCCTCCGTGTGTCCTAAATCCCTAGTCCCCTTGTTGGTTCCCTTCGATGTCAACTAGCGCAAGAGTTAGACAGATAAAGCGATTCAAGCGGCGCCCGTACGCTGTGCGTTTGCGATAGACCTCTGTGTGCAATGAGTCCAGGTTATAGTGTGAGTGAGGATGGCAAATGAGTCCTCTCTGAAGAGATGGAGTGAACAGCCGGCCGCTGTCGAGTCAGGAGGTCTTGTCAACAATCGACCGAACTGGTGCTTACCTCAATTCTGAAGCTCGTGCGCTCTGGACTCGAGCCACCGGACCTTAGAAGCATCCCGACAAGCCGACCTTCGTACGCTCCAGGCCGCCGCGAAGGTCAAAATCCGAATCGTCAACATTGTCATTTACGTTTGTTCCTGAGTGACATGACATTCATTCTGGAGAATGCTGTGTAAGTTTCGTGCGGGCCAGGCGGCCCGGGTGGAGCGTTACCACTGAGTGGAAGGCTTTCCGCTCGTCCTCTCGGTCTCTTCTGCCCTTGTCTGGCATTACGCTCTGGAGCCGCACTGCGCAACGCAAGGTCATCCATGCCCGAGATAAGACCTGGCCCGTTGCTCCTTCGAGTTCTGCATCGCCATCACCTGGAATGGTCACCTGCCAGTTAGGCGACTCGATCGGATCGCTAGGAGGTCACAATAACCTTAACAATGGCTCTACGTTCCAGTAGAAGCGGACAAAGGTCGAGAGTGGGACGTCGCAATCACTTCCCATTCATTCGAGAGAGGAGTGAGGCATGTCGATGGGTGTTGTGACGTGAGCTGGTCAGCGGACTTGAGCAGACGAGGGTGGCGAAAGACTGCAGCACAGCACGCAGCAGGCAGGTGACGAGAGAGGATCGTCGGTGAGCGTCATAGTGATCGACATTCATCCCTTGTGAATGGGCAACCCTGTGGACAACAACACGTGAGCTCGGCCAGAGACGCAGACTCTCCCAATCCGGGCAGAGCAGACATTGCATTGCGGGAGCGAAGACGCGAGCGACCGCATGCTTACGGTTCCGGCGGATGGAACTGCTGTGTTGACGGGTCACTCGCGGACCCCACCAACCGGTACACACAGAGTTTAGACTCACCCGGTCCGGTGACTCCCGGTCGGAACGTGGCTGGGAGTTGGGGCTTCCAGGGAAGCGATAGTTGTCGACCTCTTCACGGTTGGTCAAGATCGGCTTCAACAACAACTGGGCTCTGTCTTTTCTTCTGTCAACTCACCAGGTGCGTCCATGGGATTGTTGTGCTAGCGCAGTGACACTCCGGACGGTACTCGTCTGTGAACTGTGACCCAAGGGGTTGCACAGCCTCAAGTTTCGAGCGTTTGTGGCTCGTGCCTCGAAACGTATGGCCCCTGGCTGATTGTGAAGAGATAATTGTCACGATAAGGGTCACTGGGTGTTCATCCGTACTTTGAATGATATGTTCGACCTAGCGAACAATGTTATCTGCTTCCTCTCGGTCGGCCATGCTTTTGCAACTTGGGCCGGTGACGAGACCAGAAGGGTGTCGGGCCAGAGTGGGAGTGTGGGAGGTCGAGCGACAGTCCATCTCTGCTGAGGATCGTTACGCACAGTTCCCCAAACGCATCGATGTAGTTCCTGCTGCAGGGCCGCTTAGTAGTGGGCCAGATCAGCTCGCATGCTTCCCGGAGCTTCCTATATCGTTTGCATATCATAAAGAACGTCGATTGAAATCTTAGGCTAGATGACTTCGATGCTGCCTGCGCTCTGCGCATCCTCGTCACTCAACGATGTTTCTCCACCACCTGCGTCCCCTTCGGCTGAACGTCCTCAAGAGTGCTGCGCCTTCGGCCGGAGGGCTGCGTGCACGTTCGGGAATGGTGGGGTCCTCGGATTTCGTACCGATCACCAGGCTGCGGCGATGCTCGGGATGGTGGTCGGGGTAGTGCCCGGGCTGCTGCCACACCACGGTGCGGTCAGAGTCGTGGTCAAGTCGCATGGTCTGGAACGACGGCACGGAAGGCATGGACCGGTGGACAATTGAGTGCCGGTGAGAGTGTGTGGAACCGTTCCTGGACCCACCGGGAGAAAGCGAAGTGAGGTCGGGCTGGGAGTGTGACTGGGGCTCGAGGGCGCCACGCATTGAGCTACGGCTGACGGTGAAGCGCAGCGAGTCGACTTCTAGAACAGGTGTCAAAGTGGTCTTGTGAATGTGGTTCTCTTCGGAAGGTGCGGCGGAGGCAATACGTCGTTGGAACTCGCTGCGGCAAGACTCCGCCGTCGCCGGGCTGAGGTTCGGGTTGGGGTGCAACTTCTCCGTCTGCACTTGCGCCGAGACATCGGCACAAACCCACTCACTCGACAACGACTCCTCGCTGCTCTTGATGTCGGTGTGGTCGATCGATTCCGCAGGGTTGAAAAGGAGAGACGCGGCCTGCTGCTCAGGGCTAGCTGTCAAATGGGTCTTGGAGAGGCGGAAAGTGTGTTGTGACTCGGGCCGATAGAAGCCGCCGTGCAGTTCGGATGGAGGCGGGCTGAGATGGGAGCTCTGAGAGTACGATTTCGAGTCCTGGCGAGTGAGAATTGGGTCCTGAGAGCAGCTTCCACAGCTTGCTTCGTCGGAGAGAACCTGGGAAGGGCGGCGCAGTTCGTTGAGCAGGCCGCGAACATCGTTTAGCTCTTTCATTGCTCTGTCCCAGGCTTGCTCAGCCTTGTAGAGGTTGTCCCAGCTGGTAGCGCTGTGAAGGGTGTCGCGGTTGGAGTCAAGCTTCCGACTGCTCTGGAAGCTTACGGTTCTCGTTCTTCCTGGGCTGGCCTGGACCCCCTTGTCTTCCATGTGCGGCTTGGGAAGATTCTGCCTCAGCCATCCCTCCCACTGCAAAGCTTCTCTGGCTAGCTGCCCAAAGCGTTGGGATACTTCCGCCAGAAGAGTCGACTGCTGGATGAGCATGTCGGAGTGGGTGCTGAGGGCTTGTGCGACGACCTCAGACGGAGGCGTGTGAAGGTGAGACTCGGAGCTTGAGGCTGAAGCAGACAAGTTTCGAGCCGTGGCGGGCATGGTCTGCCTACTCAGCATCTGGTACGTTGGATGGTGCAGTACTCTTGTGCTGGCAACACCCGCAGCGGACGCGTCCGTTTCAGTGTGCGACGTCATCGGCGACCCCTCGTGAGATCCCGTATGATCATGAATGAGGGCCTTCGGCGAATCCTCGTCGTCAGGGATGCCGAAGGCCTTTGTCCGGACGACCTTCGGGATAGGCTGGTCGAGGTCGTTGGACAGCCGTTTCGGAGAAGGAGAGCGTGTAGCTCGCCTTCGGATAAGAATGGACGGTAAACGAGACGGCGTGCGGGTAGGGGGCGGCTCCCTCATTCCGAGGCTCGCACTGTCGCAGCTGCCGGCGTCAGTTGCAGGAACGGGGATTGTCCTCACCTGTCCCGGTCCTTAGGCGAACTAAATGCCTGCACCACCTGCGTCTTGAAGACGTCGCTCAACTGCCGGTCCTTGAGGCTGTCCAACCGTGAGTTGATCCCAAGGAGAGGAAGAGGTGAACTACGCCCTGTAGTTGAAGCATAGCCCAATTCCGATGCTGGACGCGGGACCTCCTTCCGAAGCTGCGGTTAAGTCCGGGCTCATCTCGGCTGACCTACCTTCGCCTCTGCCTTCGTCGGTACCCGCATGGACTTGGACCGCACTGGTGTGTTCCCCGTCAGCCTAGGCAGCCGACTGTCTCCCGACATCGCAGGCAAGACGGAGCTGGAATCGAACTGCTTGGTGGGGGAGTCACGGAAAGAGCTCGGAGGAGCGTGAGTCGGAGGTCGATGTTGTTGTTGGGATTTCAAACTCGGGCGCGGGTTGACAATCATCTTCAAGGGCACGTCTGAGGTCCTGGGCGAGCGAGGGGAACGGGTCGGTGCTGGATCAGGGACATTGTTACTTTCGGGTCGAGAGCAGGAGCGCGAAGCCTGTTGGGTGCGGTTGGTGCGTGCTGTGCGATAGGAAGAGGGCAAAGGAGGAAGAGGAGGCGCCGAGAGTGGTGCACTAGGAGCAGCCTTAGTGTCCATGGTGCTGTGTTGCGGTGGCCTTGGTGCAAGTCCGAGCGACACGGTGCGCCTATACGAGACCCTTTATGGATCAGGAAGTGTGGGTGGGCCCTTCACCTCGCGAAGCACGTTGGTGCAAGAGGGCACGGCCTGCACAGGCGGTGACGGTGACCGCCATGGGGATAAGGGCCATGATGCGTGCGAGAGGTGCGTACGGCTTGGCGACGAAGTTGCGTACCGAGCGAGATGTTGCTTATGGGGAGGAGCAGCACGAAGAGGAGTACGAAAGTCAGTGCGAATGCAAGCGCGGGAGTGTGTGCCTGTGTGTCCGTACGTTGCTCCATGTTGAGCAGGTTCATCGGCAATCCGGCGCAAGCCCCGGTGCACCCCCGGTAGGTACTCCGCGCGTAGCGTACCGTGCATCGAGTGCTCTGGGCCTCTATCAGTGCGCTAGTGTCTTAAAGCAACAAGTTGCACGTTGGTTCTGCAATGAACAGGGAAGCTTCCACTGCAAGTTACCGTTGCTCACTACCTCTTTGTGCTCGTGCCGGTCAACTGAATGCTTCCCCTCATCCGTGGTGGTCCCTCGACCAGGGGTTCAACTCGTTACCGTCAGCCGGGGCACTGTCGTTCTACTGATCTGTACCAGGAAGATCTCACATACTTCCCGCTTCACCTCCGGCATGCGTCAGTAATGGTGAGTGCCGCACGACGTCAGGTCCGGGCTGAAAGGCGAGTGCGCATCAGTGTTCAGACCTGAATGTTCGCTTACTGAGAGCCGCACAGAGATTGCGCCCAAAGATCGCGATCTGAAAAGCAGACTCACGAAAAGGCTGTTGTTTTGTCGTACGGCAGGGACACGCTAAGCAGTTCTGGACACACAAGACACAAGAAAACGGAGTTCGATGAGGAAGACTGAAAACGTGTTTGGTGAGCGGAAGTGGAGGTGGTGACGTCAGTCGTTGGCTCAGCTGAGTGCTTTTTCGCGGTCACTCATCGCTTTCCTTTGTGCTCTCGATGAGCTCGCAGCATACAACACAACTCACGACCGTCGGGCACGGCACAAGGAAAGGGTCGTTAGCTTGTATGTCAGTCTGGGGAACCTTGTGCTCACCGAAGGTCTGACTGCGGAAGCAAGCGAGCGCTCATCATCGATGCTGTGAATCACTCGGAATGACGTCGTTCGGTACCCGCGACAGCTCCACTACCTAGCAGACCAAGCTACCCACGCTCACCCACGCGCGACGCTTTCGTAACCTCTGCCGGTCGGTGTTCCGTTATAACCCATACGCGTTCCCAGCCTTGGACGCTTCTCTCACACTCGCACCTGTTGATCCAGCATGAGATTGACAGTTCTCGCTACTTTGGCCACTGTGGCCAGCGCCCGTCCCTTCCTTCCCGATCTCACGTCGGCTGACTGGGCCCAGATCCAGTCGGGCTTCAGCGTCGAGAACCTCGGAAGCCTCGCCAGCGGTATTGCTTCCGGCATCGTCGACAAGATCAACGGCGCCCAGAAAGCCGTTGAGGAATACAGCGGCGACGACACTCAGAAGACGATCTGGCAGCAGATCAATGACGACTCGGACAACTACTCGAAGCTCATCAAGGTTCTGAACGTGAGTTACTGTCTTCCTTCGATATTCCATCGGCTCCCGGACCGCCCGTGCTGACGTGTGCATAGTTCGAGGAAGACCACAAGAAGGTCATCGACAAGCGCCAAGATGGCTACCGCATCACCTTCTTCGCTCCCAACAACGACGCTCTCAAGTGCCCCCACCACAAGGATGACGACCTCGAGGCTGCGTTCATCAACGAGCAGGACATTGGTCTCGCTCAGGTCTCCGCCGCCATCGACTCGCTTGAGACCATGGGCGGTGATGACAAGGACAAGAAGCGTAAAAAGGAGATCTTCAAGAAGATTGCCCACTACGTCCTGCAGTACCACGTCCTTGCCCAGGACTTTGATGAGCAGGCCCTCGCTCAGAACTCGACGATTGCGACGACGCTGAGGGGCCCTGCCGGTGGTTCGGCTGGACACAAGCTTCGCTTGCACATTGAGAAGCACTTGGTGCCTCCTTCGCTCAAGCTCAACTTCCACTCCACGATCAAGTCCACGCACAATGCCCAGAACGGTGTCTGGCACGAGATCGACCACCCCCTCTACCCTCCCGTCTCGATCTTTGCTGAGGCTCTCATGATCACCGAGTACCTGTCGACCACTGCCGCCGGTATCCAGGCCGCGCACGGTCGCCACTTCATCGAGTGGGAGTACGACCACGAGAAGTCGCGCAAGAACCGTCCCGTCTTCGCTGGCACCCCTGCCGCGACCTTTGTTGCCCCCAGCAACAAGGCTTGGGACGCCGTCCCCGAGGGTCTGCGTCGCTTCCTGTTTTCGCCCATGGGCCGTCGCGCGCTCGCCAAGACGTTCGCGTACCACTACCTTCCCCGCCAGATCCTCTTCTCCGAGACTTACCACAAGGCAAAGGACATCTGGTCCGAGGACGAGGATGAGGGTGTCTGGGAGGTCGACAGCTTCGGCGATGACCCCTCGTTCAAGCGCACGATCGATGCGCCGACCGGACTGAAGGGCCACAAGATCAAGTTCGAGATTGAGAAGAAGAAGCTGCTCCCCGTCGAGGGCGCGGTCAAGGTCTCCATCAAGGTCGAGGGCAAGGACCTGCAGGTCATCGACGTCCCCGCCTCGAATGGCGCTTGGCACATCATCGACGAGGTGCTCTGCCCGCCCCACGATGGCAAGCACAAGCACCTCGCCCCCCGCACCTGGGACAACTGGGAGGAGTGAGTACTGAACCTTTCATGACGTCCAGTCAGAGATCGAATTACCCCCGCGCGGCCGAATGTCGGCCCCGCACAGCTGTGAAGCCGGATCCCGGGGCCCTAGATCGCGCGGCAGGAATGATCTTGGCACGCTTCGACTGCGGCTGTCTGCGCTTCTGCTCGTCAGTCACTTGGTGGGCAGAGCAGAGCCTGCAGCTCTTCGCACACGATTGAACCCTCGTCGACGCAGTGTTGCGTACGTGGCGTGCTGACGTTTCACAGATGGGTCCCCCAGTGGGCGCTCGAGTAAGCCAAGCGAAACATCCTCGCTAGGCCGAAACGATTGCATCACATCAGCCAGCACCGGCCGAGCTGCGCTTGCGCTCGATCGCACTCGCTGTGAGGATAAACCAAAAGAAGTCGGAAGTCGATAGTCGAATGCATGAAAGAAGTACCACTCTGCCGTTTACCAGATGACTGCGCTTTGCAGCATGTCTGTGCTCGATCACTCGCTCGTTCCAGTCCCTGCTCACTGACCCTCCGTCGCAGCTCGATGCTGTAATCAGCACGTTGCGCACCGCACGTTGTCCTTGCACGTTGTCAGAGACTGGCATCAGTTTCGCAGGTTTGTCTGGCTGACGTTGTCGCACTGAACTTTGGGGTGGGCGTGAGGGGTCGGTAGGTCTGGGCAATCTGGATCCGTGGAATGTCAAAGCCATGCGTGCGTTCCGGGGTGGCAGGGTTGTGCGTGGTCGTGCGGTACGTCTGCGGTGACTTTGCGGTGTGCGGCTGTGCAAAGCACACTAAGGCAGCCAAGGCAGGTCACGTTTCTCACCCCTCCTTGGGCACCCTCACGCTAAAACGCGGGGACGTGGGGTCGTCCGATACTTTTTGGCGGGTCTGCGGGCCCGGCGTGATCACGGGATCACACTGGTGCGACTGATGCGGCATGATGCTGGCGTTGCTGACTTTGTACAACTCAGGCTCAGGGCGGCGGCTGGCTTGGGGCAGATCTGGGCTCTAGGGTGGTAGAGGGTTGTCCGATGAAAGCTCTTTGTCGCAAAGTCGTCAGCTGAAAGTGGGCCAACAGGTCGAGAGTGGAGCAATGACCTTTTCAGGTACAGAGGTCAAATCAGCATTAGGAATGCGATTACCGGTCCAGGGGTAATGACGTCCTAATGATCTGGGCATGACGTCGTGGGAGACTGCAGTCCGAATGCTCACTGTGGAGCGCGATGGTGTGATCGTAACTAGACCTGCTCCGATCAGATTGCGCTGTAGATGCTGCATGGGGAGCATTCCGTCAACGCGTGCGCTTTGCAGCGGGACAGCCACCGCCGAGGTACAGGTACGCGGCACGGACGCCGTGCGCTGCGCATTGCGAACGTGCTGCAAGTGCGTGAGCTGCATGACCTGCCATCGGACTTGGGCGCGGCCGAAAGTTCGACACATACCGCTGCCAGTCTCACCATGCTCATCTGGTGCTCAATCTGGTCGACGCTCAACGCCGTCATTTAGTCCCAAAAGGCGTTCTTCGAACTGCTCCTCCATCCTCAGCAATCTTGGCAAGCGCGATGGACGGTGCGTAAGCGGCTCCAGGCAAGTCACGGGGTCAGTGAGATCGGAAGCTAGACGAGCCGGAGTAACGGTCGAGCTTGGTGTCTGTGCTGAAATGCCCGCTGGCCGCGCGTTAGCGCTTTCCGAGCCAAGTTGGGCCCCTGTCGATCCCATCCTCCTATTCAGCGGCCATTTTGGTCTATTCGCGAGTTTCTGATGCATTTGGTTTCCCGATGGCCCGGTTGACCTGCTGACCCCTCTGATCCGTTTGCTCGGTTCTGCATCCCCCTACACCCATTCTCTTCGACCACTGGACATAGAGCATTCGGTCGGCTATGATGGAGTCAAAACACTGCAGCATCGTCGCTAGAGAGCATTCACCGACATTACAGATTGAGTGATTAAGCCGAGCACAGTGTCGAATGTGCGTGCACGGACTTCGCGGTGTCTGCCCAGTCCAGACGTAATCTCGATCACACCACCACGCAGTTTGTTCCCGCGTCCGATTCACTAGATTAGCGCAGGACATAGCAGGGTCAAGCGAGCATGAAACACCTAACCAGCTGCGAATAGCTCGATTAGCTCAACGTGCACTAATCGGCGCAGGAAGCTCGCCGGGTTGCATTTGATCCTCTATTAGGCTCAAGGCTAACTTGACGAAATGCTCCCACGTGAAATTCGAAATTATCTACAGAGTCGCACGGGAGGAGGACTCTAAACCAAATCGAAATGGAAATAAACACGGCGGGCAGCGGGCAGGACTGGAGCACGGTGAAGACGGCGCGGCGATAGAGAGAAACCGACCAGCCACTTGGGTTCTGCCCGCTGGCCCGGTGCCCGTTGTCAGTCCTTCGCGGCCCCTCGGCCCTCGGCCACTGGCACCGCACCCCCACTAGGCAACCGCCAGCCAAACATAGCCTTCCGAGTGTCAGTCAGCTCCACCACCCGGCGCAGCCGAATACGCCAGACACAGCGCGTCAGTATCATTGCCGAGGTCCGAGTCGCTGTCGTTTTCAGACTCAACGGAGTTTTGCGAAAGCCGCGAAATGGGCCAAATGGAGGCGTCGAGGCGTCGGCACACTTGGCATGGCTGAGCTTGCCCACCACAACCGGCCGACTGTACCCCGGAGGTCGGACTGGCGAGGCTTCAGGCTCGCGTCTCGGTCGTGTCAGTCCCAGACGCCCAGAGTCGTTCACAAAGTCCCGCGGCCCACGCGTCCGTCGTCCCGGTGTCAGGCCTGGCCATCTGGGCTCCGGCCGGCACGACCGAACCCGCACCCGCCAGGCCCGACAGTCGCTGCAAGCCTGCGTTGCTGTGTCGCTGTAGCGTGGCAGTTCGCATACCGCTGACGAGAAGCGCAAGACCCTCGTTGCCTTCTCTCACGGTCGGCATGCGGCAACGGCGGCTGCGGATGAACCAAGCCTTCCCAGCGCCGGGTGTGCCTCGTCTTCAGCCTCACCGGCCGAGCGAAAGGACGCCCGCCAGCCTCATCTGGGTTCCTCGCCTGTTCGCGTGCCGTGTTATGCATCATGCCCATCTGTCCAGCTGCCCAGCTGCCCGGCTTGCTCAGCTGCTCAGAATGCCTCATGGGTTGCCCCAAAGCTTGGCCCCATTGCGTTCTTTTCCGGCTTGCTGCAACCCGAATCTTGCAGAAGAGGTGATCATGTGCTCGCTCTGTCAGCCTGTTGAGTGCATTGAGTGGGCGGCACCGGCTTCTTCGTACCAGGTACCCAGCGTACGTTGCGCATGTACGCAATGCTCGCGGTCGGGTGTTGATCAGGCCCCGCCGACCCACTGCACCCAGATGCTACAGTGCTGGCAGAGCTGACTGAGCGTCAGCAGAGCAAGATGGGCGGAAGCAGAAATCGTGACATCAGCTGCAGCGTGCCTTGTTCCTCGACCCGTCGTGTCAGTCTCCACCCATTGCTCGGCTCCCTCGCCTGAGCTTGTGAGTTTGTTACAGCATCGCCAGCGTGCCTCTGACACTGTGCCCTGTGCTAGTGATTCTGGCCACGGCCAGAGCCAGCGGATGCCCTGCAAGCCCTGCGGCTCCGTCGAGTTTGGTTCTCATCATTCCCAGCGCCCAGCACGCCCAGCATTTGCCCAGTGAGCAGCCTGCCCAGCCGACACTTCCCCGACCTGCCAGCACAGAGTTGACCGAATTGAATGAAGACCGTGTCACTCTCATGTCTCAAGTGCTGACCAGCTCCCCCATAACTCTGCCTCCTAGCCCTTAATCGAGCCCACTCGGTGCCGGCACTCGCCAGACTGCAACGCATGCGACCACCGAGATTCCATCAGCGATCACTGTGGATCCCAGTCTGCCCATGAGCACACACAGAAAAGCATATGCATGACTGCATTGGGCTCGGACGTGAATGACGACCGGCCGTCTCGCACCCGTATGCATGTGCATTCCGATGCTGTCGCGATGGTAATTAATATTGGGCAGCCTGGCATCCGGCTCGCGGCCGACAACCAGTGTCGGGTCAGACACACAGACGTCAGAGAGATCACAAAGTTAGTCACCTCCGGCACTCTGTGCTGCGCCGCCCAGCTCCCACCGTGTCCCACCGCCGTCACGACCGTTCAACCCCGGGCACCCCGGCACCCCTGGCCGACCCCGTCCCCCACACAGCAGCCCAGCCCGGCCTTGCGGCCAGCGCCGTGACCCCGTTGCCGGCTCTGGCTCGCTGACGCGCATTGCTGACCCCGACGCAACTACGACATTCTCATGCCTCACGGCCTCTCGGCTTACCCTCAGCACCCACCCGAACATTGCATTCAGTCAGGCCCGTCGTCAATCGCGACTGAATCGGTGCACCTGGATCTGGAGCCTGCTACATTGCCTGTTGCATTGCCCAGGTCTGTGCTTATCTACTCGGACGGCTGCTTCTTGGAAGAACCCCCTCCCCGACTCGTCGTCACTCCATCGCACCCACTAGCTGTCTCGCTGATCACCGATCGGATCATACGCAAGCCACCATTTCCTACCATCACTGTCACCGCAGCACTACCTTCCACCACCAAACACATCTACGATGTCCTCATAGCCCAGAGCGCATCACACACACCCTCCCCAAAGCCCTCCCACTGCCTCCCCGCCGCACTCTCATCGCCCGTCGTGATCACTTCCCAACGAAAGCAGTGAGACCCGCTCCCAAATCCTCTTAACTCCATCAAATTCCTTGTACCGCCCCAGCATCCAGCATTCGTTACGGTGTAGAACACCGCAGCACCCAACGCCCAGCGCCTCCACTCACCCAAATTCCGGTTGCCGCCCCTGTCTCGGGCCCCAACACCCGGCAGCCCCCTCAGCCTCAGCCACCCACGTCGTTTGGCTGCAGCGGTGACGCTTTCTCCGCAGCACCACTGTCAACAACCAGTCACAGCCTGCCAGTGACGACGGTGCATGCAAACCTGGCGACTGCTGTTGCATTCGCAGTCGACAACGGCCGAGCTCCGAAACGCTCGCTCCACCGTCGGCATCGGCGCTTCTTTGCGCCCCTCCGCGAGCATCTGTCTTATCAATCTCGTCACTCCTGTGTGTGTACCCGCTTTCGGTCCAAAGTTTCGGTCTTTTCCGCTAGCACACCAGCTCGCCAACCACTGAACACCCGCCTCGCTCCCTTTGTTGTACAGTGTAGACGACCTCTTGGACAGTGCACTGCATTGATTTGCATTGCATTACGACCCCGTTATCCTCGCAATACCGCCATATCTTCGCATTCGCATCGTCGCATTCCGCCGTAGCATCATCAGCATTTAGGGTGCCCAGTGAGCCAAGCTAGCGCCCAGCCAACAACACCAGAGGACCACTAGTCAGGCCATCGAAACGGCTGCTACGTCGCTCTGTCGCAATCTCAGTGCTCTCAACATTCCACCGAGCCGCCGAGAGCCGAGTCTGAGCGTCTAGTACTATTCTGCAGCCGCAAATCCGCCTCGAACTGCCTCACTGCTGCCTCCCTGCCCTAGGCTAGTCGGACGTCTCTGACTCATAAAAGGTCAGCTAGCACCGCCTGGTCTGCAGCCTGCAACGTGCGAGCAGCCGGGGACCAATACTCTAATTCCCTCAGCCGTATCAACCAAGTGCCGCAAGGACGAGGTGCATACGCTGAGTTGTTTTTCGTATTCGTCCCAGCCTAGTTCTGTAGTTCAGCCTGTTCAGCCTGGTGGTGGACCCCAAATCCACCCCCCTTCCCTCCTATCATACCACCCCGCTATCTCTGGTTCCTCTCTGGCGCTGCTGCCGAGTGACGGATTTCGCGCATCTCGACATTTCGCATCACACGCACGCAACGGATACACCATATAGCATCGGGACTCTCACCGTCCTTTCCGCCCCCAAACCCCCCTCTCGTTCGATCTTCACCCGGTGTGAGTGCACCTGCGGTGTCTGCATTGCAGAACTTTTTCCGTGAAAGTGTGAGTACCTGTGCCTCCTCCCCCGCAGCGGTTTATCTCGCTGTGTCTGCGTGTGCATTGGCTGTTGAGCGCTGCGTGCGCCCTTATGGCCCTGGGTGTATGGTACTGGCAGGCGCACTGGCGGGTGCCAAAAGCATTCGTGTCTTGGTTTAGCCCCTGCATTTGGCTGGGGGAAGGGACCTGGAAGTGCGGCTGGTTTTTGCGGGCGGCTGTGTCTGGTTTGCTGGCGGAGCCTGGCTGGCTGGAGTTCTGCCCCGCGCCCAGGACATGAGCCCATCCAGGGCGGCATACTCGCCCCCGCCGGCTGCCCCCCGCCGTCCCCGCCGTCCCCAGTCGGCCCCCACGGCCCCCACACCCCCTTTGCACGACACTGCCGCACACGTCTATCACGCTCTCGGCCCTCCCTTTCACCTGAATGCCCAGCTGACGCCGTATCTCTGATCCTTGCATCTCCCCGCCCCCGACTACTCCTGTGTTCCGTTCCTTGCACTCGCCCGCCCCGCAAACGCAACGCATATTCATCGACGCGATTTTTCGGGAACAACCTGGGTCCCTCGCTCGTGTCGTCCTCCTGTCACTCTGTCCCACATCCCCCATCCCCACCCTGAACGCCATCCTGAACGCCTACCGCCTGACCACTTGACTGCACTGGCTCCTGGCTGCACTGGCTGCACTGGCTGCACTGGCTACCGCTTGCGATTCAATCACGCTCACGCGTTATCCTTCCCCCATCTCTCCCCCCTCATTTACCCTGACTCCCCGGCCCTGGCCACCCCGTACAACACCCCGTACATCCACCTCACCTGGGCCATCCTCGTCCCCTCCTTGGCCACCTTTTCATCTACCGGCACACATTCCCTTCCCTCCCTCAACACCCACCTCCTTGCATCCCTTCCTTTTTTCTTCTCTTCCCTCTCTCACCCTCGTCCACTCACCACTTTCCCCAACGCACAAACGACTCTACGAAACAAACGACATTCGTCCTATTCTTTTTGCGTTCTGGCCACCCTCCCCCTCCGCCGCCCACATCCCCCCCTCCCCTTGACTGACCGGACTTCTTTCTTGTTGCAACATGGATAATCAACATCAGTCTCGATAAGACTCGCAGTCACGATCGATCACCCGAAGATCACCCCTCCTTCGCTCTTTTCTTTTCTTTTCTCGTCCCGCCCCCGTCCCCATCGTTCCTCGCGTGCGCCCTCGCCCATCGCCCATCGCTTGAGCGACACTCTTGGACTCCCACCTCGCCCCCGATCGCTCCTTCCCAGCAGCGATTCGCGCCCTCCCAACTGGCACGCTGCAGTGTTGAGCATTGTGTAGTGTGTGAGATCGATTGACAGTGAGTGTCTGCGTCCTATTCCTTCCTTCCCTTCCTTGCCGGTTTTGTCCTCGCGGAGTGTGGATCAGTCGATGTTTCGTATGAGCGTCTTCGTTCGAAAAACGAAGCTCGTCCTGGCCCCTGCCTGACGGCGTCGCGCAACCGGTCTGCCTGCCCTACGCGGCTATGGTCGATTGCTTCCTGAATCCCGATTGGAAAGAGGGGCTCCGTGCGCTTCATTTGTGGACAGCATGGTCTGGGCGGCCCGTTCGCAGATGGCGTAGGGCATGTCGACTCTCCATGGCGATATGACGCGGAGATCAGCCAAAACCCTCTCTGCTCTCTGCGCTGCGGCCTCGTGCATTCCCTGTGCTGCGCCTGGCGCGGCTGGCTTGCCACCCTTTGTCTACGCTGCATCCCGGATCCCGGATGCCCTCGCATTTCGCATCTCGCATCGAGAATGTCGAATCTGCGGATGCGTGCACGACATCATAGTCCTCGAGCACGGTGGGCGCAGCTTGTCCAAGACCAAGGCCCTTCGCGCCCTCGCCTTGGCCCTCGGGCGACGGGCCGGGCTCGACTCTTGATGTATCACCGCCCACACCCACCCACACCCGCACAATCGTCTTTAATCACCTGCTGACCATCGCCTCCCCGGCTTCGTGCACCCCACCGACTCGGCCTGCTACGCTTATCCCGAATCGCCCTGTCCTCTGATCTCCGCTTCCCCCCTTTCGCACTTTGATCTCGCACGGCGATCCCTACTGCAGTCCAGTCGTCCCACCACCCACAACAAAACAACACGAAACGTTGCTAGCACATCATCGTTATCATCCCGCAACATCAAGGTCATATAAGAATCCCCCCTTAGTCTTCGGACTCTCCCTCCCCCACCTAGCCCATCCACCATGGAGATGGACATGGACATCAGTTGGTGCTTGGCCTGCTCCAGGCGCACAGTGAGTAACCCCCCTTCCTGTGCCGGTCATCGGCTCTTCTCCAACTTTTTTCTTTTTCTTGCTAACACCTCAGCGTGACCCGAGTAATCCGTATTGCTCAGAGTCGTGTCGCCTGAGCGATGCCGAGCCTTCGACGCCGCTGAACGAGCGCCAGCTCATCACGTCGCCGTTGCCCCCCAACTTTGTGCCATTACCTCCCTCCCCCAACGTGTCGAGGAAGTCTTCGGATCGTCGTCCTTCGCGCCGAGCCGCTCCGAACTCCGATGTGCGCCCCTCTCTTTCCCCTCTCGTCAACCGCCAGGCGCCCTCCACTGGTGCTATTCACGATCTGAACCAGCAGGAGCAGCGCAAGGCCCGCGACCGCCGTGCTCTGTCATTCCCCGCCGAGTGCGAGCCCTGCCCTGAAGAAGAGGAGACCAACCGGGCCCTCGCCTTTGTTCGCAAGACCAAGCCCGTCAATGGTGTTTCACGCTCATTCAAGAGAAGGTCATTACAGATGTCCCCTGAAATCTCGCGCCTGACTATGACCACTGGTCAAGTCACGCCGTCCACTCCGACCACACCCGCCGTCGAGACTTCGACGTTCTACTCGACCTCCGACAGCGAGGACGGCAGCGCAAACGGTCAGCGCAGCCCGGCGCTCACGAGCACGCAGCTGCACCCTGCCCCGCCGATGCCTTTGACCCGCATGAACGGCAGCAGCAACACGTCATCCCATCGTGACAATGGAGTGAACGTTGCCTCGTCGCTCAGCGCCAAGCTTCCTGGTCGCCCGACGCTGGAGGCTCGCAACAGGTCGAACCCTGTCACGCGCATGAGCTCTTCGTCGTCTCGCAGTCGCGAAGACATTATCAGCTGGGCGCGTGGCGTCGATGCTCGCCACCGCACGGACGACGGTACGCCTGTCGACACTGCGACCATTCGCCGTTCCCGCGGCCGTCGCCCGGAAGCCTTCGCCAACTTGGTTCCGCCCAGCACCGAGCCCCTCGACGAGCCCGTTACCAGCACCACCCCCAAGAATGCTGGTCCGCTGTCCGCCCTGAGCATGACGTTTGGCCCCGTGATGAACGCTTTCCGTAGCGTCTCTGGTGGAACCGCCCCGTCACCCACGGCTCCCGCGCAGAACCCCATTCCGCAAACTTCAGCGCTAGGCCTTCAGGCCGTGCCCGCTCCGGCTGAGGTCTCGATTGTGGATGTCGTCGTTGGCACCAAGTCTGACTGCCAGTCGGCCATGGACCCTAGCACGCCCAGCCTTTCGACCATGTCATTGTCCGACGCTGTCGACCCATCGACGACGACTGACATGTGCGACACTGCCACGGACGACTTTTCCATTGTTTCCTCGATCTCGCGCCCGCCCATCTACACTGCGCCCAGCACGCACAACCCGCTGCCGCAGCAGTTCCGCCGTGCGAACAAGGCTGCACTGCCTCTTCGTCCCACTATCCAGTCGACGGCCTCGGCTCTGTGGAACTTCTCCACCTACATTCGCTCCCTCACCCCCTTTGCCGCGCCCACGACGCCCAAGCCCAGTTCTGCCGAGCCGACTCCGCAGCTCACTGAGGACACCCCTGCTTCCGAGTCTGTCCTCCTCACGCCGGATAGTGCCGTCCAGGCCACCTCACCCGTGCCTACGACTGTCGGTCGCCCCGAGTCGCCCGACTTTACGATGCAGCCCGAGCAGTTGGTGCGTAGCGTGCCCATGGATATCGCGATCGCCCCTGGCAGCAAGGCGCTCGAGGTCATCCAGGAGCGCCAGCGTGAGCGCGAGATGCTCGAGAACATGCCTCGCAGCCGCAGTCGTACGCGTATCATGGCATCGCGATCGCCATCGGTTGAGGCGCAGATCGGCAGGAAGCACCACACCCGCCAGGTGTCGTACGATGCCGACTGCAGCGAGGTGGGCGGCGGCGACGACCGCGGCCGTCGTGGCCGCTCGCGCGGTCGTGCGCCCCGCGGCGAGCGCCGTGCCCGCACTCAGCCCGTCACTCCCCCAGAACCTGTCGCCAAGGCTGCCCCCGTCGAGGAGGAGCCCGAGCGTGGCCGTCGCCGCGACCGCGGTGCCGAGTCTCGCGATCGTTCGTGGAGCGCTGCGCGTGGCCGCCGCTCCCGCTCGCGCACGATGCGCGCTTACTAGACGACGTTTTCCGACCCCTATGATTCCCTTTCCACTACATGTTCCCCTTCCCGCCTTTGTCCAGCATATCGGTCCTCCTTCTGTACACCACCACGAGCCATTCAGCCCAATTCATCAGCAGCAAAAGCATTACCCCAATTACCAGATCATTTGTTACACACAGCCAAACACCTCACTCTTGTCATCATAGTTGGAGAGCAAAAGGAAGAAGTAAAAACGAAACAATAGCCAATACAAAATGTTCATCTAGCACTACCCCATGCATCGTGGCCTAGGTCCAAACGTTTTGGTGCTCTTGTGACTTACACTAAAGCGAAGCAAGTGTGTTCTCAGCGGTGAGTGCGAGCATCTTGCGCCCGAGACATCCTTTGTGTGCATCCAGATCCCCGGTGCGTTGCGCCAGCACGACAAGTGTTCTCACTCTCAACACTCAACTTCATCATTCGCCAGTCACTAACCCACTACTCTATCCCACCCAGCCCCAACGCCAGCATTCCAAGAGGCGGTCGACAGAACAAAGGCTCGATCACCGATCACCCGGTCCGAGCGACGCCACCACGAGTCGAGAGTCGAGATGATGGCGCAAGAGGTCGGTAGTGGGGCCAGTGACCCCCAGCAAGCGGCCAGCGGGCAGAAGAAGAAGGAAGTGGGAGGTGACAGCCACGAGGAGCGTGAGCCTCGGGAATCGGCGTCGAGAGATGGGGCAGCCATGTCCGCGGCCACAGCGCAAGCCTCTCCTTCCCGCCTGAACCTGGAGCCTGCGCCCCAGCCCAGCAAACCCAGCGAGTCTGGCGAGTCTGCCGGTGGCGCAGAACGTCAAGAACGTCAAGAAGCAGCCGTAGTCGGCCTCGCCGGGCCGGACACCGGGGACGCTGGCATTCTGCCTCAACTGCCCTCCGGTATGAACAGGCAGGAAGGACAAGGACATTCCGCAAAAATCGCATCGTCTAGCACGGATGAGGTGGTCACGAGACCCCCTCCCCTCAGTATTCTCGCCGCACCGACCGAGGATTCCGGAGGAGCCGAGGCTGCCGCTACGCATGCCGCGCATGCCGCGCGCGCTACGCTTGCAGCGCAGCACAGTGACGCAGGTGACGAAGGTCACGAAGGTCACGAAGGTCTCGGAGCGTCCGCCGCGGATGAAGAGAAGTTTGAAGTCGTCGGCGGTCTCGGAGCGGCGGCCGATTCGGAATTCGAAGAACACAAGGGCAACGGGGGCAACGGGGGCAACGAGGTCAGCACGCCTGCGCTGATCCATCCCCACCAAGTCAGTGGGAGTGACCACCCCGCCTCTGCTGTGCCCGATGAGGGCCGGGATACCCAGAACGGACAGGTGGCGGTCACCGCCAACCCCGCCAAGGATGAGATGGACGTCGACGACGACCCCGTCGCCACGAAGGAGGCGGGAAAGACCAAGCCCGCCATGTTTGCTTATGCCAACACTGGCGCTCCACCCAGCGCACCCCGCGCACCCCGCGGCCTGGCCTCGCTGCCTGCGCGTCCCTCGGCGCCATCCTTCCGCACCCGTGCCCCCCTTCCCTCTCAGAATGACAGCTACGCAACCGTCTTCGGTGCTCCGGCCCCTACTCGTAACCGCCGCGACAACCACAGCAGCCACAACGACAGCGGCAAAGAAGGACCCAGGGGTGTGGACCGGTCGGCCCTTTCCTCGCTCATCTTTTCGATTTCGACGACTCCCAGCGCGGCCTCGGAGCTACTGCAGCTCCCCCTCCCCTCCCGTCGCCAGACGCGGCGCGCGACTGGTGCCGGCGTGCTCATTCCCGTCGAGCGTCTCCCCCTCCTTCCCCTTCCGCCCCTCCCGCCAATTCTCGACAAGAAGCTGGAGAAGGTCGTCTTCTCCCACCAGTCCCTGTTTCCCCGGGACGCGGGGGTGTTTGAGTATCCCGTGAAAGTGATTGGGGAGGGAGGAATGGGGGAGTGGGAGGGCGGCGTGCCGCACTACGAGAAGCTGGAACATGTCGGGGACGCCATCCTCGGCGGGGTCGTTACGACATGGCTGCACCGCTGCTGGCCCGGGCTGACTTGTGGGACTGCCACGGTAAGCCTACCCGCCTACCCGGGGGAGGAGCTCGCTAACGCTCGCCCACAGAAACTCAAAGCCCACCTCGTGTCGAACAACACCCTCTCCCACCTCAGTGGGATGTACCACCTGCCCGCGCGCCTTGCTTGCGCCCCCCTGCTCCGCGTGCAGACCGATATCCGCGCCGCCCTCGTCGAGGCATACATTGCGGGAGTGTACTTCTCCCATCCCCCCGGTGCTGGCATTGGCATAGTCACCGAATGGTTGGAGGAGATGTACGCGCCCCTCGCCGACTTCTTCCTCCAGCACATGCGGGGGGAGTACGCCGTCCTCCGCGCGACGGTGGGTACGAGCGAGGGCCGCGTGGTGACGCACCGGGGGCACACCTCCAGTATTCCCGCCAACCCCTCTCTGGCTGTGCCCGACACTGTGCCCGACACTGTCCCCGCCGAATCTTCCAGCGAAGACAAAGGCGGGGACAGGAGCGGAGCCGACGACGGTAGTCCTAGCCAACTCAAGATCAACGCCAAGCCCGGGCGCAGGGGCACCGTCTCGCAGCCCGACGCGCTCGAGGCGGCTGACGAGCGCCTCCGCCCCGCCCTCACCGCCCTCAGTGCATACTGCAAGGAGACCCGCACGACGCTCGAGTTTCGCGAGAAGCGCTTCCGGCTCAGTTCGGGCACACTTTGGAAGATCAGTGTCGTTGTCGGTGGGGCAGAGAGGGGCGAGGGCATGCGCGTCACCAAGTATCGCGCGAGGTGGGTCGCGGCCGCGCAGGCTTGTGCGGAACTGGGGATTGGGTGGGAGCCCGAGGAGGTGGGCAAGCTGTGAGCGATGGTACAGGTTAATGATGATCATGTGGGGGGAGAGAGCGGGAGACGGTGAGTAGGTGGGTTGTAGTTATAAAGACATGCACTTAGTACACCTGTGCGATCAGTACTTGCTGGGTAGCTGTCAACCTGGGTTAGCAGTACTGAGTTGAAGAGAAGTCGAGAGAAGCGGACAGGCTCGGTAAGTCTCGGGTAGTCGGTAGATGACACTTTCGGCCAAGACCGACGATCCTGGAGCCCCGCGTCCGACGAGGCCTATAGACCTTGCGATGAGCAGGCTCAAGAGTGAGTGAATGTGGTAACATACATGCAGCTTTACGGCCCGTTATGTATGCAGCTCTGTACTCCTTGTCCCTCTTCTGCTTCAACAAAATAGTAGAGCTCATAGCTCACTCAAACGAGCTCTGCCGCTGGGGGATGTTGAAGGGCTTGGCAGTGGGTTAGACTGGGAACGTGCCCCCTGATGGTATCAGCTCGATCAGCCCAGGCCGGTGCAACCCTCGCAAACAGACTGCATATGCCGTCCCTCTATTCGATGGCTATGAACACAGGGACCTCTCCACCCCCTCGTTTCTTGAGAAGATCTGGTGCGGGCTTCACACACTTGGCCCTTCAGAAGAAATCCACTTGCTCTTTGGGAATTTTGAGAAGGTCTGCAATCTCGCGACGACACTTTGCAGCCTCGATTGGATCGTAGTTGTAGTCATCGTTCCAACATTCGCAGTACACCTGGAGGTCTGGGCTGGCTTGTATCTCCAGCTCCACACCTCTGAGCAGGGCGGGTAGACCGAAAACGTCACCTTCGACAGACATAACCTTCACGCCAGGATTGATGGCCCCTGCGATGATGGCACAGTTAGATTGACGACTCGTGCGGCTTGAAAAGTCGGGTTCGACAATATCAGGCCATATGTGCAGCGATATACTCGGTGAACTGTGTTCAAGCACTCCGGTGCCGCAACAGGGGCACCGGGGGCACACATCAAATCGGACAGACTTGCAAGGGGGGATGCGCAAGTCGTTCTCCAGTTCGTTGGGAAAAGTGAGAACATTGTTAATGACTCGGAAGTGGGAAATGGAGATGTAGGTTGAAGGCAGCAGGTGTTGCATGAGATTGTTCACATGCGGAGAGACCAGATCAGTGTCCACGAAGATTGAAGTGACACGACGGAGCGCTGCTGCTTGCGTTTCTCTGTTTCCCCCCTCGTAGAGATACGGTACGCGTTGCCAAGTGCGCCATAAGGGGTGGGCGAACGGCCAGTCGGAGCTCAGGATCTTGCGCTTGCCGTTGGAATCACTTATAATGTCTAGCCGATGGCCGCATAGTAGGGGGTCGACCAACTTGAGCATAGCCGTGGACACAAGTCGGGCCGCGAGCCACGTGATGTGGTCTGAGACATTGAAGAGGATGGCCTCCACAAGGTGTGGATAGCAGCGAGGATCGAGGTGGACCGGCATCGCGGCCAGACGGGAGTGATATGAGAGGGAGAGTGATGCGGTTGTTCTAAGACACATCGGAGGAACGGACAGTTCTGAAAAGTGTGTAGCGTGTGTCTCAGAGACTCCGCAACGCCGAGCATTGATCGTTAATACCAGCGAACACCCCCCACAATGTCGGGCTAAAGCGATTCATTATGACCTGTGATGCAGATGCTGCATCCACACAGATATGGCGCTGCCAATGCGGCCAGAGGTGGGGCTGTACAATGGATGTGCACCTGCATGTTCTATAACCTATGACACCAACTACGGCGTGGGGGACTGGACGGGTGTAGACAGGCACGAGTTGAAGTAGTCGAACCGGACCTGGCTTTCAGACACATCGAAGCACTTGACAGCCTCGCGGGCTAGCCTCTCCTCCCTACTGCTACTAAAGCGATCGTACAGCCGAAAGCGCACTTGCAGGTCCGGGTTGGCTTGAACGTTGATGCCGTTGAACAGGCAAGGCAGCATTCCCATTTCTACTCCGACGAGAACAAGTTCAGTAACGCCAGGATTGATGATACCAGCAATGACACTGCAATTTGACTGTTCACAGTGTGACATGTCATGAGCTCGGGGGTAGTTGGCTTCGATGCATATCCCAACGCTCGCTGAGACGTGCTTGAACGCGGCTGTCTCCTGACAACAGCATGCGTTTCCACATCCTTGAACAATGATCTGCAGATACGAGCAGGCGGGAAGCGTGATGTCGCCCGGCATTGTAGCAAAAGCGCAAGGGGGTAGAGGGTAGTTAATGTCGTAGTGCATGATGTTGATGCGAACCTGAGGGGGAAGATGTTGCAAGAGACTGTTGGCGTACCGGCTTGCCGCGGAGGTGTGCATGCCGAAGCCTCTGGCTTGTCGCATCGCCGCAATCCGCGTTGACTCATTGCCGTTGCGATAGAAGTATGGCAGACGGCGAGAATCAATTGAACCTGTCCTTCCATGTGACCATGCCCCGAGGGAACCGTCCGATTCAGTGAGAAGTTCGAGGAATGGGCCGCACAGCAGAGGATCCACGACGCTGCACATGGATCTGGAGACGAGTCGTGCAGTCAGGAGTGTTTTCCGGTCTGAGTTGAGAAGGATGGTTTCGAAGATGTGGGGAAAGAACAGCGGGTCGAGACTTGGCGGCATGATGGTAGATGAACAATGTGGTGGTTGAGGAAGAGATAGGATGAGTAGAGAGAACGTGTAGGATGTCTGGTCGAGGAGTGAGACACTGAAGGGCGGCTGTGCGTCCACTGAGCTTGCTAGATTGCTAGACAATATGACATCAAGACAGCTTTCAACCATCTGGGAGTGCAGGAGTGACCACGCACCCTGGTGCTACAGTGCAAAAAGATACCGCCTCCATGCTCATCTGCAGCCCGCGCATGACGGTGCGTCGAGGATCGATCAACCCAGCCTGCTGTGCACAGCGGTTTGGTTTTGATTAACTACAAGGCATTGAGGCAATTTCACTATAGTCTATGCATATCTGAAGTTCCGGACAAACAACTTGATGTCATCCAGTTCTAAGCTTTGTCTCAACATTGTATCCCGCCAGCCTACCAAGTTGATTAGTTGAAGTCCACACCTCGAATCGTGACCTGGCTTTCCGGGATGTTGAAGCACTTGGCGGTTGCGCTGCGAGTTTTAACCAGATCGTCAACCCAATAGTCTTCACAACCCAAGAGGACGACCCGTAGCTCTGGGTTGACTTGGAGATTGACGTCTTTGAACAACTTCGGAAGATACCCCTCGTCCGTACCCACATGCAGCTCGTACACGCCCCGGTTTAGGACGCCATCCACGAGAGCACATTGCGATCGAGTGCCACTGGCTTCTTCTTCCTCGTAGTGCCAATCATAAGGGTAGAATGTGACACTGGGGGCAACATGGTTGAACGCAGCTCCCTGGCACTTGCACGCAGAGCCAACGGCGACGGAGAGAGACCTGCAGGGAGGTAAACTGATAGTGGTGTTAAGTGTAGCGGTAGAGCGGTCGGGAAAGACTTCTTTGTCGTGCTCAATCCAAATCTTGGCGTGAGGCGGTAGAAGCTGCAAGAGAAGGTTGACGTGTTCAGTTGCGGCGTCTGTGTGAAGTTTGAGGTCCCTAACCTTCCGTATTGCAGCAGCTCGCGAGTCTTTGCTGCCATTGCGATAGAAGTACGGTACACGGCGAGCGCTGAGGTAGTCGCCGCCTAGGTCGCCGCCCCATGAGATGGCTTCGATTGTGCCCGCGGTATTATTCTGCAGGTGAAGTGTCGGTCCGCACAGCATGGGGTCGACCAGGCGAAGCATGGAGGCGGAGACGAGGCGGGAACTGAGGAGAGTTTGCCAATCAGTGTTGTGAAGAATGTCCGCTAGAATATGGGGAAACCAGAGCGGATCCAAGCTTGGCGACATGGTGATGAGTGTTGTCGACGTGAGGAAGTGGTGGAAGCGAGATGGAGCCTGGAACGGTTGTTTGGTTCCAGGGCGTCGAAACCGCCGATCGGCTGCTGCGAGGTCGGAAGCATTCTGGCCAGATGGTGAGACGAAGGAATAACACCAGACACTCGATGCATTGTCTACAGCTATCATATCCCTTGGCGCTCCGGGAGCTTCACCTCATAATGCATTTGCTGCCTTGGGATGCTGAAGCAGCGCGTCGTATCTCTCAGAAGCTGGTCCACTTTAGTGGCGGACAGTGCGCGGTCGCTCGAAAACAGAATGTGAAGGTCGTGATGGGTATGTTTGTTGACACCGTCGAACAGCTTGGGAAGGGTGCGGACGTCGCCTGATACATGGAGATGTCTGACTCCAGCGTTGACGGCTCCCTCTGCGACAGGACAGTGGACAGACGTGGTTGAGCGGGATCCAAAGCCGCGGAGCACACGTTCGAGGTGTAGTCTGACGGTGGTAGCTTCATGATGCAAGGCGGCGGTCGGTGTAGGCGCTGCATCGCTTGCACTGCTGATGGAGTCTTCACTCGAGTCAACGTTCAGGTAGCGATCTTCGTCCCGTGCAGTGAGACAAAAGCAAGACGTAGGGATGTGGATCTTGAGAGACGAGCACGGCGGGATGCAGACGCCAGTGGTGAAGACCCTCGCGTGATCGCGGCCGAACGACAAGACGATGTCGCATGTCTGCCGGGCGTGCTGCAAGAGGTCGTTCAGGCGCGGTGTGGCGAGAAAGCAGTGTATCTTGAGACAGCTTGCGCGAATGACTGATGAACGCTGCGCCTTCACGCTCCCGTTTGGGTGGAAGCAGGGGACGCGGCGGTTCTGGGGCTGCCGGACTCTCGGTAGACTCGTCGCAGTCAGTGATGCCGACGAATCCGCTGCATCGCTCCATATGTCGAGGGTGTCGCCACTGAGCAGGCGGTCTGCAACGCCGCCCATTGACAGGGAGACAAGGCGTGCTGCCAGAAGAGTTTGCCAGTCGGTGAAGGCGAGTATGACTTCCAGTATATGTGGGACGCTGTTGGGGTCGAGACTGAGGCTTTCAGACATGGCGAAGGTGACGATGATGGTGAGGAAGCAAGCGAGCAACGAGGAGCTCAGGTCTCTTGGTGGAGGTTCGCACACTGAGTAAGCTGTACCCGCCGAAGCGTCCCCGTGCTACGATAAGACACATAGAACACAGCCAATATCATTTACATCCATAAACGTAGAGACTCAAGCATTGAGATCGTGAAGGGCCCGAGGGGCATGGTATGAACATTGCTAACGAAACACTAGGTTCTAAGGCTTCTCAACGTAGTGCACCTGATGCACTGGGATCTTGAAAATGACCGCTGTGTCGTGTCTCAGGTTTTCGACATCGGCGCGTCCTAGCTTCCTGCAGTCTTCTTCGACGTGCACGAGAGTGATCTGGAGGTTCGGGTTGCTCTTGACGTCCACAAGTCGAAAGGCGAACGGCAGTACGCACACGTTGCCTGAGACTTCAAGACGTTCGACGATGGGGGTGACAATCTGCCTCACAAGACAACAGGGCGGCAAGAAACTGGCAAGTGGTTCCTGGCACTCATCAAAAAGGTGCAGGGTAACGAAGCTCGAGTGGTGCTTGAGAATGCCGGTCGTTGGCCCGTCGCCACCAAAGGTTTCCACGTTGCTGGGACTGCAGCAGAAGCTGATGACCTCCAGTCCCAGAGATGCGGTGGGCGGGATGCAAAGAGCCTGACTCGACGTGGCGAATCCCTCTGCGTGGTCAAGGTGGACGTGGCATGTCGGTTGTATGCACTGAAGGAGATTCTTTATCTCTGGGGTGACGACAGGGCAGACCAGTGTGAGCTGCGAAGCTCGGCCAACAGCTCGATACTGTGCTTCCAGATCACCGTCGGGATGGAAGTACGGAACACGGAGTCTGGGAGGACCGTTGGTGATAGCCTCCAAGCTGGAGCCGACTGCCGAAACACTCCTTGAGTACGAATTGGGCACTGCGTCGGATTTGGAGTACACGATCGATAGGCATTCTCCAGTCAGAAGGTCATCTGCAACGTGGCGGATTGAAGAAGAAAGGAAGCGAGAAGCCAGCAACGTCTTGCGGTCGGCATAGAAGAGGATCTCCTCCACTATGTGAGGGAAAAAGTTGTGGTCGATGGTGACAGGCATCGTGGAGAGGAGGATGATGATGAGAAAGGGTGCAGTGGCAACATCTAGGCGTCGAAGTGAGAGGGTCCTATGCCCAGATTCTTTGGCCGCAAGGGGGCGCGTGAGGATGTGGAGGGCGCGCAGCGAACTAGAATAATCGGTGTGTAGGGCTATCCGCGTGCTCCTGCTCCTGCATACACGCGCTACCTCAGGACCCATAATCAGATGCATCAGAGCTTTCGGCAGCACTGTAATACTAATGGACTCTGGAGCAATCAAAGGTATACTGCACCTGCTCCACTGGTATCTTGAAATGTTGCGCTGTCGCCTGGCGAAGGGAGTTCACAGCTGCGGGGCCAAGTCCACCATCACCCTCAATCAGGATCTGAAGATCTGGACTGCTATTCACGTTGACATTCTGAAAGTGCCTGGGCAGTGCACAGACGTTTCCAGATACTGTCAGATGGGTGACTCCGCCATTGACGGCTCCTGCGACCAGCGGACAGCGGTAACATACAGTCGAGGAGGTTGTGTCTGTAACAGACTCGCTTTCCACATAGAGCCTCACTCGAGAGGCATTGTGCCGCAGGACACCGGGAGCCTCGACGGCTGTGCTTTCTGGAGGCACGCGGCCACTACAAGAACAGCTCATCGAGCTTTGAAGGCTGAGTGTTGCGCAAGCAGGGAGGCAGATGTCGGTGGCAAAGGAGAGGTCGTGAAGAGTGTCGCACCAAAGCTCAACTTCGCACGATGGATGGACCTGCTGCAGAAGGCTGTTTAGGCGACGCCTGGCGAAGTTGCAGTTGATAAAGAGGCGTAGGATTCTTGCCCGGTTGACTGCCTGATACTGAGCTGTCAGGTTGGCTGTGGGGTGGAAGTAAGGAACAGTCCGACAGGAAGAGATACAATCCTCGGATGGGGATCCGTCTGAGAATGCAAGGAGCTCGATGTGGTTTTCCATCGCGTAGGTTTCAAGGATGAGGTAATCGCTGCTAAGCAAACGGTTCGCCGAGTCACACATGGCTGTCGATACAAGGCGGGCAGCTAGAAGCGTTGGGCGGTCTGTAAGACGGAGTATGTCCTCAAAAATGTGGGGAAAGAAGGCCGGAGAGAGTGTGGTGGGCATGGTGACTGTATCGAGGTGAGAGGAGGTAAGAGAATGAGGCAACGATTGATGAAGGTGGAGGTCTGGCCGTGACATGTGGCTGGTGCGTCAGTGCACTAGATCTAACTTTTCAGCATACATGTGTAGGCGTTCACGATGCCCTAATCAAAAGCCCTCCGGATCTTTACACCCTTCATAAGGATGCTCATGGCAGACTCCTAGGTGTAGGATACTGCAAGTCTTATCTGTGTGAAAAGCCCGTCTAGGGCCAAAGATGCGTTACGAGGAGACTGTCGCAGGTCGTTTTATAGGTGTCCATCAATAGGCAGCAAACAGAGTACATCAAGCATGATCTTGTGGAACCATACCCGAGCTTGCGGTGTTCATGCCAAGCGGCGACCTGCAAGCGGAAGTCGTGTCGAGTCGAGGTGTTTGTTTGGTTCCAGGGTTAGAAGAGGCCGATCACGTGCGATGCCGTTGCTCTCACGTTCAGCCCCTACCAGTAATAGACGCGGCTTTCCTCGACGCTAAACCGTTCTGCAAGCTTGAGCCTAGCTCTCTCGCTTCCTGATCCCCACCGCTTCTTGACACGAACACGCAGCTCGGGATGAGTATCGATATCCGCGTCTCCGCAGAGCATGGGCCGAATGTCGCTGAAGTAGTCGACGAGGTCCAAGTGGTGAACACCGAGGTTGACCGCCCCGTCAAGGACGACACAACGAGGCAGGCCTGACCGCTCCTCCCCACCACCGCTGACGAAGTGTATGGCAACGGCCTTGGACTGGTGGGTGAGCTTTCCCCGCGACTCGTCCTGGCAGGCACAGTGCGGGTCGATCTGTGCTTCAATCGTGAGCCCGGCGCAGACTGGGATACGGGTGTCCACGTCGAACACTGCCGCAGGTGAGTGCAGAAACACAACTTCAGCCTCGGGGCTAATCCACTGGAGCAACTCGTTCAGTCGGAACGTTGCACGCTCGCAGATGACGCGTATCCGTTTCGCCCGGTTCATCGCTGCTCGCTGAATGAACTCGTTCCCTGACGGGTGGAAGTAGGGTATGCAGAGGGGATGGTCGTACAGCCAAGGTATCCAGGCGCTGACGGTGAGGTCTCCGGTCGAGTCAGTCGACAACTCGAGCAAGTCCTTGCATAGGAGAGGGTCGACGAGACGCTTCATCCTCGACGATACGAGCCGTAGTTTGAGCAGAGTCGGCCAGTCCGAGGACCACACAACAGCCTCAATAATGTGCGGGAAGTCGTCGGGGTTGAAAGTCGTTGACATCCTCAGGACGAGGTCCGGCGATAGTGGTGAAGAGATGGACAACAGAGCAATGGACGGAGCATCACTTCTTGGAGCTGGTCGTCAGTAACGCTGAAGGCTGTCCGATGACGTTTGGGGTCGTTACAAACTCGAAACGCCGGGAGTGTCAGGCAACCCCATTTTGAACACCGACCTCGGTTATGTTGATCGTTATCTAAGCCAGCCCTGCAGGCAAGTGAAGTCGCACCAACAATACTCAGGTAGCGATCACAGCATGGTGACGGCAAGCACCGGAGGTACAATGCGCAGTGTAAACTCCTTTGGCAGGATGCCATGATGCAAGTCGGACTGCAGGCTGCCATTTATGTGCGGATAGCGCCCGGTTCCTCGGGGTTTGGTTTCGATCAGGGCAGTGAAATCTTCTTTCCTCAGAACAACTCCTCGCCAGCTTTGTTCGGCCAGGAAACTCTCGCGACCTGTCCGTGCTCGTCGTTCTCAATGCCTGCATCCAAGGCAGCAGCGACGGTGTCAGCGTCGGCGGCTGCTGAGCCGCCTGCGCCCTCGCTACCAAACAGCATCTCTTCGCTAGTATATCGGTTAGTATAATCGCCTCTCAAATGAGAGCTCCTCACTTCAAAGTGGTCGCGATAGAGCAGGGTTCGACTCCCTGGCGGAGAACAGAGGCTCTACAGCCTCACTTTTGGCATGCTGGATGCCTGTTTCGAAGGTATCGAGACTGCAGCTGGTTCCCCCAGTGTCGGGCTGAAGTCGGTAACGCAGCTGAGGGTGTGGCTTGCAAGGGGTGCTTCGATTAATGCGCTATGATTCGGATCAATACATGCATGTACGCCAAAGCGGCTGTTACCACCCCTTGTCATAAACAACGTGAATCTGATCCTCGGGGAGGTTGAAGCGTTGCGCGAACTTGGGTCCGGCCGCTGCCACTTCGGGTCCGGCAGGAGCGGCGACAATGGTGATAGTCAGATTGGGATTGCGCAGAACATCAGGATGTCGGAAATGAGACAGGATCCTCTCGGGATACGTGCAGCTGATTCGCAGGGCCTTCAGGTTGGCGTTGATAAGGCAGTCGAAGTTGAATCGTAAATCGGGGTTCTCCCGACATTTCTCGCATTCCGTGCGGTAGTCCGACGTTACGAGTCTGAGTTCTGAAGCGTTGAGCTGTACGCCTTCTCCGCAACCAGTTGGGCTAATTCCAGGATCCTTGCAGGCGCAGAAGGTTGACAATTCGATACCCAGGTGGTGCGCTGCAGGTAGTTGAATTCCTACGAGAGGGTAGCGGTAGTCATCCCTGTAATCTATGCGCGAAGTGAAACGGATATTGCTGATAAGAACACGAAGCTCAGGGTATGTGGTTTCGTTCACTTGGTGAAGCCACATGTACTTGGTGTTGCGAACAGCCCTTGCACGAGACTCGAGTGAAGAATGAACTGACCCACTGGGCACACGGGGGTCCTTAGGAGATTGCGGCCTCCCATTTACCCACTTGTAGTAATCGGCAAGCACTTCCGGCGCTTGGCCCTCCCGAACCAAGACCTGCACGTATCCGCTCTCCAGCTCCATGTCCGCTAGATCCCGCATCGCACTGCAGACTTGTCTTGCGCTAAGGAGAGTGGCGTAGTCGACCAAGGTTAGGATGCCTGCCACGATGTGGGGGAAGAATCTGGGGTCGAGCAGCGGAGCCATCGGGAAGAGCGGGGAATTGGAAACAGTTGCGTATGTACGAGGCTGAGAAGGCGGGATGAGAAACGAGTTTCAATGAAGAGTACGGCGAGTCAGACGAAGATTGAGGTGAAGCCTGTAGCTAAGGAAGTGATGTCGGGAAGTGAGGAGTGAGGAGGAGGAAGAATGCGGGACTTGGGTTTGTGGGCGGTCACCAGTAAACGTGGTCCGGTGGAGGTCAGTGTGCGCCCCGTCCCAGCCTGCGACTAACCGTCGATTGCACTTCTGCACTGGCCGCACAGGTCTCAACGCGAGAAGCGCGTCCGTCCTGCGAATGCAGAGCTCGCCGCACCCATAAGCTCTGCATCAAGTTCTCGAATATGAAGGGAATCGATAAAACTCCCACTATACGCAATTTCGCCACGCGCGCATTCACTTAGCAGCTGGTTAACTACTTATTCCCGACTCCGTAGCTGAGCTCTGCAAGTTCTCGGAACTGTCCGTATCGTCTTCCGCGTCGTCTTCAACCTCGTCGTCAGAGTTATCTTCTTCCTGGGAGCCCTCAGGGTCGTGTTCACTTTCGCTTGAGTCTGTGCCCGCGAGCGCCTTCGGACCAGTCGCTATGACATGGTGGATGTCCGTGTCGAAAACCGCAGCGAGCTCCTGCGAAACGGAGGCTGAATACTGGCCGAAAGGGATATCCGAAATGATGGCCACAATACAAAGATCGGGGTGATGCTCGCTGCGACGGAATCCTTTGAAACCCTTCACCCACCCGAACGTCTCGAAGATAGTCCTCTTCTCATCGGCTGAGATGGCTAGGGTGTGCACACTGGGCGACAGTAAGCCCGCGGCAATCTGGCAGATGCTACCCTTGTTGTTGCTTGTTTTCACAACAAGATCCACCAGCACGACACGCGCGGCATGCTGAAAAGCCTTGGACCGGTGGGCGCAGTCACAAGGAACATCGAGAACCACCTGTAGTATGCTTGCGTCCGGGAGATTGAATCCTGCATCCGTTCCCTTGTGTCGCACAACGAGATGACAGTCAGGGGGCAGAGAGCGGAGCACCTTGTTGACACGGGTTGACGGAACAGCACCGTCAAGGGCTATTTTGGAAGATAAGATAGGGAGCCGAGGCGGAAGGCTAGATCCTGGACAAAAGGATGGCAGGCAACCCCTGCGGGTAGCTGCAACTGTCACTCCGTTGCTGCTGTAGAGCAGAAGCGTACCGCGGGTCAGCTCGCGGTCGGCCATGCTGCGGAGTGACGAGTTGACGAGTCGCAATGTCAGGAGGTCGGGGTAGTCAAGAAGTAAGAGGATCCGATCCATGAGATGCGGGTAGCTGTCTGGAATGAAGGATGCCGACATGTCGTCCGGAGCTGGTAGTGAGTCGAGGGTGATGGAGACAGGGGATGAAGGCCTCAGAGAGCCCTTGACAATGCTAAGAGAGCCTGTCCATGATCTGTGTGTATACGTGTGTACCGTGGGTGAAGATGCACAGCATATCGTTGCTCCAAGGGCGGAAGCAACCGTGGAGGGGCGCAATCGGAACTGGGGAGCATTGGATGTTGGGCAACATCGATACAAGACCTGTTTCAATGCTACATGGTTGCAAGGGTAATCTGTGCATGTTCAATACGACAGTCTCAGGAGGTTGAATGCGTCTCAGAAGCCCAATCGAAGAGGGGAGGCGATGCTGACGTGCGATGTGGGAATTCGAAAGTGACCAGCAATGTCTTCCTGCAGATCGAGTGCGCCATAGAACCCATGGAACGCAATGTCACTGCACTCGATGCGAACACGCAGTCGCCTGAAGATCTGTGCGCCGAGCACCCCGTAGAACAGGAGCCGAATGACGTTGGACACATGACCAGCTGCGTGGTTGAAGCCCTTCCAGGTCACTGCGATGATCAGCGTTTCGACGCCTTGATTGAGAAAGTCGACGGCGCGGCCCCGCGACGCAAAGTTGGCCTCGTCCAGAAGATGGGTCGGGTACTCGTGGATGTGGAGGTAGAGCTTGAGTTCACGCGCGCCATGCCGAGATATGAACAGTCTCCGTCCCTCCTCGCCACCCTGCAGGTACTCCCGTCCAATGTCCAGCCGTTGAATGCGAGGTAGTGCCAGTGGTCGCTGAGCAGTGTTTTTGATAGACTCTATCGTCACGACTGTGCCGTCCTGGAGGTGGCTAAGCCAAACGTTGAGGCGGGCGTCGAGAGGCATCCACTCGCTTGTGTTGCCGCGGATGTGAACATGTCGTGCTCTGCGGATCGCTGATGCTTGCAGTACTTGATCTCCCGCTTCATGGAAGTAAGGAAGGCGTATATTCTCCGCCTGCACATCCGCCGGTCCGCAGCCGGTGAAGATGAAGGACAGGTCCAATGTCACAAACGACCTGTCAACCAGGGCCTTCAGCGCCGAACAGACGCATCGAAGTCGCAGACGCTGTTTGAGAGGAAGGCAGTTGATGATCGTTTCGAAGACATGGGGATAGTCTTCTGGGAGTAGACTGGGAGGAAGCGATCGGGGGAGGCGACCACTGCTCGGCTTCCGCTTCCAGACTACCTTGTCGGAAAGCGACGTTCGAACTCGACGCAAGAAGAGAAGCTTGCTTGAGTTTGGCGGAGGGAAAGAGGCCATGTTGTTGAAGTGTAGCTTGCAGAGATGAGTCGGTCAGTGGGTTCCCGCATCATGGTCGTGGAGGACAGCGCTGCCGGGGCTTCTTCACTCCGCCTACAGTTGAACCGAACTACGCCCGAGCGAGATCCCATGCAATCGGCAGCTGCAGATCTCTAAACATCCTGGGACTCTTCGACTTCTGCAAGACTCTGCGACTTCTGCACCGCTTGCACTGCATGTACGATCGTGCCTTTTGCAGACTGGGGATTGGCCGGCTTAGCAGGGTCACTGCGTGCCGTCCGACAACGTGGCGAGGTTCTCTTTGAGGGGCCGAAGACGATGCCTGGAGTCGGAAGGGCGGACACAATGAACGTCGTGCAGAATGTAGTGTGCTCAAGTGTTGGTGCACGATGAATTTACCATCGTCTCCGTGAGTCGTCCCGCAACTGTCACTGTGATGCTTAGAGTGATTGACAGGTGGATGTCGGAACTCCGGTGTCCATCTCGGCTATCAATAATCGCAGCCGGCTGGACGGGAACAAATCGAGTCACGACGTCAGCAGACCTTTCATGATGATGACGGAGTCTACCTACCCTCCATTGACAACCTCTTAGAATTCGCCGCACTGGGAATCAGCAGGGCAAGCGTTACTACAGGTGGTCGCGTGATTGAGGGATGAGTTGATTCTTCACAAGGAACGGGTGGCAACTCCTGCAAGTTCTCGACAGTCTCCCCTACCTTCGCCGGCTCGTTCGAAGCTCTGCCATTCAATCGGAGACGACCGAACGTCGGAATGCGCCCTCAAGATCCCAGTCCTGTATGACGTCTCCCATCATTGACGTCTCGAAATGCAGCTGGCGTAATGGTCCGACCGGTCTGGTGAGCAGAAGATAAAGGAAGTCGGCTTTGAGCGCCCGCTTCTCCCCATTGCTCAGCTCAGCGCATCGAGATGACCTGGTCTATCCCCATCAGCTACGAGACGCATCCCGACATCATCGACAGCATCTTATCGGGAATCGACTATCATTCGCTCCTCAACCTCCGCTTAGTGGACCAGGACTGGCGCTATGCTGTGGACTTCTTCCTCGCGGGGAAGTCGTTGACGATCGACAAGTTCTCGACGAAGAAGGTGCTTGCTCGGAACCGACGATACCTGCCGCTCCCCGTCTTCCACTTTCGCGGAGATCCCATTGCTCAGGCTATGCTTATGCGGAGGGTGAACCGCCTGGTCATCGGTGCCCCTGTGCCTGCACAGATGAACAAGGCGATGCGGGACCTGAGTCGGGACTGCTTCGTCATGCTCATTCATCAGCACGGCGGCGACCAGCGTGTGACTCTAGCTGTGGACCGCCTGGTGATTACGATCCCTCGCTGGTGTGATTGCGCCTCTCGACATCCACGATCACTCATTCACGACGCCCGCGAAGTTCTTCTCCTCGTTGGGGAAGCCAGTCCCGGGCAATCGGCGTGGGACGGCGGTGATTATGACGACCAACGGGGTTGCCGACTGGTGTTGGATGCAGTAACACCGAGCGTCAAGCTGCTCCGGCTACTTTTAAGCAATGGACACAGCCTGGACGAGATTGGGTTCCCCGCGGGCGGACACTGTCGATGGGGCGATGACTTGAAAGTCGAGCTCGTGTTCACGCAATCGGCCGGGCATCGGCACGACTTCCCACCAGACCTCTGCGAGAGGTGGGCTACCAGGCTCGGCATCGGAAACGGACAAGTCTCCGCTGTCAGACGTCCGGCAGCAGCGCTACTGACATGATGGTCGGAACGTTGTCAACTACGGCTAGGAACAGGGTCGAACCTGTGAACCATGCGACTAGCGGATATTCTTCGACGTATCGGTGAACGGACCGCCTTGCCGTCGGGCACACTCATGCTTCTGCCTGCGAGGTCCAGACTTATGATTCTGTGAATACCAATGCAGTCGCAGATCAGATGCAGTCGCCGACTTTACCCCAACACGCAACATATCAGAGCGATCGGAGACGCTTAGTGACCGGACACTGCGACATTGATTCGAACTCGTTGGAAGTGAGGGGCACGCCTTGCGTCTCGGCAGCACCCTCGTCGAACGTCCGTGTGTCAGACACGAACAAAGAACCATCAGTCAATCGGCATGTCAACACAGCTTAGTTACGGTGCCAGCAGCTACTTCATCGCCTCGCGAAGCAACTTGTTCACCACCACTTTTCGCAACCTGGAACTTACCCAATCCTTAAGACTCTGGGAACAAACGACAAGACTACCACAGTCGCTCCCAACTTCCCATGGGTTTGGCGATGGGCCTGCGTCTACGCCTCCGGGCCGTCTGGCGGGGTCTGAGAAGGGGTTTCCCCGGCACTCTCAGGCGACGCCGGCACCGATCGTGTCCAACATGCCAGGCGTCCAACCCGCCGCTGATCGGTTCTCCGCTCACAGCTCCGCAGTCGCCACCCACCAGTGCGAGAGGATACAAGTCACTGAACAACCCCGAAACGCCTACTAGCCCGAAGTTCCACCTCCCAGAAAGCAGGTCCAAGCAGATCCGCGCGACGCTTACTCTGTTGGAGCCGAAGTTAGGCAAAGCGGCGGCTATTCCCGCCAAGCTGCGCAAAAGGCCGCCTCAGCCTCCTCCGTTGACGCTACCGTTCTCGGACAACACTTCACCCCCGTCGAGTCCAACTTCAACGAGGGTGCCGTCGACACGACTCCCTGCCGCCTCGCCGTTCGCGCAGTGGCACGACAAGGCGGAGTCGATGCTGGCTCTCGCCGTTACGCCTCGTCTCACCCCGATATCTGAAGTCTCCCACCTATCACTCAAGCAGCTTCCGCTCAAGCGTTCGGCACCGGCACAGCAGCCTCGTCTGACAGATTTGCCGGATGACGCTCAGGCGGCACGCTCTCAGAATGCCTGCGAGCAAGATGAAGAAACGGTCTCCGCACGCGTCCGACGCTTAGTCCAGATGGAGAGAAGGCACAGTAGCAACACTGAAGAGACTGCTCACCTTTTCCCGCCGAGCACTCCTTTCCCTCCGTCTCGTGCGTGGCACAGGACAAGCACTCGGTCTTCGTCTTCGGCTTCGGGGTCAGAGGACAGCCCGTTTTCGGACATCTACAGCGAGAGCCGGCTAAGCGCCCGACACCAGCCGAACTGCGCATCGCCCGACTTCACACCTTTCAACTACTGGGCAGTGTTTGCGCGCATCGCGTCTCACACAGACTGGAGCACTGCGCTCGCGCTGCGCCAGACCTCCCGCGTCATGCGAGAAATGGTTGAACGCTCCCTCCCTCGCGAGCTCTGGATACATGGGACAGAGGACGCCGTCGATGTCGGCTTCTTCGACGCTGTACCCGGCAACTCTGCACCCATCGTTCGGCGGCGGCTCCCTTTCTTCGCTAGGGACGAGGATGACGCGAAAGGGCGACAGGCTGGAGCTCTGTGGCGTGCGACCTCCGTCGAGATCAGTGGTCTGTCTAGCAGAGTGTTGAACGGCCATCTGCGTGGACTCAGCCCACGGGCAAGTGTCTTAATTCGCCGACTACAGGGAACACGCCGGAACCCACTCCTCCTCCCTCAGATCGAGAGCCTCATCATCGACTCCTTCCACATGCGCTCCCTCCGCCTGCATACGAGGCACGAGGCCCGCAAGCTGTACCTCGTCTGTCCCAATCCCCGCTTTCGTGAACGTGCCGGCCGCCGAACTGCGCAGCTTCTGAACCCTAGCGTACGATATCTGTACATCGAGATCGGTGGTCGGCGGACTGCGCACGCAGTCGCCGTTCTCTTCGATCGACTGAAGGAGACGCAGCTGTTCCCTCGCCTCGTCTACGAGATGGGGCACAGGGGCGAGATCATTGAGTGGGAGAGATTGCTTCGGGGATCGCTGAAGTCATGGTGGGCTGGGGCTGCTCAACAGCTGCGCCAGCTCTCAGTGTAGCATAGTATCGGCCATGGACCATACGGACACGTTGTATGACTTGTGCACATGTAACACACTGTGATACTCAAGACAGATCGACTGGCAATCGCGGATTGTCTACCTTAGTGGGACGGAATCAGACGTGGTCGGAGCTGGGGCGTTGCACTCACCACAGTCCTCACACCGGACCTCTCAACTCGTACACTCTCACTCTTGAAGCTTAACCACCAGGTATGACCAACACCAACCTCAGCAACTCTCTCGGCCTCAGCGGTCTGTCGCTGTCTGACAATGCTTCGACCGGCAAAGACCACCGTCTCGACAGCTCCGCCCTCCCATCGCTCGAAGGCTTTCCTGCAGTTGTGGACAGTATCCTCTACCAATCCGACAACTCTACTCTATTGGCATGCCGCCTCGTATCGACATACTTCCGCGACCAGGCAGATCGGGCGCTCTTCGACGAGAGCCTCATCACGGACCTGAGCAAGGGTGACATCGTCATCAAATCGAAAGGTCGTGTGCTTCCCTGCTTCCATCCCGACAGCCCCGAGGAAGGCAAAATAAAGACGCTCAGCTCGACCGTGGTCACGACATGCACTGCCTTCTCGCACTATCAGGAGCTGGCTCCGCTTCTGATCAAGTACCTGCCGTGCAAAGGAGTGCTGATCATCTATGGTATGCCCCTTGCCGAGGGCCACATCAAGTTTCCCAAGATCCATTCGCTTCAGGTGCAGCTGGATCTGCGCCGGAAGGACGCAATGACACCAACTGCCACGATTGAGCACGAGAGCATGTGCGTCGCAATTGACCTTCAACTCCCCCTCATGGAGCCAACGCACTGGTGGAAGATCATCCCCTTCCTCTGTCCCAACAGTCTGCATTGCGCTCACATCTGGGGTCATGGCAAGCCTCGCATGAGCTGGATCAATCTCGGCCCATGCACTCCTGAGCCCGGCCAGTTTCCCGGCACCGAGTGGCTGGACGAACGCAACGACAACTGGTTCGTACACGTTAGCTGCCCTGATCTCAAGGGTGGCGGGCTGAACGAAGCCATGCGTACCGGTGTCAGGCACTCCCTAGCCATCGTGCTCGCCTCTCCCGACGAACGCCTTCTTGACAGCACCGATGGGAGCCCATTCTGGGGGTATGAAGGGCCTTCTCGGGCCGTGATCATGGCCGAGGCGCAGGCGAGGGCCTGTGAAGAAGACGCCTCGGACTCGGACGAGACGGTCACCAGCCCGAGCGTTGGCGCAGACGAGCTCATCCGCAGCTGCGCCCAGCAGTAGCCGTGTTGCATACGAGCCGACCAGCTCTGTTCATACATCTCATGTAGTATTCCGCCTATGCATTCCGTTAGGCCATGCCTCACTCTCCGCGCAGCGAGCAGCTGTTCACCATCGGCTTAGGCCGAACAGATAAGGAACGGATCCAAATCCTGAGCGCCGTCTTAAGTCACCGATCTCCATCCCGAAGGTCGTCATGAACTCCTTCCTCCCTCTCTGCAGGCTCCACCTCACCCTTCAAGTTCCCTCACATGAACTCAAGAATCCGTGACACTCCGATTCTCAGCATACTGGTCGACCTGTAACATCTCCGTGAGGATGTCCTCACACGCAGTCGAGGTGAGATCCTACCAGCATTCGCCGTCTCCACTTCCGCGCGCCGACTTGGGACCAGTCCTCCACCTTATCGTCCCACACTGCGATCCCAGTACCCTCCGGGTGCTTCTCCGAACGTGCACCTTCTTGCGCCAAGAGGTGATAGGAGACATCCGTCGACGCGGTGGAAGCGTGCTGAGTATCGATGCCGGGAGACGCGGCTGGGAAGTGAAGTCGTGGGGCTTCCTCCTGCCGTGGTTTCACCCCGAGAGCCCCTTGCTACCCAAGGTGAGCACTCTCCAGAGGTGCAGAGAACTGCGAATCGACTTCGCCGCCATTCAGGTCATGCAGCATCTGTTGGTACATCTTCCTCGGAGGTGCTGTTTGCACGTGAACGACTTTCCCACAGCAATGTCGAGCTTCTCCGATCTTTCCAACCAGGTCGTCCTACCTCCGGTTGATCGATTGTACCTCCGACTAGCCCTGGGGTTGAAGTACGACTTCTCCTTGGAAACGGTACCGATCGAGCACTCGGCTCAGTGCGTGGAGGTGGAGCTGAATCTGGACGCTCTCTTCCTTGAGCACTGGCTCGTGCTCCCCGCCTTCATCGGTTCATCCACCAGATGCCTGCACGTCCGTTGCTACGGTGACACCTGGTTCGACATCCCAGAGGAAGAGGACCTGATTCACGCCGGACCTCCTTTCGACAGTCTCGACATCTTTACCCTCTTCACCGGCACAGAGTACGGTTTCGGCAGTCCCGGTCATCGTGCCCGTGAGGATGTCAAAGCTGCGCTCCGGTGCGTCTTCAGGGCGTCCGACAAGGTGCGCGACGCAGGTGGAGATGGACGAGCTGGCGGACGCCTGTGTTCCATTCCCGATGCAAACGCTTGGTGTGTCTAGAAGGGTACCAGGCAATTGTCATGTGCGATGAGTGGTGAGTCGACAGATGCAAACGGCAGCTGACTGCAGTGACAACCGCGATACACAACGGGGCGAAGATGCGACACCGCGCAGTCGTCAGCGGCACTTGCTGCGCTGTGTGTGATGCACATACGTGGAGTGCGCATCCGACCCGCCCATCATTGTCGCATTCGTCAACTCTTTTAGCGGCAGCATAATCTGAGCTTTCCATCAACGCCCATCAACGCCCACGCATTGAGTACCGCACACCTCCTTTCCCGTTACCATCAGACGCTCGACGTCTGCAGCGGGTTAATGGTGGTGGCGATGCCGCGTGCGACGCGCTGGTCGACCGGTCTCGAGACGTGGCCGGCCAAGGTGCTTATCGTGACTGCCGTCACAAAGGAGGTTTCGACGCTGCAGCCAAGGGCCCTGAAGACCGCCGATCTGAAGCCCAAGATGACAACGCAGGAGTTCCTGGAGGACCTGCACAAGACGCAATCCCAGAAGGAGCATTCCAAGGCTGCAGCCAAGAGTGCGGCGTTGGAGGACGACACCGGTGATGCCCCTACTCCGAACGGAAGCAGCGCCGTCGGCGAGAACGACAAGACGACCAGCGACAGGGGTCAAAGCTCTCAAGCCTCCAGCAGCAGCGACCCCGGCATTGACTATGCATGTGCTTTCTCCCTCATCATATCGTTTCTCGACTGGTCGACCCTGCTCGCTCTTCGCGGTATATGCCATCTCATCAGGGACGCCGTGGACGACTATCTCACGGTCCCCGAGATGATGTTCGAGATCCGACCCCCAAAGCGGCCCAACGCGTTCCTCGTCTACGCTTGCATCGGTGGATTCGACCGCCTGCTGCCCTTCTTCGCCAACGCCAGCGGCAGCGCACGCCAGATGATCGCTTTGCGCCAGGCAAAGGCGATCTCGCTCAGCGGCCGCATGCACCCAATCGTCAACTTCATGTTCACGCAGCTCACCGCGAGCGCGACAGTGTTCATCGATCTCGTCACCGGTACATCCAAATGTCCCATCGACCTACCCCCCATCCGCCGCCTCATCATCGGTGAAGACCAAGTCGCCGCCTGGTCTGGCCTCGCACTCGGCCTGCACGTCCGGCACGCAGCGCAAGAGGTCGAAGTCCGCATCCCCCTCGGCGGCTCGTGGCTAGACTGGGCCCTCGGCCCACTGCTATGCCAAACGGCCTTCTCCTCCCTCCTGCGTCCGCGCACGCAGCGCCTAACCTTGCGCGCCGACGGCCGCGTCGCCGCCTTCCTCGACACGGTCAAGCTGCTCTTCCCTGTCTCCGCGCACCCGAACCTGAACATAGCGGTTGCCCTGCGCACCGACGAGTGGTGGGAGCGCGTGCAGCCGAGCGGGATTGTGGCGCGCCGCATCGCGGCCGTGTTCGGGGTCAGGGTTCAGCAGGTCTCGGCCCAGGTCCAGGACGCGGGCGCGCTCATGCGCTGGATCCAGGCAGCTGCTATTGAGGAGAGGCGGCGCGAGATTGCTAGGCAGCTGGCTGCCGTTGAAGAGGAGGATGAGGAGGAGGAGGAGCTCGAGGACTGGGAGATCGACGGGGAGTGGTTCGGGAAGAAGGCGAAGTGAGCGAGCGAGCGGAAGACGGTAGCAAGCGCAAGAGGGGAACGGAGGCATGCATAGGAGGCAGCAGTAGTAGGTATGGTTTGGAATCTGAAAACTGTACACTCTAGCCTGGACAATGCATAGCATCGGCCTGGTGCCGGATAAGCGAGATCAAAAGAAGGAGCGTCTGCGGATCGCGTGTGCGCACAGATGTCGATGTCCGAAGCCTCACCTCTACGACGCAGTGCCTGAAGAAGTCCCAGAAGGCAACACTCTGCGGATCATCAGTCCGGCGAGGTTGAACCGGCAGGTTCTCGCTCGAGTGCGAGGAGGCGAGAAGGGGCGGAGCCGTAGACCCGCACAGCCCATGCACTGCACGCGCACAAGTCAGCTCGCGCAGTCCTTAGACGAAAAGGTTTGTTTGCACAACTCATCCACAAGACAGTATGTTCATCTCCCGCCGACCCGCCCGGTCACCCCGCGCCCCGTCCTCGTCGCAATCGACAGACCCGACGACACTCTCAATCAGTCCCACAGACTACACGCTCGTAACGGACATCTCGTGCTCGCCCGGGTATAGGAGGGTCCGGCCCCGGTTGCGCGCGCGAGTGTGTCGGTTCTGTCGGCGGCGCGTGCTTCGACCCCTGGGCCTCATCTCGGCAATCACTGGCAAGCAGGGCAGAGCGGCAGTGAGGCCCGATGTGCATGCTGGTGTCTGGGTACGCATCGTGGGATATCTAGACTACGGCGCACGCTTGCGTCTCCGCCAGGTCTGCAGGGCAATGCGCGACGTCGTGGACGCCAGTTATCGACCACAAGTCTGGGCAATCAGCGTCGGCGCTGAGGGGGTAGAGCTACGCTTCTCCGACGGAGGGGGCATGCGGCGGCTGCCCTTCTCCCACCGAGGATTGGACTACTATGCCCGCGGCGCGGCTCTCGAGGCCTCAGCACTGAAGTATGCTCGCCAAGTACGTCTCCTCGGCGACGGGGCGTCTCCCCCTCCGCCGAGACTTAATGAGATCCTCGCCCACCTCCCTGCGACATGTACCGTCTCCATCGACCGGCTGGCGCGCACCGCCAGTACGCCGCTCGCGTTCCCACCGCTGACGACGATAAGGCTGTCGGCGTGGCATCTCTCGGGCCCAGCCGCCTCCCGCCTAGTGATGGGGGCACACGGGGCACGCCGTCTCTCCCTCGCCCTCTCGCCGGCTCTGGGCCGCCTGCACCCTCTCCTCCCCTCCCACGCCGAGGCCAGGGGGAGGGGCACGGTGCTGCTCAACCGCGCCGTGTCCGTGCTCTCGCTCTGGATCAGTGGCGGACCCCAACGCCCAAAAGCCGAGGACGTGCTATCTGCCCTGCGCCTGTTATTCGCCGACCTGCACAGTGATCAAATCGCGCAAGGCCTCCGGGTGGAAATCGACAGCGACTGGCGCCGTTTCGGCGGTGACTTGTCCCCGAGTGCGCTGGTATATCTCGTCGCGGACCTTTTCCGGACCGATCCGCGCTGCGTCGTGCTGAATTCGAGGGGCGTTTGGGGCATGGCGGAGCGCAAGCCGCCCATTGCGCCTTCGAGTCTGGGTATTCCGTAGAGCTTTCAGAGCTTTACACGAGAATACCCTCCAGACCCGAGGCGAGCGGGGCACAGTGCCCGCATCGACCCGAGGGCTCTGCCGGCTGCCCGTGCAACCTCTTCCATTCGCAGCGGGGCAGTTCTCGCGCCCGCACGCTCTCGATCGGCAGGCCGAGGTAGGCCGCGAAGCGCCGCCGCAGCTCGGCATGGTCCTCTGTCTGGCTTGCCGTCCGGCGCATGCGCGCACGGAGGCGCTCGACGAGACTCCTGACTTCAAAATCGGGCAGGGCGCGGGCGAGGATCTCCACGCGCTTGAGCTTGAGAGCCGGGGGCGGGTCGGTGCTCGACGCCGGGTCTAGGGGGAAGTTGGGCGAGGACGGGGATAAGGGAGAGATGGGCGGTGGCTTGGGGGTGAGAGCCCTCGAGAGGGACGGGGGTGGCAGAGGAATCAGACAGGCGGGATTCCAGAACGGTTCGGGCATGACGCCTTGCTGCTCCAGTACGAGCTCGGTCGTCTCTGGCCCCAGAGCGCCGGAGAGTCCAGCACAAAGCTGGGAGTAGGACGCGCGGGCCAGGATCGGGTCCGCAATGAGTCTCGTCAACCTCACATGCACAGTCTGCGCACTATGCCTCAGTTCAGGCGTCACGCCGCCTCCGTCGTTCAAGCCCCCCTTTGCTCCATTCACCCGACCCTCTTTCCACCAAGCCGCTCCTCCACCAACGCCCTCGACATCAGACGGCAGAAGAGAAGCAGGCGCCCGCCGCGCCCATCTCTTCCCGACTTCCTTGATCCCCAGTCGCGCCCCGCAGAGACAGTTCGGCGTGACGCTCATCGTGAGCTTGCTCACTTTCGGAATAGAGTACGCGGGCGCGGGCGCGTGCTGCGCGTGCAGGATCACGATGTGCGCAGTCCCCGGTGCATGGCTCAGGACTGCATCAAGTCCGGGCGAGGGGGGGACGTCGACTAGCACGATAACCTTGGCTCTCGAAACACCCTTTGCGCGAGCCGAAGGCGAGCCCGTGGGGTGAAAGCACGGCAGGCGCTCCTCGTCCGGCTCGGCGGGCGAGGCGGGAGCCGGCGGGTCGACGGCGCTCGGGTTTGCGGGCACGTACCGCCGCCAAGGAGAGGGGCTGCGGTGTCGTCTAGGACTCCTCGTTCGGCTGCTTTCGCGGCTTCGGCTGGGACTGCGGGATGTAGTTCGGGTAGGCGAGGGCCAGTTTCGTAGCGGCGGGAGATCGGGCTCCCATACGCCCTGTTGCGAGGAGACTACGATCTGCCCACCGACCGAGCGGAAGAAGAGCGTTTCGCCGGTCAGGACGCGGTCGACCCAGTCTCGCAGTGTCGAGCAGGTACCCCGCGCTGTGAGCAGGGTGTGTCTGCCTGAGAGGCGGAGGATGTCCTCGACTATGTCGGGGTAGGAGGCGTAGGGCAGCGTCATGGCTGGATTTCCATAGCGATGCCGGGCATGGATTGCGATGGCGACGGGTCCAGACTTGATGGGTGCAAGGTTAAGAGGGAGTGATTAGCAAACTGCAAGAGCAGGGCACACGAGCATCCCGGAACACGCTTAAGAAACGCTTAGTTGCTACCGGGACTTCCCACGGCTGTCATGACCGAAAGGGACAGTGGGTCTTCCCGAAACCAGCTGACAACGGCACGGGGGCTGATAGCAGCAGAGGAGGGCTAGATAAGCGCGTGGTGTGGGCACGTGATGAGTCCTCCGCCGCCTCACTCGTCTGCCTCTCTGCTCTCTAACTGCTGCCAATACAATGCAAGAATATCTAAGTCTACCTGGCATGACAAGTGACAAGATCTATGGCTTTGGATACAACGGACATGCGGGAGCTGGCCAGCCAGTCTGCCGCTTTTACGCCTACGACTCGATCCTTCCCTGCTCGGCTGGCGGGTCGATGCCCATGTCCCGGTCCACGACTGGCCGCCTCTTCGCTCGCCCAACCGCCGCACCGAGCTCCTCAACAACTCCAGAAAGGATACGCATCTCCATCTCCGCACCGAGGGGATCCTCCTCGTCCGTGCCGAGATGTACGCCTATCACGCCGCCCTTGAAGGAGCGCACCTGGCTTCGGAAGGCTTTCAGATCAAGTTGCACGCGGTTCAGACTCTTGGTCGTATCGTCGATGCCCGCAATCGTGCCCTTCGTGATAGCAAGGTCGGCGGAGATGCGCTGCAGCTTGGACGGATCGCCGCCCTTGAAGAACCGTAAGGTGGAGTCGAGCGCGCGCTGCCAGCCAGGATAGCGCTCCTTCTCTGCCTGCAACTCTGCGGACGAGGAGGACAAGGTGTGCAACAGTTCCCAGCCCTTCGCGGATCCGCGGACGGAGATCGGGATGGCGCCGTCGATGGCAGAGTATAATCGGTCGAGATCGCGGTCAAGGCGAGAGAGAAGCGAGTCAAGGCGAGCCATGACGCGCGACGGCGGCGGACCGTCAGGCATGCCGAGCAGGTCTACGAGTGAGGAGAACTGGCGTCAGCTACAGGTCTAAGAGTTGCAAGCTGAAGTACCGCGCTCATCGACCAGAGCAGGGAAGCTTGTGCAAAGCCCGCCGGAAACGGTACGACGCGAAGCCACACTCACCTCCCAGAAAAGCCACGAGAAGGTCGTCACGCTCATCGCGTTGATGGCAACGATCTCGTCCGTAAGCTCGCTAGCAAGGTTGGCTAACTCTATGAGCTCAAGTCCGACCATCTCGCGCTGGTCTAACGTTGACCCAGTACTGATCGCGATTCCAAGTTCATGAATCCTGTACGTCAGCTAGAGCACGTGAAAGAAAAGGCGAGCTTATGCCCTCCTCAAGCACAGATACTGGAACCTGAGTGAAGTGTGGGTGACTCACCGTACATGACCCAAGCCCTGGGTCATCCGCCCATCGCCGAGCACCGTCAGACTCTCAAAGATGTCCTTTGCGTGCCGCGCCTCCTTACTCAGTCCCCTCGAGACTGCAGCGACGTCTACCTCACGAGCGACGTCCACCTTCTTGCCACCGCCGAGGCCACGCCACCCCCATCCCTTGCCTACCAGACTGAGCTCGCAGGCAATCCCGGTCAGGAGGCAGGCAGGTGTTGCGGCGAGCTTGAACGGCAGGCCCACGGCCGTCGACAGCGGCTCGGGGAGTCCACTCAGCGCATGTCGGATGTAAAGCACCGCAATCCAGCCAAGACCGGCCAGCACGAGTAGAATGACGAGCGTGTTGAGCAGATGCCACAGGACCGGACCGAGTACCACTCGCAGCGGCATCAGGACGACGCGGAAGGGAAGAAGCAATAGATTGATCGTCGAGCTCAGCGTCGGCCTGTTGTCGTTGTACCGTGCGTCGGCCTCGGATTTCGCCGCTCTCGCCGCTCGTCGTCGTCTCCTTTCCAGGCGCTGTCGGTCCTTCTCCTCCTTCTCTCGTCTTCGTCTGCGCTCACTCTTCTCCGGCGAAGACCCTGAGCTAGAAGCCGACTCTCTGCCCGACACGAAGGGGTGTTCCCGTGGCGGGGAACGCGGCGGCTCGACGTTACTTCTGGAATGACTGATCGATGCTAAGTTCGAGGCATGCGCGGAAACACCACTAGTGCCGCCGGCCGCCTGGAGTCCAGAGTCTTCTGTGAAGGCGCTGTGGGCGGGGGTTCGTTCGGCCGTCTGCGAGAGGCGGAATGAACTAGGCGGTGAGGCTGCACTCCCAGAGCTGCGTGACGAACGGCTAGAGCGGCGCGTAGACGGTCCGCGGATGGAGTTGGCAGATCCACTTCTTCGGATCGAGGGATGCAGGGGTACAGCCGATGAGCCAGAACCTGCGCCAGCGTCGTACTGCGCTGCGAGGTTTGAGGAAGACATTGGCCGCGGCGGTGGGAGAGGACCGGTGTACCGCCGGGCCGCTTCTTCGGCCTGCACTTCGTCGGGCGTCGCGGGAAGGGCCTTCCCGGCAAGCAGCGGGTTGCCCGCAGGTACGTGACTCGGCGTCGATTGTCTTGGGTAGGAGTGTCGCTGAGAGGTCGAATATGCGGATGGGAGGGAGTAGGCCAGTGAGGGGTACGAGTATGTCGCGGGGCGCGTCGAGCGCCGTTCGGGTGTTCCACTGGCAGCCGTCGAGGCGTCGCGCGGGCGCATCGGGCCGGGGACGCTGTACTGAGGGGGAAGCCCCATAGCGCCAGAGGAGTCGACCGAGCGGTGCGGAGCGAGTGGCGGGGTCGCGGAAAGAGTGCGAGGGAGGGAGTGCGTGTGTGGAGTTGGATGAGGGAAGGTCGTGTGGATGTGGGGAAGGAAAGAAGGTGGATGGCACAAGAGGGTGAGTAGGGAGTGCGTGTGTGAGTGTGTGTAGTGCAGGGCGCGCGAGGTCGCGAGCTCGCGAGTGTGTTCGGTCGGTCGCCACCGAAATGAGAAAGTCGCATGAGGAGGGATGAAGGTCTGAGACAACGACCCGCGTGAACATGGCCTCGCCCTCAGGTGACGCCCAGGCACGGCCCGATTGCCTGTCCCGGCAATTCTGGCACTGAGCTCGGGCCTCTGCAATCTCCCTCTTCCCTGCATTTCTACCCTGTCGACACCCCCCGAGTGCCCACTTGCTTCGCGACCATCATGCACCCCCTCGACAACGCCGAATGCACTCAAAAGTTGGTGGATGTTGGACACACTCTATAATGCCATGCGGATTGTGCGGAAACTATGTAAACAAACAAACACTCTACTCTCTCTTATCTATCCCTGGCTGTCACTCGTCGGCCGCGTCGACTCAATGTCGTCTGAACTTTATCAGCTCTCCCTTCCGCGCATCTCTCGTAATGACCCGCTAGCGTGGCCTGCTCCACTGAATGCACTCCCTGGACAGCACACTGTGCTCAGGAGCGCTCGGAGAGAGCAGGCCAGGCGGACAGAACACGTTTGTACTCACCGACAAAACTCTCGTACCCCCACTCGACCGCCTCGGCGGCCCAGTAAAAGTCGCAGTGCTCGCTCTTGTCGAGCTTGGTGACCTTGACAACACGCACATCCTTCTCCTTCTGCTCGAGACGCTCGAGCAGCGGCTCGGTCAGAACGAGATAGTCGCAACCGCCGTAGTAGATCGACAGTGGAGGGAAGCGCGCATCGTACCAGCGCTCGAGGCTGTCGTCAAGCGTGCACTTGCGGTCGGCGAAGCCACCCTTGCCGCACCACCAGAAGATGCTTGCACTTGAGACCTGCGTCGGTGTGAAGCGGAACATCTTGGTCTTGCGGCGCTTGAGCCAGTTTGCGTCGGTCCAACTGAACAGGAATGCGAACATGATGTAGCCAACAGTCGAGAAGATCTGCGCGGGACAGTAGTCGTACGCAATCTTCATGAGCGGAATGAAGTCGAGCACGCCGAATAACCGCCGCCAGGTGTCCCACTCGATTCGGTTCAGCGTCGTGAACGGGAAACCAGTCGTGAGCGGGCCGGCGTACACCGCTGGCGCCAGAGCGATGAACACGCTCATCTTCTGGCCCAGATCGGGGCACATGCCGAGCGACAGCGAGATGAACGTGAGTCCGTTGCCCTGCGAGTGGCCCATGAACGCAATCTTGTCGTATCCCGTTTCGTCGCGCACGTGGTCCACCATTGCCGGAAGGTCGTACATGGCGAGGTCCCTGATCGTCCAATCTGATGTCAGCTGAGTTCTTATCGAGAGAAGATTGGGACCGGCCCGGTGCTGCGCGTGCCGGCGCATTCGGCATACGAAGAGCCTTCGGAGGAATCGCGGGATCAGTAGAACCACGAACCACTTCCAGCGCGCAGAAACCTTAACGCGCCGTTCCTGGCTACTTCCCACGAAGCACTGCGCGGCACGTCACCGCCAGCGCACTGAATCAGTAAGTGTCACTCACCCCAGAATCGCGGATCCGTCCGTGCATAACTCCGGTGGCCCATGTCGAACACGCCGCGCGTGTTGCCCAGGTACACCTGGTAGCCCTTGCGTGCGAGCCAGAAGGCAAGCGAGCGGTCTTCCGACGTGATGAACGAGCCAGAGCTTTGGAACAGGCCGTGCAGGATAAGGACGGGGAAACCACGCCCAGGCGCGACAGTCCGCGCGTCTATCGTGGGGTCGGTCACGCGGTGAACGCTGTAAGTTAGCTCTCTTCGGATAACGGGTTAGCTCTACAACGTCGGACGTACCGAAGGTAGAACCCATCGTCGGTCACGATAGTCTGCTCCTCGATCTCCATGCCGCAGTTGCGCGCATAGTCCTTCGGGTCTTTCGTGACCTTCTCCTTCCTCCAGTGCTTGTGGTCGTCCCATTCGTATATCTTGTCCTTGTCTATTCCGAGGACGCGGCGCACGACCTTCGGACCAAACTGATATGCCTCGACAATAAGGGCATACACGACTACGCCGAGAAGGAAGGCAGTCGAGATGACGAGCGAGAACGTCTGGTTCACAAACAGCCGCGCCTTCTCCCAGCGCGTGAGCGGTCGGTGCGGTGCGCCATGGTATGTCGGAGCGAGGCCGGGAAATGTCGGGCGGAGCAAGTGCTGCGTCGGGGTGACAACGCGGTCGATAAATAGCCGCAGGTACGATCGCGTACTCGACGTTGATGAGCTGCGAGACAGCGACGCGTGCACTGGCGTTGGCGCAAGGAGTTGAGGGTCGTTAGCCCCGAAGCTCTTGCCGCCGCCGTTGCTGCGCAGCGCCGCAGCGCTGCCGGCACTGTTAGCGCGCAGCAGCGGGTCTGTCACGCCCGCCTCAAAGTTGGACATTGTGGGCTGGCGCATGGGCTGGTCGCGCTTACCCGGGGCGGTCTTGGCGACGGGAATGGTGAGATTGTGACTTGAGCGGCCACAGGCGCTACCGTAAGAGTAGAATGGTGGCGAGGACGGGGGAAAGGTGAGGTGGTCTGAAGAAACTGAAAGTCGTCGGCGTGACAATGCCGGTCGAAATTGGGGTAGCAAGGAGCAAGAATGGAAGGGGTATGGATATCGGGAAGGTGGTTGAGCAGACAATGCGATGAGAAAGAGCTCGAGGTCCGCTCAGGTGGAGGGCGCAGGTAATTTCATGTAAACATCGAACGACTGGCCTGGTTATCTTATCACGTGGCACGCCCTGCGTCGTCCTTCCCGCCTGAACGCCGCCACCAATAGGCGTCTGTGTGCGGGTCGGTCTGACGTAAGAGGCTGTAGGCGCGTCACAGGCACGTGTCTCCCGACGATGTTAGGCGCGATCACCTCCACTGATTGGAATGCTGCGCCTGGAATCAAGTCGTTGACGACACTTGAATGCTGCGCTTTCGGTGGAGTCGGAGCGTCAAGACGTTGGAGTTGGAGTTCTTTCCTGTAGCCTCTTCGAGCAGGCCATATATCCAAGCTCTCATTCGGTCAGTCGTACGATTCGGTGTGCTGAAAGTATGTCGTCCGGTGAGCGTCGGTCGAGGTTGGGATCGGGCGTTAGCGGCATGTGTGGCCTCCTTGTGACTTCACAGTATGCGTCACCCGTTCCTTCGGACAAACTATCACATGCAGGGTACGCAGTACGTGCCTTCTCACCACCTAATAGCAACGTTCTGGGCCATCTTAGGACAGGAGAGGAGGCTTTGACGGAAGAGTCGGCTGCTGGTTATCTTATCACGAGCAATGCCTAGGTCCGCGGCTAGCAACCTCTTGGGGGCCATCCTCCGCTGCGCCGTTGTCTCGGTTCGATCACTGATCACTGATCGGCAGTGATACTGACGCTGAAGACGTGTCTGAGCTGACATCGCGTCTGACGCAGGACAGAGAGCACCATGCGCCTCAGCCGCCCTCATCTCGTGCGACCTTGTCCCAACCCAAGGCCCACTCTGCGAAACCCCCACGCTGCTCCTCGCACAGAAGCGCTCTGTGTGCCAACACGGCAACATATACTAGTAGGAAAGCAGGCTTTCGCCCGCAACGCAGTGACGTGCGGCCTCGACACTGTCACACTTTTTCATTCTTATGACCTACGCCTTCTCGATGATAAAAACTCGTCAAAGAAGTCCACCGTCTATGAGCAAAACAGATGTGCGTGGCTCGCTGAGTCGGCTTTGGGATGTCGCAAGGAAGCCATGCGTTGAGGAAGGCTTCTCGAACAGAAATCTACGGCAATACTGGTGAAGCTCACATCTAGCCGATCCAAAGGAACTCGCCCTGATGCACAACCCTCCAGATGCGCATGGCCAAGGGCCGACGTATCTTTTGGTCTGGAGCTGCCAATCAACCGCTTCCAATTAACCTCGGCGCATTCGACCGTGGAACCAAACATGGGGCCCCACAGGTTTCCACCATGAGGACTTGCTCGAGCCCATCGTCGTCTCTTTGCGCACAGAATGAGGGTAGCAACGCAAGGGAACCTAGTCATGTAAAGGATTTGTCTGTAATGCCCTTGGACTTAGGGCGGATCAGAAGCAGGCGACGGCGATCTGGAACTATTGCAGACAGCGCCCTCACAAAGACATCGTGACAGCCACTTCCGTCATGACCTACTCACAAAATCTGAACACTCGTCCACACAGTCTTCATTCCCCTTCAGTTCACACAAGAGGGGAATGTTAACCACCTTGCGCCTTCAGGCGGTAGCGCACCGCTACATCCCACCTCCCTTCTGCACCCCCTCGTTCTTGCACTTGCAACGTTGCCCATTCCCACGCCTCGCAACCTGGCACCCACCTTGGCCACTCCCCTCTCGAGCACCCACAAAGCAACAGGCAGCAATGGAGTCGTTCATCTCGGTCACGACCAAGTTTGTTCCTGCGCGCAACCCGCAGAAGTATGTCACCCTCGTCTCGAAGGACCCCAACATGTCCGAGGTCGAGCACATCATGGACAGCTCTGTGCTCCGCGCGGCGTCGTGAGTAGCATGAGCAGCTCTGTGGAGGCCAAGGAAGCTGAACTGCAGCCCGATCGTCTCCTCATCGTTGCAGAACGTGAACCTGGCGCAGCAGAAGCCGATCTTCGTGCTCTACGCGGACTCGATCGCGGTCTCGAACTTCATCTCGCTCATCAGCCTGACCAACCCCGTCCCAGGCGACATGGATGCGAACCGCCTCCTCGCCGTCGGGCGCCTCATGGCCACGTTCGCGGTCATCCCCTCCGTTCGCGACATGTACCGCCGCCACGCCGAGGCGGCATTCAGCAAGTGGACCGAGCTCACGATCGTCACGTGGGTCCAGGTCGCGCTCCTGGCGCAGTCGGCTGGTATTCTGAACACGGTCCTTCTCCGTGGCGGGTTCCTCTTCAAGAGCGCCAACACTGTTGAGCGCTGGCTCGCGTGCCTCAAGGAGGCGGAGGATGAGAGCGAGTTCGAGCCGCGTACCGCCAAGGTGCTCTTCTGGATGACTGGGGCTGCCAAGCTCGGCGCGAACTTGGGCTCGTACCGCGCCAGGTTTGTTGGTGAGCTAGACTGGAATGGCCCTCCGAAGCTAACGGCTCAGACAACAAGCTCTGCTTCTCCTCCGAGACCGAAGAGGACGTCTGGATCGAGTGAGGTGAGCTCAACCGGCCCGGACGAAAGCTGATCACAGGCCGCTGGCCTAATGACTGTCGGGCAGCCGTCCCCGTGTCTTATTGGTTTGTGGCAGCTGACTTATAGGAAGGACGAGCTGACGCCCAGATCTCAAAGCCGATCATTGATCTCTGCTAGTCGAGTAGTGAGTCGCAGCTGAGTAGGGATCGCTCCTAGCTTACCCCAGATCAAGCTGTCTCAGACATTATGTCCCATGCAGACTCACAGTGTTCTTCTCTGGAATTAGATAAGGCCAAGTCGCGCACGACGAGCATACTCAGGCAACGGCAGAGTAACTCCTTCCGATCTGCTGAGCTCACAGATGGCCGCGCCATCGGGGGCTCACAGTTTGACTCAGGTCTGGCTGACGCAAGGATTCCCCCAGCGAGGCTCAGGTGAGCTGACCAACTCTTCCAGCTAGCTCACGTCAGACGTTCCACGTTGCAATGCGAATCCTTAGGGGGCCTTGCCCTCTCCAACGTTGGAGTCTTAAGCCCTCGTGAGCTAAACATCTGCTGACCGACAGCTCACCTCAGCGCATCTCACCCAGACGCTGGGGTTCTGGCGACGGAGCAATGATGCGATGCGGCTGGACGTGTTATGTGGACAGGGGAAAAGCCGATGGAACAACGTGGGCTGTCTTTGAATCTGTACTAGCTGACGCCAGCACCTCCAACCCAAGTGTAAGTTAGGTGGGCGTCTTCTGCTCACCTCGGGCTTCCGCTCTGAGTACTTCGATGATCTTGTCGTCCATGCGACAGGGTTCGCATTGCTGTGCCGCTATGTAAGCTAGAACTTCCAGAAACTCAAAGCTCACTTCAGCTCTTCTTTCCGCCGGTGGACTCGCAAGGGGTCTCACAGCTGACCTCTCCGTGCTGCAACACGACGAAGGTGTCTTTTTCCTAAGCAAGTGCTGCTTCTTCAAGCTGTGTCCCAAGCCACGACCCTCATCCCTTGTCAAGCGGACTGTGGCAGGCACCTCTCCTACCACGACCTTGACCTCTCCCCACCTTGTTGCGTGAGTCAGTTGCCTTTGGGTGATGCTTAGCTGACGCCAGACTCGTCTCTATCTGCTGTCGAGGCGATCAAGTCTCCTGCAAGTGTTGGCAGGTAGGCTGACCGGTTCCATTTCAGAGCTCACATCAGGACTGGAGTCACCCGGTAGCTACGAGTACCGTCTGGAGCTTACCTCAGCCCATGCGTACTCGACGTTCAGAATGCCCGATCCCTACAGATATCGCCCCCTACACTGTGCCGGGCTGGTCACCAGGTAAACCGACACCATCTTCCATCTGATTCTTGACCTCTCCTGGCCTCGCAGCAGCATGACCGAGCCTTACACTGACAGTTCCGAAAGCCGTAAGTACTCTCAGCTGTCACAACCCCCAATGGAGCTAACGCCAGACTGTTGCCTCCTCGGTGCATGTTCTCAGCTGATTTATGGTCGTGACTGAGCTAATTTCAGTCTCTTCTCTCTCTTTCACCTCCTGTTCACCTCCTTCAATTCCTCAACGAGCTCTTCTTGTCAATTCCGCAGGCCAGGAAACGGCCGAGCATTCTCGACCCACGCCAGCAGTGGAAGCGGGGCGCCGTCGGTTTAGTCAGGAATGACTAAAGCGCCGTAAAACGATTCGAACCCATAAATAACCAGTTCCTGTTCGTATAACGGCTAGTATGCTCGCTTGTCATGTATGATCGCGGGAGATCGGAGTTCGATTCTCCGACAGGAAGCTTCCCTTTTTCGCCCTTCTTCGGCCTCTCCCGTGCATGGAAGGGACGCAGGGATGATGTTTTGCCAGAGAGGATGGATGGAGATTGGGCGGAGTGCGGATGGTCTGAAACTTCGGTCGGTGGAGGTGGAGGTGGAGGCTCTAGTGCAGGCTGATAGTTGCCGCGGCTGTCAAACTGATGCTATGCATGGATCGCGCTCTATCTAGTTGAGGTCTACGGATGAACGATGTACTGCTGAGTTAGCTGTAGGGCTATTCTGTTAGCTCACAGCATGCTGCCTTTGACTGCTGTCAGCTCGGTGCACGTCCGTTTCCAGCTCACATGATTATCCATCTGATGACCGACCCCTCACTGCCACTGTCAAAATCGAACCAGCGCCGTCCGGTCGTTGTCTCTGCAGACACACAACCTTCCACCTGCTCTGTTAGCTCAAAGTACATTGCAAGATCAGCTAACCATCATAGACGACCTTGACGTCCGTCAGAGACCCCGTCAGCGCATGCTCGTTGCCGAGATACACGAGCGCGCGCCACACATCCGGTTCGCGGGCCATTGCGTCGGCCGCTTCTTCCGGCGATGGCCAGGCGGGATTCACCTCGCCGCCGTGCCGTGTCGGGGCGAAGAAGGCGCCGGGTTTCGGACCCGCCTTCAGGGCCTTGTCCCAGAGTTCAGAGGAGGCGGTTAGATGTGCAAGTCTGGTGTCAGCTTACGAACACGCACATTTGCAAGCTGTAGATGCCCTGCTGACCAAACCTTCTGTCAGCTGAGCGAATCTCCAGAGTCAACCTTCTGCGTCACCTGGTGTAACATCGCTGACAACTCACCTGCTGTTAGCTAGACATCGTCCACCAGGCAGCTCACCTGCTTGTCAGCTATTATCTACCCATCGGCTAACTCACCTGTCTCATCAGCTTGGAGATGAGCGCGAAGCTCACCTATATTATCAGCTTTGGAGTGTGTCGGCCTGCTCACCTGTCACGTCAGCTAACAGTACCAAGACCCTTAGCTTACCTGCCATGTCAGCTACCCGGCGATGTCAAAGCTCACCTTAGCAGTGCAAAGAAGTTGCTGTTCGTAATCGGTCCTACGAACGCCTTCTCGACATATCGCTTCACGCTGGCAGACACAAAGGGCCGGCAGCAAAACACGTTCGCTGTCCGCGCGACCTCGAGCAGCTCGTCAACCGTGAAGCTGTGCTTGTGGGCGTGCGGCGTGATGAAGGTGATGAAGGCGGTCATGGCCTCGATGGGCTGCAGCGTGTCGATACTCGGTAGGGCGGAGGAGAGGTCGACCTCGTCCAAGATCGTATCGAAGACGTCGCTGTCGTAAGCTATGTCAATGCGATCAAAGGAGCTTCCCGACGGAGGGGTAAAGTGACTAGTGCAGGGAGCGTTAACACTCACGAGCAAGCTCTCAATACCTGCCCATTTGCCCGTACTTGCACCTTCCTCGTCGAGTGCGTCTTGCAGATAAGCAGGACGTCGTGGTGCGGGTTCGCGCTCGGTGTCAGCTCCATGTCGAGCAGCTGTTTCGAGAGGCGGCGCTGTGCCCTTCCTTGCGGTGCTGGAGTCGGAGCCGGACTCTGGACCTGCGGCGGGGAACGGTACCCGCCCGTCTTGAGCTGGAGGGCGGCCATGATGTTATCTCAGCTGCACTGTTGGTTCAGTTACTGGCCGCCGTTCGTTGAGGCAGAGAGGTCGACTGGGAAACACCGATGAGAGCCAGGACTAGCTGGGAAGAGCTGGTGATGTGATGGACGAAAGGACGGAGCGGAGGCAGTGTCGAGAGCGGTGCGATGACAGAAGTTTGAAGGCGAGGAAGGACCCAACCCGAAGCCAAAACAAACAACGCAATGCGCAGTGACCAACGCGGACGAGCAGACGAGCGCCGTGCCTGCGCAGTTTGCAGGAGAGGCCAGAACGGGTCTATTTTCACTGACGCTCGCCCCCTTCTCCTCAGATGTCTGTGCGCAGATCGGGGCCCTGCGACAACGCTTCCAGGAAGTGACCAGCGCTCTGGGCAATGAACGGAGAGCTCTTCACCGTCGTTCCTCCTTATTCCTAGCATACCTGACATTGTCATGCATCGTGGGGCTGAAATATCGATGACAATCCGAGAGGTTGCTAGGTGGAGGACTGGGGGAGCATTTCAGGGAGCACGCGCTCCTTACGAGCTGGATCAATTCATGTCACTGTTGCGCACCTGAACAGTTGGCGGATGCTTCAGTGCTCTAAACAGCATCTGTGCTACGGCGCATACTCCCATCTCCCGTCGTGCACTCCGTGTGGGGACTACGGGACGCCGTAGTAATCACCTGCCGCGTACTCTGATGGTCAGCTCAGCAAGGATCCGAAGCTTACCGACTACTCCTGCTGCACTCATCGTGGCCAACCAATGCTGGTGTTAGCTCAGAAGGCCGCTGGGAAGCTTGCAATGAGATCAGACACCTATTCTCATTTGTAACGGTCACCTTGTGATCCAGACCAGGTTTGTCATCTCGTGAGGCGATGAGGGAATGCTACTCACGCAGTAGTCTGAGGTGAGCTTCAACAGACGTCTTCGGCAGCTAAACAGCTGACTCTCCCAGGTACCCCTCGCTCTTCGACGAGCCAGGTGAAGATATGGGTGTCGCTCATAGTTTCTCTCAGAAGCTGGAGCGGGGGCGGTCACTTGATGCCGACGAGGCTCCTCACTGGATGTCAGCTCAATGTGCATATCTTCGTAGCTCACCTGTAACGTGATTTCTGTATTTCAGAACCTCCTACAGACTAAGGCTAGTGATGGAGGTCGGTTATGAACCACCGGAGACATCAGTTCTTCGCCTAAAGGTGCTAGGATGCTTCGAAGCACCCGCGGCCATCCAGCTTCGGTACCTGTTACAATTCAGCTACACTGCTGAACAACTCAAGCAGCTCACCAGTCACTGAGGCAACGCTCCATTGCGTAACCACTGCGAACGCCGGTCTGCAACTTTTGACTGTCAACAGACTGTGTTGTTAGCTTAGCCTTTCTCGACAATGCAGCTTACGATTAGGCGCTTCCCTATGCGTCCACTGTAAGCTTACCAAAGCGACAGGTTTCTGCCGCAGCTAGGTGATCAGCTTGTCTCACGTATGGGTGCGAGCTGGGTCTCCGACGCTGCGCAACCGAATGACTTGAGGCTGTCCATCAGCTCGAAGAACGGGGTCCGGATAGCTGGTCAACTTACTCTGTCGATAGCGCAAGTGGGCATCTGCCCTGCCTACTTGACATCGGCCATTGCTGCGGGTCTGACGTCTGCCTCGAGTCGTTGCGATCTTGAGAGGAGGGGCTGGTAGTGTGAGTGCGAAGCTGAGCAGCGACTTGCTGGATGTTTACGATGCGTCAAGGCATGGTATGAACGTATGAAGTGGTTGAGAACATCGATGCATCAGAGGAAAGCAGTTGCGTGCATGGCAGCCTTGGTGTGGTGCTCTGAAACGCGTTGCCTCCTTTGGCGGCCGTCGTCAAGCTGGGGCAGAGCCAGGAACGGAACTGACGACGAGCTGCTCCAGTGACACTCGTGCCCTTGTGAAACACACAGCTTGGCTTCTCTCGTCTGTTTTCGCACAGTGAAACATTCCTTCCTTTGATCCGCCCAACCACGGATCCACGGAGAAGAGTTGCCTAGTAGCGCTGCATCCAGTCATGGGATCATGGTACACTGCTCTGGTGGCCGGTGGCGAATGCAACCTGAGAGCCAGCTTTCGCCACCCACGACCTCTGCCGACAGCAAGCCCGACGCAGCGGACGCGCCTCGAACAACCCGCGCCTTCCCCGCCATCCTTGGGGTGGGGGAAGAGGGGCGTCGATCAAACCGTGCGGTGTCTTCCATCGGCCGCGACCACAGACTCTGACGTCTTTCGCCGCAGTACGCAGTGTCATCCTCTTTGGTCGCGCGCAAGAGCACATGTCTCTCAATGTGTCAGGAAGCAGGATCGTCGGTCTGGCCCGAATCTCGGCCCACCCAGCAACCTCGGGCTTCAAGCCGAACCACTCCTTTTCGAATCGAGGACCACGCGACCACGTGCAGTTGTCCTCATCCTTGGGTCTGGTGCCGCTGAACTAAATCGAGGCGGGGGCGGGGACCCCAGAGTGGGTGTCCAGCTGACCGTAAATTGACCGATGTGCTCTCACTCATTTTGCGCGCATACTGCGGCGCTTTCGAGATCTCATGACCATCTGACACCTTAGGTGTGGGCTTCATGACTAAGGAATGCTAGAGAGGGGGATCACTTAGATGTTGCTTTCGTGCCATCTTGGGCGTCCTTGGGCTGCCTGGGCATACCGCCCACATATCTGCTGTTCTCACTGCGCCAGTCTGACTCGACGTGCAACGCCAACGAACGCCGCATGTGCATCCCCGCATCCCGCAGCGCAGGCCGGGGGCATGATGCAGTCGAGCTGTCCACCTGACCCGCACTTGGTCGCGGTATATATGCCCCTTCCCCCTTTGACGTGTCCTCTCCCCTCTACCTCATCCTCATCACCCACCCCAGCTTTAACAGACATAACCGCCAACGCCTTCCAACAGACCCAGCACAGCATGAACCCTTCCGAGTCGCGCCAGTGGACCGAGTCGCGCCAGTGGGCCGAGCGCTCCAAGTGGCTCAAGCGGAACCAGAAGGTGACCCCTCAGCCTTTGAAGCCGGTCGAGCGCCGCCCCTCCCTGGCCTCGAACACGAGCTCGACCTCCCAGTCCGACAGCATGGATATCCCCGGCAGCCAGCAGCGCCGCATGAGCGAGAGCTCCATGGCCTCGTCCCAGGGCTCCAGCATGGGCACGTCCCCGACGACCGAGCTCAAGAACATGATGAGCGGCATGAAGAATGCGAGCTCGGGCCAGCAGCAAATGAACCCCCTCCAGCCGCCTCGTGGGTCGCGCTTCTCCAACTCGGACATGCACATGTCCTTTTGAGATTGTGTATTACCCCTAGCCTCCCACGAATGTGTGATCCGACAGCGAACGCAACAGAGTGTATATAGTCAGAAGTCCAATGTAGTCTGGAGAAATGCCAACGTGTTATGAGCCTCAAACCGCAGCTGCAGTCTAGTGAGGAAGCTGCTATTTCTATTGCTGCCGTCGGCCATCGTTCCCGATACCGGCGCCATTGGCAGGTGATGTGATGAAAATGCAGATCTATATGAAAATTGGCTACTACAGTTGATGATGACGCTCTAACCCAATCCTCCTCCCCTCATATCCTTTCAACGGCCTCGCTTCGCTCGGCCTAAGCGACATTGACGCGTTTCCTCTTGGCGCGTCCCTCCTCAATGCGCTTGCGCACGGCCTCCTCGTCCATGTTCTCCTCTTCGAGCAGGCCTGCGGTCTGCTCGCTCTCCCACCTGTTGCGAAGGAAGCGGAGCGCGGCGAGGTTGTAGCCCATGCGCTTCCTGTGTCCCTCGAGGGCGCTTCGCACCGAGCGCCGCAGGTCGACGAGCTGGGTACGCATGACGCGGTTCGCGACGATTTGCGCGTGGTGCGTCTTGACCAGGAAGAGCAGGAGACGGGCGGTCAGAATGATGTCGCGGTCGGCACGCGCCCACGCGTCGAGGTAGCCGAGCAGCGACACGACGTTGCGGAACGGCAGGACGAGGAGGGCGTCCTCCATCTGCGCGGCCGGGATCTTGGACAGGGTCTGGTACACGTGCTCCTCGGGCGTGACGCCGCGGGCCTTGAGCTCGGCGCTGCCCTGGGGCTGGGGGACGCCGGCGGCGGCGGCCTCATTGCCCGACTCGCGGTGGTGCGCGACCTCGGTCTCGTACTCCTTCCACGCCGCACGCTCTGCGTCGGCGAGCTCGAGCGCCTCCATGATGCGCTCGCCGGCCATGAGCGTCTCGGCCGTCTGCTTCTGGACGCCCTCGGCCTCGACGCCGTCCTCGCCGTCTGCGTCGCCGTCGAGATCGGTCCGGTTCATCTGGTCCGCGAGCGCGGCGTCGTGCGCGTCCTCGAGCTCCCGCTCCCGCTCCTCCTCCAGGAAGAGGGGCTCGTCCGTCTTCTCCCAGATGCGGATGCTCTTGTCGTGGCTGCCCGTCGCGACCCACTCGCCCTGCTGGCTCACGGCCAGCGCCCACACCTCGCCCTGGTGCCCCGCCAGCTTCTGGATGAGCTCAAACTTGTCCCCGTCCCAGTACTTGAGCATGCGGTCCTTGCCGACTGTCCAGAAGTAGTGGCTGTTCTTCTCGAACGCGACACCCATGACACTGTCGTCGTGCGCGAACAGCGAGCGGTGGCAGTCGCCAAAGTCCAGGCCCCAGATCTTGACATTCTTGTCCGCAGAACACGTCACGATCAGCTTGCTGTCGCTGCTAATGTCCATCGAGAGCACGGGGAGTTTGTGACCGTACAGCGAGAGGAAGAACTTGAGCGAGTCCTGGAAGAAGATCTTGACCGTTGAGTCGAGCAGAGACACGGCCAGGAACCGCCCGTCCGGCGAATACTTCACGCACAGCACATCGTCCGTCATCTTGAGCGTGCGCGTGTGCACGAGCGCGAGCTGTTTCGTCTTGTACACCGTCTCGACGCCGAGGCGGCTCACGACACGCTCGCCCTCGCCGTCCTCGCGCATCTCAAAGTCCCAGAACTTGACGTCCTTGTCTGCAGACCCGGAGACGAGGCCGCGCCCGTCGGGGCGCACAGCCACCGACCACACGGGACCCTTGTGCGCCTCGTACCGGCTCAGCAGCGTCGAGGCGGCGACGTCGAAGAGAAGCAGCTCGCCCGCCTTGGTGCCGACCACCACGTGCCGGTCGCCGGGCAGGAAGGTGCAGCACAGCGCATAGCCGCACTCCATCGTACGCAGGCACGCCGTCGTGCGTACGTTCCACACCTTGAGCGTTCCGTTCGCCGCGGACGCGAGGACCTGGTCGTCGCTGCTGACCGCGAGCGCACGCACGTCCTGGCGATGACCCGGGAGTTCGACAGAGTGCACCTTTGTCGGCTCGGGGGCCGAGCCGTCCGCGAGCTTGCTCTTGCCCTGCGGCACGGGGACGGCGTACGCCTCCAGCGAGTTGTTGCTCTGCTGCAGGAGCACGCCAAACGTCTTGCCCCCGTCGTACGGCGAGAGCGCAAACGAGCGCACCTTTGCGTTCGCCCGAATGACGCACCACGTCGTCACCCGGTCCTCCCACGCGACGGGGGCGAGATCGTTCACCTCGACCTCCTCCTCCGTGACGCCCTTCTTCTTGCCCTTCTCGCGGTTTCGCTTCGCACGGCGCGCACGCTTCGCGGCGACTTCCTCCTCGGACCGAAGGCGGAGGACCGCCGTCGTCTTGTCGGTCGTCTGCGCAAAGATGAGCGGAAGCGAAGGGTGGAATACGATCTGCGAGACGGCGTGTGTAGATGTCGGAAGTGGGAGAGAGCACACGGGCAGGACGAGCTTGGGAAGCTGTTGTTAGCTAAGGTTGCACGGTTCACAGCTTACCTCTCCATCCTCGTTCTCCTTCAGTCCCTCGGCGAGACCCTCCTTGCCAATGCTCCACGCCTTGACCTCTCCGTCACCACTTCCGGTGATCACAATGTAGCGGCCGTCCTCGGCGCCTTCCTCCTGCACCGCGGCGGAGGTGACCTCTCCGCGTCCAACGACAACGGTCTGCACGCAGTGCTGCGTGCTCAGGTCCCAGAGCTTGAGGTACGTGTCCTTGCTTGTCGTGAGAAGGTATCCCGGGTGAGTCGTGGCGCTCTGCGTCGGGTGGGGAAGGAAGGTGATGCTCGTGATCGCCCCGCGGTGTCCCTTGAGACGGAACAGACCGACCTCGGCGACACGGTCCCACACGACGACCTCTCCCTCGACACCTCCGGAGGCGAGGCGAGATCCGTCCGCATCCCATGAAAGCGTGTTGATTCCCTTCTTGTGTCCGTTGAAGGTGACGATCTCGCTGGCCTCGGCGCCGGGAGCCCAGGACCAGAGCCGGATCGCACCGTCGTTGTAAGCGACGGCAAAGGTCGCGGGCCAAGAGGCAGAGCTCTCGGACGGCGGCGGGGCAGGCGCCAGATAGCTAACGGGAGAGGTAACGCCGACAGCATGCCACATTGCGACCTGCTCGCCGCGCTTCACGTCCCACACGAGCACATCCTCCCAGCCGGGGACAAAGGCGTAGCGTCCGTCGTAGCTCGAGTTCGCGGTCGGTGATGTAACAACACCAAAGGCCTGGGATCAGCTAAGTCACACAGCAAATAGCTCACCTGTGTCGGCCCGTGGCGCATGTACGAGCGGACCATGTTGCTTTTGTTGTGATTGTCGTTCAGCTCAGCGCGACAGATTTGAGCAGCCCGCGCAATAACTTCAGCAGAGCAGGACAGTGAGTGACCCAGAGTTCAGAAAAATAGCCTCCGTCCCTTACATGACGGCGGTCACGTGTCTATGACCACGTGGGAGGCGACTGTTGTTTTTCCAGCAGGTCACAAGGACGAGACAATTGACATCAAGTGCAAGGAATCTATGCATAGATTTCGCTCTGCATTCCGGGATGGATGTACCTGGTGACTTCTTGGCTGGATGGATCTCGCTGCTAGCGGCTTGGAAGCGTGGAGCATGGGATCGTGTGAGCCTCTAGTGCTAACGGGACTCGGCCGTCGCCGAGGAGTAGAACGCCGCCGCCGCCGGGACGCTTGGCATGGCTCCGAGCGCAGAGCAAGCAGCATCAGCGACGCCCACCACATGCTCGTTGACTAGCGTCGTGGTGGAGCCAGGGATGACGGTGAGGGCGAGCAGTAACCCATACGATGCTTGGATGGGAGCAGCGAAGCTTGGCCGCTCGGCAACTTGGCACGACGGGCACTGGGGTGTGCGGCGGAATCTGCGGTGGAGGGCTGCCCTGGGTGGAAGGACCGATCACCCAAGGCTGGCAAGGCTTGGCACGGCGCCGTGCCCTGCGCTTCTTCCTGCATCCCACAAGGCTCGCCCAAGGTGGTCCAAGGTCCTCAAGGCTTGGCAGCGTCGTCTGCCCCTTCTTCCCCTCGATACGCTGCACCACAATGATAAAGAGCGGCCATGCATTCCAGAAGTCGAGCACTCCTTGAACACGCCGCAACTCACCACTTGCATCCTCGCGCCGCCGCTGTCGATTTTCGCTCTCACCTCGTCGCATACCGTTGTCGCCTGCGGTCTCTTTGGCTGCGGTACCCGCGGCCCCTGCGACTGAGCGACCAAGCGACCTTGCGACAACTGTGACACCTCCCACGATGAGCGCGACATCTCTCTCGATGCCCGGCCCCAGTAACAGCAGCCATCCCTCCGTCTGGGTGTCGGACGGCAACTGCTCTGCCTCCGTCTACGTCGGCGTGCAAGGGCGCGACCTCGACCCGAAAGACAACTTCACGCTATGCTCGGCGACGTACGCGCTGCAAACGAGCGAGGAAACGGAGGAGCCAGACCTGTCCGAGATCCAGGCGTGCTGCTTTGAGAACCAAGGGGACTACTCGTGCGAGAAGAACAACTGCCTTATGTACGACCCCCAGCACGTCGAGGAGTGGAAGGAGTGCGTCAGGCAGTCGCAGTCGAATTTGTACTCGTGCACCGTGTACCCGATTCACAAGAAGTCGGTCAACGGCGCCGCCCGCGCAGCGACACGGCTCGGTCTCGTTCTCTCCGTTGTCATGGCCATCGCCGCCACCCTCTAGCAACCCCCGACATCGCTATACCCGGCATCCCATCATCTACCTACATCGACATCTACTGCTTCATCCGGTTTTTCTCCCAGTGTCACAGCTTTCCAGCTTCCGAATCACCACGTGGTCCCCACACCGTATCAGATATTATAATCCAGTGTTGTAACCGTACAACCGTGTAGATCGAGAGACAGACGTGTCTGTAATCATTACTATCCACAGTAGCACAGTAGCATCAGCAGCGGTATGCATGCATGATTCTTCTTCCACTTCAACTTCGATACGGCTAGTCAGCGGAGGATGTCTGCGGACAGGTCGAAAAACAGTGGCCAAAGGTGGAGGTCAGATTTAGGCCTGTTGAGCTGACAGTGTGCCTAGCGAGACGGAAGCAAAAGGCGCGCGGCTCGCGAGATGCACCGAAAAAGTCCATGTCCAGTTGGTAGTCTCGTCAAAAACGGGTCCGCTCGGCATCGTCCTCACCACCTAGACATACCATGAGCCTCCTCTCTCGCAGTGCGCGCAGCGCGCTCGCTGTGCGCCGCGCCGCCGCCGTTCCGACACAGGCTGCGCGATTCGAGTCGACCGACGCTTCGTCTTCCTCTGCCGCCAAGCCCGCTGCCGACAAGAAGTCCGACAAGAAGGTCCCGGCCAAGCAGCCCGCGAAGAAGCGTGAAGTCTCGTTCGAGGACCGCGAGCTCGAGCGAAAACTGAACCTGAAGGAGCGGGTGCGCAAGCAGAGCGAGCTGGAGCGAACGACGCTCCGCCCCGACCAGCAGAAGAGCTACAACGCCCCGTACGCCGTGTACCCGAAGCGCAACCCGTGGGACATCAACAAGCTGCCCGAGTTCAAGTGGGACGAGCCGTCGTCGGCGGGTTTCCTGCGTATCCAGCAGATTGAGGAGATGCGCTCGCTTATGAGCAAGGCTGAGCTCGACCGGCCGGCGCTGCAGGGTGAGTACTGCCGTTGAGAGTGATGGAGAGTCGGAGGAGGAGGAAAGCGACGGGACAACAACCAGCAGGGCCGGAGACTCCGACGCTAACGTCCCAGCCCAGGCCGAGGCCCACCCCTTCAAGCTTCCCAAGGGTCAGATCCGGGTGCAGCGCACGATCGACCTCTCCGACCCCGAATCGCCTCTGCAGCAGAAGGCCGTCGTGATTGCCCCCGTCTCCGCCCTTCCGCTCGAGGGAGCGGACGCTTTGCGCCGCTTCAAGGTCCTTGCCGGCCCGCGGTGGACTCCGGGTTGGCCGGGCCGGATGGAGCTCGAGCAGGCCGCAGAGGGCGTCGGCGCCGAGGGCTACGTCAAGATCTCGGAGGAGACGTACGCGACGATGCGCATGAACCGCAAGTCGGCCTCGGACATGCTCGAGCGCCTCGTCGCGGCCGCCAACGACGCCAACTCCCCCCTGCCCAAGGACGTGCAGGCCGACCCGCGCTACATGCTCATGCGCGCCAAGAAACGCAATGGCGGCGCGCGCGATCGCGGGCTCACTATCGAGGCTCTCAAGCGCAACCCCCACCGCGTGGGCGGCGTCAAGGGCTTCCCGCTCGAGTGGCTCACGCCCAAGATGCAGGAGAAGGCGCTGGCTGAGCAGACGAAGCAGACCCAGAAGCAGTAGACATTTTTAGGCATAGCATGGCATCCTTGTACCGATCAGTGTCTCCGACGCCCCATTCCTACTCAACGACTAACCACAGGTTTGACCAATCCACAGGCAAAAAGTCCCTACATAATGCCAAGACCAGCAAGTTTTTCGTGCATTTCCTACGATTTCTACAAGACAGCTCTCTTTTACATGTTCCGCCAAGCGAGCCAGAAGTGCTGAAAGTCGACAGCAACAATGGGCCAGCTCCACCCCTGGTGCTTCGGCTTGCGATCCATCTGGAGAAAGTCGCGGTGCGTGCCGCCGACAATCTCCCGCTTCGTGACCTGCACGCCCGCCTCTTCGAGCGTCGAAGCCAGCGCGACCGCCTCGTCGTAAAGCCGCTCGGTCGTGTACGTCAGCACGTAGATGCGCGTCTTGCCTTCGGCTAGACGGCGGAAGTGCTCGTCGTCGGCCGGCGCGAGCGCGGGCGAGAAGTACAGCGACTCGGGGGAGGCGTGGCGCGTGTGCGATGGGATGTACACTGTGCGTAGGTCGTGGACCACGTCCTGATGTCAGTTCGAGAGGGGTCGAGAGCTCACGGTGCAGCGGTTGCGCTTGTAGGAGGGGAAGGAGCAGGTCATGTCGGCCCAGGGCTGACGTCAGTTTCACAGAGAGTGAGCAACTCACGCAGAGGAGGCAGAGCGCGCCGACCTGGCCAATGTGGTGGCCGGCATCAGTCAGAGCGTCTAGGTATCGGGAGAGGGCGAGGCAGGCGTTGGCGCCGGCCGAGTCGCCGCAGAGCATGATGTTCTTCGGCTCAAAGCCGAGGGACAGGAGGTACTGGTACCCGGCAAGAGCGTCGAGGAGAGAGGCAGGGAAGGCGCTCGTCTTGTCCAGCGACTTGCGGTAGTTCACAGCTGGGAGGTCAGCTTTTCTGAAAGAAGGCGACAGCTCACTAAAGATGCGGTCGCAGGTGATCTGCGCCATGGACCAGACGAGGTGCGAGTCGAGCGGGTGCCCGCCAGCGAACCCGCCGCCGACGAGGTAGTACAGGATCCTTTCTCCGCGTTTGGCGCGCTCGAAGAGACCAGTAGGCTGAAAGTCAGCTCGACATACTTGTCTTCTTAGCTTACCGTCTGACCGAAGAGCTTCTTCTTTCGGAGCATGAAACCGGGAACAGGAACAGAGGGGACGATACCGACTGCCGCGACGCCGACGCGCGGCGCGCTCGCGGCCGGCACAAGCAGTTTCTCGATGTCACACAGGTTGGCATACGGCGAGGGCAGGATCTTGCCGGCATCGGGGTCGGCGTAGTTGACCCAGTTGCCCTTGGTCCATCCCGAGTGGACGCGGGCGAGGTTGGTCTTGATGTACGTCCAGTATGAGATGTGCGGGCACCCGAGCGTTCGAGGGTACGAGCGCAGCACATAGCGCGCCGAGTGGTAGAAGAAGGTCGAGGGGAGGACGACGAGATTCACAAACGGCCGCCCGAGCAGGTCGAACAGCCTGTGCAGCCAGTTGGGGAGGCGCGCGTACATCTTGGAGAGGCGCTAGCCAGAGGCTGAGAGAGTGGGGACCTTTCACCTCTTGTTGAACGAGTGCGATACGGAGGGCTTCCGGGCCGGGTAAGAGGTCACAGGTCGAGGTCACAGATCGAGTTCACAGGCGTACGGTTGGGGTCGGGGTAAAGGAGCGGATCACAGCGGAACACTGGCACTGGCGATGGGGACCGGCTTATCGCACCTGCACTGCGCGCTGCGTTACGTGTTCTGGATTGCCAAGGCGATCACTAGCAGTGCAAAGAGGAGGCAAGAGCGCTTTCATACTCCGCACCGCGGACGTCCTGTGGGAGAGACGTTGCGGGCGACCGAGCGTCCGGTGCCAATTAGTGCCGACGGAGGCTTGAGCTCACGAGCCCCCTTTGATCCTTGCCCTCGGACCGTGTCGATGCTCCGTGCAGGTGGGGTGGGGCAGCCTTAGTGGTGGCTCCTTCGGCTGGCTGCAAGCCAGGCGCAGGGAACAGAGTGGGCGTCAGCACAAGCATGTCGGTTATTTGGAAGAGGCTTGTTGATCCGTACATCTGCTGGGAGCGGTCAGCTTGTATCATCAGCCAGCTGGCAAGACCTTCCCTGTGGAGGAGGAAGGCGGCGCAACTCCTACCATCGGCTGACAATTCCTCCACCACAGTCTGTCGCCGGGCACGCCACGGAACGTGGTCGCAAACTCAACCCCCACTCTCGCCAACCCCTGACTTGTTGGATGTGGGTGGTATCGTCGAGAGTATCAGAATTCAGTTGTGCCGAGTTAGTGTCGGAGCTGTACCCGCTCTTGGTTGCCGGGTCACGAGGAAGTGATGAGGAAGCTCACCTAACTGATTGCCTGATGCCAATGGCCTGTTGAGCACGATCGGTGGGGCATTTCAAGACGTCAGTGTACAGGCATGGCAGCCTGGAATGGATGCAGCAGAGATAGTGGTGAGAGATTCAAAGGCTCGACTGATGGAGGAGGAGATGAACACAAACGGGGAAGACGACGACCGGTTACACTCGACTGCAACGGTTAGCACCCGGCCGCCGCACGTCATCGTTGCGCCCGTTTGATAGCCGACCTCACACCAACCGGCGGACCTTCCTTCCTCCTCATCATTCACACTCCCTGCATTGTCGCCTATTGCATACTACACCGACCCGTGCACTTGGTGCTCACTTCACAGACCCTCCTTGGCACTGACATCTGTTGGGACGTCATTACCTGCGCTGTACTGCTGGTTGCGGTCTCTCCAAGTCACCGCAAGAGACCGGGCGCTATCGGGGCGGGGGGCGGCTGACTGAGGTCACCCGACTGGGCACTTGAATACGGAGGCGCCTGACATGTCTGACGCCACAACGCGAACGGACGAACGTATCGGCCAGCAGCTCACTCGCCCGATGCACGTCCCATAGACCGCCTTGGCTACTTATCTTTGACGTCTGGGACCCGACTGGATGGAGGCATCGGAGTCGACGAGGCCACCGACGCATCGGACAGAATACGCCCAAGTCTGGAATCAATCCGAAAGGCCTGAGAACTTCACAACCGCCTCCTTTGTCCCTAGATGAGTGGTACTATCCGCAGTCACAGAGTGCTCGTCACAACTGTCGCAACGTCCTTCCATCGCGTCGCAGAGGCTGTAAGAGGATCGGAGCGTTCCAAGCCTCTGTGCACCGGGCACATTATCGGCCCGTTCTCAAGTTGCACTCGTCGGCTGTTGATGAAGGCATATAAGACTGACAGCTGCTGCTCACCACAGTTTCCTCATCCTCCTCACCTCTTCTCTCTTCAACTCTAGCATCTGCTTCGGTCTGGTTACCGTTCAGCTCACACACTCTTTTCTCAAGCCTTCCTCACCTACTCGCATTACACTCCCTTCTCCTCCTACCTCTTGGGTTCAACAGAACAGTCAATCGCATTCAGAATGAAGTTCGCTCTCCTCTCTGTCCTCGCCATGCTCGGCTCCGCCGTTGCTGCCCCTATCTCTCTCAACAAGCGCTCCCTGCCCCGTCTCGGAGGTGTCAACATCGCTGTGAGTAGCCGTGAGCCCGGCGGCCAGAGGGAGCGAGCCCGTTCTCATTCTGAAACGACAGCACTGACCAGCAGGGATGCGAGTTTGGCGTCAACGTCTGGGGTTGGTCAGGCACCAGGTTCGTTATCCTACCACACATGAGATGTGGTTGAGCACACCGGTTATTAACGACAGCTACTGCCCTGGTACTGAGCAGATCTCGCACTTTGTCGAGGCCGGTTCCAACATGTAGGTCCCCTAACGAGGCATTTGACCTGACCGTCGCAGTATCCGTCTTCCTGTCGGCTGGCAGTACCTCGTCAACCACGACAGCTCCTCCAAGTCGCTTGACGCGTCCTTCTTCGCCCAGTACGACAAGCTCGTGCAGGCTGTCACCTCCAAGGGTGCCTACGCCATCATTGACATCCACAACTACGGCCGCTGGAACTCGGGCGTCATCGGTGTCGATGGCCCCAGCAATGCTGACTTTGCTCGCCTCTGGTCGCTCCTTGCGGCCAAGTACGCCAACAACGACAAGGTCATGTTCGGTGAGCTGCTATGAACAGAGCCCAAGCTGACTTCAGGCATCATGAACGAGCCCCACGACCAGGACACTAATGTCCTGGCCAAGACTATCCAGGCGGCTGTCAATGCCATCCGTGAGGCTGGTGCCACCTCGCAGACCATCATCATCCCCGGTAACTCGTGGGACAACGCCAAGGTCTGGGCTTCGGGCGCCAACGCTCCCATCCTCCAGGTTACCGACCCCGCTGGAGGTGTCGACAAGCTCCTCCTCGACGTCCACAAGTACATTGACGGTGACGGCTCTGGTACCTCGCACGAGTGCACCAACAACGGTCTCGACATGCTCGAGCCTCTCGTTGCTTACCTCAAGCAGCAGGGTCGCCGTGCCATCGTCACTGAGATTGGTGGTGCCGTTACCTCTTCGTGCCTCAACTACCTCCCCCAGACCATGAAGTACATTGCCGAGAACGAGGAGCAGATTGTCGGCTTCACCGCCTGGTCGGCCGGTAGCTTCCAGCCCTACCCCAACTACGAGCTCTCGCTCACCCCCAACGCCGACGGCAGCGACAACGAGATCTTCCTCAAGGCCATCAAGCCCTTCCTGCCCGGCGCTAACGCTGCTCCCATTAAGACTACTGCCGCCTCGTCCACTGCTCCTGCCAAGACCTCCACCGTTGTTCAGTCCTCCGCTGCTGCCCAGTCCTCTGCCGCCGTCCAGTCCTCTGCCGCTCCCGTCGAGACTGTTGCCCCCGTTGAGTCTGCCGCTCCCATCGAGTCTGCCGCTCCTGTCCAGTCGTCCGCTTCTGCCCCTGCCGTCTCGCCTGCTGCTTCGTCTGCCTACTCTCAGGCTCCGTCCAGCCAGGTCCTTGAGACCCAGCCCGTCCCCTCGTCCACTGCTGCTGCCACCCCCGCCTCGTCCTCTGCCTACCCCCAAGCTCCCTCGAGCAAGGTGACCGAGACCCAGCCTGCTCCCACCTCGGCCGCTCCCGCTACTTCGTCCGCCGCCGCCGTTGAGGGCAACCTGCAGACCTTCACCGAGGCTCTTGGCGGCATCACCGCTCCCCCCGTCACTGCCGAGGGCATGTTCTACCGCCAGTCTGGCCAGCGCTACAACTTCCTCATCGACGCCTTGAACCAGTCGTGCTACGTTCAGATGGACAAGTGTCAGCTCGCCGCTAACAAGGGCGGCAACAAGGCTCCTCTTACCGTCGAGAACTGCAATGGTGCCCAGATCCAGGCGTGCCTCAAGGCTGCCCAGGCTGCGGCCCACTAAAAACCCATAACCCTCTACTCAGCAGTCTATGACTGCGCCCCGAAACCTATAAACTCATCCGCCACGCCCTCCTGTTCCCCCCCTCCGTACATGTACTGGATGCATGTACCCGTTACTTCTTGCCCCATGCTGCTATTGATATTGATACATGTTGCACTCTGACAAGTCTACTGATCCACTAGACATCGACGACCTCAAAGTCGTCCTCATCGTCGTCTTCTTCCTCCTCCTCTTCAGCCTCCATCTTCTCGAGCTTGGCCTTGGAGTCGGCACCACCGACATTCACGTCCTTCCAGTTCTCCTTCAACTCCCACATGTTCGCGTACTGACCCTCCTTGATCAGTGACGCGACATCCTTGAGCACCTCACGCAGCCACGCATCCGGCTGCTTGAGCGTCTGCTTGAGCGCGGTGATAGACCAGTACGGCTTCTCCGTGAAGAGCGCGAACAGTCGGTCGATGAGCTCGTTGCGCTCCAGGCGTGCGAAGCGCTCTCCGGGAGCGACTCGTGCGGCACCGAGCTGCATGTCAGCTGAAGGAAGACGTGGTCAAAGCTGAGTTCCCAATCATGTGATGGCAACCCGAATTGAGTTCACTCACAACCATGCCCTTGCCGAGCGTACTCGACGCGTTGGAGAAACCGGAGGCAAGCTGATTGAGCTTGGCCTGGGACATGTTCTTGTCGTCGAGCTGGACGATTGGCCGTTTCGAGTTCTCGCTCTCGAGACGACGCTGCTGAAGGATCTTGAGGTACTTCGCGCTCTGGATCGGGCGGACAGAACCCTCGTGGTCGAGTGCGCCGACCAACTTGGGGTGGGCTGTCGGTCAGCTACAGTCAGGGGTACCTAGCTCACCCTTCTCGCGTTTGCGCTTCGCTGAGCTCGACTCCTCTCCGGGCGCCGCGACCCATGTCCGCTCGTGCTCGGTGAAGACGTAGGTGTTCTTCGCACGCTCGCTCGGCATGACGACCTCGTACTCGTCTGGGATTCCCTCTACGTTCAGACGCGCACGCTTGTTAGGCGGCTCCTCACTCCCCTCCTCTTGGATCGGGAGCTTCAGTGTAATCTTCGGCGGCTGCGTTCTGACGTAAGCTAAGCTACACTCCCCGGCAGCTCACGAATTGTCCACACACAGCGTGCCCAGATGCACACCCCCGACGTTCACGCGCTCCCACCGCTCAAGCAGGAATCGGGGCACCTGATGTTAACACGGCTGGAGCAATGACTGCACAGCGACTGGATACAAACCTTCATCGCCCAGATTTTGCTCTGGCCCATGCTGTTGGCGACCTCGAGCTCCTCTTCCTCGACGGGGATGTCGAAGACCTCGTGGCCATCAGCGGTGACCGTCGGCTTGATGTTGGGCTTGACGTCCGCCATCTCGATGTTTTCGGCAAGGAGATGAGCAGCGGCGAGAACACAACAAGCTCACCAGTCTCATGCAGCCGTTCGTCATTGTTCAAGCTGGGCTCACGCCAGGCTGGGCCTGGCGGCGAGGGCGGAAGCAGATTGCAATCGCACGTGGCGTCACCGAAGGGTCCAGGCACGGGTAACAGCGGTATCGGAGGACACGTCTCAGCCCGGATCCCTTGACATTGCGCGGTCGCTGCTCACCACCACTCCCGTCTTTGTCACTCTTGTCCTCTACCCTGTTATTCGGTCGACTCTGCCCATCGTCGCTGGCCACTCGGACAGACACTCTCTGAATTTCGCCTCGCCGCCGGACAAGAGAACAGGTCGCCCATCATGGACTTTATTGAGAGTGAGTCCCGCTCCGCTTGCCCGAGCTGACCCACACAGGCATGGCCAACAAGGCCTCTCAGATCACCATGTACGACGTCAAGTCGTACTACAACCAGGCCAAGAACATGGTTCTGAACATCCCCGAGATGGAGGCTAAGGTTCGCGAAGCTACGAACGAGGACCCTTGGTGAGTTACTGGTACGCCATTGTTATAGCTAACGCCATAGGGGTGCTTCGTCGACTCTGATGCAGGAGATTGCCCAGGGAACGCACAACTAGTAAGCTGAGAAGATCTGATGCTCCAGCTTACGGTCAGCCAGCAGTTCAACGAGATCATGCCCACCATCTACTCTAGGTTCATGGAGAAGGAGGCTCGCGAATGGCGCCAGATTTACAAGGTGCGTGTTGCGATGGGGGCTGTGGGTGACGACGGCTCCGCTGACGGTCTAGGCCCTTACGCTTCTCGAGTACCTTGTGAAGCACGGATCAGAGCGTGTCGTCGACGACGCCCGTGCGCACATCTCCACCATCAAGATGCTTCGCAACTTCCACTACATCGATGAGAAGGGCAAGGACCAGGGCATCAACGGTAAGCTGAAGCGCCGTTTGTAGCTGACACCAGTTCGCAACCGTGCCAACGAGATTGCCCAGTTGCTCTCGGATGTTGACAAGATCCGCACTGAGCGACGCAAGGCTCGCGCCAACCGGACCAAGTACCAGGGTGTTGAGGGCGGCATGTTCAACACCGCCACCGGTTCGCGGTATGGCGGCTTCGGCTCCGACTCGTTCGGCCGCGGCGGCGGTGGTGGTGGTGGCTCTGGGTTTGGTGGAAGCAGCTCCGGTGGCTTCGGCGGTGACGAGTACCGCGGAGGAAGCAGCAGTGGCTACGGTGGACGGTCCGGTGGCTTCCGCGAGAGCGAGAGGCGTCAGAGCTACGATGAGTACGAGGGTGCGGACAACTTCGACGAGCCTCCCCGCCGGACGAGCTCGGCCCGCACCAACAGTACGAACCCGCCGTCGCGCTCCAACTCGACCCAGCCGCCGAAGCCTGTCCCGAAGGAGCAGCCCAAGAAGGAGGTGAACCTGTTCGACTTCGACGATGAGCCCGCTGCTCCTGCTGCTGCCCCTGCTGCTCCTGCTGCGGCTGCCCCTGCGATCGACGCTTTCGGTGACGATGACTTTGACGACTTCCAGAGTGCCTCGTCCCCGGCCCCTGCCGCCTCCGCCACGACTTCGCCTGCGCCCGCTGCCGCCCCTGCTGCGTCGGCCAACGCCAACCTCTTCGCTCTCCTCGAGGCCAACAAGCCTCAGGCTTCTGCCCCTGCCCCTGCGTTCAACATGGGCAGCATGGCCTCCGCTCTCCCCGCCGCCTCGACTCCCTCCATGACCTCTACGCCATCATACACCTCTCCTCCCGTCGCCTCGCCCGCACTGAGCTCTGGCTCCGGCATGGGCTCGATGGGCGGCATGGGCATGGCTGGCAAGCCCGCCGCGACGCCCGCCGCCTCGAAGCCGGCTGCCAAGGGGTCTGCGTTCGACGACCTGTGGACGACTTCGCTCGGTGCGCCCTCGAAGCCGAACACGGAGAAGAAGACGATTGGGCAGATGGAGAAAGAGCATGCGACGTCCGGCCTCTGGGGCGCCAGCAAGCCCTCGCAGCCCCAGCAGCCCCAGCAAAGCCAGGCGCAGAAGCAGGCCGCCGCCGCGTCCGGCTTCGACGACCTACTCCTGTAAAATTGTATATAACCGCTTAGATGAATGACCTCCTGATTATCCGGCGTCTTCGCCTTGTCCAACGCGACGCGGACCGCGCGACGCGTAGCGCTCTGCTCCGCAACGAGGCGCTTATACGATTTCGGATCCGGTGAGTAACAGCTTCCGCTCTGATGAGGCGGGACCGGCTGTCGAGCCCACGGACTCCCTTTGCCGTCACGTAAAAGAGGCAAAAGTGTCGAAACGGTCGAAACACAGCGATCGCGCCACATAAGAACCAGAGGAGAGGGACGAGTGGACGGCTGTTACGGCTCAGGTCCAGCAAGATCCGGCTCCTGGCAGAAGGCGTCGGGTGCCACGGAAGGCGCTACGCGACTGGGCCAGAGCGCAGCACCCGGCGCATCTCGCGGAAAGGGGAAGAGAGTGCAGCCCCTGATCTACTCTTTCACAATGGAGTGAATTGTTCGGGTCCGGCGATCCTCGTTCGACCAACAGCACCAAAGTGCAGAGGTCCCGAAATGCGCAGTCGTCGAACCGGTGGAACAGCCCTCCTCCGCACTACAACTCACGCCAGGCCAACCCAGAACGTCAATCATTCACTGACAGACACGGCTGTCGTGCATGGGTCTTCCGGAATATGGCCCGGTATTGACCATGCTTTGACCGTGGCTTGGCAAGGCTAGCTGTGCAGATCGGAGATATCTCCGACTGGTCCAGCGGGTACCTCTGGATGATGGGCACGGCCATGCATTGGCTAACATTGGCTACTGGATGTGCGCTGGATCTACTGGTGGGCCGGTGGTGAGGACGAGAAGCCCGCGGGGCATCGAGGCTCCCCGGGTGCTTTCAGGCTGCAGGCAGGGCAGCAGGGTGCAGTTTCGCCAGACGCCACATTCCCCCTTTCCTTCACTTTCCTCAGACGCGTACGCGCGCAGCCGATGGAGACGGGAGGCGTTGCACTAGCCTGCTAACCCGCTGTACCTACAACAGCCTGGTTTCCGTCTGCTGCTGGGTGAGTTGTGCAGGGCACTCGCCCACCCAATGCAAGCATCCGCCCCTCCCCTCCCCTTCTACATAAGTCATCGCTGATCTTCGTCCCCCGCGTTCCTCCTTCTCCTCATTGCACCCCACGCCCTATACCCAGCCTAATACCCATCACATCACAACCATGAAGCTCGTTGCTCTCGCCCTTCTCGCTGCCTCGGCCGCTGCCCAGAACGTCGCTGGGTGAGTGGTCGAATTGTGGACTGAGCTGACATCGCAGCGTCGACCTCAGCAAGTACGACAAGTGCCTCACGGGATGTCTCGAGCAGACGGCCAAGTCGGTTTCGTGCACCCTGGACAAGCCTGAGTGCTACTGTGGCTCGAACAACCTCAACATCGCTACGTCCACCTACGCTCTCTGCATCAGCAAGTGAGTCTTCGTCAACGCTTCCCTGCCCACCCTCGCCGCACAAGATGCCGTACTTGCGAACCTCTCTCATCATAACATTCCCTCCTGGTCCTGTTCGCAGGTCCATCGTCGCAACAACGACTAACAAGCAGGGACTGCAAGGACCTTGACTCGCAGGTCATGGCGAGCGGCGTGTACGGCCAGATCTGCTCCAACGTCGCTCTGGGTGGCTCGACGAACAACCAGGGCATTCCCTCCGCCGGCGCCACCTCCCCGAGCGCTGATGCGTCCAACGCTGCTCCCTCAGCCGGAGCCGCTTCGGCTTCCGACAAGGCTGCTCCCGCCAGCGGCAGCCACTCGAGCGCTGCTGCTGCTGCCTCTGCCTCCGCGTCTGCCAAGCCTAACAGCGGCGCCACGCAGCTCGGCGCCTCCGTTCTCGCCGTCGGTGGTGCTCTTGCCGCCTTCCTCGCCTAAACACCGTAAAACCACTATAATGCCTGTAGCTTGTTGAGATGCGATGATACCTCCTACTCTGACTTCTGTTGCTGCATAGCCCTGTTGCACACTGCACAAGGTTCAGTGTGCGGCCACCCCCAGCCCGCCGCCACAGCGAGGCTGGTGCTGGTGGATTTGCTTCCGCCCTCCAATCCCGCCAGAACCTCCACTTTCACGCTCACGCTACCAGATGCGCTTCCCGCTTCGCCTCCTGCGAACTCCCACTCGACCTGCCGACCCCCAACCACAGTGCAACGGCAGCATGTCCAACCTTCTCAAGCGCAAGTCGCCCTACTCGGCTGCAGGGAGCCCGGCGCCGAACTCGCGCGGCGCGACCGCGGGCGTCAGCGTCAAGACGGAGGACAGGAAGCCAAGAGGTGAGTAGAACAATGGAGGAAGACTCGTGAGGAGTCCAGCGGCGAATCACTCGGTGGTCCAACATCACTCAGATATCGGTTTTCGGTCGTGGCTTTAGAACTCGAGCAAGTGGACCGACCCAGTGGGCTCCCAGACTACTCCGGAACGGATTCGTTTGCTGTGCAGTGATCACCTCGAAAGCGGGCGCGAGGAGTAGGGAAGGCATCCGGAGAACAAGAGCGCGCTTCGGCCTCGATAAGGGGAGGATACCATTCCAGCTGGCTGCGCTGTGTCCATCGAGCTATGCCCGTCGCGGGCATCATCGAGCTGGTCCGTTCCCCGTGTCGAAGAGACGTCGGAGAGATTGGTGGCCGGCACTTCCTCGCAAAGAGGTATTACAAGGAGCTGACCCCAGGCATCGGAGGGACACCGTCAGGCTCGCACTATGGATTCCAGGACCCTCGAACGGTGTCGCTTGAGCTGAGGGACTACCTGAAGGTTCGTCTGATCAGCTGCCGTGTTGCTTCTTTAAGCTGACTTCCAAAGGACCGATCGACGCTGCGATGGCAGGATGCGTACTTGCACGTCGAGGACAAGAGCCCTGGTGTTGATCCCAACCAGGTTCTCGAGATGCTGAAGGGTCTTGACAGGGTCAAGTTCAACGAGCACAACCAAGTGTTCACTTACGAGGTCAGCTTCTCATCAGCTGTTTTCGAGCTGACGTCCAGCCGGAGATCGTTCTGCGCTCGCTGGCCGACCTGAAGCGCCACATCAAGACGCACTGTCGCCCGACACAGGGCCTGACATACAAGTCAATCCGCGAGGCGATGCCCGGCCCCGAGCTTGTTGCTTACATGGAGGAGCTGGAGAAGGACGGCAGCATCCTAATTCTGCGCTCGTTGACGGGCAAGCTGAAGGATGCTCCTCTTCCTGCGCTCGGCAAAGAGAATGCTTGGGGCGACAAGCTGAACGGTGGCGGCCCGGAGCGATGGCGGACGGTGTTCTGGGACGAGTTAAAGGAGCGAGGTCGAGCGGCCGATCGCGTGGATGACGGTGAGATACAGTTGGCGATCCTCCTTGCGAAACTGACACCCAGAATTCGTGTTCGCTTGGGATGATGTCAAAATCCAGGAGACTGACGATGTGGCGAAGCTGCTCGAGGGACGTGAGTACTTCAATCACTGCTTGAATGGCTGCGGAGATCTGACCGACCCACAGAGGACCTCAAGGCGTCATCGGTGGACAAGGTCGACAACAAGCCGAAGAACGAGGACCAGGGCAAGAAGAAGAAGAAGCGCAGCCGCGCCCTCAAGATCACAAACACGCATATGAAGGCTTTCGTGAGTAGCTTACTTGCTGCAAGTTGCGCATGATAAGCTGACCATCTCTACAGGGTATCGACTTCTCGCAAGATTACGAGGCACCCGCCTAATAGCGTGAGCAGACGTCATAGAGAAAGAGTCAGCCAACCAGGAGCCGCGGCCGTTCCTTGGGTTTGTTGTTGTCAGTTTGTTTTTACCTCCACCGGGCGGTCCACCTGGGCGGCCTTGCTCATACACATACACACTTCTACCGCCAACGCACAAGACATAGACAGAGCATGCATGTATCATATCAATGGCACGTCAAAGAAGCGTCAGAAACGATGCATTGCAGGCCGTGATACGGTACTGATACGGGGAGAACGCCGACTGATAAGGAATGACACAGCACGATGGGATTTAATGAAAACAATAATATTATTGTTTACGGGTGGGAGATTGGAGATTTGGGTTTGATTAGGATTTCCACGTCATGTTTTTGTTGACTTTGGGCCCTGGCGGCTTATTGACACACCACCGTAGAGTGCAGTGTCGGGTGTAGGAGAGAGCAGTCAGCTCAGGCAGATGAGCACTGAGCGATCACCGGCAGTTACACTTGCAGTTACTCCAGCGGCATTGACATCGCCTCTGCTCACACCCCGACCACCAAGCAGCTGCCCGTCGCTGTTCCCCATCCCCACTCTCCCCTCCGTATCTCTCCCTCATCCCCAGACCCCCCTGTATCCAGCGCTCCCCCGCCGCCTCCCACCCAGACTCCCAAAACCCAATTTCGGCTTTGTTGTTTTCCTCCTCGCCTTCGTTCAACCACGGAAGAAAACATCCGCTTAGCGTCACCTCCTCATCTTCGTCTGTCACTGTTTGCGTCTGACACCTCCAATGTCAGATCGCACCTGAGCCACCCACCTCCCATCTCTCTCGCTCTGGCTATCTGAACAGCGTGGCGCACGCCAGCCCGCGCAAACAAACAACCCCATCCCGGCCGCCGACCACCGCTGTACCCGTCATGGTCGACCTCCGAGCAAGCAGTCGGGTGAGTTCATTGCATCGTTCCCAGTTCCTGCGGCTCTTCTGGGCACTTGCTGTTTGGTTCTGGAGTGCAAAGCCAGTTTGTGCGGACCGCAGAACGGCCGTCATCGTTTGTTGTTTTCCACCGGCCGCGGGCTCATCCAATCGATGGGGGATTGGTCCCACCGGTCCTTTTCATTCCTTGTTATTGTCCCACGCCGTCTCTCATCCTTCTTCAACGCCGACGACGTCGCTGACCATGGCAGGGCTACGATCCTAAGACCCCAGGTGCAGACTCTGTGTCTGCTTCGTCGTCGTCGACCTCCACCATGACAACAACAACCACAAAGGTCACCAAGGTGAGTACATGACGCTGGTTGAATCGAGTCCCGAGTCCCACCGCTGACCAAGCCAAACTCTGTTGACGTCGGCACCACCTTCCGCCTACCACCTCGCAACACCCCCCGCACCCCTTTCGTCAACACAGGCCGCCCAACCGTCTCCGAGAAAGAACGCACCGGGTCGTCTGCTTCCATCGCCTACATCACTGTCCCCCACAAACAAAGCTATCACCTCCACCGAACCCCGTCTCCCTCCCAGCTTCCAGCCCACCCCCAAGTCCCAGCTCCCTCCCGCCGTTCCATCCCGATACACCGGCATCTACACCCCGCAATCACCATATCGTCCTGGCGAGTACCAGCGTTCAGAGTGTGCGCCTAGTGAGCGGACTCGCATCGAACGCAAGTTGTTCGATGACGACGACGAGGACCAAACACCGCGAGAGCCCGTCGATTCATCCCCCCTGGCTCCCGCATTCGAGGCCAAGATGGTTCTGCGCAACGGAGCGTCTGTTGATCTAATCTCCTGGTGTGTATCGCATATCTTCGATCTAAAGTTCCATGTTGTTGACAGAATTTCCTTATCAGGCTTCGAACCAACTTCCACCACCAGCCCCCTCCCTACACCCCTGTAACCCCTCTCATGTCTCTGGCACATGTCCAGCGGTTACTCCAGGAGCGGTTCCCGAGGGTTCCTGACCTCGGCGAGCTGCATCGAGCCATCCTGGCTGCCTTCCCTCACTCGGAGTGGGAGGAGTCACCGGATGGCAAAGAGCCGCCCATCATGCGAGGCTTGACTTGGCACGGCCGGGATGTTGCCGAGGAGGATGACAACGAGGCGACTCCGGGTAGGACTCGGCCACCTAACATCAACACCACCACGCCCAAAGCCCGTCCCCGCGCCAATGGACATTCGAGGAGCCCGAGTGTGAACTCGCTCATGTCGCCCGTGTCATCCAGTCGCCGAGTCCCGGACACTCCCGCGCGCAGTGTGCTCGATGAGTTTGCCGAGATTGCGACCCGGACACCCCTGGTCAAGGAGCGAAGCCTTGAGGCTGATAGGGCGCCTCCTGCCTATGCTCTGAAGGCCATGCCCATGTCTGTGGACCGAGTATGGCGGAAGCGCAGGGCATCGGTTTCGCCTGACCGCAACCGAAGAAGGGCTGTCACTCCGGACGCCTTACAGGAACTGCTTGACGCTGCAGAGGCTGTCGAAGGAAGCCCGCTTACTACTATCGTTAGGAGCGCTCACAAACGCCGCCGCACCATTAACGGTGACTACGGACGGCCACCTGTGTTATCCCTCGACCAGCGTCGGGCTCGTTCCGCTCGTGGCACCGTGTCACCTCCTCTCGGAAGTATCGCTATTCCCCCGCGATCAATCTCGGGTGACGAGGATGACCCGGTATCACCATTGGCCAGCGAGGAGTCCACCGCGTCGCAGCTAGTCGCCCTCGGTGGCTACCGCCGGGGCAACGCCAGCTCGACTGCCTCTCAGCTGTCGTCAATCAGCGAGACGCTACACTCGATGGGACCTACGGTTATCCAGCAGCAGAAGCCGACTACTTCAGGAAGAAAGGTCAACGAGCTGCCCACGTCTACGCAGGGACAGCACCCTGGCTTCGACTGCAAACCGCCGTACCCTTACCACGAGATGATCCGCTTCGCTATCGAGTCCGCGCCTGATCGCAAGCTCCAGTTAGCTCAGATCTACCAGTCCATCGCGAACCGTTTCCCATTCTTCAAGAACCTGGACGATAAGAAGACGGCGGGATGGCAGAACAGTATTAGACATAACCTCAGCTTAAAGTGAGTTTTCTCTTGTCTATGCTCCAGCTAACGGCAGGAAAATGTTTGTCAGAGTCAACAAGGGTGACGGTTCCGACGACCAAGGCGGCAAGGGAGGATGGTGGACTGTCCAGCCCGGCGTCCCGGACGAGGGTCGTCCTGGGCGGAAAGCCAAGGCGAAGCGCATCAAGGAGATGGAATCGCAAGGCGGAACTCCCAGTACGATACCCGAAGACGATCACCCCGAGCAGCCGAGTCCTGTCATGGCAGAAGAGAAGCCAGTCGCCCAAGAGAGTTTGTAACCATTGTTCCCCGCTTTTTGCCGATCAGATCGACAGGCGCAGCTGGGGCGCTTAGTTACCGCGCTCCATGCTGGAACAGTGTCGACGCTCTGTCGATCGAGCGAACGTGCAACGACGCAGGACGATGAGTAGCGTTACGTACAACGTTACCGGGATCTTGATTGACAGGCTCTTGATCGAAAAGGTAAAAGATCTCGAGGTTCACGTCGGAACGCGAGATCATTAGAAGTGAGGTAAAGTCCAAGTTGTTTTGCTTTGTTAGGATGCTATCCATGCATGTACACTGAATATTCGAAGAGGCTTCGATCGACTAGAGAAAGAGACATCCGTGCATGTGAACAAGCATGACGACGCCGATACGAACTACGATGGTCGACTTGTTTGGTTCGCAGGGCTGCGAAGGACTACGGACCGCGTGGTCTAGTGGCGATCGATCGGGCGCATCGTCTGGTCGTCGCAATGTCTTCCTTGTTTCTGACAATCTGACTTCCAAACACTCACTCACTCTTCCCCCGATACAGTAACAGCACCTGCACTCGCATAATTCCACTCCTTCAACCGTGTACCGTGCTTTGCCCAAACGTTCTGCCCGTCCCTGATCCTCTTGTCGCCATGACTTTGGCTGCCTCCTCTCCGCGCGTCCCTCTGGGACCACTCAAGACTCCCCCACCTCGCCGGGTGGCAACCAGCCCCGCATCCCGGCACTCACGCACCCCTTCCGAACCCAGTCCCTTGCGCAACATCAGCTTCAGCGCAGCTGACACGTCTCCCGAGGACGCACCCCTGCCCCAGGCCAAGGTTGGCCTGCAAGGGCGATCTAACTTCGGACGCCCCAGCAAGAACACCGTCGACCCGTCCGAGATCGCCACCCTGCTGGGACTCAAGCCGACCACAGTTCGCAGTGTCTCCGCAAGCAGCCACGATTCGGATAGGACAGTGCGCCCCCACAGCAGCCGCAACAGTCCTCATGGCAGCCCTCACAAGGGCAGCCCCCGAGGAAGGACAAGTCACACTCCCAACGTCAGTCCTCGCGCAGACCAACCAAGCTTCGCCGACAAGGAGAACGCCGAAAACATCCCTCCTCCAGGCTATGCGCACAAGAGAAAGCTCAGCGAATCTGTGCTGTCGCCTCTTCAGCGCAAGCAAGCGACGCGCCGTAACGTGTCCAGCCCTGATCTGCACTCCTCCACCTCCGTGCCGGTCCTTCCCCAGCAGCCCAGCATTTCTACACCTGGAGCCACGTTCGGGGCGTATCCCACCTACCCCCTTCCTCCCATGCCGGCTTGGCTTCAGGACCCGTCGATGCTCGATGTCCTCGCTCAACTGGCCGACGAGGCTCAGGATCCGCCATCGCCTTCAACCTCTCTGGCAAGTTCGACCTGGGCGGCGATCCTCAACCCATGCAAGTCACCCAAGGCCCCTGGCCCAATGACTGTGGCGCCCAAGGACGTGTTCAGCTCGCCTATTTCAACGTGCTCATCTCTGTTCGAAGAGAAGATCAGCAAGTACTACAGCCCGAGGAAGGCTGGAGTTCCCATGGACATCAGCCCGCGCAGCTCCAGATCCCCCCGTTCGCTCAAGCTGTCGATAGGCCCCAGCACCCCTACCATTCCTGAGATTGACGAGGAAGAGGAGTCCAACTCAGTGGCTCCCACGCCTAGCATCCTGCAGCAAACCTCTAACATGTCACCAACAAAGCATGCGCGCCGGGAGGCTACCGCTCTTGCCTCTCCCGCCCCGGGAAAGTCGTGGGCTTCTGGCTTCTCCTCGCCGACACATGCCACTGCTCACTGGATCATTGCCACTTCGCAAATGAACCAGCAGGCTGAGCCCGCTCTCAGTGCTTCGATGGCAGCCCTGACACTGTCCGACGTCTCCGTGGACCCTGACTTCGTCGAGGGAGATGTTACACTTGTGTGCCTCGGCGACAATGGTTACATTGGTTTCAAGGCGGACTCCAAGATGATACAAATCTACTTGTAAGTTTGCATCGGTCGGACGAAAACTAAAGACAGCGACAACTTTCCGGTTCTCTCGCAGACGACCGGTGTGACGCATGTGCCACTTCGCGAGTCGCCCGGGGACATCAGAACCTTCCTGCGCTTCGTTGCGAGCCAGTCGATCAACGTCTGCATGTCTGCATCTGAGGTACTGGCCATTCACCGGCTGTACAACCTGTACGATGCGACCGAGCTCGCCCGGCTTACGCTTGCATTCTGGGTATACCAGAACCCAGAGTCACTCTGCGAGTCGCTGGGCATGGGCCCTAGCCGCCTTGAGCTGCTGAGCTTCCTCCGCCTGGCTGCTGATCTGCGCAGCGCCGAGATCTGGCGCACCATAATTCAGCTCCTCATGCGTGGCTGGTGGCGCAACGAGCTCGACCCGCACGGCATGACTCCTTTCGACGTCGCCGTCATGGGCGAGCCGGCGTACCGCGCGCTACAGTTCCTCGCCGGCCACCCCGGCCGCGTCTGGGAGAGCCTCCACGAGTACACGGTTTCGAGAGATAAGAGTAGGCTTTTTCTGTCCAGGAACACAGCTAACAGCAGGCGGCAACTTCTGCATGAGCAGAGTGTCTATCGCTGGCTACTGCACCTTCGTTGACTCGGCCCTGTAATTTGACCTTCTTGTTAGTCAACATGTACGTTTCTGTAATGTAATTATGTATTCTACTGCCCCTGGGTTTGGTGTTACGCGTCCTGGAAGCCTTCACGGTCGTTCAGAAGCGCACAACAGGGAAAATGCCACACGGGTTATGTGCCAAGCGCGAACATCCACACAACAGCAGCCTTCTAGGTCTCTTCGCTAGTATATCGGTTAGTATAATCGCCTCTCAAGTCCGAGAGATTGCTTCGGCAGTGCGCGATAGAGCAGGGTTCGACTCCCTGGCGGAGAATACTTTTTGGAGCCCTCATTGCATCGGAAGAACGCACCTTTCAACGGTCGATTGGAATGAGATTGGGTGCCGGTATGTCGAAAACATGCAGAGATCGTAGAAATTTTGGCTCCGCTTTGTTTACATTTTTGGTACCGCGGCTGTCAGATTAGCCCGATCAGGCAACTTCATTATCAGGCGGCGACTCCATTAGCCGGATTAGGACAAGCCGATAAGCATGAATTAGTTTGCAGGTGCCCGGTTTCAAGTAACTTCTGAAACGGAAGCCAGGGTGACGTCGATTCGGAATGGCCGGGTGGCAAGCAGACCACGGCAACTGCTCTGGACTCGGCGGCGACAGAATAATTCAAACACCGACATCCGACCACGAGAGGAACGGACAAGCTGTGAAGGCGGGACGACAGTCGTATCAGTTGCTGTTACATCTTCCCATGAGAATACTCTTCGTCTTCATCTCTCTCGCTGTCATCATGTGCCATTACATGACCTGCCCCAATGACGGGAAGCCGACCTGGTGGGGATGCGGTGAGTACGAACGCCGACACACGGAAACGCCTCCAGTCCACACCCCTTCTCCCTTTCCTCCTCCCCTCCCCTAGTCACCGTCTAGGTCGACTGGATCTCTCCTCTCCCAAGCTCTTGGAATGGTGCGGAGCTGACCGCCCAGGCCACCACGTCGAGTCTGTCCTCAAGGACGTCCCCGTCGCTGACCGGTGCGACTGTCCCCACGTCCCGATCGTGGACCTCCCCGGCCTCCGCCTCATGAAGACGGTCAAGAAGGACCCCAACTATGCCGGCGGCGCATCGAAGAAGCCAGAGCTCTAGGATCGCTTGCCTTCTTCATTTACCGGGCCGCCGCCTCCCCCCTGAGCATCTCTTGCTCTCCTGAGTACCTCGAACATCTGTAACAAATGTACACAATTCTGCTGATCTAGGCCACGACTTGCATTCTAGGATAAACTTTTGGATCTAATTACACAGACTTGGTGTTCCGACTGACTCCCCTCCTTACGCTTCTCAGATGCCCAGCGACGTGACAAAGTCGCCGTCCTTGCCGCCCGTGACGATGGCGGCGTCTGCTGTCAGTTCCTCAGCAGTAACTGGCAACTCACTCTTCTCATAGGTCACCTTGACCTCGCCCGTGGCGCTGTGCACGCGGGCGATGAGGATAAGCAGCGGCTGCGCCGAGCCCAAGCGCTGCGCAGTCGGCTCGTCAATGTAGTGCGGCGAGGAGATGGCCCTCCACTCGGGCCCGGGGGGCCTGTACCCGATTCCGTCCGGTTTCGGCCATGCGCGGCGGATGAGTTCCTTCCAGAGTCCCGCGCTGCGGGCTGCATGCGCAAGCATGACGAGGCCGAGGACATCGGTGCCGTTGGGCCGGTTGGCGCAGAGGCGTTTCGCCTCCGCGTCGACGGCGTGCCGGAGCAAATCACGCAGGGCGGGCTGCACGTCGTAGCTCTCCGCAAACGCCAGGACGGCGCGGAACTGCGCCAGGCTGAAGCCCGCATCCTCGACTTGGATGCTCGGCAGCGTGCCGTACAGCCCCAAGCCTGAGGAGGAGGGCCCGGGGGCAAGATGCGCCCGGTCCCGGCCGTACAGGAACGAGAGAACCGCATGCACGTCCTCGGGACTGTCGAGGGACTGGATGACGCGCTCGCGCGCGAAACGCTCCGTCTTGAGCTGCTGCACGAAGACGCCGGACCACGCGCGCAACAGGCCAGAGTGGCACCGGAAGCCCCGGTCGCCGGCTAGCAGAAGCATGTCGCCCGTCGTGAACTCGGGATGCAGGTCGACATTGTGCGAGACGAGGTACGGGATCACCTCGACGTGGCCGTGCGAGGTCGGGTTCACTGCGCTCCCGACGTCGGAGGGCGAGAACGTGCACGTGTCCGCCGTGTCGGGGGGAGTGATGTCGTCTTCTCCCGGAGGCATCAGGGGACGCGGCTGAGGCGAGCGAGGAGACAGGTGCGGCGAGGGCCGAGGAGAGAGACGTGGGGACACGGGCGCACACAGCGGACGAGGGTTGCCGACGATCGGGCTCGGGTGGCCCGTTGACAGGGAGCGAGAGCGGATCTGCGGGCTGGGGCTCATGAGCGGCCGGGGACTGGCGGCGGGAGGCGTCAGCGGCGTGGGCGTCGGAGTGCTCAGGCCGAGGCTCTGGCTGTTGATGTAGCTGCCAGGAATGGCGGTCATGATCTCTGCGTCGGTGGGTTCGGCGTCGGGCGTCGAGGCTTCAGGTGTCGAGGACTGCGCTGTTGCCAGTGTGTCGTTGGCCGTGTTCGTCGTGGCAGTAGAGAGGGCAGCGGTGGAGTCGATGCTCAGCTGCCGGCTGATGGTACGGGGACTGTCGTTGACAGAGCTGAAGAGCGCGGGAGGGAGGGGAGGTGTCGGACTGGGAGGAGCGGACGAGTCGCGGTGTCGTCTGAGAGAGATTCTGCTCCGGCTCCACGACTGCTGGCGAAACAGGCCCATTTGTACTCGTTTGACATGCGTCCGTACCGGACACACGTCTTATATAACGACACTGTTCGTGCACGATCGCAAGCGGGTCTGTGGCCGCGGCCAATAGAACGCACCTATCCACAGATCAGTGCTCGCCCAAGAGAGTGTCTGACCGGCGGTAGGCCCCTCCATGTTCCCCACTACCCTGCAGCTGTGGGGGGCGTGCGCCGCCCGGCGGCGGCCACTGATCGCTGCCAACCAGCTGTCATGCTGGCTGAGCGCGTGATGCGATGCGCTCCTGGTGTCGTCATGGGACGCCTCCTGCTGAAGTGAGCGGCGCATTTCGCAGTGTCGTGAAGAGATTGAGGAATGGCACGTTGGTGAAGTGTTGCATGTTCGAGACCGGCACGCCTGGACGACCTAGCTTCGGTGCCTGTGTCGGTTCGATCCTGCGTTGTGCCCGCAGCAGAGGCCGTCCCCCTTACAAGGCCCACGACAGCCCAAGGTACGATAGTGCACAGAGTTCCGGGGTCCGTTGCAGTCCACCAGCCAACTCATGGTGTCGATGCACGAAGGGTAGTGTGATCGGTCGTGGTCTCATCGCCGCGCATGGGCGGATCACGACTCTTGGGGTGAACACTTTGCGGCCGCGCACCTTCTGAGAAGTTCCAGGAAGGCAAGCTGCTCCGGGCCACGACGCCGGGAAGTGACAAGAAGCGAGAGAAGCGTTCGACGATCTGTTCCAGAACTGGAGTAACAGTACCCAGCACCGATGCACAGTGAGGAGGCTTCTTGTCCGATCCGCACGGTGTGATCGTAAAACATGCTTGAAGTGCCGTGTGACTTGGCGACTCGGCCATCAGTGAGCCCTCAACGGCAAGACTAAGACCGCCTCAACACCAAACTGAGGCAAGTGCTCGTCACGCTCGAGTTCGAATCGTGTCGATGAACCGCCGGCAGGGTTCGGACCCAGGTGGAGCATCGTGCGGGCAAGGATGGAACAAAGAGGCTTGACGGGGTCGAGCAGCGAGGGCCAGAGGGCTTGAGCCCCTTCCCTGTTGTTTACACGCCCAACCTCTTCATTGTTGAAGACACCGATACAGAATCAGGCACGGACAAGGTGAGGAGGGATAACGTGGTTGTCGCCGAGATTCTGGCTGCGCCTTCGAGAGTCCGACGTCGGAGCGGAGTCGAGAATGCCATGCAATTACGGGAGGATCAGAGGATATACGATGCAAGGAGACGAAAGAGAGAGTACGTCGGACAGAGTCAGGAGTGGAAAGCGAGCAAGCGAAAAAGCCTGGACTTGGGGGCGTTCGCGGGTGCTTTATCGGCAATGCGCGGCCCGTGGTCGGATACTCGGCGCATTGCTTCTTCGCTGACATGAGCTGACTGGATGTTTTTGCTCTTGACTTTCGTCCTTCACCCATCCTTCGATGGCACCGACACTTAGGACGCGGGCTCCCAAGGCGCCCGCTCCTGTTCCCGCGGCCAACGCGCCGGCCCGAGCGCCTCTGGCGAAGAAGAAGACGGCATCGACCAGGGCCGCATCGGCGACCAAGGCCAAGGCCGCGGACACGGCTGCGGCAACGGCTGCGGCCAAAGCCGCCGCCAAGACTCAGCCGGCAAAGGCGGCCACGGGCAAGACACCGACCGCGAAGGCCGCTCCGAAGAAGGCCACCAAGGCGAACACAGCAGTGGCCTCAAAGCCGTCCGCGAAGGCTAGCAAAGCGAAAACTGCTCCGAAGAAGGCGGTGCCCGCCAAGCCGGTCGCGGAGGTTACCCTGGACCACACCGCGTACCCGCACATCTTCGACCTGATCGTGGAGTACGCTCCGCACAGCTCCCTCCTCGCTCTTCGCGCTGCAAGCAAAGCGCTGTGTGCTCGTGTCGACGCCCTGCTGGTTGAACATGTTGTGCTTCGCACCGGCCTGCCTGCCCCCAAGGGCAAGAAGTGGATGAACGTCGTGTCGGTCTCTGGCGAGCCTGGTTTGCCAATGGGGCCCGCCAAGTCGCGACAGAGGCAGCATCGGTGCCGCGCTGAGAGCATTCTCGGCCGTCTACCCGGGTTCAGCTGTGACTTCAATCACGTCTCGGACTACGCCGACGAGCACTGTTCTCCTCTGTGTTTGAAGCTGCGGCAGCGGTGGGAGGAGAAGTTCCACAACACAGAGGTGCTCGACCTTCACTTCTCGCGCCGGAGCCGGTTCGACAGGCAGAAGCTGGCGTTCAACAACCCTGACCTTACCGTGCGCGTGTTCCCTCCCTCCGACGGCGATGTGTACCACGCTGGCATCGCGAGTCCGAACCTCATCATCTTCACGGATTTCTCGCCCCTCCGCGAGAGCGAGTGGGAGCGAGTCTCAACCACGGCGCACGTCTTCGCCGACGAGCAGATCACCCACCGCCTAGTGTACAATGTGGCCTATGACGTTCGCCGCCCCACTCTCAACAACTGCTGGGTGAACCTCCCTGCTCTGGGCCGCAGCGTGCGCTCCGCCGAGGGTGAGGTTGTTATCATCTTCGAGAAGGATGAGCGGCACGATGACGAGGAGCGCGAGCTGGAGGACTGGGAGAGCCCCGACATTCCCGAGACGCAGCGCGTGAACCCTGCATGGAAGGGTGGCGAGGACCAGCGCCAGAACGGCTGGCTCTGGGACGTCGCCAACCTACTCCGTGTCGACTCACCCGCATGCTACACTATCATCGGCGCGACAGAGGTGCCGTACATGTGTGTCGGGCTGTCGCACGACATTGCCGACCCGCAGGAAAAGATCGACGCCATCATGCAGAACTTCATCGACTGGATCGACGAAGACCACCGGTCCCGCTCGTACCAGCCCAGCTCGCTGTCGGAGGAGCGTGAGGACCAGATCCGCAGCAGTGTCGCATTCTTCACGCATGAGGAGTACAGGGAGCTCATAGGCGAGGAGCAGTGGAAGCTCGAGACGGTGCCCTCCGACCCCTAGACATAGTCACTCTTAGAATAATTGGTTTGATAGGACATTTGAAAGCATCTCAGGCATAGCTCATAAGCAATGCACTTTCTCAACTTGTCTCAACTTGAAGCAAAAGCTGGCGATCGCACGATGTGAACAATAAGCAAGCAACGGGTGCCTGTTGCCAAGTTGCCCTGAAATCTTCCGGTGCCTGATTGGGAGTGATCTGCGGCAATGAACACAATCGCGATCGTGATTGCGGCGACCTCTGGCGGCATATCAGATAAAGATGCGGCTCACGCCAGTGGAAAAGGCCGAACGTCAGCTCTACTTACAGAGAAAGAGCTGCTGGTCATGAATGAGGTTGCTTTTGCGGACCACGTTACAGCGAATGCAGCCAACCTGAAATTGCCGTGGGTCAAGTCATCAAGGGGAACGATCTCACTAGCATGAAAAGCCTGCATCTGCATGCCTCGGCAGACATGGTGGTGTGACATCAACTCGACCATACCATTACGGATTGAGGACTGGTGGCTGAGAGTGACTCCGCATGACTGCGACTCTGTGAGATGGCTTCACTTCGCCAGGCGACTTAGATGTTGTTGTTCGATCAGCTCTTATCGTCTCAACAACATCAACTCAAACATCTCGGCCATAGCTACTGTGCAACATGAGCTTGGCTCATCAAACCCGGTCAAGTCGCTCTGAAACTGGAAGCCCTCCACTCGATCCCCTCCAAGCCCCGGCCAAGGCATCCAGCAGCAATTACGCCGCCAGACACCAGCATCCCTCATCAGGTTCATCGCCACCCATGCAGCGTTTCCGATACGTTGTCTGCCTAGATCTGGCCGCTTTCAAGACCGAGATAGCCGAACGCTATGCTCATGTTATCGCCTCTCTGCCCCGGAGCATGTGCGAGGCCAATTTTCAAGCACGATGGATGAATCTCCTCGGCCTTCCTGAGCGTGAGCTTCCTTTCTTCAAGTCAGGCGCCATATTCGGCTACGATTGTGGTGTGGACCTAAGGGGCCATGTTATACCCCCTGTGCCGCCCCTTTCGGATGACGACTCCGAGACGCACGACGACTCACCCGGAAACTTGGTCAATCGACTGGCCCGAGCTGGAGCACGCGACATGGGCCTACCTTTCTGGCAAGCAGAGTTTGCATGGCAGGCCTCATTCGGAAACGACTCGAGGGGCGTTGCATCTGGCGTCGCAAACATAAGGTCGAAGCCGGAAAGAGCTAAGAGTGGCTTCCTCCACATTGTCCTCCTGACAGCGCTTAACCGTGCTTTGTGCGGAGGCTCACTCGGCTTCTTCGCGTATCGAGAGCGGTTTTGCCGCCTGTATGCGATCAGCGACGACCTTGTTGCGGTGGAGAAGCTCCACTTCGACGATGCCACTCCTCAGGAACCACCGGTCCCGCTGGCCGCCAATGACCTCGCGGATGTCATGGAGCAGGAAACGATGACTCCCGACAAGTTTGCCGCTTCACTTCCCCACACCCTACCGAGAGACGGACCCAACATCGCTCCGCTTTCCGCGCTCGTGAGATGGTCGGTGATGGCTTACAACGGGCTGCTCGATCAACCGAGGCATACCCCATTCACCCGTTTCAAACCCACAGCTGCAGCGCGCCGTCTTCATGACGCAGTGATGGATGGGCAGCTCAACCATGGAAATGACTATAACGGCGATGGAGAAGGCGATGCAGACGTTGCTGCTCTGATCGCAGGGTTCCCGGCAATGCGGGCAGTGCCTCGCGATGAAGAGGAAGAGGAAGAGGCGTGGTGGGATAGTGAGGAAGAGGAGGAGCCCTTCGAGGACAAGATTGTAGAATTGTATCGAGCCTCGGGCATTCGCCTGCTCCAGCTAGATCCCTCAGATATGGAGGCGCTCGCTGAAGGGAGGGAGGAGGACTTCAACTGGGCCCAGTTCGAGCAATCGTGATGTGATCCCATACTGTAGTCATGCGAGCATCATACCCCGCTCAGCGGTCGCTTATCACCGCGATAGACATCGGTGTCGCGCCAATCTGACGTCAGCCCAGACTTCCATGGACTCTCACTTACGAAACGAACCTTCCTAGCGCAACTCGCTTGGCCAGTTAGCAGACGTGAAGCAGCGTGCAACATGAGGACCACGTGCTCGACCGCAGAGATAAGCTCAGAGTGCAATCTGCGGCAGGAGCCCAGACATCTGCCCCCCGTGTCGCGCGTGTCAGGACGTGTCAGCGGTGTGCCTTGTTGTATTCCCACAACAGTGCTGGTGAAGTCAGAGTGGTTGTTGAAGTGCTGGAGTGCATTCCAAGGACACGGGACGCAGCGTGGTACGTTCGGGTACATGAGCTGGGGTCGTGCCTGAAGCGGAGCAAGCGGGTTCCTGTTCCCCCCTCCCCTGAGGAGACCGTGGGTGCTTGTCCCCGAAACCGTCTCCGAAAGCTTCCAACAGTGTCGTGGTGATAGGCTTTTGGGCGCAATTCGCGCTGATACCGTCTCCAAGGTTTGGACCGAAAGGATGGGCGGTTGGAATGTTGGGACTCCCTCGCCGAATCCAGGAGACGAGCAGGAGTGAGGAGACACCCCCTGGCTCGGCGCCTGCTCGGCGCCCTCTCGAGATGGAAGGAACGCGGGGCGCCATGTGGCGCCCGTCTTGATAGAATGCTGAAATGGCTCCCGTCCCGCGATTGCTCTGGACCGAAAGGTACCGACCAGCCGGGCGGGCTGTGAGATCGCATTGAGGCCAATTCGTCGCATTTAGACCCAGATAACCGCATACCTCGGCGGGCGGGGGGGATGCCGTCAATCAGTACAATTGTGCACGCTAGAGCGCGTCGCGATCTGGCCAAGGCGGAGAAAGCGCGAGAGTAGCAACAGCAGCCTGTCGTATCCTGCTCCCCGTTGTGAGCTCTCGCCACGCACATACATAAGAGCTTGGAAGAGTCATTCGCCAATGCTCCTCCAAACACCAACTGGTCATCATGTTCGCTCCGCCTGCAACTACGTCTCCTCCGGCAAGGAGGACGACGCCGCAACTCTCCCGCTCTTCTTCGGCATCAACCCTCTCTGCGGTCCCCACAACGCCCCCAAATGCGCCAATCGAACTGCCCCCTCCTCCCTCCAAACCCCACGTATGCCGCGACTTAACCGGCGCCGCGGTCAATCGCCCCATCAAAGCCCTCCTCACCCCCGCCCTCTCTCAAAAGGACAGACCACTGAGGATCGTAGGCCTGCTCGCCACCTCAGACAAGGGTTGTGAGATGTACGCCGACATGACGGCTCGGGCGTGCCAGAGCGCCGGCGTAGACTTCCAGCGTCTCGATCTGCGCTCCGCCTCGTCGTCGACCGAAGACGGGCGCTTCGCGGCCGTCCTCAGTGCGATAAAGGCACTCAACGACGACGACAGCGTCGACGGCCTGCTGGTCTACTTGCCCCTGTTTGGTGCCCGACGCGACGCTGAATTGCGCGCAGCAATCTCGCCGAGGATAGACGTCGAGGGCGTGTCGCCTGCCTCACTTGCACGGTCGTACGCCACCCCGCCTCCACCTCTGGAGGCCGTGTTTCGAGACCCGGGCCCGGCGATGGCGACCGCATATCCATATCCGTGTACGGCGGCTGCCGTCTTGCGCACTCTCTCGCATGCCAGTGTCCCCGCCTCTGGGACCGTGACGATCATCAATCGCTCCGAGACCGTGGGAAGGCCATTGGCGGCCATGCTCGCGAACTGCGGGGCGACAGTGTACTCCGTGGACGTAACCGGCGTCCAGCTATGGCAGACGATATCGTCGGGTTTGTCAATCGAGGACATCGATACCCCCTTACCTCTCCTTCTCGCGCAGAGCGACGCCGTCGTCTCGGCCGTGCCCGGATCTTACACCGTGCCCACACAAAGCCTGAAGATGGGCACAGTGTGCATCGACCTCAGCGCCGAGGGCAACTTTGCCCCGGACGTCAGGGAGAGGGCAGGCGTGTTCGCGCCGAGAATCGGGGCCGTGACGATCAGTATGTTGATGTGCAATGCGCTGGTGTTGAGGAGGCGGGCGGAGAGCGGAGAGGGCTCTGTGAGGTGGAGTGGAAGTGATGTAGCATAGATTCGATAGAGCGATATGTATTTACCCTGTTTTGAGCTGGTCCACGCACCAGGTCAGTACATAGTCAGTGGAGACAGGACAAGATTATTAGGCTGCATATGTAGATACAGTACACTGGCGTAGACACGGGCAGTCGACACGCCCCACTCCCACTCCCATTCGACAACTAAACAGTCCTGACGTTGCGCGCGACCTCGGACCTCGGCGCTTCGCGCCTCGGTCCTTATGGCTGCCAGTACGAGCACCCACACGCACACTCGGCCTCCCTATGTTCCGAGATAGCGATGGAGACCTGGCCCTCTGCTCATTAGCCACTGTTCCCCTAGCTTGAGCTCACCTTCATCATACGTAATGCAGACCTTGTCGACCTGCGAGAACACGCCCTCTTTCTGTCTCTCACTGACCGCCGCCTTCTTGCCCTCCCTGCCCTCCCTGCCCTCCCTGCCCTCCCTGCCCTCCTTGCCCTTACTGTCCTTCTTGACTCCCGAATGCCGATGGTGTGTCGGCGCAGGAGGAGTGGGATTACTCACGTGCACAGCAGCCAGAATGGCAAGCACGCTGAAGAGATCCTGCCCCAATACGCCCACTTCGACCTCTCCAAAACTCCACGGATCAAGTCTGGCGCGCCACCAGCCTTCACTCGCCAGTTTCCCCAGTACCAGACTCCAAAGCTTACTACTCCTCAAGCGATGTGTCAGCTCGAGCAACCGAAATAGTTCCAGCTGACTCGGACTCGAGCCCAGACTGCCCACGATGCTCGGCGCATTGAGCTCGACGTGGAAATCGAGCACGGCGTGTGTATAAAAGCCGGGGTATTTTGACGTTAGGGCGTGGATCTGGAGGAGTTGCGGGATGCTTGGTTCGAAGGCGGCTGGGGCCGCTGGGGCCGCTGGGGCCGCAGGCTGTCCTTGCCCCGTTGGAACGGTGGGTAGAGGCGTGTTAGGTTTCGGGGGCGAGGGCGTCGGCGTGGGTAGCGAGACAGAGATGGATGGCGGGGACGGCGGCTCGACCGTGACCTCTATCCCGCTGGATCCCGACCCGCTCGAACTCGACCCAGAACGGCTCCGCACCATGTCCGCTGAAAGAGACACCGGCGAGGTCGGACTCCGGGGCACGGCCGAGCCGAAGGGATGACTTGGGGGAAGCTTTGCCAGCTTTGCCCCTGGACTGGTTGGACAGGAGACAGGAACGGGCGGGACGGGGGGTACATTTTTCGGATTCGGGTCTTGGAAGCGGACACGCGACTTCTTCTTCTTGACTCCTGTCCCTTGGGCGCCTTGGGCTTTCGCCTGGGCATCTTTCAGCGCGCGGTCGAGGGCCTTGACCCCCGTCCCTGGTCTGGAGACCAGAATGCGGGGTTTTGCGGGCGTGTTTGCTGAGTGGGAATCTGAGAGTGGTTTTGACCTTGTGGACTTGGGATCACTACCCTCCCGCTTGTGCCCCGAACTTGAGGCAGACGACTTGGACGACACACCATCGCTCTCCTCGGCCACGGGACTCAGCCTTCTAAGCTCTGATCTCGCTGGCCGAATCGGTCCCTCCGTCTTCGTGACCTCCTCTGCGACTGTTGACGCCGCCCGCGCCGCCCCTGTCGATCCTGTCGATTCCGCCAATCCTCCAGCCTTCCTGCCCGATGTCGTCTCCACGCTACCCGTGCCAGCAGCTCCAACCGCGGCCGCGCCGGTCCCGCTTCCGCTCCCACCGCCTCCGACGCGGGACGGCCCAATGCGCATCAACTTGAGAAAAGCGTACAGTTCCGCCGGCTCGTCCCCCGTCTCGACAATGTTGGCGGAGAGCGCGGCGTCCCGCACCATCCGAGCGAACACTGGGCTGGCCATCGCCAGCATGGCCCTGTTGACGCGGAAACCGGTGTGGCCCGCGAGGAGGGTGATGTCGGCCGACGTGCCTGTGAACTCGGGGTGGAGGTGGATCGTATCTGGTACCATTGTTGCTGGGTGGGTAGGACGGGAAGGTAGGAGGGTGAGGAGGGGAGGAGGGGAGGAGAGTGGATGAGGGGGTGAGGAGAGTAGGTGAGGAGGGGGAGGGGGGCGGGCCGATGGCGAGCTTGCGATGAGAACGGAGGACTGAGGACGAGGTAGTCGTGTGCGTGGTGTTGAGAGAATAGCAAGGCGGCTCGAAATACCAGATACGAGATAAGAAGTTGAGTGGGTTCTGGTCAGGTGAAAGTCAGTACAGAAGCTATCGAAGAAGTTTTGGACGCCGATGCACTGCTGTTCTGTGCAGGACACTTTTGTGGCTTGGGTCCGCTCGACCCGCTCGATCCGTAACTGTGGTGAATGTTTGTGTAGCCTATTTTCTTGCCCTGGTTGTTGTTGACACAGACCACTTATTGACGCCGCATGGACCATCCCATGGTCAAGAACCGGTGACGACTGTCCGACAAGATTCGCCCGTTTCAGACGCAGGACTGCAACGCCTTTCTGACAGCCATCCCTCTGGCCCTATGCGTCCTTTGACACCGTGGGCGACGGCATGGGTTGTACGATAAACACGAGGCAACACGAGAGAAGAGTTGGGTGGAAAGAGTTTGTTGATAGCGAAAATTCGCCGATCCCCGCCATCAAAAGTTTGATCCACCGAACTACATACCTGTCGATCCCAAGAATAAACAACAATCCATGCTATGCGAATCCGTCTATGTTTGTCCTGTTTTTGCGTTCGAGATATGCTTCCGAATTCCACTAGGGCGCCCCTTTCCCTTTGCTTGCAACCAGTCGATGCTCGTCGCTCGTCGCTCGCCGCTGTGCGGCTCGCGACTTGCAGCTCGGTCAAAGCTTCGAGAACACGCCCGCGCACGCCCCCTTCTCATAACTGACCAGCGTGCTCTTGTTCCGCGTGTACGCCATGATGCCCTCGTGTCCGTTCTCGACCCCGACCCCGCTCATCTTCCACCCTCCGACGGGCATTTCGGCGGGGCTCTCGCCCCACGTGTTGATCCAGGTGATGCCGGCGTCGATGCGGGAGATGACCTCTGACGCCCTGGCAAGGTCATTAGAAACAACGCCAGCGGCGAGTCCGAGTTCCGTGTCGTTGGCGCGAGCGATGAGAGTCTCGAGCCAGTCCGAGCCCGAGTCGTCGTATGGCAGGATGGCCATGACAGGACCAAAAATTTCCTCCTTCACGATCCGCATCGAGTCGGTGCAATCCGTGAACACGATGGGCTGAACCCAGTATCCCTCCTTGTTGGGGAGTTTCTGCGCCGAACCGTCATACAGCACCGTGGCCCGGTCGACCTCCTTCCCGTGCTTGATGTAGCCGTCGACCTTTTCCTTGTGCGCCTTGCTCACGACGGGACCCATGTTGACGCCGTCGTCCATCGGCATGCCGAGTCGGATTCCGTCCCGGCACCGGGCAAGGATCGCGCGCTCAATCTCCCCCCGCCTCGACTTGGGCACAAACACCCGCGTCCCGTTCGTACACACCTGTCCGCTGCTGTAGAAGTTGGCCATCATGGCGACGTCGGCGGCCTCGTCCGTGTCCGCGTCGGGGAGGATGACGAGCGGCGACTTGCCGCCCAGCTCCATCGTGACGCCCTTCATGCCCTTGGCGGCCTCAGCGGCGACCTTGGATCCAGTCGAGACCTGGCCAGTAAAGCTGACCTTGGCGATGGCGGGGTGGCTGACGAGCGCAGCGCCGACCTTGCCGTCGCCATAGACGACGTTGAAGGTTCCAGGTGGGAGACCGGCCTCGGCGTAGATTGCAGCGAGCGTGTTGCCGTGCAGGGGTGTGACCTCGGAGGGTTTGTAGACCATGGCGTTTCCGGCCGCGAGACAGGCGGCAGACTTCCACAGCGCGATCTGGATGGGATAGTTCCAGGCCCCGATTCCGGCACACACGCCGACGGGCGCCTTGTACGTGTGCACAGCGGCCCCGGGCCTCAATACGGTCGTCTTGCCGTCGAGTCCGCCAGAAGCGACAAAGTGCGCATAGTACTCGAGGACGTCGGCCCCGGTAGCCACGTCAACAGCCTGCGTCTCGCTCCACGCCTTGCCCGTGTCGAGCGTCTCGGTCTTGGCAATGTCGTCGTTGCGTTCCCGCAGGATGGCGGCGGCCTTCAGGAGGATGTTTGCGCGCTCGACGGGCGTTTTGGACGACCAGACGGGGAAGGCGGCCTGGGCAGACTTGATGGCGGCATCGAGCTGGGCCGAGGAGGTGGTGTGGATGGTGGCGAGGGGCTGGGCGGTGGCTGGGTCGATGGACTGGAATGTCGCACTGGAGGACGAGGCGGCAGGCTGTGGCTGTCCGTCGTAAAAGGTGTGGATGTCCTTTGCGAATGTCATGGTGAGTGTGGTGAGTGGGTGATTCCAACAGAGTAGTGAATCAACTTTTGATGGCGGCTTGGTAAGATCCGTAACTCTAGGGACGTCCGGGGGCGAGTTGCCCTGACGTCATGCGTAATATCAAAAAGGGACAGGGTTGTGTGCGCGGCATGCTGCCCTTGACGTAGACTCCGTGTGTTGGGTGTGTGTCCGGTGACCCTCTCCGCCGCGGTGTCTGCGGTGTCCGCGGCGAAGGCAAAGAGCTCTTGGCACGATCTCTCGCACCCGAGCCCACACACCGCATACGCTTTGCTTCCGTCCCCGTCGCCGCTCTCCTCGGGTCCTCCGCCTTTTGTTTGGCTCTCCCTCCGTCGTCACCCCGGAATGTTAAACCCTGGCACAATGTGCAGCGCCTGCGTCCGTCGAGTGGTCATGAGGCCTCTTCTCCGGCTCTCTCGCGGTGTCTAGTGACCTATAGCGTCCCCTCGACACACCGGTAAATCGCTCACTTGGCCGCAGGAGGGTGCCGCCCTCCCTCCCTCTGCTGCCTGGCATCGCAGTCCCACCCAAGTTCCGGGTTTCCGGAGAATCCTCGATCACAAGGATGGGATGCAGGGAAGACACACGACTGCTCTGCCCGCTCCGCCCGGTGCACCGGAGCCGTTGGAGCCAGAGGAAGAGGAGTATATCTTGTCGATCTGAATGTCATCCTCCCCCCCTTTCTTCCCACAATCTTATCGATAACACCGCGACTTCAACAGTCAGCCTGCGTTATCTCCAACCGAGTACCCTAGAGATAGTTCCTGTCTCCTCGGTCTCTCCCCTCACAACGACCACGACCACGATCTCATCATCGCTCGCTCGCTTCTCGCTAAACCAGAAAACACCGACACCATGACCATCGGGCCCGAGTTTGACAAGTCCAAGGCGGACGGGTACTACGACACCATCATTGTCGGCGGCGGTACGGCTGGGTGTGTGCTTGCGTCGCGGCTGACGAGCTACCTGCCGCACCACCGCGTGCTCGTCATCGAGGGCGGCCCCTCGGACCTCGACATCAGCCAGGTGCTGAACCTGCGCGAGTGGCTCTCCCTCCTGGGCGGCGAGTACGACTACGACTACCCCACGGTCGAGGAGAAGATGGGCAACAGCCACATCCGCCATTCGCGCGCTAAAGTCCTGGGCGGGTGCAGCAGCCACAACACGCTCATCTCCTTCCGCCCCTTCAAGCAAGACATGCAGCGGTGGGAGGACGCCGGGGCTGAGGGCTGGAGTCATCCGCTGATGATGCGACTCATCGACAAGCTGCGCAACACGGTGCGCGTCGTCGATGCGCGCCACCAGAACCAGCTCGTCAAGGACTGGGTCAACGCGTGCTCGGATGCGCTCGGCATCCCCGTCATCAACGACTTCAACAAGACGATCAAGAAGGAGGGCCAGCTCGACAGCGGCGTCGGCTTCTTCTCCGTCTCCTACAACCCGGACGACGGCACGCGCTCCAGTGCCAGTGTGGCGTACATCCACCCAATCCTGAAGGGGGAGGAGAAGCGCCCGAACCTGACCATCCTGACCGAGGCGTGGGTCTCCAAGGTGCACGTGCAGGACGACACGGCCACGGGCGTGCATGTGACGCTGAAGGACGGGAGCTCGCTGGACATTTCGCCAGCGAAGAACGGCGAGATCATCCTCTCGGCGGGAGCGGTGGACTCGCCGCGCCTCATGCTCCTCTCAGGCCTGGGGCCGCAGGAACAACTGAAGGAGCTCGGCATCCCCGTGGTGAAGGACCTGCCGGGCGTCGGCGAGAATCTCCTCGACCACCCCGAGACCATCATCATGTGGCGGCTGAAGGAGGACCGGCCCGTGCCCTTGGACCAGACGACGATGGACAGCGACGCGGGCGTCTTCCTGCGGCGCGAGCCGACACACCCGCACGACCGCGCAGCCGACATGATGATGCACTGCTACCAGATCCCCTTCACGCTCAACACGGAGCGGCTGGGCTACGCGGCCATTCCCGAGCGCTACGCCTTCTGCATGACGCCCAACATCCCGCGGCCCAAGTCCAAGGGCCGTCTGTATCTCGTCAGCAAGGACCCCAAGGTCAAGCCCGCGCTGCACTTTAGGTACTTCACCGACCACGGGGGATACGACGCCGCCACGCTCGTGGCGGGCATCAAGGCGGCAAGGGAAGTCGCCAAGCAGGCCCCCTTCTCCGACTGGCTGCTGGAGGAGATCGCCCCGGGCCCCAAGTGCCAGAGCGACGAGGAGATTAGCGAATACGCACGCCGCGCAGCGCATACCGTCTACCACCCCGCGGGCACGACGCGCATGGGCTCCCCCCGCGACAGGATGGCCGTTGTCGGCCCCGACCTCCGCGTGCGCGGGATGAAGAACCTGCGAGTCGCCGACGCGGGCGTCTTCCCCGAGATGGTGTCTGTCAACCCCATGCTGACCGTGCTCGCCATCGGCGAGCGCGCGGCCGAGCTCATGGCCATGGAGAAGGGGTGGAAGGGCGACGACGCTGCGAAACTCTAAAAGCTGTAAAGCGGCCAAAAAGTTGTACTTTCGTAATGTACAACAAAACGAAACAAAGAACTCAATGCATTGTCATAATGAAAAGCTATAGTTGATGATCACAGAGGACATAGACGGGCGGTTTACATCAGGATGCACAGGGAGGAACGCCTCCGGTGGCGTTGGCGCTTGGTGAGCCTCCGCCTCGGCGCCGGGAAGTAATGTTCCGCGCCCTCCGGCGCGTCGACGACAACAAAACTAGGCGACGCGCTGAGCCCGTCTCCACCTCCCACCCCAGCTGGGATATCAGGTGCGCGAGACCCATGAGCCTGCTGGAGGAGGAGGAGATGTTCCAGCGCCCCGCCGACCCCGCCGAGCGCGAGGCTGCTGCTCCCCTCAACGAGACTGAAGGAGTCATCATAGCGCTCATCGCCCTCGTGGATTTCGTTCCCGCGAAACCGAGTCGGGGCCGATTCGAGTCGGAAGTGGGCCTCGCCCACCCGCTTGATGTAAGTACCCCGGGGCAGAAACTTGATGCCGGCGAGAGAGTGGCGAATACCGTCGTGTTGAGCCGTGGGACAGGAGGAGGTCAGGAGCGTCTCGAGACGCGCCATCTCCAGACGGAGGAGATACTCGACCTCACTGTCTGATATGCCCAACCGAGTGTGGGCCGACTCGTCGAGGCCGAGAATCGTCGGAGATGAGCCTGGCACAAGGGCGAGCGCAAACGTGATGGCGGAGGCGTACGCTGTCCGGATTGACTGTAGGGCACGGTCTGGATCCATGGTCTCTAGGTGCGAGGGGATGATGACGATTTCGAGCTGCCCTTGGCTCTGGCGCTCTTGTGCCATTGGGAGGAGAGGAGGGGGAATGAACGGCCCCTCCTCGATCAAGGGCACGTTGATGATCATCCGCCTCACTGCCCCGAACCCTCTCGCCTGGACAGGAAGCGCTGCCACACCAGGGCCCAAGTGAAGGGCCAGCGTGACCCTCTTGCCCTGCTCGAACTCGTCGAGCAGGTGTGTATTCTCACAGTCGAGGTGGACACGGTACATCTGCGCATTCACTGCAGTGGCCCTCAACTGTCTCATCGTCTGCAGAGACAGCCGGCCCGCGACGTCGAGCACCTCCGTACTCTCCAGAACGGCGCGGACCGCGCTCGCCTGCCGCACGGCGAGGCGCAGATCTTGCACAGTCCCCGGGTCGTGTTGGAAGAAGCCGTACGCCGCCCCACTCGGCATACTAGTCGGAACTGCAGAAGACGGCGCAAACAAGTGCCGGAGAGCGGGATGCCGCCCGTGTGGAACATAGAGCCCCTCATCTGAGGGCCGCAGGGGGCATATCTCGGCCGCGAGTTCGCCCTCTCCGTCCGCTTTTGTTGCGGCTATGAGGAGGTGGTGCGAGAGCAACATGTCCGCGCGACGGAGATACCGAGACGATGTGGCGCGGAAGGCGCGCAGGACGCTTGGGTCGGCCCATTCCATGATCCTCACTACGAGGTAGGGATGGACGTTTGCGTCGAGTACGCACTGCCTCCTGCCCAGGCTGCGCGAGGAGCGGAGAGTGTGGTAGGGACGAAGCTGGCCATTGGAAGGTGGGGTGTGCGGCGGCGTCGGCGTCGATGGCGTGTGGTAGGGAGAACCAAGCCGCTTGATTGGCGTTTGCGGGGAAGGGGAGGGACTGGGGACGACACGGGGGAAGGAGACGAGGGGGGCGGCGCGGAGCTGCGGGGCGACCATGAGCGGGGCGCGGACTAGGGACGCGCGGGAGGTCGCCGGTCGAGAGGATCTGTAGGGACCCTTTGATGGGGCCATGATGACAAGTGACTGAGGAAGGGGTTATGGGTGATTTGTGAGTGAGAGGGAGAGATGTGTCAACAATGATCGTCGCACTAACGACGCCGACACACAAGTCCCTCCGTCATTCGCCTCCGCATCACTGTCCATCACCCAATGGTACTCGTAACAGTTGCATGTGGCGGACGTTACACGGTAACACTGTAGGCTGTAAGAGCTATAGGATTGTCCACGACAGAATTGCTAAATTAAACGAATGTGCAGTATTACAGAAGCGGGGTTCTGTACAACGACGTCTTGACTCTTCAACGCACCACTCCTTGACATTCACTTCGCGGCAATCTCCGCGTCCTCAGTACACGCGACGCACATGCGCGGGCCGTATCCGAAACACTTGAGGCAGCACGTGTTCTCGAACGCGAGCTGGTCCTCGGACAGCTCGTTCGCATACGCCTCCCACGGGACGAGCTTGACCCGGGCCAGCATGTCCAGGAGGATCTCGGTCTGCTCCAGCTTCTTGTTGCCGAGGTAGTCGAGCTCGTGCTCAATCTGCTCCATGACCTTTTCAAAGTGCTGGCGGAGCTTGTCGAACGTGAGTTTGAACTCGCGCATGACGGCGGGAGGCAGGCCGATACAGCGCACGTCGGCGTCGCTGCGGTCCTTCACAGCCGAGAGGAAGAAGTAGATCGCAGACGTGTACAGCATCGCGACCTGCGCCGTGATGTCCTTGCACCGCTCCTTCGGGGACTCGGGGAGGATCACGACGTGCGCGGGCATGGCGCCGAGGAACGTCGCGCCGACGGGCGGGCGGATCGAGTCCGTGTCGTGGCGCAGGCCATACTTGGCCGCAGGCTGGATGTTGACGACGAGGCGCTGGGTGTCGCGGAGGTCGATGGTCTGCTTGCCGTGTCCGATGTGCGAGACGATGAGGACTGTAGTCGGCGACGAGCCGGTACACACGTCGCCCATGCACAGCCAGCGGCTCTCCTGCGGCTTCGCGAGGCGGAAGAGCTCAGTGTCCGCCTCGGTTAGGCCGGGGCCCATGTCGACGCGCGTTGCGCGGCCAAGAATCGAGACAAGCTGGTCCGCGGGCGGCTTGATGATCTTAGCACCAGCAGCCGACTTGAGGACGAGGATGCCGAGCTCGCGCTCGATGCGCACGTGGCGCACGAGCGCGCTGCCCTTCGCCCGGAAGAGAGACGATTGACGCGCGAGCTGGTAGAGAGTGCTGAAGTTGGAGAGGATGGAGACCATGTACGGGTGGCCGGGGTTGGCTTTGGTTGTTTAGTTGAGTTGGGGTTGGGTTTGGGTTGAGGTTGAGGGGTTCATCTCGCGGCGTCTGAAGGGAGCGATTTATGTAGTGGACGTCCGTGGGCCGCACGAGGTGATGTGCCGCAGACACCGCACCCACGAGCCGGACGGCACGAGTCGCGACCCCGCCCCCCGCATTGGACACACAATGCAGACTGCCGGAAGAAAGAGGTCAGTGTGTTCGCAAAGTTTCGAACTGGAAGGCTGGGGTTTCAGTGCACTGAGCGACTTTTGTTTGCGGGGTCTCCGCACTTTCTCGCCGGTGGAGGCCGTCCACCACCGTCTTGGCCCGGAGGGCGAACACAGGCCGCGCCGCAGCGGCCAGAAGAGTGCATGGGCCGCTGCATATTCGCGCATTGCGCTGTCACTGCTCATTGGTCTGGAACTTGCAGTCCGTTACTCGCCCATTCCCTCCAGTCCCGGTGCGGCCGGTGCGGACCACTGCGGCGGCAACTTGCGAAGTGCCCTGGACGAAAGCGATGAGCTGTGGTCGATCACACGATCACACGAACAAAAGAGCGCAGAAGTTGACATCTCACACTTATCTGCTCATAGCTTCTTGACTTCGATGACTATTAACCGCTTTCCTCTGGGACGAGCAATGGTACAGCTAACTGTGATACTGCTGATGTCGAGACCAAATCAGATGCGGGATTAGCCGCACGCGGAGCTCGGCGCTGAACGCGATGCCAACTACGGCCGCCGCGTCTCGGCGTCAGGACCCTTCCTCCCAATGACATCAAGCCTTCAGATTCTAGACACAGGCCAACACCGCTACCGCCGTCACGCCCACCAAAGCAAGGAACCCCGGCCAGCTTGCCCTCCTGGGAGCATCAGCCCGGATCTGCTCCCACATGGCAACACAGTAGTAGCTCCCATTGGGCGGAAGCTGCCCGTCTGTCGTGCCAGGCTGGGCTTCTCCGTCCCTCTTCCTCGCTCCATTCTTCTGGATGTAGGCGTACTGATCCTTGTAACAGTCCGCCCACACGTCCTCAAATGATCGGCCGGGATACGTGCTCAGCCACGCCACGGAGGGCTGACACCACGACATCGAGTCGTTCTTCACAACGAGACTCTTGTCGTCCGGCTTCAGCTCTTGCCCGTTTGAGTAGCAGCAGCGGTGCACTGCTGTGCCGGCGGAGCCGCCGCATTGGACCAGCGAGAGGGTCATCTTGGGGGTCAACTGGAGTCCTAGCCGCCGAATAGGGTGGGGGTCTTACTCTGTCAACTGTGAAGTGGATGCCTCGGAAATTTGTCGAAGTGAGGTGTTGCGAGGAGGAGCAAGCGCCAGAGAGAGGGGCAGAGGCGGAGACGTGTGTTCAGAGGAGCTCGCTTTATATGCACGAAAGTCGGAGTGGGATACGCTCCATGTGGGTGCCGATGGCGGGACGCCAGCGCCACTCGCCTCAGCGGTGCAGCGGCGCAGCGGCGCAGCAAGCGGCCTCGAAGCACACACACATTTGGCTCCAGGAGACGGAGGGTATTACTGCACCCACTTCGTCATTTGAGGTGGATGCTACGGCATTCGGTAGTCGTATTGCAGTGGTGTGTTGGATTAGAGTTAGAGGCACGCTCCAAAGTACGTTGCTCTGTGTACCAGCCTCCTGTGAGCGGAGTGGCGCCAGCTCGGTCCGGCGTGCGTACCTGGCGTCGTGTGACTGTCCTACTTCCTGCACATTCTCCTCAGTAATCCTATACCCAGCTCTTAGCATCCAGCGTCTTGTCTAGGAGCAATCTGCCCACAGGTGGAGAAGGAAAAAGAGATGAACCCCATGTGGAAGGGGACCAAAAGTTGAAAGCCTACTACAGGGGTCGAACCTGCGACCGTTGGCGGTCTCGGTATTCTAGCCGAAAACCAACGCTCTGGCCACTGAGCTAAGCAGGCCGGTCTGATCGTCGCTGCGCGCCGGGGCTCCATGTGCCTGCGCCCCCGCCCTCCCCGTAGACTCGCTGCCGATCACTACCGCTCCGCCCAATTATCCTCGGTCTGATGAAGCTACTTTCGCTTGCTCCGCGAACGCTCAACCCACACACAGTCTATCAGAATACATGACTAGTCTATAGGAGAAGGATTCGTATATAACAGGAGAAAGCGGTAACAGATTATATAGCGGCCGCGCCGCCCGGCCGCAAGTGCATGGTGTCTAAGCGTGCGGGTCCGTCAAAGGCGTCTCGATAGCTTGACGCGGCTGACGGTGCTTTCGACGCCCCCGACGTCCCCGATGCCCCCTGGGCACCCGCACCCATCGCGCCCACGTCTTGTAACAGGTGCACCTCGTCCGAATCCTACTCGAGACGCTGCGAGTATTCGGTCCGGACGTTGGCGTGTGTCGACTCGGCGCTGATCGGCGAGTAGGGCGTGTTCATGCGCTGGGGGGGGTAGACCACACCGGGGGGCGAGGGGTAGGACGTCTGCGTGTTCACGAGGCCCATGCCTGGGTCGCTGACGTCGCGCTCGTGCACGGTGTGCAGCGGGATGGCACTCTCGGGATTCTTGATGCGCGGGTCGTACGTCTTCCACGACTTGGGCGCGGCGATGGGCTGGGCGTTAGCTTCCAAGAAGGCACGCTCAGCTAGGCCACGAGTGGAACTCACCGGGAAGTACTGCCTGTATCCCCACCAGGCGGCGAGGACACCTACGATGCCGCCGGCAATGACATCGGTCGCGTGGTGCCTGTAGTCCATGGTGCGGCTTACGCTGACGAGGGTCGCACCCGTGATCGGGGCGAGGAGGATCCAGCTCTTGATCGTGTATCCCTTGCGGTTGAGGGCGCGCATCTTGGCGCTGAGGAAGAGGGTCAGGTACCACATGCCGGTCCACGCAAAGCTGGAGTGGCCAGAGGGGAAGCTGCGGAATCCCTCCTGCAGGTGCTCCGTCTCCGTGCAGACCTTCCACGACGTGAGGCCGTGCACCGGGTTCGCGGTGTAGTCGGCTGGCGGCGCGCAGCGCGAGAAAAGGTCGGGGCGCGGGCGGCCGACAGTGATCTGGCGTCAGTTTCTGGATAGAGCAGCTGTCAACTCACCTTGACAAAGTCAGTGAAGGACACGCAAAGACCGAGACTCAGGATGAAGCCGAGGATCGTGTTGTGCGCGTCCCAGAACGAGCGCTGGATAGCACTGAGCGTCAGTTACTGTCGCCGGGGCCGCAACTCACGAGATGATGACCATGATGATGGCCGGCACGACGCCGAACAACACAGCGAGCATCCAGACAGGCACGCGCTCATGCTCGGCGTACGGGTGCGCAAGCGAGGTATCCGTAATGTCGAACAGCCGGCGGTACCCGTCAATCTTGTCGATGAGGTAGAAGATGCCCTAGTGCAAGTCAGCTCATGTTTGCTCGATCAGTGTCCCGAAATAGAGTTGAGAGATCTCGGTGGGGCCATCCCCGTCACAGAGAATAGAAACACAGCACTAAGCGAGTCTGTTTCCGGACTGCGGACATACTCGCATCCGTGATCCGTGACCGATGCAAGATGTGACGTGACGTTCTACACTCAGCGGCAGACGGTGCGGTGACTTTGAACGCCCCGCTGCAGAGGTTGCGTCACGGCACACGGCAGGGCGGTAGCTCGGTCGAGGGGTGTGCCGTGCCAAGACCATTTTCGACTGCGCAACAGCAGCACAGTGGCAACGGCGCGGCGGACAATGCAGCGAGCGCCGTGCATCCGTCGTTGTTGGATGGGTGGCTGAGTCCATTTTTCTCCCTGTTGCTTGCGATCGCACGACTCGACATTGCTGGCATCGATGCTCGTGTGACTGCCGAGATGACGGCTCGATGGCTCCGTGGTGCGGGCCTGGGGAGGGGTACCCGCTCGCTGGAATTAAGACTTACCCAGAGGAAGATGCAGATGATCCAGTCGGGGAGGTAGCTCCAGAAGACGCGCCATTTGTATGGCTTGTCTGGATTGTCGATGTAGGGCATGAGCTTCTTGACCATGGTGCTTGGAGTGTTGTTGCGGTTGGTAAAGAAAGAGACAGAGCTAGAGAGGATGATAAATTAAACCGAGGCTTGGGTGTGTTACGGAGCCAAGAGAGAGAGAGCGAGTAATGCTTCCAGGGCTGATCGGCGCAGCCACCCTGCCCCGCCCCTGCTGCGCCTTGGTCTCGATCTCTCCTTGCTCTTGATTCAATAGGCCCGATCTGGTTCCTGCTTTCCCGCTCTCAGCCGGCAGTCTCATTCACCGAGTATCACGCAAGTCACGTGCATACAACCCCACATGGCCCTGTGACGTAGAAGCTGAGCTTGGCCGCACGCTTCTTGTCACCGCACAACTTTAGCTCTGTCACAGCGATAATAACACTCATGACGACGAAAGAGCTCGAGCACCAGGTCGCCGGGCATAAGGGCGTGCAGACCGACGACTCGGGTGAGCTGGTCTACAAGGTGGGTTTGAGTGAGCGGCGAGTGATAGAGAGCTGCGCCAGCATTGCATGGTCGTCAACGGTGAACCGGAGCTTCAGTCCACTGCCGCGACCTCTGCAATGACTGGCTTCCTCTGTCTGATGGTGTAGCTAACACCAGCCCGCCCTCCCCACCGAGATCGCATTCTACGAGCACGTCGCCCAGAATGCGGACTCCCTGGGGCAACTACGCCCCTTCATGCCCGTCTGCTATGGCAAACTGACGCTGCAAGGGGAGCAAGACGGGGAAGGGGGCGTGCGCGAGGTGGCCGATACGGGCAGCGAGGTGAGTGTTCTCTGCACTTCCGAGCCAGCGGCGAGGAAGTTTGGAACTCCAAACTCCCGCGCGTAGTCGCGTAGTTTGCAATACACATCCCGAGCTGGGTTCAGATAGCTTGAGCTAACATCACAGTCAATCGTGCTCGAGAATCTGACGTATGGGTACCTGCACCCCTCCGTGCTAGACGCGAAACTCGGCACGGTGCTGTACGACGAGAACGCGACTGAGGAGAAGAAGGCGCGGATGATCAAGAAGGCGGCCGAGACGACGACGGGCCAGGTCGGGCTGCGGTTGACGGGGTGTCAGGTGAGTCCGGAGCGAGCGGCGAGCGGCGAGCGGCGAGCGGCGGGCGGCAGCTGGTGTTATTGCGTACTGCGAAGCTGACCTGCAGACCTGGCACCAGCCCTCGCAGGCGTACATATCGACTCCGAGGCAGTTTGGCTACGACCTGAAAGTGGAGGACATGCCCGCCGCATTAGCGAGGTTCTTCCCTCTCCCCTCAGACAATATTCCCGAATACATCGACCCCTCTGTCCAGCCCTCAATCCCGACCTCAACCTCCGACCCGGCCTTCACCGAGCCATCAGCCGAACCCAAGTCCTACACCTCGCACGCTATCCCCCTGTCTCTCCTCTCCCGCTTGCTGGCCACTCTGCTCACCCGGCTCGAGAAACTGAGGGCCGCACTGGGCACAGCGGAAATCAGGGCCGTCGGCGCGTCGCTGCTTGTCATTTATGAGTCTGACCCGACGCGGCTGGCGGAGTGCTTCACCGCCCTCGATCAGGGACGGGTGAAGTGGAAGGAGGACGCTGAGATCGATCCAGACGCCGACTCGGATGAAGAGGACGATGACGAGGAGACGCCGTTGCCGATCTCCCTGCACTTGATTGACTTTGCGCACACGTTTGCTAGGCCCGGAGAGGGGCCGGATCAGGGCGTGCTTTTGGGGTTGGACAAGTTTACGGAACTCGTTAGGGGAAGACTGGAGGATGTGAGGAAGGCGCAGGACGGAAGTGAAGAAGATGGGGGAGAAGAGAGGGAGGCGAAGAAGGCCAAGACGGGATGAGATGTAGATACATTGTACAGTGATGCTACATGATGACTACTAGCTTTCGTTCTGCTGCTCAACCCCACTCTCGACTATGGCCGCGGGGCTCGCTCCGCTCGCCCCTCGCGCTCACATGATAGTGCACGCCCCGCGCTCAAGTTCATCAAAGTCATCCTGCCACCACCGATACCCTCCCCTTCCGCGTTCCTGCACGCCTCTCTCCTTAATCTCGCGATTCAGCTCCCCGACCTCCCTAGCCTGTCTCCACACCATCGGCGGCGTAGCCCTCCTCCACCCCCAGAAGCTCTTCACGACGTTCCGGTCTTCCTCGAGCTCGGCGTCGGCGTACTCGAACGGCGTGCTGCTGAGATCCGAGTCGCCCGCCCGAGGGCGGGAGAAGATGGCTGCCTCGTTGTAGGCTTCGTTTGAGAGACGGTGGCAGTCGACGAGACTGATGTACGCGCCCGAGGGGCGGGAGCGGAGGAACTCGCGCAGCACGCGGCCGTCCGCCTTCGTCCCGTCTGCGGCTAGGAGGCGGAGCTGGGGGAGGCCGCGGCACAGCGCGACGAGGCACGAGGCGGAGACTTCCTTGGCTGAGCCGATGCGGAGTTCCTTCAAGTGGGAGACGCGGAGGGGGGACTGGGGCACCGCGCCCGGTATCAGCTCGTAGAGCACCGCATTGTCCACGGCGCCGTAGCGGCCCGTCTCGTCCAGGTCGAGGTGTGTTAGGAGCGGCATGGAGCGCACGAGCTGGGAGAGCAGCGGCGGCGGGTCCATGTAGAACACGGGCTCGAGGGAGGCGGCCTCGAAGATGCGCATATTGGGGAGCTTGCCTATCAGCAGCTCCACGGCGTCGGTCGTCAGGTTCGTGCAGCTGCTGAGCACGAGATGCTGCAATGGCGACCCTTCGGCCGGTAGATAGTCCACGTATTCCTGGATATCGGCTTGGGAGAGCCAGCGGCAGCCCAGGAGATCCAGCGTCGTCAGGTGGGGCAGCTGTGCCAGGCGGTTGAACAGCTTCTGCCCCGAGGAGTCGGCCAACCCGCTGATGCGCAGCGTGCGGAGAGCTGAGGACTGGCGAGGGGAGAGAGATGCAATGAATTCCTCGATGGCACCGAATTCGAGCCCCTGGCACCGACTCACGTCCAACTCTGTTAGAGCGAGGCCTAGCTCCAGGACGGCAGCTAGGGCCGGCCTGACTTCCAGCTTCCATCCCTTCAACACCAGCTGCTCAAGGCGGGGACTCGCCCGGATCAAGTCGACCAGGTCGGCGACACTCAGGCTCTGCGCGCCGCGCACGTCCAATCGCGTGAGCGCCGTCCAGTCAAAGTTCCCAGTCGACAAGCACGGCTTGAGGTCCAGTCCGGCTACCGAGTCCAGTCCCCGCAAGCTCAAGTGGCGCACGCACGGCCGGGCATGCGACATGATCTGCCGCAATGTGTTCCGATGCAGCACCCCCGCGAGGGGGGACATGTCCGCGTCGCTCCAGAGCGAGCCGTCAAATACGAGCGAGCGCCACTCTGTGCTGACGCGGGAGAGACGAACGAGCTCGCGCCGTCCGCCGAGGGCACCGTCCCACTTCCCGTGTCCTGGCGAGGCGGCCCAGGACTCGAGCAGCGCCGCAAAGACCTTGAGCTGCAGCTCGCGCGGGAGCATGGAGCCGAACAAGTCTGGCTCGGGAAGTGCGCGGTACGACAGTGTGCCCCACACGAGCTCGTCGGCTACGGCCGTGCTCTGCACGCCGGCGGCGAGCACGACGCCACGCGGCGGCGGGAGACCGCGCTTCTTCTTCGGGAACACCTTGCGGCTCGAAGTGGCGATGGGCGAGTCGGGGCGGGACTCGCGTGACTCGAGCTTCGACGGCGGCGGGGTGGGCGGCACCGAGTCTTCGCGGGGGACGTCCTCGAAGGCAGTCGAGAAGGACATGGAGCGGCGTCTCAGGAAGGAGAGCGAGCGCAGCGAGGGACGCGGCGAGCCCTCCTCGTCGATCGAGTGGCGGGAACGCCGCCGGTCCAGACCCCGCCGGACCGCGGCGCCGAGCCGGCTCCCGCTCGACGAGGAGATGGTGCTCCCGGGCGTCGTGGGCTCTTCGTAACTTGACGCCGGGCGTGAGTGTGTCGCAGCTGCGGGCGACTCGGCGATCATCGGTTCCTCGACTACGGTCGCGCCCTCGAGAAGCGCGAACGGGGCCACCATAGCCGGCGCCGCCCCGGGAGGCAAGGGGAGGTTGCTCGCTGCTTGCGTTTGTGCATGCGGTGCGGGACTCGGGTCCTCGTCATACGGGAACGGAAAGAGGTTGCTTGAACTGCGTCGCCGCGGTAGCTGCAAAGGCGATAAGGAGAGGTTCCCGCCCGTGCTCGTGCGACGGTACTTTGCCACTGGGACTGATGTGAAGGGCGGGGTGCGGGGAGTCTGCAGCCGGGGCGATTCGGGGGAAACGCTGCCCGCTGCGTCGAGCGCTGGCGGCTGCTCGATGTCCAGTGGGGACGACATTGTGAGTTAACACTTGCGTTGCGATAAGGAAAGAGAAGTTTGGTTGTGCTGCAGCGCTGTTGGGAGATATATGGACGCGGAACGAGTGGGGCGCAGCGCGCAGCAATGGCAGATAAGGGTTGTGCTAGGTGCTCAAGGTGTGACGGGCTAGAGACAAGAGACTTGCTAGCACGGGGAGGTGAGGGGCGGCGCAGGTGACACTAGTGAGTGCGCGGGACGGCCGGACGGCGTTGGTTTGATATGCCAGGAAGGTGTCTTGTGACAGGGAGAGCGAAGGTGAAGGGACAGCAAGAACAGCCGACAGCGTTGGTCGCGGATCACGGGCCCGGCTGGGCTAAAGCTGTTGCGCTGTTGCAGACGGCAAACGGAGGGAAGGGAGGGTGTTTGATCCGGGGTCAGAAGCGTGACTGCTCGATGGCTTGGGCGGCGGCAAGCCTGGTGGCCAAGTGGTGGCGTGAACGGGGGAAGGCAAGTGCGACAATGGGCAGTGAGTAGAAAGGGTGACAAAGAGGTGACAAGGGCAAGAATGCGAACGAGAGAGAGAGAGAGAGAGAGAGAGAGGATAATGACGACGGTATGTGATCTCTCTCGGCGATGAGAGAAAGAGAACGCACGAGATCAGGTGGCAGGAGATACGTGCGCATGACTAGCAGCAGCCAGAGTGCAGCAGCACTGTGCGCAGTGGAGTAGTACCGAAGTAGATCCTGGGTCATGGCTGGCTGGGCGCTGGGCGCGCTGGGCGGCGGCGGCGGCGCAGCGGGGAAGCCAGAGTCGCAGTGCGGGGTAGACCGGGTGGATGATGTCACTTGACCAGAGCCTTCGATCCGATCTCCCCTTCGTAATCCACTTGCCTAATTCAACCAGTACTGCTCTTGCATGTGCTCCTATTCTTTCATGAACCTGTCTGAATTATCACGACTCCCAGTGGGATCCACAATCCTCATTCCAGTGCAGAGCATGTGAGAGATGACCTCTTCGTCTCCTTGGCGACACCCCTAAAGGAGCACAACCGACGCCCGACGCCGAGGTATACGTAGATCATCAATCCACCTCACTCCTATCCGCTAACCGGGGGCGTGATCCTTTCCACAATTCACACAAAAGTGTGAGGTGGAGCACACGCCCTTTGCACTAGGACACACAACTGTGCACTACTCATCAACGATCTGCGTCCTATGTGGGTGCCTGTGTCTGTGTGCTCTCCTGTTTCGTTTGGGTGTGATACAGCGGGTAGAGTGTGCGCTCGAGTTGCACTCCGGCCGTCCTCGCGCGCACACGGCCGGGTCACTTGACCGCACCGATAGCACCGGTCCGTTTGCCCGCAGCTCCGTGCACCCGGTCCGGATTCTGCGAGAATTTGTGGTTCAGCCTGAAACTTATGTAGAAAGGCACTGCACGTAGCTTACTCGCGCCTATCTTCTGCATGCAACCTAAAGGTGCTCGTGAGAATGGTGGTGTGCATAGAAAAGGGTGCAAATGCAAGTCTATCGTAGGGTTTGGGCGGTTTGGGAGGATTGGTAGGGGGAGTGAGGGGATAACTATACTATGATTGCTGCGAGGTGCGCGCTTTTGTACGAGCTTACATGAAGCTCTTCTGGCCGTGGCGGGCCATCTCGACGACCTTCCATCCGCCAGTGAGCTCGTTGTCGACCTCCTTGTCGATGCGCGTGAGGACAAAGGCGTAGCGGCACTGCTCGACGCCGTTCTCGTTACCGACAATGACCTCGCCCGTCTTGGCGCTGCGGAAGCAGAGCACCTCCTGCGACGCAAAGGAGATGACAAACACCGGAACATCGTTCTCGAGCAGCTTGCCCGAGACAATGTCGACGTGCTTGATGTCGAGAATCTTCGAGTCGGAAACAAGGCCCTGCTTGATGTACTGGCCCATCGTGGCCCAGAGGACGTTGAAGGTCTGAAGGGGTCAGCTCACAACTCCGGTAGAAGCAGCTTCCAGGCATTTCCGCGCCAGCCAACGCGACGCAGATTTACTCACAGCCTCAGAGCACCACTGCTTGAGCGCTTCCCGGTCGGCACTCAGGTACGCGTCAACAACCTCGGGAACAATGTACTCGCGGAGCTCGCGCGTGAACGAGTCCATGTTGAAGTCGGGGTCCATCTCGCGGATCGTGCGGATGACGCGCGCCGTCTCGTTCTCGCCGAACCAGCCCGCGACCGTCGACGCCATCGAACGGAAACTCTCGACCGCCGGGTTCTCGGACTCGTAGTACTGCTCCCGCAGCTTCTGGTACGTCGGCGACTCGGTGATGAACGAGAGGCGGGAAGACGTCGGCTCCTGGTTCGCGGACACGACGAGGGCTTCTCCGGCACTGAGAGTTAGCTCTGTCACACCAGACGGGTTCGCCACACCACGGCTGCTGCGAGTGCAACAGTGGCAACGGTGCCGAACAAGCTCAAGGCCATACTCACTCAGGGTTCTCAGCAACACGCTTGGTCTTCTTGCCGGCCTTCTGCGCACGAAGCTCACGCTTCCTTCGTCGCTCCTCCTTCTCCGCGTATCCACCGTAACGGGCGCCGGTACCGGCGGCATCGTCAAAGGCCTCGCTCACACTCGCCGCGATCTGCTTGTACGCCTCGGTGTCACGGATCGGCTGCGTCGCACGGTCGGCAAACGCAGAGACGGACTGCGAAGCGGCGGCAATCGCCTTGAGCACCTCCGAGTCGGCGAGCGCCTTGTTGATCGCCTCGTTGACCGACATGCCGGCCTTCTTCAGGTCCTCGGCAGCCTTGGCGAGACGCGGGTTCTCCTTCATCAGGTTCGCCATCTGTTAGTCAGCTTAAGCCCTCTCTAACAATGTAGCTGCAGAGTCTGGCGCAAGCGGACCGCTGCCGGTAGCCGGCTGAGGTTCCGTTCCGAGCGGTGGCAAGCAGCCCCGCGCCGCCGATCTCACCGGGGCGGCCCTTTCACCAAGTTCCAGTCACTTCAAAGGATGCTACTCACCCTAGTACGCTCGTACATCTCCCTGGCAGCCTTCATGGCCTTCGAGTCGGCCATCTTGTCGACCTCTCCGGAGAGCTGCTTGACGTTCTGCTGCCAGCCCTGGTTCTTCTCAATCTCCTCCTTGAACACCTGCAGGAAGACCTTGAAGGGGCTCTGGGGCGGGCCGGCGTCCTCGTCGTAGCCGCGCTTCTTCTGCTCCTTCTCCTTCTTCTCGTCCTTCTTGTCCTCCTTGGCGTCCTCCTTCTTCTGCTCGTTCAGGCGGATAGACGTTCCGGAGAAGTTGCGGGCCTGGAGGGCGCGGGCGTACGCCGCACGCGGCAAGGGCGCCGGTCGGACGAGGGGACGGAGGGCCGAGATACCGCGCATCGTGGTGCTGGTGGTTTTTGGGGGGGGTTGCGTGAGTGAATGTAGTGTGGAGACTAGCAAGTGGAGACAACGAGTTTTCCGGAGAACATTATTCAACGCTCACTCGGCCTCGCAGGTGGAAAAACGGCCCTCGGCTACTCCGGCGCCTGCACGTGGCTAAACATGGGGGTGGAATAAAGCACCCCATAAGTCCGAAGCTGGCCGTTCAGGTCGGCTTTCTATGCCTGCGTTCGAATCCAGCCGCTGGCGCTGCGTTTTGGCGTGCCTCGACTCAGACCGAGATAACCGAACAGCTCCTCGCCGGAGGGATGTTCCGACAATACCCCGGCTCAGCGACAATCTTCCTTGCGGATCATGGCAGCGACGACTTCCACCCGCTCGACTGAGCCGACCGAGGTCTCATGCGCCTGAGGCTTGAGCACGCGGTGTTTTGGTATCGTAAACAAAGCAGCTGACACTGTCAACTTACGGGCAGTTGATCTTCTCAGCGGCATGACTTAAGTTGCTACTACGGTCAAAGGCTAGTGGGTGGATAACAGTTGTAGAATACATCATGAGTTGAAGAGAAACGGGCAATACGAGGCACCTTTCCAGGCAACTTAGTCGTCTCGAGGTCCGCATCGCGACAGGACGTACTGTCGCACGCGCTTCTGCTCCTCGCCGCCGACGCCATCGATGTCTTCGGGGTACTGGCTGTCGGCATTGTGCTGATGTTAGCTTGGTACGCAAGGACACAGCTCTCCCTCTTCATACTCCTGCAGTAGCCGCTGCGCGAGCCGTGGAAGCGAACTCACCCTCTCGCGATCAGCGCCCGCCTCGATGAGTACGACAGCAGCCTCGCCGTGTCCGCTCTCCATGGCCAGGTGCAGAGGCGTGTTGCCCGCCCGGTCAGAGGTGTTGAGCCTCGTGCGCGGCCGACCCTCTGGCGGGTTGAGGAGGACGTTCAGCATTGCGACGTTGCCCGTTGTTGCGGCACGGTGCAGAGGGTGCTGGGAAGCGCGGTCTTTGATGTTGATCTGAAGTTAGCTAGAAGAAACAGCGCTGAAAAGCTACAGCCAGACTCCGCTTTCATGGATCGCGCTGCAGCGCCACGACACTCACATCAGCTCCACGTTGAATGAGCAGCCTAGCAAGCTGTTGTCAGCTCCACGCCACCGAAAGGAATAGCTTACCGGCACATTTCCTTTGGACGCAGCGTAGTGCAGCGCACCCTGTCCCTTGTCGTTCACGGCGTCAAGCTTCGCGCCTACGTCAAGCAGCTCGGCAACATTCTGCTTGTGTCCGGAGGAGGCAGCAACCAGCAGCGGCGTCCATCCCATCGCATCGCTGGCCTCGAGGTCAGGCTGGTATGAGAGCAACAGCTGCAGGACACTCAGGTTGTCGGCGCCCGCGGCCCAGTGCAGGGGCGTGCGTCCATCCTGCTGTAAGCTGTGATCAACACAGCAGAGCAGAAACTCTTCAAATGTCCAGTCTGGAACCAGCCCGGACACCATGACTCAGTCGCGCAGGCTGGCCACTGCTAACGGAGGAAGGCAGCACTCACGTCATCTTTCTGATTAATGAGTCTCGGGTCCTCGGATAGAAGAGAGCGGATGAGACCGGGCTGACCTGTTGTCAGCTGACTCCCAAGAACAGAATAGCTTACCTTCCTGTGCGGCTCTGTGGATGCTGAAGCTCGCTGCCATTGTCAATGAATACAGTGCAGTCGATGACGACAGGAACACTGACGAAGCGGACAGACATGGTCGCCGCTAGGTGGAGGTTCGATCGACCTTTTACGTAACATATGGGAAGAAACACGTGATTTCGTCCTTGTTGACGCTTCGCAGTTCGGGTTCTTCGAGACTGCGATCGAATCCCAGCAGGCAGCGGCGCAGCGGTCAGCGGTCCCCTCCTCAGACCGAGACGGAGAGCGGGGATGCTTTCGCACGGTCGTCTCCGTTGACGTTGAGAGAAGCAGCCTATGCCAGGCAGGATGCGGCACCGCCGCGCTCATCGTCCTGGATCGACTCCTGAGTGACTGAAAGGGCTTGGAGGCTTGGCTCCTGCGCAGTCTACGTAATTGAATGCAGCAGCTCCGCGCTCACCCTCCGCCGAGCCGTTGGACCAGGCACCCAGGTACGCATTTGGAGAGCCGAGCAGAAACCAAACAGCCAAGCCCAAGCATCAGGCGATACACACGCGACCGTGTGAAGTCTTCCCAGCGCGCGGCAACACGCGCAGCCCCCGTCCCGGACCTCGAGTCTCCACTCTCAGACGCGCAGCAGCACCGGCACCGGCATTCCCCGTCAGCCTCACCCCAACGCCCCCAGCGCCTCTCCCCCCGGCTCCCCTGCATATCCTGCATTCGGTAGCAGGCACACGGACAAACGAACAAACGAACGGACGCTGCGATCAAAGCACCGCGCACCGCACGCACCGCCTTGCTCGTTCCCCCTGCATGCATCCGTCGCCTCTTGAGACCGTGTCTGACCACCTTCTTGTTCCTTTCCACACATCACACCGCGCACCTGCACACACTCTCTTGCGCACACTACACACGCGCACGTATCGACCCCCTCGCAGTCGCACCGTGACGACACACACTTCCAAGCTTCCGAGACTCTTGAGCACACACGCCCCAGAGTCCGCAGTAGTCACAGCTTGCCTGTTGGACCGCTGTATAAAGCGACCTCGACACTCATTCGCAACTACCCTCTCTTCCCGTTTCTCGCTCCTCGAAAAAGCGCTCGCTAGCAAGCACGGTCGCGAGTATGCTCCTTTTCAAGACCCTCGTCGCGGGCCTTCTGCCCCTCGCAGCGGCGCTGCCCCCGATCACTCGTACCGGCAAGTACCTGTACGACCAGAACGGAGAGCGCTTCTTCATCAAGGTAAGCTCACAGGAGCTGCCCCGCAGCTGACTTGCAGGGAGTTGCATACCAGCCCCAGGGACGTCTCGCCGAGCAGACGGCGGACAACGAGGAGCAGTGAGTGTGCCGGCTTTGGCTTGCAGCCCCAGGAACTAACATGCCCAGCGGAGGCTTCCCCGAGCCTGACTCCTACATCGACCCGCTCTCGAGCAAGGACAACTGTACCCGAGACCTTCCCCACCTCCAGGAGCTCGGCGTCAACGCTGTCCGCGTGTACTCCGTCGACCCCTCGAAGAACCACGATGACTGCATGAAGCTCTTTGACGACAATGGAATCTATGTTCTCCTCGACCTCTCCCTCCCTGCCAACGGATCGATCAACCGTGCTGCCCCCTCCTGGACCACTGCCCTCCTCGATGAGTACATGCGTACCATCGATGTCTTCAACAAGTACGACAACGTTCTCGCCTACAGCGTTGGAAACGAGGTTGTCAGCCGTGCCGTGAACACTGATGCCGCTCGTGAGTTAGCGCATGCCCCCTATTCAGAACTGACAGACAGCCTTCGTCAAGGCTGCCGCCCGTGACATCAAGGCCTACCTCCGCAGCATCGGTTCGAACGCTATGGTCTCGTACTCTGCCGTAGACGGCGACTCGAACTTCCGTGGAGGCGTTGCCGAGTACCTGACCTGCGGCAACGACAGTGTTACGATTGACCTGTACGGTGAGTAGTGGCTGTGGTTGCAAAGATCTGGTGGCGCAGATCGATGGCACTGGCCTCGGACTGCCAGCCCTCAGATCTGGCCACGCCAGCGCTTTGTTTCATCGCTAATCTGTGCCAGGCCTGAACAACTATGCGTGGTGCGGCTCTTCCTCGGTCACCGCCTCGACCTGGAGCAACATGGTCGACGACTTCAAGAACGTGCCCGTCGCGACTTACATGTCCGAGTACGGATGTATCGAGGTCAAGCCCCGTCTCTGGCAGGAGGTCGACGCTCTGTACGGTGACACGACGGTCACCGACGTCTTCTCCGGTGGTGTTGCATTCAGCTACTTCCCCACTAGCGATGGGTATGGCATGGTCGAGTTCGGCGGTGACGGTAAGGACGTCACCGTCAGCACTGACTTCACGAACCTGGCGCAGCACCTGAAGAACGTTACCACCGCCAAGACCCCTGCCCAGTCCGCCGCGCAGACCGGTAGCATTGAGTGCCCTGCGGACGGCGCCAAGATCAACGCGAGCTCGAAGCTGCCCCCGACCCCTAACAAGGCCGCGTGCAACTGCGTCAACGACAACGCGCTCTCGTGCCACGTTATTTCGGCTACCGCCAACGACCCCGCCAAGATGGGCGCCCTCACCGACTACGCGTGCTCCCTCCTCGGACAGGCGAACACTTCTGTAACTTGCGAGAACATCAGCGGCAACGGTAGCACCGGTGTCTATGGTTCGCTCTCGTTCTGCTCGCCCGAGGTCAAGCTCAACTACGCCATGTCGAGCTTCTGGGAGACTGACCAGAAGGCCACCTCGTGCGACTTTGGCGGCAACGCCACCCTCACCCCCAACACGCCCAACACCCAGGCCTCGTCGGAGGTTGCGGCCAAGTGTCTGGCCAACGCCTCAGCCGTCACCACTCCCTCGGCGACCCAGGGTGGCCCGAGCCAGACCACCGGCGTCGCGCCCACCGCCGTTGTTTCCGGCGGTAAGGATGCTGGATCCGACGGTGGTGACAAGAAGGACGACAACAAGAACTCTGGCGCCAACGCCGTCTTCGCTTCGCTCTCCATGGTTGTCCTCGCCGTCGCCGGTGCTGTCATTGCCGCCTAAGCGGACCCCTCCCTCCCGTTCTCTCGCCTGTCGCCACCCCGAAGCCGCTGCAATTGTACAATCAGACACAATATCTACGACTACGACAATCTACCCCATCCCCCATTACCTAATCCCATTCGTCGCGGAGATGTCCTCACGGCAGCTCAGGTGACGGTCGTCTGTATGTTGTTTACCCCAGTAGGCGACAGGCGAGCGGAACCAAATCGGGGAATTCCGAGGTGAGAGTCGGCAAGGTCTGGCGCCTGATTTCTCTTCCTCCCCTGCCCTTGCCAGCCCAGGAACACTTCCCTTACGTTTGTCTGCAGAGTACTTTCCGTAGCATACAGCGTTTCTGTTTGGACATTTTCATGTGATGCAAAGTTATAGACGTGGCTACTGTCCCTTCCGCAGTGCAATAATGCTTGTTCGCTAGCCGTATCGGTTTCCTCGAGTTTCCGACAGTCTGCCATGATTGGCGGAGGAGCGATGGGTTCAGATATGGTTTGAAGGGTATGAGAAAGTAAATGAGAGCTTCAGGTCGTCTTCCCAGACAAACGTCAGGAACATTGGGCATGCTTAATGCGATTTCTCTGGGACTGCGCTGGAATCGATCCCAACATAACCCTGACCGCAGATGAACCAAGGAAGAGTAGAGGGGACAAACACATGTTTATCGCCGGCCGGCGCCAAAGACTCCAACCGACTCAAAGGCACAGCGATGTCATAAATTGCGACCAGCCATTGTACATGAGCGCCTCGCAATGTCACTTTTGGGACCAAACATGACTCTGCGGAGCAGCCCACGGCCTGCAGTACGGCCGATAGATCGCCATCGCTGCGGAAGATGCAGGTGATGTTTGTTTTGCTGCGATGGGGCAATATAAACAAACTGAGCGATGCGATAGACGGTCCGAGCCCCCTCCTACACTACGAGCAAACAGCAAGCACAGCAATCAGCGAACAAACGAAGTACACGATGCCCTCGCCTCCCCAGTATCTGGTCCTGGACCTGGACGAGGATCCCTTTGCGGTGAGTCGACTTGTCCGAGATGTGTTTCAGCGTTTCTTTTCATGATTCTTGATTGAGCGACGGAGGCAGCGACGGAGGGAGGATGAACGGATGAGCGGTTGGCGGGGCTTGGCGACCGCTTTGAAGCTGGTTTTGGACCGGTGTGATCCCCGTGTGTCGCTTTTTGCATACTCCTCCTCCCTGTTTCTTGCGATGGGTGAGGTCTGAGTGGTCTGCACCCGGGTTTGGGGTCGATGACGTCCGTTGACTTGCCGGCGCTCTACCGGCTCGGCATCCTAAGCGCCGAGTGTTGGGCGGTCGCGCGGTGGCCGGCCCGCCGGACGGCACTCTACGTACTCTACGTTGCTGGGTATCAAACAGCGGATTGGTTTCGGGCAGCCCTGTTGCTCTTTCCGCCGAACGCCCTAGGTGTACCGTTCTCCTTGTTGCTCGTGCTTCTGTCTGAGCGGAGCCATGGTCTTAGGTGCCTGTCACCCTGCTCAAGAATAGCACAGGCATGGTCCTGCCCAAGCACGGCACATCAAACGAAGAATCTTGCAACCATTGCAGATCCGTGCCCAGTCACCTCCTGGAGGTACCAAGGATGTCCGTGTCTCGGCGCATTGACGTATACCTCCACCTTCCTCCGGCCCGCCGGAGACATCACACACCGTTGTTTCTTGCCTTCCTCGTCGTATGACTTCTATCCATGCCCACCTCGTTTTCCTCGCTCTTTCCTCCGCAGTGGTGCGACGGCGACGCCAAGATCCAGTAGCACACTGGGACTACGGTTATCGCACCACTTCCAAGCCTCGCCAGTTGGCCAAGGGCAGATCTACGGTCTTTGCGTGTCTCGCGCTCGCGCCAACGAAGAGGGGGGGGGGGCACCAGCACCGCTCTGGCTTCCAGATTTCAGACATGCTCGTCGTACACGAGCCTTCTGCAAGCACTGGTCGTGCCCCTTGCTGCTCAGGCTGGGACAGACTCTTCGGGCTGTCTAGTCTACCTGGGCGTACCTCAGAACGGCCTGCAGGCTACGATCACACCGCCTTGATGCTCGCCTGCAAGGTACCCAGAAGCAGGGCGGAGCAGGACCTGCCATGGCGGCCTCGAGCGCGCGAGCCTGATAGGAGTTGACGGCCTGAGAGCTCTACGCCTGGAACGCTTGCGCCATCCGCCGCTCGCTCCTTCCTGCCCCTCGTGCCATGCTCTGCGTGCGTGCGACCCGGCGCTGCGCGCACAATCTGCATGCCCAGTCCACCGCCACTGGTTGCGTGTGTCAGACTGCGATCAGCAGGCATCACGCTCCACTCTCACTCAGTGTCGGTGCGAGCTGGCCAAGGGCCAAGGGGGAAGCAGACTGGCCAAGCCTGCTCGGCACATTGCACCTGCTGTGCAGCAGACAGCGTTAGTCCGGCTCAAAGGCTCACATGAGCGCTGCACGCCGCCCGATCTTGAGCGCTCGTGCTGCCTCCTTCCTGTCACTCACCCTGTCGCGACCTGGCCGCGTGCATGCTGAACAGACCGCTCGCTCGCAGACTCTGGCCAGCACGCACTCCTGCCCCCTTGCGCACTCGCCCCGTTGCGGTGCACAGTGCACCGTCCGCACCGTGTCCGGTGTACAGCAGTCGCGGCGTATAAACGCTGCAGGCCCCGTGCCCCCGCTCGTCTTCCTCACTCTGTGTCATCGCTCTTCTCCCAGCACTCACATTCCCGACCGACGTCTTTGACGACCCGCTAACCCGCGCCAGAGTTCGTCCTCGCTCCTCGGGGTCTACGACGCAGAGCACCCCCCGCCCCACCGTCCCGATCCACGGCGGCACTCCCGGCTCTCGCAGCACTCGTTCGTCTCCGCCGCCACTGGCGACACCAACGTCTCTCCCCCCTCTCCGGCACTTTCGCGGGAGTCGCTCCCTTTCTTTTCTCCCCCGCGACCACCAAAGTCTCCCCGCCGGTACAGCCAGGACGCCCAGCCCCGGCCATCCCTCGACAGCCAGCAGACCGGACAGACGTACCTTGACCGGTACAGCATCCTCGAGAAAACCTCGCTCTTCGCGACCGACTCTGAGTCACGACCTAGCCTCGACAGCCTCATTCGTAACGAGAAGCACAGGATGAGTCAGACCGCTCGTCTCTACGACTCCGGCGAGACGTCTCCTGACCTCTACCAGGAGGGCGGGGACGAGCTCGTCCGCCCCAAGTCTGGTGGCGGCAGGAAGAAGCTCTTCTGGACCATCGGTGCCGGTGTGGCGCTACTTGCCATCCTGGGTCTTGGCCTGGGACTCGGTCTCGGCCTGGGTCTCCCGGACAAGAACAAGAACGAGAACAGCTCGGGCAAGGACAGTGCCGCCGACGGCCATTCCTCCACCGATGCGGAGCCGACCAAGGCACAGGACGACCCGCGGCCCACACCCAACGCCCAGCCGAAACCTGAGCCAAACTACTTTGAGGGCAAGACGGGCTCCATGATCAAGATGGAGAACGGAAGGGAGTTCAGGTACACGAACGACCTGGGCGGCGACTGGGCGTACGACATCAAGAACCCCTTCAACGCCTCGGGCCTCGCACAGACCGGCACGCCCCGTGTCAACGAGACGTGGGAGTATGGAAAGGACCTCATCCGCGGTGTCAACCTTGGTGGATGGCTCGTCACTGAGCGTGAGTATCTCTCCCAGCTAGGGGGTTTGTTGGACTCGGTAGCTAACGCCATCAGCGTTCATTGTGCCCGGGCTTTACGAGCGATACGTCGGCCGGTCTACCGTCGATATCATCGATGAGTACACTCTGACGCAGGCCATGGGCGCCGACGCGGCCGAGGCGATGGAGGAGCACTACAAGACGTTCATTACGGAGGAAGACTTTGCTGAGATCGCCGCCGCGGGCCTGAACTGGGTCCGCATTCCTATGGGGTACTGGGCGATCGAGACTCTTCCCGGGGACCCGTACGTCCCCAAAATTTCCTGGACCTACTTCCTCAAGGCGGTCGTGTGGGCGCGCAAGTACGGTATTCGTATCCTGCTCGACGTTCACGCTCTGCCCGGCTCGCAGAATGGCTGGAATCACTCGGGCCGCGGCAATGGTACGACCAACTTTATGGCTGGCGCTGGTGGCCTCATGAATGCCCAGCGCTCCCTCAACTACCTCCGCACCCTAGCCGAGTGGGTTTCTCAGCCGGGCATCAAGGACGTCGTTCCTATGCTCTCGCTCGTCAACGAAGTCCGCGGCTCGTTCACCGACCTCGCCATCCTCGGTTCGTTCTACCACGAGGCGTACCAGGTTATCCGCGGTGCTCTGGGCTACGGTGCCGGCAATGGCCCCTTCATCGTCCTCCATGAGGGCTTCGTTGGTGCCGAGCGCTGGATCGGCTTCATGCCCGGCGCTGACCGCCTCGTCATGGATGCGCACCCGTACAAGGCCTTCAGTCCGGGATCCTACAATCTGCCCTGGTCGCAGCAGCTGGCAGACGTGTGCGGTTGGGGTCGCCCGAATGCGCGTTCCAATGCCGAGTTCGGTCTCACGATCGGCGGAGAGTGGTCGCTCGCTATCAACGACTGCGGCAAGTGGCTCAACGGCATTGGCCAGAACGCTGGCTTCGGTGACTGCACCGGCTTCGAGGACTGGCGCAACTACGACGAGGCGATGAAGACCAACCTCCGCAACCAGTGCATGGGCACGATGGACGCGCTGCGCGACTACTTCTTCTGGACGTGGAAGATCATGAACTCGACCGAGGTCGGATACCCCACCTCGCCGCAGTGGCACTACCGCCTAGGCTGGCAGGAGGGGTGGATCCCCAAGGACCCGCGCACTGCTATCGGCTTCTGCGCGAGCCAGGGGCTCTCGGGACCGAACGAGGGCTTTGACGGCACATACGAACCCAACATGATCGGCGGCGACCCCAACCCGACGCTCAGACCCGGCTCCTTCGCCTCGGCCGAGGGACAGTATGACCAGTGGCCGCCCGCGGCACTCAAGATGAACGAGGGCTCGACTATGGCCGCCGCCCAAATGGCCCTGCTCCCGACACTGACCCAGACCGCCAAGCCCGTCACCCTCGCCATGCCGACCGAGTACAAGAGCGCCACCGGCGTCGGTAACGGCTGGACTAACCCCTCGGACACTGCCCTCGCCTATGCCGAGGTCTCGGGCTGCTCGTACCCCGAGCAGTTTGCGACCGGAGCGTTCTGGGATGCTCCCTGCGGTGGCGGCGGCGGTGCGGCTGCACCTGCAGTCGCGGCGCCCACCGAGGCTCCCGTCCCAACTGCTGCGCCCGTCGTCCCCGAGCCTGCTGCAGCTGAGGCGCCGGCCGTCGCTCCAGTGCCTGCAGCTGATCCTGCTGCGGACCCCGCTGCTGATCCTGCCGCGGTTCCGGCCGCCGAGCCCGTCGCTGATCCGGCCGTGGTTCCAGCCGTCGAGCCCGCTGCCGTTGGTGTACCGGCCGATGTTCCGGCCGCCGCTTGAGCACGCGCATGACAGTGTTTTCTCGTTGCGCCGAGCTCTCCCCCAACCTGTCTTTCATTGTTCACGAACAATCCTATGGACATCACACCTCATTCAAAAATCCGATCTCGATCACTTTCCGAATCAAAGCCATCTCCAGCCCATTCAATGTACATATATCAAGTCAACACGTAGCCATCAGGACCATTGTAAACTAGCTATGGATCATAATGGAGTAGCTAACGACGCCGAGCACACAGGGCCCTCTGTCGCTGTCGCTTCTCTGAATGAGCTGAACTTGGCGGGGCTCCAATTGACGGCTTGCCGCAAACACGTGATTCGCCGAGATCTCTCCTCTCACGTGACCAGTTGGGACCTGACGATCATTTCTTCACGTAGCCAACCATTCCGATTGGCCCGTTGGTGGATTTGCCACTCAAACCACCCGCCGATCCCTCCAACGAGACGGCTGCGGGAACCGGGGGATCTCTTGGCGGCAGAGGCATCGACATCATGACCCTTCTTTTGCTGCTCTCCCTGGCCTGCCCTTGACGCGGTGTAGTCATCCCTGGCGAACCCCGTCGCTGAGTCAGTCAGCATGCATACTCCTCCTCTATGCCCCTGATCGGTATGCCAGTGGAAAAGCTGTCCCGGTGTTGTAGAGGGTTATTTGGTAATCCGATGTGAATTCAAATTCCTCGCCTTCTCCGCGACGCGTACGACAGTCACCTCTTCTGCGAGCTCATCGGCATCTCGGCTGCGTGGCCACAGTGGAGGAACGAGGATTTTCATTTCGCTGGTGGTGCTATTTGGTATTCGTCCCTGAAAACCAGGCCGCCCCGCTACCTTCGGCCCGGTCGACCGATAAGCTCTTTGTTCTAACTTGGGCTGCAGAGGCCGCTGCTGTGCTGCTGCTGGTGGAGCAGGAGACGCATACAGAACGCGGGGGAACGAACGACGTGCTGCAGTTTTGCGCAGAACTTCAGGAGTTCAACACGCCATCGCCGTGCTGCCTGCTCGAAGTGTCCACCCTCTCCCTGAGCATGCCTGAGGATGCCTGAAGTGTATGCCTGATTCGGACATCAAGTCCAAGGCAACAGAGCAGAAGTAGCACACCAAGTGCTGCGTGCGATAACTCACCCGCAGCGCCCTCCCCGTCTTCAAGCACAAGCAGTGCTGCTCTAGAGGTCGAGGGCCGAAGGGTGAGTGCGCGGCAGCCGCGCACGCTTAGATTTCGAGGCGTTTCGTATTTGCCTTGATTTGGCTTGAAGGTTTTTGCGTAGCCCGGTGTTGGATGCCAAATGCGCCAGCTTACGCGCTGGCGCGCCAGGTTGCGGGGCGCACGGGCCAAGGACTGAGGGGAACCATGGATCGCGATCCAAGTTTTGCCACCATGACAACAACGCTGGCCGCCGTTGACCGGCGACCGGTCGTGAGGCCTCGAGATCCGACGACGCCAGCAGGGATCCAGCCAGATCGAGGGATGCATGCTCGACTCGACAGTCAGAGTATAATAATCTTGCATCCTGCTGTTCTCTTCCACCCTCTCGACCCATTGCCACTCACACCCCGTGCTTTGCACTTTGCTTGCTCACCACATCCATCCAGCGCATCCGCAGCATCCGCCTCACACGTTTATTCGCCGAGCTACCCATCCACCCGCATCCGCCACCGGCTGTCCATTGTTGACATCCAACGCATCCAGCACCTGCCGTTCCCAGTAGCAGCGCGTGCATACCGTATCGACAGACACGTTCCACTCGTTCAAACCTAGACCCGGCACAAACGCAACGGGCCAGGAAGAGAGAGTGGGAAGTGGGACGCCAGGGACACGTATCGCACGTTCGACCTCGGCCTCCACCAACAACAACGTTCAAGGCACTCGTCGCACCCCCGCAGCAACCGCGTACCGCCTGCAACGAGACACACATATACTCCATGCTTCCCTTCTGGAGCAAATCCAGCACCACCACATCCACCACCGCATCCACATCTGTATCCGAGACTATTATCGCGCCCGACACCATGGACGTCACGACGCCGACCAACGAGCGCCCCGGCCCCGTCCTCGAGGAGCAGGACGGCCTGATGCCGGACCTCCCCGTGCCCTCGCTCGTCGCCAGCGATGAGTCCTCCCCCGAGCTGCCCCCTATCGTCTCCCCCGGCCTCGAGGACAAGCCGTTCGACCTCAACGCCGCCCCCCGCCTCCCCGAGTGCTGGGGCCACCGCGGCGCGTCGGCCAACTTTCGTGAGTAATACCGAACCGTGGTTCACCGAACTTCCCCGAGCTTCCCCGAGCTACCTGCTGCGGTACTGCCTCACGAACCCATCTCCGAGCGGTCAGGCATACATCCAGCGCTCCGAGGTCATCTCAGAGTGTCGGAAAGGTGCATGCGATGGATTGGGAGGTTGCAGGGATGGATCGCATGCATGGGAAGCGAGGCTGAGGACGGTTGGTGCAGGGACGATAAGCTGACGCTGCAGCCGAGAACACTCTCATGTCCTTCGTCGAGGCCTGCAAGGCCGGCGCCGATGGCATCGAGACCGACATCCACATGACCTCCGACGATGAGCTCGTCATGTTCCACGATCCCGAGCTGCACCGTACCACGGATGGCAAGGGCCGTCTCCACGAGCAGCCACTACCTCCGCACCCTAGCCGAGTGGGTTTCTCAGCCGGGCATCAAGGACGTCGTTCCTATGCTCTCGCTCGTCAACGAAGTCCGCGGCTCGTTCACCGACCTCGCCATCCTCGGTTCGTTCTACCACGAGGCGTACCAGGTTATCCGCGGTGCTCTGGGCTACGGTGCCGGCAATGGCCCCTTCATCGTCCTCCATGAGGGCTTCGTTGGTGCCGAGCGCTGGATCGGCTTCATGCCCGGCGCTGACCGCCTCGTCATGGATGCGCACCCGTACAAGGCCTTCAGTCCGGGATCCTACAATCTGCCCTGGTCGCAGCAGCTGGCAGACGTGTGCGGTTGGGGTCGCCCGAATGCGCGTTCCAATGCCGAGTTCGGTCTCACGATCGGCGGAGAGTGGTCGCTCGCTATCAACGACTGCGGCAAGTGGCTCAACGGCATTGGCCAGAACGCTGGCTTCGGTGACTGCACCGGCTTCGAGGACTGGCGCAACTACGACGAGGCGATGAAGACCACCCTCCTCCCCCTTCCTCCGGCCCGCCGGAGACATCACACACCGTTGTTTCTTGCCTTCCTCGTCGTATGACTTCTATCCATGCCCACCTCGTTTTCCTCGCTCTTTCCTAGGAGCTGCCCCGCAGCTGACTTGCAGGGAGTTGCATACCAGCCCCAGGGACGTCTCGCCGAGCAGACGGCGGACAACGAGGAGCAGTGAGTGTGCCGGCTTTGGCTTGCAGCCCCAGGAACTAACATGCCCAGCGGAGGCTTCCCCGAGCCTGACTCCTACATCGACCCGCTCTCGAGCAAGGACAACTGTACCCGAGACCTTCCCCACCTCCAGGAGCTCGGCGTCAACGCTGTCCGCGTGTACTCCGTCGACCCCTCGAAGAACCACGATGACTGCATGAAGCTCTTTGACGACAATGGAATCTATGTTCTCCTCGACCTCTCCCTCCCTGCCAACGGATCGATCAACCGTGCTGCCCCCTCCTGGACCACTGCCCTCCTCGATGAGTACATGCGTACCAAATACCCCGGCTCAGCGACAATCTTCCTTGCGGATCATGGCAGCGACGACTTCCACCCGCTCGACTGAGCCGACCGAGGTCTCATGCGCCTGAGGCTTGAGCACGCGGTGTTTTGGTATCGTAAACAAAGCAGCTGACACTGTCAACTTACGGGCAGTTGATCTTCTCAGCGGCATGACTTAAGTTGCTACTACGGTCAAAGGCTAGTGGGTGGATAACAGTTGTAGAATACATCATGAGTTGAAGAGAAAAGAGAGGATAATGACGACGGTATGTGATCTCTCTCGGCGATGAGAGAAAGAGAACGCACGAGATCAGGTGGCAGGAGATACGTGCGCATGACTAGCAGCAGCCAGAGTGCAGCAGCACTGTGCGCAGTGGAGTAGTACCGAAGTAGATCCTGGGTCATGGCTGGCTGGGCGCTGGGCGCGCTGGGCGGCGGCGGCGGCGCAGCGGGGAAGCCAGAGTCGCAGTGCGGGGTAGACCGGGTGGATGATGTCACTTGACCAGAGCCTTCGATCCGATCTCCCCTTCGTAATCCACTTGCCTAATTCAACCAGTACTGCTCTTGCATGTGCTCCTATTCTTTCATGAACCTGTCTGAATTATCACGACTCCCAGTGGGATCCACAATCCTCATTCCAGTGCAGAGCATGTGAGAGATGACCTCTTCGTCTCCTTGGCGACACCCCTAAAGGAGCACAACCGACGCCCGACGCCGAGGTATACGTAGATCATCAATCCACCTCACTCCTATCCGCTAACCGGGGGCGTGATCCTTTCCACAATTCACACAAAAGTGTGAGGTGGAGCACACGCCCTTTGCACTAGGACACACAACTGTGCACTACTCATCAACGATCTGCGTCCTATGTGGGTGCCTGTGTCTGTGTGCTCTCCTGTTTCGTTTGGGTGTGATACAGCGGGTAGAGTGTGCGCTCGAGTTGCACTCCGGCCGTCCTCGCGCGCACACGGCCGGGTCACTTGACCGCACCGATAGCACCGGTCCGTTTGCCCGCAGCTCCGTGCACCCGGTCCGGATTCTGCGAGAATTTGTGGTTCAGCCTGAAACTTATGTAGAAAGG